GAGCCTCTCTGACAGTGTCGGGGGACGTGGCAGTGTCGATCGGGTGCGGCGGGGGGGGGGGGGCGCGGAGGGCGGGGGGAAAGAAGAGCAAGTGCGTGTATACGAAGAGAAAACTTCAACGAAAAGATTTTGTTTTCTATGATGATGCTATTTTGCCCTTCGTGGTATTGTCAAAGCTCAAAGGCAGAACATGTCTCTAATCTCTTATTTCAAAATCGACCATTGTGAAAGAAGGAGAAGCAGTTGATGTTTTTCTTTCTACTCGTTGTATTTAATACAAGACGAAAGGATGCAGTCCATCATCAAGCGTTAAAAGCAGACTAGGAATAGAAGAAAAATCGAACGGAAAACAATGTTCAAAATCGTTGTCTACTCTGGTGTCGCTTTCTTCATCCTTTTATTTTCTTTTCTCTAGACTTCTAATAAGACATAAAAAACCAAAAAGAGGACTACAGATTGCCACTTATTGAGTGCTCCAACGTTCTGATGAGAAGAAAAGTTTTCCTAGTTGTAATAACATTTCTTTCATTAAATACTCTTGCTGTTTGCTTCCAAATCAAAACCTGCCTATTTATCTACCATCTAGCTACCTTCAATTAGTCGGCACACTGACAAGTACAAATAGAATCATATGTAATGACGACTGTTTTTCTATAAATCAGCAAATATCTCTTTAAATAATGTTAACAAATCCCACGAGAAATAACGACCTTTTTAAACATTCATGACGTGACAAAAAACATTTTATTTCCATACTGTAAACGTGTTTATGCAAATAATGTTTGATTCATTGGATCTTGTCAGTTGATTGAAGGGGAAGAGAGGAACTATTCACTATTAGATTAATAACACCAACAAAACAAATTGTGTCTTATTCATACTCCTTTAAAACGAATGTGTCAAAGGTCCATCTGCCATCAAATACTAACGCAGTTGCATGGAAATCTGCCCACGGAGCCTATCGAACAATGTAATCGATCGACAGTAGTCTATATCATTGGGTTCCGAATCGAAATCTAGTTGTATCGTCTCGCGACAATGTAATCGAACGGCGGAGAAGAAAAAAAAAGAAAATGTCATCTCGACAAGTGTAAAAAAAACTTACTAGCAATCATTGTTTTCAAGAGAAGTTCGCGATGTCTCTCAATAGTGTTTTCTATTCGGTCAATGAAGCATAAGAAAGAACATACTTCTATGCAGATACATACTGGCACATTAATAATGGCGGAAGCGGTTTTCTTGGGTCTAAAATGAATTTTATGGTGACAATCGATGAGATGGAGGAGAGAATGTGCTTTTCGTATCTGGGAGTAATTGTACGACGTGTTGAAGAACGAGAAAAGAAAAACGGAGTGGAATGAAGATTTGATCAGGCATTACTGTACTATCTTAATCTTCGCAATGTTGATCTCAATGATACTTTTTTATGGACGACGACGACGATGCAGTAACTTATCAATAATAATGTATTTAGAGATACACATATGTTTATACCGAATCGAATCGCGCAGATATATCGGAAGGATAGGACTGTGTGCTAATCGAGATATAGAGGAAGCTAGCTGATACGATGCTATTTTTAATAAATCATCAGTTTTCTAAATGAGACCAGCTATCCTAAGCACATCTTTAATAGTTAATCATAATCTTCGAGTTGTTTTCTTATTGGGAGATATGTTTAACTGTACTTGGATTGCTTGTTTAGACGACTAAAAATAAATAAATGAACACTTGTTACGCCTCTTATAGATAGTTAGTTTCTATGAGAAAAAGCAATACTTTGTCTGGAATGTTGTCAGTCAAGTACATACTTTTGATGTCGAAAAGATGAAGAAAGAAACTTTAATAAGTTCCTGTCAGTCCTCTCTCATGAATATATTCAGCTAGGAACAATTGCCAGAAATACTCTCGTTAAATATGTTGATAATCTCATCAATAAGATATGATATCAAAGTTTACCTTATTGAAACATGTGTTGATTGTTTCAGCCAAAGAAAATAACTGTAGACACCTGTAGACATGAAAAATGCAACAATTAAAAAAATACGTTTTTTTTATGATTCGTGACGGCGTAGAGTTCTTGGTCGGCAATATTGTATTATTTAGCAACTTTTAATTGCCAGTAGAAAAATAAAATGTAATATATCCATAGAATCATCAAATATTGAGTTTCTAATGAAACGCTCGAAGACAAAGTGCAAAAAAATCTTTTCTTTTATCAGATAGTGTATACAATACTTTGGTATGTTGTGAGATATTCTATTTGCGCACTCCTGCTAATAGGAAAACTTAGTTCAACGCTTCTGCAATTCTGTCTTGATATACTCGGTGCTCATACTTTGCGTGTCGTACTGACTGAATAAAGTGTCATTTGTTTATGTTCCCATTTTAAAGTGAACTAGAACAGCAATGTAGGTTTTCGGTTTCAGTATTGAAGGACACAGTGATCTAGTGAACTATCAGGAAAAGGGCTTCGTAACAAAATACGCAACTTTTACGATTTCATGTAAAACTCGAAAGGTTTCTCTGTTAATATACGGAACTGTCCTTTAGAGACTTTTTTCGGTTTTTCTATTGCGTTCTTCAAAAATTTCAAGTGTTCAATAGCTCTCATGACATCGACATGCATTTCTTCATTCTCGTTTGATGAGCAAACGCTCATGATGACCGCAACGTACTAAAGTGGAACACATCAACAAGAAATAGTTCATCGTTCTTCCCACGCACAGAATTAAAAGGTCTTATCTAGTAATTATAATGAATAATCATTAGGCTTATTTGCTCATTCCATTCTCGGAGAAATATGTCGACCTGAAATGAAAGATTGTGGTCGGTGTCATTGATTTTGGATATATCAACAGACACAATTGGCAAGACGGAAACCTTGCCCTTCATATTTTCCTTGTATGAGGTCGATTCAAAGTCAACATTGATAATTATCACGAAAATAAACGAGTTTTTGTAATTTCTACTTCCTAATTGAATCCTACACGAATCAACTTTACGCCGTCTTTCTTGAAATAGAATTTCACCTATTTTACAACGAGTATTCTTAGACACGCGTTCGAACTTTGTCCGGATTGTTCTATAGTAATATTTGATGAGCTCTATTAACTCCAAGCACAATATTTCCAACTCGTCTCCATTCTTACGCACATCCACACTCTCAAGACGTAGACTCGAAATGCCTTGTTCGTTTTCTTTTTTGTTTCATAGCTATGATTTATTTTTCAAAAGAAATGTGATGTAATTTCACCATCTCTATTGATGTTGACTGCTTATGAAATTACATAGGTAGTAGCGTTTCTAATTTTAGCTGATGTATACACATTCCTATCCAAGTTGGAAGATTGTAAAACTTTTTCTTCCTTTCAACTTCTCGGAAGTAACTGTCATATATAAACTGTGTGAAACTTGTCATGTTTCTCTTGGAACAAAGCAGACTAGTGTACGATGCCAGTGATTCAAAATACCAGCTACGATGTGAAAAAGTTTGGCCGGACAGTTACAATTCCGGATGCCGACATAGCAAAAATCATGTACTATATCGATTGTGTCTGCACTGTAGTTGACTACAATGAAAACAACATTCAAAGATATCGTAATTATTCTAATTGGATGAACATGTCTGACCAAGAAGATCGGGTGATATTCTTGTTGGCTTTAGCACTTTCACCTGATGAGCTAGAAGATAAAGTCTTCTTCAGAAATGCTACACTTTGTCAAGGATCGTCCAATCAATTCTATGAAATCGGTCAGGTCAGAAATCAACTATTTATTGTTCAATCTGTCATTATCGGTGGACAATCACGGCAGGTGAAAAAAATCATGGCATACACAAATGAATGGATGAATAGAAACTACTATGAACCAATGAAGGCTCTTGCCTATCGATTCAGTCCACAAGGTCAAAGAGAAGAAGCAATGCGTCGAGCTATCATTTCTGAAGCATGTGTTATTTCATAAACATTGAAAAACGACATTGTTTTGATGAACAAATTTCGAAATTGCGCTGTTCTAAAGAAAAATACATGAATAATTCATTCTGAAAATATATTCATAGGAACTTTCGACTCTTCACTCACAAGAGTAGTCAGCAGTTATTAGCTTCAGATCGATGTCATATTACTAATATGACGTCGATGACTTATGAGGAAAACGTGCATGGGAGAAAAAGTCGTGTGAATATCAATGTGAATTGAAACGTCGTATTTAACAATCGTAACATTACTCATTGTTGTAACACAGATTAAGGTAAGACTGACTTTTTCAATCTTGACATTTTCGCCGTGAAATATGAATAATAGGAGAAAATCTATCGTCTGAATTGAGATGTGATCGAGATTTCCGTATGAACTTAGAGATATCGAGGAAATTCGCGTTGGTGGTGCAATTAATCATCTGTCAGTCTCTTCTCATCAGTTTAGGTCTGAATAATAAGCATATGGTTATTTCTCAGCATTGAATTACGTTGTTCGCTCTACATCCATTTCAAAACGAATGATGCCGAAGTCAACCCTCAAACAAAGTTCACTAAGCAAAGCTCTCGTTCATGCCACTGTCCAATTGACTGCTCCGTCTGTTATATCAACCAATGCGATACCTACCAGATTACACTCGTATGCAACTACCGATGAGATATCTTTCGGAAGAAAAATTAGATGCAATCTTTCGTCACTGACAATGGCATTTTCAAAATACTCTCATTTAAATAAACAAAAACGACGACGTGATGTAACTACGCAAACATCCATCCATATAAACGAACAACAACCGAACCATTGTGATAATAACGTGAAAGAAGACATGACAGCTACGCTCTCATCTTCATCACCGAAAGATTACTTATTTCCTTTGCAACATTTTCCATATTCCCGATCATTGAGTTGCTCGTCGCCCAAACATGCACATTTAAAAACAACTAGATTAGTTGATATTTGGCAAGGATTTCACACTGATGACCTACCATCATCGACGTCATCACTTTTTGATCCAATCTATTTTGAAGAACGTGTGAGAAGAGTAAGCCTATTCGTCTGATCTCAATCGATGATTTTCATGTTTTTATTTCAATTTATTCAGACGGCTCCTCAATGGAAAGCTTGTGCTAAAGTCGTCACATCCCTACTTACATTTACTCGAACAAAAAAAGAACGGTACGAATGGATGCAACTCGTTGGTCATCCTGGTAATTAATTCTTGCTTCTTCATTTTGACATTATCTTCTGTTGTTCTTCTAAAGGAACATTCAAGGAAGGTACTCATGATGGCTATGTGCTAAAAGCGTTGTGCGAACATGAACGGTATTGTTGTGAATTGTTACAAAACGATGTTTTGAGCAAGTTCGTGCCAAAATACAATGGAACTATTTCCGATGACGAAGGAAATTCTTTCATTGAAATGGAAGATCTTCTGGCTTCGTTTCATGAACCGTGTATCATGGATTGTAAAATCGGTGTGCGAACATATCTCGAAGAAGAATTGGACAAGTCTGAACGTGATCCAAAACCACGAACTGTACGAAATGATTCTTTCTGACGATCACGGCAAATATTTTGTTTGATTTAGGATTTATATCATAAAATGATTGCGATTGATCGATTGGCTCCAACAGAACAGGAACATGAAGACGAAAAAGTGCTCAAATCGAGATACATGATCTGGCGAGAAAATATGAGTTCAAGTCAAGATTTAGGTTTTCGCATTGAAGCTATCAAAGTAAGAGAAAACCGAATCTTAATGAAATTATGGCTAAAACATCGTTCTCAACTAGAAATCTCGTGGTTTGATGTCGAAAGAGTTCCAACGTATTAAAGACCGTGATGATGTGAAAAAACAATTAACTGAATTCATTGCCGAATCGCCAACACGTGCTGTAAGGCTTTGAATGAAAACCGAAAAATCTCGCTTGATGAAAGCAATCTTTCTAGAACGAATATCTTGAACGACTTCTTGATCTACGTTCAGCATGTGTTCGTTCCAATTTCTTTCAAACTCATGAGGTTTGCTCGCATTCCTATGCTTTTTCCATCGAAGTTTAGTTCTATCTCTTTAAAGTTAATTGGCTCGTCACTCCTCTTCGTTCACGATGGAAAGAAAACGTCCATTTCGATGATTGATTTTGGTAAAACCCGACCTTTGCCCAAAGACGTGTCTATCACACATAATCAACCATGGATACGTGGGTCACATGAAGATGGATATCTACTTGGTTTGGATAATCTAATATCCTTATTTCAAGACATAATTTATGATCTACAAATTTAAGTTTCTTCGTTCGTTTTCTGTACAGTCTGACACAATTTCCTCAATAAATATGAAAATTGTAAAATATCTCGACCTTGCATTGACTTTTGACATGGACTAGTATGAAAATGCATGTTAATGCAGCAATGACTAAGGTTGCTCTTTGGTCAATATGAAATATCTCTATTTAAGATAAGAACACATATGTTTTTGTTTATTTTAAACTATCATCTATGAATATGTATCATCAATTAGATGATATACTCACCCATAAGCTCCCGATGCCAAAACAACGTTTTGCGAATGTTGAGTAATGTAAAACATGTCTTATCTATGTACTGACTGGAAAATGAAACGATTTCCATAAAAAGAGGCTCCCTTTTTATATCCTTTATGTTGTGCATTTGTTTATTACCAAATATAACAATTCAGAAATGCTCGTCACACGAACATCGACCATCTTTTGTAAAACAATGAATTCTTAGTCGATCACGAACAATGATGTCTCGTTGCGTCAAACATGCAATCAACTTTGTCACGTGATGACAATCAACGCACATTCGTAGGTTTTTTGTCAACTGTATTGTTGTACCCGATGGTGTGGAAATCAAGCTTAAAGCAATAGCCAACCGCTCAGAATGTCCATAAATGCTCCATTGATTGTCGTGATCTTCTTTGGTTAATACACTTTCGTTCGGTTGGTAGCCCAATTGAGTTAGCTGTTCGTGTAAAATCTCTAATTGCTCGTAGATTTCCTTTGAACGAGGATGACGAGTATCCTGAGCATAGAACTCATACATAATGCCGTTGATTTCTGTCCACGTTATACCGGCATACTTCGGTATTTTGTTTCTATACAAATTTTGTCGAAGAGCCAATGATTGATGATGATCGCCGATTGATGCATGAACATTTGCAGTTAATACAACGATAGCTGAACGCTGATCGTCAGTTAATGGCGTATTTGAATCGATCAATTTATTGTGAATTTCTAGTGCTAACGCGGCATTTTTATGTTTGCGACAAGCAGCTAAAAGAGATATGTAGAGAACAGGCGCATGTGGATGAAGTTCTTCGAATTGACAAATTAACGAGTGTGCTTCAGACAACTGACCAGCACGACCATAGACGTCAACCTACGAGCACAAACGTAGTGTTAATCTATTTGCAGAAAAGTTGAAATTATGTACCAGTGCATTCCATATCTTTACTGATCGTTTTTCTTGAGGAATTTCGTCAAAAATCTTCTGAGCCTCTTCCACTAAACCACCGTGCGCACAAGCAGTCAATACACTAATCAATATCGAGTGTGTATTCCCTGTTAATTGATCTTTGCTTTGATAATACAGTGTCATAGCTTCTAAGGCTTGAGAATTGATTCCGTAGATATTAACTACACAACAGAACTCTTCATTAAAGCACGAGACAACTTTTTACATACTCATCGACGATATACTTGGTTTACTTCTCATTGGCAATCGATTGAAAATATCTCTCGCTGCATTCAAATCTCCACACTTTCCGTATGTATCCATTCTAACAACGAAGAATGACCAATGGATTGAAAAGAAGTATAAACTCAACATTCGTACCTACAGTGCGTTGAGGATTTTCTCATTTGTTTCATAGGAGATTCCACTGGCTCTTAAATCCTCATGAATGGAACGAGCACGAGATGCTAAACCCAATTTTCCAGCTGCATTCACAGCAACTAAATAAATGACTTGGTCAGTGCCAATTTGATTGGTTTGTTTCAAATAGTCATAGATAGCTAACGCTTTCGTGGGTAAGTTCTAAAAGAAACAATGTGATCGATTGAGAAACAAATGAGATCAAACATACATTAACAATATACGCTTTCGCAAGAGTAGTAAATGAGATAATATCTGGTTCTTTCAAATCTTGAAACGTTTCCTCCATGCGAAGGATATTTCCACATTTTCCATCCATCTGAAAGAGAACAAATAATTACCGAACGAAAGAGCAAGTTTGATTAGTTACATCAATTAATGCATTAGTCAACTTTCGATCATTAGCAAAGAAATCTTGCGTTGATGTCGATAGACTTTTCAATTCCAAATGAATTTTATCAGCCAATTCTATATTTCCGAGTTGTGCGATCGCATTTGCCCATAGCAGAAATGTTACAATGTTTCGTTCATTCTTTTGTAAATTCTCAGCAAATTGTACAGCCACTGTCGCTTGTTTGTTAATGATGTAACCTTTAATGAGAATATTTACAGCAATCACATGGTGATTAAGATGTTCTCTGTAGAAGATTTCTTCCGCTACAGATAAACGAAGTAATATGAAGATTTATTCGTATGAAAAAAAGCGATTTACCAGTTCTCAGATCACCACATGTCGCGTACAATTGTAGGAGGCACGTGTGCACTTTGACATCTTCGTTTCGTTCGATAAATGTTGTTCGTTTTTGTCGAATGTATTCGTGTATACGTTTTCCTTCAGTTAAATTTCCCAACCGTATGCAGGCAGTTAAGGCAAGAAGGTAAGTTATGAAGTTCGGAGTGATGTCTGGATGTTGATTGATTAGATGATCGAACAGCACAAGCGTATTCTTCGGCGTGTTTTGCTTGTTCGATTGAGTCATGGCTATATTCCAATTGTACAGCTCTTTGGAATGGGATATGAAAGGTTGAGATTTGACATTTATTTGCGTTTGATGCCAGCGGACAATGGAAGATGAAAAACGGCGTAGAAGGAACAAATGGCGAGAAAACATTCGTTAAAACTACTATTCGATTAGCAAGTATGTATGTATGTATGGTTAAGGACAGTTTTCATTTGTAGTATACGATGAACAAATGAAGAGATATGTTGGACAGATGTCGCCAGACTGTCTACTGCTGTATTTTTTTCGTAACGGTTTGTAAATCGTACGAGCTACGCATTGTCTGATTTTAATTAACCGATTGTTTGTATGTTTTATTCTGAAAAGATCATAGGAAGTCTTCGTACACACAGACACACACATACCTGATCGAATTTCAAATGCCAGCCATCGTTGTTTAAAAACGCATGCTAACACACTATGTGATCTTTTTCATTGCGACCATCCTAGAACAAGAAGCAATGCTTCGACTACTGCTCTTTTCATTATTAAGTTATTCGACTCTAGGAGAACTTCGTTCATCTACTCCTCATTGGGATTATCAAAGACATGGACCTGATGCTTGGCCACATGTATTCGACGCATGCGAAGGAGATGCGCAATCGCCAATTGATATTCGTACATCACATGTGAAATACGATTCACACCTAGCACCACTCTTAATAAATAGTTATACTACAAATAATACCATATCTGTGTGGAATTTTACACACAATGGCCATACTATCATCGCTTATCCGTCGCCGTTATCTCGTCTTTCGATTAGTGGAGCGAGTCTTCGTGAAGTTTACTATCTAGTTAATGTGCACTTCCATTGGGGTTATCATCCATATCACGGTTCAGAACATACGATTGACTCGACCAAATTTCCTCTAGAGGTTCATTTCGTGCATGAAGCACGATCTCCCAATACATACGCTGTTCTCAGCGTGCTTTTTACTTTGCAAAGGCATGATAATGAACAATTGAATGACTTGCTATCGATCGTCAATCAAACAATCAATGCATCCGTATGGATTGAGTATCGATTCGATGTCTCTCGTCTACTTCCAACGACTTCAACGAAACACTTTTTTCTTTATAATGGTTCCTTCACGGTACCGCCGTGTACAGAAGGAATCACTTGGATTGTCTTAGCCAAGCATGTTCCAATTTCAGTCGATCAACTAGAAATCTTCTCTGGAAATTCCGTTCCATCCAATTTTCGATCTCCGCAAAAGCTATCTTCTAGGACAATTCTAGCTGATTTCGAACCAGAGCCATACGAAGTCGAAAGTTCACACGGTACTCCACATTCAACGGCAAATCACGCTCAAATATCGATGTTCTCACTCTCAATAATAATCGTTTCATTTTTAACCAACTATTAATACTCAGGGTTATCCAAAAGTAATGTCGGAGCTATCTTATTTTCTTATAAAACGATCAGAAAAAATTTCTTTTTTTATAGAACGATAGAGAAAATGAAGCTCTATTTTTCTATACTGATTCATCCCTATCTAACTAGTGTTAAACTGATTACATTTCGAGCAAAACTATGATCGCACGAAATTCCACTTTGGCAATACGTAATCTTTTCGTCCATTTCTAGATTAGTTTTCTCTTTCTGTTCTTCTTTCCAGTTCTTTCTTCTCGTTATTTATCGAGTTTTTTTGCGTATTCTTGTTAATACATACAAAAAAAGATGGTGATCGAAAGAAAAGGAGATGTAAGCATATAAAAAAAAAACTTTATTACATCAAATGTTCAAAGTGGTCACCTTGATTAGGTGCTTTAAAAATTATTTGAAGGTATACAATGCGTTTGATATTTCGTGCTTTCTCTATCAGATAACTTATATCGAGTAGGCAAACATAACTGCCGATCGTTACAAAGTCAATCAACAATCCATAGAGAAGAGATACCTCGCGCTAATAGAATGTCATGATCATTTGAGAATATTTTTGGGAATTCATATGAAGTGCATGGAAGAGAGACAAGAAGAAAAATTTTGAAAATTGCTAGAGAAAGATATCATCATCAGTTTCAAAAAGGTTTAATAAATAATTTGAGATCAATGTTGACTAATCGACATTTCATTTATTCGACCCTTTCAGAACAAAACGAGGATAATTTGGAGAAATGATTTTATGTGAATTACAGAGTTTTTCAAGGCACATTTTTTCATACGATTCTTTTTTTCGAAATTTCAGATTAAGTAATATGTTATCAAACTACAAGATACATTTCAGTTTGCTTTATTAGTTGTTTAAACAAAAAAATTTAAAAAACCTCTTTGTAACTCAGTATTGTTTTGTAGAAAAATCATAGCGAATGAGATCAAAATAGTATACCTTGGTAGAGTAGCCGACGCTTTATCTAACTGCGTTCAAATAAAAAAACTGAAGTTTCGTTTAGTCAAGATAGATTATGAATAATTGTTAAAAATAACATAATCGACCTGTATATTGAAAAATGTTATAATGAACAATCAGATTTGGTTGAATTAACAGCCCTTTTTGATATATATTTTATTATAATAATTATATAAGAGAACGGCTTTGAATTTCTACGGGATATGTGATATCGATTAAATAAAATTTCATCAAATTCAAGATTGTATTGCTTTTTTATGTTGTATGTTGATCATGATAAATTATTCGATGAATTGATTATTCAACAATCTTTATTCAAAGAAATTAAGTCATATCCTGAACCATTAAGTTAATAGATTCGAAAATATATTGATGATGATGTTTATCATACTACTGAAGGTATAACTAATGATAGATATGATGAATGTGAATCAAATGAAGATCTTTTTCATAAACCAAAAGTTGATACTGATGAAAAAGAAAATCAAATTTGTGCTGATCAATTATGGGCATATCTTCTTGCAAATCGATTACTTTATGCAATGGAATAACACAAGTTGTTGCCCATATTTATTCAATTCCTTGTTATAATGCGTTTGCCGAAAGTGTCTTTATTCATATGGAACACACATGGATACCAAATTGAAATTCAATCCCAACTGTAACAATTGCTACCCAATTAAAGACTAGACTAATTAGCAAGATGAAACGTGAAGATTTTTCGTCTTTTGCACAAACTCAACCAGAATTGATTAAATCTGCTAAAAGTAAGCAGAAATATACTTATGTAACAAAAAGGTGTATTAGGAAATGCAAACAAAGAAAATTCAATTTAAGCTTAGGCTTTTTATTTGTTTTTGGACATAGATATCGACAGAAAAGTGTATATGTGAACCACATGTTACAAAATAAAACATAATTTAGACTTTCCTACTATCTTCGAAGCACAGGGAAAAGATCTGAAAAACTATTTTTAACGTTAAAAATATCTTTCAAAACTAACTTCATATTGGTATCCTATATTACTCGAAAAAAAATGTCTACCTCATATGTATCTTATTTTAAAGCCCTGGTATGGGTATGAACCAAGAAGATATACGTATCATCATCCTCGAACCTTCTTACGGATCAAAGCTTCCTTCTGAACATTAACAAGATGCAAACAATTACAGCAAGTATTGAACATAAGCGAATTAGATACAACATTTATTAGGTAACATTCCATTGTCTTCCAAGAATAACAGTTCGAAATCGTTTCGTAGCAGCATAGAATTCAGTTTTATATGATTTGGAAGGTACAACAAATACGATGAATGTAAGAGATGGTGGAATATATGATATAAAATATCCAAATAAATAAAGGGCAGGATATCGTACCGATTTCATACAACCAGATATGAATGAGATGATTAAACGAGGTGTAGCAAGTACAACTAAAAGCATAGCACTAACAATTAGATGATTATGTCGATGAAATTGTTCGTTTAAATGTTGTTGATAAGTTTGTTGTTGATGAGCTGTAGCACGACTTCGAGCAGCAACAAATATTATGGTAATAGCAGTGACAAGATTTATTATAAAGGGAACTAAAAAATGAAATATATTTATTGCTGAATTATATATCTGAAGTGGAGGTGAATATTGAATTAAACACCATCTTCGATTTTCTTCTTCATCCTCAATAAGTTGTCGATTTATTGGATCATGTAAAATACTGGTCGTGGTAAATATTAAAATACTAATAATAGTCCATTTAACTGCTCGTCTACTTTTATTCTTATCATATTTGATACTCATTACTAGCGCAAGTGCTCTGTCAATGCCGATACTTGCATTCAACCAATCTATAATAGTTGGTATCAATCGAAGTAGGAAATCAATTAAAATACATGAAATACGCAGGATAGTGATGTTTGTAATAATTGACATTTGTGAAAGAATTAGCATGAAGAATTTAATTGAAAATATAAATGTTGAAAATAATGAAACGATTGATGTAGCTAAAAGATAATGTCTACAACCTGATTCATCTTTGATTTTTCTTTGAAATGTTATTATGGATAGAATACTATTGACAAAACCAATAACTACCATAATAGTAGTTAAAACAATAGTAATTTTTACAATAGTTGGCTGATGGTTTACCGACAAGTGTGGTCGAATCTGATAGCCAAGAATAGCATCGAGAGAAAAATCAAATCCTTTTGTGGTAAATTGACATTTACTCCCATAAAAACAATCTTCACAAACACAGAACGTCGAAAGTGGACAATTTGGACGATCTGAAAAACATTGCGCATTATTTTGACAATCTCCATATCTTTTACAGGTGTATTTTACATTGAAATCAAATGAAAAACAATTTGCATATCCTTCTTCATTGCATAGACACATGAATGCTTCTTCATCATAAAAACATTTTAATTGCTGTTTGTCTCTACAGAGTAAATGATAATATTTAACACGACGTAATAATGAATATTTTGCAACTGTTTCATTATGAAATAATTGTAGAACATTTAAACATCGTTGTTCCATCTTCGTCTGAACTATACTAACTGATGAAGAAGTATTGTTTGCACTGACATATGTCAAAAAGTATTCTTTGGAAATTTGAACAATAATAATATGAAAAGATATTGATATTTGAACTATGGCTTGATTTTGATCGAATGGAATTTTGACATTAATTGTTGTACGTATTGGATCATGTTCTGTTTGCACAGTAATAAAATGAACAAACAAAGAACGAGGAATTTCTATATCAATAAATGATATATGAACTTTTGTTTGTATTGTTTCACATGTTGGACCTGAAAATCCAATTGGACATAGACATATAAAACTATTTCTTGATACTCGTTCATTTTCTGATATGCATTGTCCACCATTTTTGCAAGTTTGATTTTGACAAATCGATTGAAGACGACAATGTGAACCATATTTTTCCACTGGACAAAGACACATAGATTGGTTATTACTTTTGCCGAGACATTTCGAATCTGCGGAACAATTACATTTATCTGAAATTGTACAATTGATGCCTGACCAACCAGAATTACAGACACAAAAATATTCATTCGGACTATTGACATATGCGTAACATCGACCATAACCACAGAAAACAGAACAGTTTTCCAATGAATTAATTGGATGAGCTGGAATAATAAAATATGCAGCTATTCGATTTACAGGAAGAAAAAGAAATTGAACTGGTAAAATCCAGCTTGCATAATAAGTTAAATTGATTTTGTTATACGCATCGATTTTTACCTTATATTTTTTTGTTAGATTTTTTGGTCGTGATTGATAGAGTAAATAAGTGAAATATTTCTTGTTACATTCATATGTTGATGCGTATGTTAACTGTTCATATGCGTGAATGACATTATCTTGATCAATAAGACTAATAATAATACCAAATACTCCATAACAGACTGGCGTGCATTTTCGACTAAATTGAAGCGTCAAACTAACGCGTTGACTTTGATATTGACATCGATTTCCATAATAACTCGGAGGACAAAGACAATGAATTTTCAACGAAATTCCAATATAAATCAAAATACCCCGATGACATGTTTCGGTTCGTTTAATTGTAAACTTTTTATTTGATACCATCGTTTCTTGATCTACAATCAATTGAATCGAATCGTTTTTCGTTACCATCAATGATGAAAGATTTGTTCTAAGACGATCGAGCATAAAATATTTATATAGAGGAAATTTAAGTTTCCTATCTTCATCTAGACGTTTCAGAACATATTCCATATCTGATGAACAGTCTATTTTCCCTTCCATGAAACATATACGTTCCAAACAAACATGAATATTGTGAACACATAAAGTATCATTCCAACATTTAAATCTCACTTGAAAACGCTCCGGTTTTTGCAGTCGACAATATTCTCTCTCATCTGTAGATCCAAGACAATCTATGATTCCATTTCCGGCTAGATAATAAGGTAAACATATGACTTTTTTTGTTATAGGAGAGATGCATTCGTGAGTATCGGGAGGACATGTGGATGGGGAACAATTAAGTTCATCAATACCATTTGGACAATTCCAAGCTCCATCACATCGAGTATATAAATTATTGCATGGCCAATCATCACAATGTGTTTCATCTGTTTCAATAAATTCGTCGATCGTTATAGGCTGTAGATGAACATATCCATTACACAAATTTTGAAATGTTATTTGTTGAGAAATACTCATAATTTCATCGTCACCATTACGACAATCTTTTACACCATTTTGAAATAAAATGAATGAAATACATTTTTGTTCTGTTGAGCATTTAAAACGATGTTTATGATTCCATTGACAAGCGTCAACATCTTTTTCATCAGCACCTTTATAACAATCTGGAACACCATCGAAGACTCGATGCGTTGAAATATACTTTGTCGTACCTGGACATTGAAAGAGTGTTGATCGATTATAATTCATTTCATGTTCGTTTTCAATTACAATGAGACAAGATTGGAAAAGATTGATAATATCAGTAAATGTATAAAGATTTAATTCTTGCGTAGATTGACAAGTTGTACCATTTATACTCAATATTGAATTAGATGGAAGAAAAGGACATTTTCTCGCATCATAACAAACATAGTCGGGAAATATGTTTATCTCTCCATAATTAAAAAATATTGTTTGATTTGTTAAGTATACTAAGGATACATGGCCATGAAGAATAGGTCGCTGCGGGAAAACAACAAATTCTGTGTGACATTCATCTACCATTCTAATATTACAACCTTCACCTCCATCATTGTCACATAGTGTGGTGCATTTGGGTATATTATAGTAATTAAAATCGTCCTTAAGATAGAGATTATCAGCCATTGTGCAGAGTAGCAAAAACCAGCAGTTGTAAGATAGTGCAGAATGTTTAACGTATGAAAATAACGAGCTTTTAATAATAACATTTCGTCTATTGTCGCAATACCGACTACCTTCAAGAATTGAATCATCGCTAACGTCTCCATCACCACAAACAAAATTTTGAGGATTCTTTCTATAAGTGCTTTCTTCACACCAAAACCCTGGGTCCCTTGAACACTTTGCGTGACGCTGTGCATATAAAATATTCTCATCCGTACCATCAATGCAATCTGAATAGTAGTAACCTTCGTTTAAGAATTCTTCTGGTATGCACATTCCATTGTGACACCGATATTCGTTTTCTTTACATTCATTTATTTCGAGTTCGAAACAGTTCTTTTCATCTGCATCATTCCCTAAACAATCGACTTTTCTATCACAAATTTCTCGCCAATCAAAACAAGCAGGTGCTGGTCCTCGATCACAATCCAAATGTAAATAACATGTTATATCTGATTTATTCGTAAAACGTTTGTCGGTAAACGTTTTGTTAACAATAATGTTCAGTGGTAGACTTATATTAAATGTGTATTGACAAAATCTTCCAAACCATAGGACAGAGCAATTGTAAAACTTCTGAAATCTCAATGAAACGTTTGATGGTCCATCAAGATATTCATCATACAATTCAACAAGATCAATTAATGCTGACCATGAAAGTAAATCAAATGTAGTAACTTGTTGTCTTCTTAATTCTTCAAATGTGAATGTAGTCAATACTTCTCCCTTTGTTTCTTCGTTATATACTTTTTCTGTTTCTGAAAATGGACGAATACAATATGGAATGATTTGATACCATGTTTTTAAATCATTTTCTCTCTCAAAGGATCGAATTGTATAATCAACTACTCTGTAATATAAACAATCATAGTACAAACCATTATTAATTGTTTGATCCATGTAATACAAATACAATCGACCTTGAACATCTTGGGAACTTAATAGTAGAATACCGACAATATAGATTGACCATGTCATATTGATAGTAAGAATAAGTGCATGTAATTACAAGTAAAATAGAATCTATTGAATAATACAAGATTATGAGATAAGACAATAAAGTCTTGCCATAAGAAATATCTACAGGTATGACGAGGAATTAAGAAATCTAACAAAACAGTCCTTTTTACAATTCACAAAGATAGATATTATTGTTCATCCTTAAATTTAGTATTTGTATGAATAAATGTTTTCATATACACCTGTTTCAATGATGTATTGCAGTGCTAGACGTAAAATAGATTTTCCAGTTACTTGATAGTATAGAATATATTAGCAAATCCAGAAGATACTAGGAAGAATAAGATGTTTACAATGCTATGGTTCCCTATCAGAAACGATTAATATAATTCGAATATGAATAACAAAAATCTATCGACAAAATCAAAATCGAATGGACAAATAAGAAAAATGACTTCAACTATTAGATGAATGTTTTGTTGAGCTTGAAACTGGTATAGTGTTAACCTTGTAAGGTTCAAATTATTCTTATCAGAAGATGTTCACGGAATTACTGATTGTATTCCGAAAAAGAAAAGAATGAAAAGAAAGAACGAGCAGTGCAGATGAAACCAATCTCTTTGGTAATTATTTGTATCTACGAGATGTCGTATAGTACCATGATATTGTTTTATAAAAATATATAACATACATGAAGTATTTTTTATGCTATATGACTGTAGGAGCTATAGATATAGAAGAACACGAGTATAAAGTATTTTCTTCAAAATTCTTTTAGCTTTCATTATTTTTTTTCGCAATGAAATATTGCTAATATTGAGGAAGGTGATATGAACGTTTAGATTAGTTTCTATACCAAACAATGTTATGTCGCTCACGATTAATAGATATCGCTATACCATATAGGAGATATGAAGAGTTTAAATTAAAAGAATCACATTAAACAGTTTTTTAGCTATACGCTCATGTTAAAAAAATCTTTGAATTTCTTATTGAATTCTATAATTGAACGTATGAGTATATTTCTACCTTATTCATCTCCTGTAATACGTTGCATATCTGAAAAGAAAAATTTATCTGTCAACTATTGTGTGATTGTGTACTTTCGAAATGTTATACTATACACTAATGGAAGATGACAGTGTAGATAGTTAGGAATACTGACTTGCGCTCTCACCTCTACTTACACGAATGCATCAATAATTATTCACCCAACGAGCTGAACAGATGAAATGATTATTCTTTTTTTTTGTAGATTATTTTATTTTATTATTTCTGACATTAAAAAAGAACTAATTTATTTTATCTTTCTGAGTATAATAATTTTGTTCTGCTTTTTTACTTCCGCTTTCTGATAAAAGTTCATGTTCAGTATCAGTGAGTTTTACTGAAAGACGGAAACGGTATGATTTAACTAGTTTAACTGCCTTCACATTGTCTTATAGTTACCTTTGAAAATCAATAAAAATGTAATGTTAGCTGTTTCTCATTTTATGTGAATTAGTGTCGTTCTGCTATGTATATTGAAACTGTAGAGAAGGAGATACCAGTGTGAAGCTAGCACGAAGAAACTGTGTGTAAGGTAAAAACTTTTTTCCAGAATTTATCTGGTTCATAAAACCTAGTCCATTCGATTCAGAATTTAATTCAGCATCGAATGGTGGTATTTTTATTCACCGGACAAACTTTGGAAAAAAATTATCGGAAACATAAATAGACCTATATGAGGCAAACAAAGATGTGGTTAAACTTTTTTCCAAAGTTTGTCCGGTGAATAAAAATACCACCATTCGATGCTGAATTAAATTCTGAATCGAATGGACTAGGTTTTATGAACCGGACAAACTTTGGAAAAAGTTTTTAGCTTACACACAGTTTCTTCGTGCTAGCTCCTTCGTGCTAGCTTCACACTGATATTAGAGCAACTCGTTTATCATTTAAAGAAAATATTAAAGAATTTTTAGGTTTGATTATTTCTATAATATTATCTTTCATACTTGCTATTTTAATATTTGTATTGAAATATTTTAAAGCTCGAATTCAGAAACAATTAAACAGACTTCAAATTAATATCAATCAGTTAGATACGGAATGCATCGATAGACTTTTGGTAACATAAACATTGGCTTGACTGTTACTAGTAATACGTATAATAGAAATATTATTTCAACTTACTTCATCTTATTCAATGATTAAAGTCATATGCATATGCATACACACAATCTTTTTATATAGCCTTTTGTCTTCATTTCGAAATCTGATTTTTTACGTTCATTTATTGAATCAAATCGAGTAATAAAGTTATATATATATATAGACAACTAAATGATGATATTGATTACAATATAAATCAAATATTCTACAACGATCACTAACTAATTTCTTTTATTATTTCATAACTATCATTTCAATCATCTCGTTCGCTATCTCGTTAGTTGTAACTAAAAGAATCGCTTACAAAATGTCATATGATATTTAATAAGAGATCTTACCTTCATTTGTCTTATTCTGTTGATGATAATTATTGAATTTTGGTTGCCACCAGGAGCTCTAAATGCAATATCTATATTAAAGAATGTATTCTAAAAATAGAACTCTTACTTTACATTCCCAATGATTTCGGATGCATTTAAATAGACAGTAGCAGCCACTACCAGATAGCAGACTACCGAAAAACGACATAAGAATATAAAGAAGATTAAACTAGTTGAAGTTTGTATTGGTATAGTTGAACGATTCTGAGCCCAATGGCATCTTTGGATATGAAAGAATTTTCTCAAGATTTGATTTTGGTGAAGTAGGTTTTTTGAAAGAAGATATGAAATCATCATAAGATTTGTAGCCTCTCACCTATATGATACAAAAGAATCAGCAATAGTTTCATTAAAATATTATATACGTTTGTCGATCGAATAAATTCAATCATCAGAATGATGATGAAAAGACTGAGTTTAGAAACCATTATGTATTTACTTTAATTAATCTTGTAAGGTTCGAAGAATAAGTAGATGAGTGAGAATATTCATAATAAAATACAATAAATAAATAAATAAATATATAGTCTCATTACTTGATCGTTATTATCTAATTGATAATTCGACAGCCACATTAAAAACAGATGATAGCAAATTACTATTGTTCTTTTAACTTAATATGTAATTGAATTAGGCACATAGTTCTATGATGTGCTTTCTTTTCTAGGTGTTTACGTCAAATACAAAATGAACTTAAATTTAGCACATGACCGAACGTTCTCTGTTAGTTACCTATACGGTGGACGAATCGATTAACATCACGTCTTATAGACTAGCAAAAATATATACATGAACAGACAGTATATAACGAGTGACGAGAATTATCAATTCTTGGCAATATTTTTCAGACTTCTCTTCTTATTAAACTTTCCGTACATCGTTATATAGGTCTTTACATTATATTAATTGTAAATGATAACTTGACATATTCTCTTTCATCATTGCATCTATATTTTACAAAAATATGATGGAAAATGAATATAGTTCATAAACTAATCAATATCTTTTAATTTATCCGTCAGATATAGACTATGTCTTTCGTCATCAAAATCTTGTGCTAGCTTTTTGTTACTATGGTCGCCATGTGCAAAATCTTGTACTCTTTGATGGATTTTTCATGAAATGAATTCTATCATTGGTTGATTTTTTACCAAGAGAAATTTTCTTTTTTTTGTGATAGATCATCATTTTGAGCTAGCTTCACATCGATCATTACTTTTGGATAACCCTAAGTAGATAGATTTTTATGTAAAGCCTTGTAATCGTTTTTTTCTTCTGAGCTTCGTATACTAGTTAGATAATAAATGCTTGGTACATTGTTATACTTACTTTATTATTCAAAGGTAGAAGAGAAAAGAATACTTCGAAACGACAGTGCGCTGTAGTATGTGGTTGGTGTGTATGACATGTGCAGAATAAAAGCGAGACTTTTTTCCTTCGACTATTCTGCTTAGTCATCATGAGTGTAGACATATCTACTATCGTATATAAGACAGAAGAACGATTTATCGCAGTCATTTATTTTTAGTGAAAACATGGCCCCTATTCGAAATGCTGCAGTTATTTTCGCTGAAGTACCGACAGGATATCCGGAAGCTGGTAAACATTTGAAGTATGTTCAAGATCGAACCATCGATCTCGACACTGTGGATGTGCAAGACGGTATTGTGACAAAAAATCTTGTGGTTTCTATTGATCCTTATATGCGTGGACGAATGCGAGATGCCGATAAAAAAAGTTATTCATTTGAATTCACGCTCAATGAACCATTGCAGAACTTTTTCGTGGGCAAAATTGTTAAATCCGGCAATACAAACTTTCCTGTAGGCCAATATGTGTACGGAATGGGTGTCTACGAAGAATATACTGTTCATCCAAAAGCTTCAACTGATCACCTTCGGCTTTTGAGCGAAGCACAACTCAAAGCGGGCTTACAACTTACAACATGGGTAGGAGCAGCTGGAATGCCAGGTCAAACAGCGTATCATGGTTTTTATGATATCGGAGAACCAAAGAAAGGTGACACGATTTTCATTACTGGAGCATCAGGTGCGGTTGGTCAAATCGTTGGACAACTTGGTAAATAAGATTTTGATTGTTTTGTGTAAGAAATACAAAACTGCTTTTTTTCTCTTCATTGCAGCTAAACGTGAAGGTTTAACAGTAATCGGATCAGCAGGCTCTGATGACAAAGTTAAGTGGCTCAAAGAAGAATTGAACTTCGATCATGCATTCAACTATAAAACGGCCGATGTCAAAGCTGAACTTGCCAAATTTAAGCCATTGAATATCTATTTTGATAACGTTGGCGGTGATCAATTGGAAGCTGCACTTGATGCTGCTGATAATCACGCTCGATTTATTGAATGTGGAATGATTTCTCAGTACAATGAACGCGATGCTCATGGTATTCGAAATCTATTTTTGGTCGTTGCTAAACGCATAAAACTTCAAGGTTTTATCGTTTTCGATAAATTTAGCGATCCCGAATTTTTCAAAGGATTCTACTCGAAAATCCCCAAATGGATTGTTAGTGGCGAACTTAAGATTAAAGAAGATGTTACCAAAGGTTTAGAAAAAGCACCCGAAGCGATCATTGGTATATTCCGTGGTAATAATTTCGGCAAAGCTGTCATTCAAATAGCTGAAGATAATTGATTTGAAAACGTGTTGTGTATGCGTGTTTTTTTAATATTGTACTCATAGAATAAAAGAGCAAAGAAACAAATGTGAAAATAGTTGATGATCAAGGGATATCTATTTCTTGATAATGTATCCAGCACTTAATTAATGGATACGTAAAACGATGATTACCTGTCATGATTGTAAATGCCTGGAAGCAAACGCCAAATATTTTCTTGTTTTGTAAGCGATTATTGACAGAAACATAAGTGACATATGTTTCATTGTGCAAATGAAAATTTGAATCAGTATAGAAAAATAGAGCTTCATTTTCTCTATCGTTCTATAAAAAAAGAAAGTTTTTCTGATCGTCTTATAAGAAAATCACATATCTCCGACATTACTTTTGGATCATTCCCCCTTTTGCGCTCGCGAAGATTAGACACACATTCCTTTCTTTTTTCTCGCTTATTATCAGTATTATACCGCCTCTTTTTTGCAACAAATAACTTAATTAAATTGCAAACTAAATACAAGCTCAATCACTTGCGAGTTCCAATGAGCAAGGGTTACCAAACCCTAACAGGAAGTGACGGATCACAGATCCTTTTTGATACCCAATCGGGTAGGTACTACACGTTGATGGGACATAATTTTAACATGAATGGGTACAATTACAACAATCAAGCTATACACTATAATGATCATTAGAATGCAAAACATGACGAGCCCCAATATTATAATAATGATAATTATAAACAAAACAATCAGAATACTGCAAAAAATGGAACATTTGGGGAACAAAGACACAGCACAATAACGCAAGCTATATCACCAAAGCAGTACCATCAATATCAAAACCATCATCAACAAGCAAGTACGTGGCATCCAAATATGCATCAAATGGCTTCAATGAATAACATTCATCAAATGGCCTTAGTAGATAAAGAACAAGGAGCTGGTGACTCAGTTGTGCAAGTCAGTACACCACCACTAAATCAAGAACAAGAACAAATTGATGATACACATCACACTCTAACACACCAAGTGGAAACGACAACAACCAATAAACGTATATTTAATGATAGTAATGAATTCATTACAGTGGAATCAAAAAAAGCAAAAAAGAAAGCATGGGTACCAGTAGAGCAGCATCAGACAACGACATCATCTACGGATTATCAACATCCAAATAAATACAATGTACCAATTGAACAATTACAAAGAGCAGTGGTCCACAATCTACCTTGTTTCACAATTAAATTTACTCAAACGGATAATCTACCAGCTGCAATGACTGTTGCGGAAGAATTATACGATTACTTTAAGAAAAACCAGATTCAACTGGTAGAAGAATTCTCGGTAGTACGGTACAACGGGATATTTCTAAGAATTGTGGTAAAGAACAAAAAAGATTACTGCCTGCTCTGCAGCGCAAAAAACTGGCCTACCAGAGTATTAGGCATTAATATTACGTTAATCATTCCAAAATTTGTTCCTGAGCAATTCTCGCTAGTGGTAAGATTTGTCGCGAAAGAATTCTCAGTTGATCAAGTAACAAAAGAAGTTAAAAGATCGGCAAGTACAGCTACTAATTTCCGACAAATAGTGTACCCATATCCAAGGGGAACAAACGATTTCAGATTTTCGGTAACAGATCTTAAAAAATACAACGGTCTCCTACGACTAGGCCATATTGGTATAGGTAACACTTTACGGAAAATAACACCTTATAGACCATCAAATAAACTTACATACTGTACAAAATGTTGGCAACTCAATCACACAAGAAATAAGTGTCAAGAACAAGGACAAAAATGTAGGATCTGTTTGGAGGACTACAATCAACAACATAACGAGATTTGCTCTAAGCAATATAGATGTGCTCAATGCCATAACGACCACTACTCCTTGGATAGTGATTGTCCCGAAATTCAGCAGCATCGTCGTGAGTTAAACAACGCAGTGAAAGGAGCAATTAAAGATGGTGTAATTAAAAGGGAACTAGCGCTGCAAATACGAAACTCATCTACTCAGTATTCAGGCTCGAAAAACAATAACTACAACAACGACTTTCCTCCACTTCCATCTACAACAACATCTGTTCCAAATGTTAGCCACTCACCATGGACACATAATAAACCAGCAGCTAACTCTGTCAAACAAAATGATATAACAAATGAGCAACTTTTTGAAAAAATATGCTCGCGTTTCGATAGTAATATGGAGCAAACAAATTCACGCCTGACCATAATAGAAAAAAAGATAAAAAGTAACGAAGAAACGATAATATCCATACACAAGCGCTTAAATAATATGGTTGAAATTCTTCAACTATAACGGTGGAAGGAATAGCTCACATAACAAATACATCACCACCAACGTCATCGAGTAACCCAAAGGTAAATGTAGCAGAGCTGGTTGGGAAAGCAATGGCTATTTTAAATGAAGAAAGAAGAACTCAGAATAATGATCAGCTTATGAATCAACAACACACTCACAATCACGGCGATGAAGATATCATGGTAGTCGAGAACCAAATAGTAAGAACTCACTATGAGCAAGACAACATCTAACCCTAATCTATACGGTATGCTTAATCCTAATGCACCTGCTTTTGCTTGTAATCAAAAGAAAAATACTCTCGAGAAAGTACAAGAGAGAATGAACCAATGTAGAATAGAATTAAAAGATCAGAAAATTATAATGCCCGTAGTAACAGAATGGTTTTCTTCGTCTACCTTAGATGCGGTACTAAATAAATGGTACACATATAGCACTCCGGATACGAATAATATAGAGAAACAAGTACTTCCGCTCACCTTTGTATTGTATAACGTCGAAGGCTTTAACTCTCGTAGGCTAGAAGTAATTGAACTGATACATCAGACTAATTCGTCGTTTATCATAGCTACCGAAGTAGGAGAAGCATGGTATAACCAACAGGTTCCGGATTTTAACATTTTCTACGAAAAAGGCACCAATAAAAGTGGAGGAGTATTCATAGCAGTAGGGAAACATCTACGAGCAGTAAAAATAGAAACAGGTATGAAGAACACGGTGGTAGTGGATATTCTTGGGCTAAATGAACCAATTAGAGTAATAGGTATATATTGGCCTACCAGTAGTAAGAGAGATTTGGAGGAAATTCTATGCTTTATCAACAAAGATACGATTATAGCAGGTGATTTCAACGCAGCAGTCTTAGAGTGGAACAGTCCTGAAACAGATAAGAGAGACGCCTTGGTAAAAAAATGGTCCAAGGAAAATAATTTACAATATATTCAAGGTACACTACATTCCTCTAACAATGGAGGTGTGTGTAATGTTGAGCGAAAAGACTAGATATTTTTACATCAAAAGAAAGCTCTCATCGCCAATATAACAAGGTTAAAATATTAGCTGCCCTTGGTGACTCTAGAGGGAGATATTCAATTTTTACCATATTCACGATTCATGTATACATGAACACTAGGATCATTTATATCAATTTTCTATGCAATTAATTAAGTATTTCACCATTAGAATTTTCAGATCTCATTGAATTTTATTAATATAACAGTGAGATCATATTAGTTTTGATGTTTTTTCGAGCTTAAGTAGTACTGAAATGAAGAAAAAGACATATGATTGTGTGAAAAGTGACTTATGCGTATGATATGCGAACTTGAAGTGCATTGATGCATCACTTGGCGGTCTATTGACCATTTGTTTACAACTGGTGTTAAGAAATCACCAAGAAATGTAATACTGAAAAGTTATTCTATTTTGTTTTCTGTTGGATCTATTGAATTGAATAGTTTATTTGTTCAGATTAAAAAATGAATTTATTAAACATCGCTAAACAACTTCTTTATTTGGCTGAAACTGAATACACATCTGAAAATTCTAATGGTGAAATACTTAATTAATTGCATAGAAAATTGATATAAATGATCCTAGTGTTCATGTATACATGAATCGTGAATATGGTAAAAATTGAATATCTCCCTCTAGAGTCACCAAGGGCAGCTAATATTTTAACCTTGTTATATTGGCGATGAGAGCTTTCTTTTGATGTAAAAATATCTAGTCTTTTCGCTCAACAATACACACACCTCCATTGTAAGATCCCTACGTAACATAGACCTAACCTTTACTAATTTAAAGGAATTGCAGGTGAAACACTCGACTATGGAACGAGTGATCACCGACCAGTAGTTTACAAATCCGATTTTATTCTCTTTGATCACACAAGTAAATTCCCAGCAGTAAATTGAAAACTATACGAATTAATTCTTTGTCTCTTACAAGACTATTGGATTGAACAAATCAAACTAGGATCATCGCTTATTTGGTATAGAAACTACACGAAATTCTTAGCTGCGCTCAGGAATCGTCTAACAATCTGGCATGATAGAGAAAAATGGAAATCATCCCTGCCAGAGGAAATTTCAAAAACGTTAAAAGAAAATAAAACTATAAAAAACAGATTTAATAGATATGGAAAAGAAGTAGATAGAATTATTTTAAGACATAATAGTAGACTAATAAAACAAAAAATCAATGAATACAAATCGAATCGTTGGAATAATTTTCTCTCCTCTATACAAAAAAAAAACAAGTCAAAGCTAGTAACACCTTCTGGAAACATCTTTCAAAAATTTATAGACCTTCGGCACTTCCCTTTTATAAACTTGCCGTTAACAACACGCACATCACAGCTCAGAAAGAAATCGTAGAAGAACTAGGTAAATATTATAAAGATTTACTAAAACAAATACCTTTGGAACAAGCTAGTGAACATGATAAGATAGTAGCAACCGAATATATAAAAATTTTAAAAGAAATTGAAACCACACATAAAAATATCAGACCAACAACAGCATTAGAAATCAAAAGGATTATTAAAGACCTGAAACCGAAAAAGTCGGCAGGTCTAGATGACATTTCAAACTTTATGATTAAGAGACTTCCACCAGCGTATATAGAATGTTTATGTACATGCTTTAATGAGTGGCTGGGTACATTTCAATACTCAGAGGAATGGAAAATAGCATGTATCATAACATTAAACAAATTAAAAGCAGGAATCCCCAGTAGCGATCAAACCCGTCCAATATCTCTACTCTCGATGGTATGGCACATGGGACTAATCGTAAAACTTTATAGAGCACGAATGCCAGTAGAACTGTTAAAAATTGTTATTAACTGGTTAGAAGCAAGAAAAGCATACATCAGTTTTGGGAACGAAAAGTCAGACGTCTTCTCTACGTACATAAGTCTACCACAAGGAAGTTCTCTAAGTCCCTACATTTTCATAATTTTTCATGCTGATATTGTAAACTGTGTGGGAGCGTTCTCCACACACATATTTGCAGATGATCTTAGCACACTAATTGCTCCTCCTATCCAAAAAAGGTACCAAGATATGATCAGTTTCATTAACTCAGCAGGGTCTCAAGTCTGTCAGAATCTCTTTGACTATTCAATTAAATGGAAACAACCAATAAATATCTCCAAGACAGTAGTACAAACATTCCACTCACAAGTCAAACCACCAGTAGTAGAAATCAAGATGAATAGTAGAAAACTAGAAGATGTTAAAACCTTCAAATATCTAGGTTTCAAATGGTCTAATAAGTTATCACTAAAACCAACGGTTGATGCATGTCTTGAGAACGTACAAAGATCTTTCGGGAAACTAAAATGGCTTAGTAAGAATAAGCAGATATCCACAAAAATATTGAGAATATGTTTCTTCGCATACTCATTCCCATTCCTAGCATGGTTATTTCCATTTTTTCCACTACTACCAGGTACCCAACAGGAACTGATAAAAAGGAAATACCGAGTAGGGCTCCGTTTAATACACAGATGTACATTTGTTTCAGCTAATGACATATATAATTTCACAAAGGAGGAACCAATCGAACGATATATCAGTAAATATCTGCAAAAAATACTATCGAAAGCTCACAGTACTGATTTAGGAAGGTCCCCTTTTTTGAAGATGTGTTTCTTTGGAAACCATATATGAGAGAGGTAAATAAAGAGGGAAGAAAGCAAAAGAGTTTAGGGCTAGGACAATTTCAAAGACTATCAAGAATTAAAAATATGAAAGAAAGGCAACAATCTTACCTGGTAACCTAGATTGCATTTATTGAAAAATTCAAGGAGAAGAAAGAAAAGGAAGAAAGAAAGAGAAGAGAAATAACGGGAAATGTGAGAATAAGAGATGAATCATCAGGAAAGGGGAAAAAGGAAGAAACAGATTGTATAAAAGAATACAAGAAGAATAATAGAATAACTGAAAGTGTACGTGAGCACATGCGCATAATGAATAGTCTTATCTTACAGAGCTACTCTCACACATAGATAAAGAAATAAACAGTACAGAGAATACAACACGTTGGATTAAATAACTTAATACAAACAGGTTAGAGTATACAAACTTGATCGTTATACATAATGCTAAGCTCCTTCCAAATGAACGTGTTATTCTTAATTGTTACGGTGATAGAAGGGGATGCATTAATCTCCCTCTGGCAGCAGAACTGCAAAGTTCATGCTGACTCGAGTCATGCTGAACTGAAGAAAGTGATCCAAGAGCAAGAAAAGTTCAACAGTAACAATTGGTCTCATTGTGAATTAGTAGCTATGTTAGTGTCAATGGGGTTAGTACTGGTAGTGGGTGTTATATATATTTATTGTCAGCTGATGCCGATCTTACGCATTGCTCGTACAATTAGGAGAGCGAATCAACCTATAGCTCAGAATGGTATTCCACATAATAATAGTAACAGTAATCCACCATACACAGCTCAACATGTTTCGAGTCATTGAAATGGAGGGCAGAATGAGTATCCCAATAAGAACAATATGTTTAACAATAATATCTTACACGTATAGGCAGAGCAATCGCGGTCAAAATAGTACAATTATTTAAACATTTGCAACAATAAACACTCCCAAGGTAATGTTTCCGGAATCCGAACGATCCTATGTCTTTTCCCGCATCTTCCTACAGGTTCCATGCGGGCTTGCAAAGTATCCCGCAGGAAAAACACACGGAAAGTGGAAGCAGTATTCCTGCAGGAATTCCACGGAAATGGAACCTTTGAAATCCCGAAATTTCCGCCATAGGGAAAATACACCAGATCCGCCAGGAAGTTAAAGGCAATATGATAAGATCCTTCAGGAAACGGCTGGAAATGTCACCGTGAACGAACGGAATCTATCCATTTTCCAAAATGAAATACATCCTAATCTCTAAATTTATTTAACTACTACTCGAAATCGAGCGAAAAGCATCCTATGATGATTTTTTACAGATTTCAGTAATTATTAGGAAAAATCCTAAAAGTACCGTGGCTATACTCGTCGTTGACGAGTGGAAATGTGATTTAAATCGCCTCTCCATCACTCCCAGGATTTCGGATGATTTCGAGAAACGTGCAGGAAATAGGACGAAAAGCACCCGTATTTATACCATGGACTTCTGCAAAACAAAACGGTGAGTATGTCGTCGACAGATAGAAATGCGATTTAAATGTCTTTAGGATCATCTACGTGAAAAGTACTGGAACAATCAGATTGGCCGGCAAAAATGTGATGGTATATCGGATTAAAGTACTTGATCTAAACAGCTTGGAAATCGATTAAGGTAAAAATAATCAACTGAAATCGGCTGAATCCTGTTGTAATATCTACTTGAACTGATTATTTTTAATGGAAGACAGGTACTGTTGAAAATTAAACAATGTCTTGAGGAGAATTAATTTTTTATCAGCTTTTTAACAGCATTTAATCGATTAAAAAGTTGATCGAATCATGTCATCTAAGTTGATTTTTCATTAGCTTTGTCGTGTGAAATCTGATTTTCACGCCTATTTTACGTTGGCGGGTGGATGGCAATTGGAAGAATGATTGAAAAGATATACGTCAGTGTAATGACAAACTGGTTGAGTAGCTGACCGCTTCTTACGGTATAGATGTTTATTGACTACTCTACATGACCAGAATGTATCTCTTTTACAATAAGACACGCGCTTATATAGAGAAGAGGAAAGAGAGATATGACCCGGAGATGGTATGATATAGAGGTGAGAGAATAAAGAACAGAAAGAGATGAACGATATCATTATCGTTACAGTCAGTAAGTTGTGACATTGCGACTTGGTACTCATTGTAGATAGATAGTACCGGTATGCAGGATGGTATTGGATCTAATAACGTAATCTTTGCACAATAGTTGCGGTTAAGTTAAACTTAATATTGCACTTATGCACCCCACGCATCTACTCCACCAAACATCTCATGGCAACTCGGAATTAATAAAAAAAAACATCGATAATAAACACGATACATCACCTATAGCGCTATGATAGTTATTTATTAGATTACTACTTTATTCTACGTTACCAACGTAGATGGGTATTTGTGCAGGCGATTTAAAATACATGTATACATATAAGATTTTGAAAGGGTGTACTAACCGTTAATACGATACTGTATTTTTACAACTGAGAAGTGGGTTTGAAATATTTTTCAACACTATTTTTAAAAAATTCGCATAATTTCCGTTGGGAATCATTGAATCTTAAGTAAAGAATCACTTACAAAGTAAAAAATTCAGAACAGTTGCATCAGTCTGCTGAGTAATTAGATGCAAACAAATATTTTCATCTCAATCAATGGTAGGCTTCTATCACCTCTCTATTGATTACGTATCATAAAGTTGTAAAATTTCTGTGCATTTAAATACTGATTAGTGGAAAAATCGTATTAAACGATTTAGAATCTGAAAATACGGGAAAGTAGTGGTTCATATACTCGTAACCGTAACGGATCCCACGACCGTATCCGAAAATATGATCCGTGTCAAGGAATCAATTGGAAGAGTATTGGAAGCGGATGGCCGGATACGAAGTCAGATTCCCATTGCAGGAAATCATTGGAAAGTCATTGATCCCGCCGGTTCTTGTCGTACAGCTTTGACATGGGCTTGCAAGGCAAGCGCATGGCTAGAAAGCATTTTTTCTCTTTCTCTTTTCTTTTTCTTTTTCTTGTTTGCCGTTTTTCATCTTCCTTCTCCTTCAATTTATCCGTTAAAACAAAACGAGCGAAATATGTAATCCACAAATATCCTGTAAAATTTTCTTTTTGCTTAATTCGCACTTGTAACTCTTGCTAAAGTTGTAGCTTGGGTAGCTTAATACGCAATGATATTAACTGTAAGTGCTTCCGAGCAGAACAGTCCCCCCTACCCAGCATAAATAAAAAAAATTACTTTTGGATAACCCTAAGTAGATAGATTTTTATGTAAAGCCTTGTAATCGTTTTTTTCTTCTGAGCTTCGTATACTAGTTAGATAATAAATGCTTCGTACATTCTTATACTTACTTTATTATTCAAAGGTAGAAGAGAAAAGAATACTTCGAAACGACAGTGCGTTGTAGTATATGGTTGGTGTGTATGACATGTGCAGAATAAAAGCGAGATTTTTTTTCCTTCGACTATTTTGCTTAGTCATCATGAGTGTAGACATATCTACTATCGTATATAAGACAGAAGAACGACTTGTCGCAGTCATTTATTTTTAGTGAAAACATGGCCCCTATTCGAAATGCTGCAGTTATTTTCGCTGAAGCGCCGACAGGATATCCGGAAGCTGGTAAACATCTGAAGTATGTTCAAGATCGAACCATCGATCTCGACACTGTGGATGTGCAAGACGGTATTGTGACAAAAAATCTTGTGGTTTCTATTGATCCATATATGCGTGGACGAATGCGAGATGCCAATCAAAAAAGCTATACGCCTGCATTCACGCTCAATGAACCATTGCAGAACTTTTTCGTGGGCAAAATTGTTAAATCCGGCAATACAAACTTTCCTGTGGGCCAATATGTGTACGGAATGGGTATCTACGAAGAATATACTGTTCATCCAAAAGCTTCAACTGATCACCTTCGGCTTTTGAGCGAAGCACAACTCAAAGCTGGCTTACAACTTACAACATGGGTAGGAGCAGCTGGAATGCCAGGTCAAACAGCGTATCATGGTTTTTATGATATCGGAGAACCAAAGAAAGGTGACACGATTTTCATTACTGGAGCATCAGGTGCGGTTGGTCAAATCGTTGGACAACTTGGTAAATAAGATTTTGATTGTTTTGTGTAAGAAATACAAAACTGCTTTTTTTCTCTTCATTGCAGCTAAACNAAACAGAACAGGTTTCCAATGAATTAATTGGATGAGATGGAATATTTAAATGTGCAGCTATTCGATTTACAGGAAGAAAAAGAAATTGAACTGGTAAAATCCAACTTGCATAATAAATTAAGCTCGTTTTGTTATAAGCATCCACTATCACCTTATACTTTTTTGTTATACTTTTTGGTCGCGATTGATAGAGTAAATAAGTGAAAAATTTCTTGTCACATTCATATGTTGATAAGTATGTTAATTGTTCATATGCGTGAATGACATTATCTTGATCAATAAGGCTAATAACAATGCCAAATACTCCATAACAAACTGGCGCGCATTTTCGACTAAATTGAAGTGTCAAACTAACGCGTTGACTTTGATATTGACATCGATTTCCATAATAACTCGGAGGACAAAGACAACGAATTTTCAATGAAATTCCAATATAAATCAAAATACCGCGATGACATGTTTCAGTTCGTTTAATTGTAAACTTTTTGTTTAATATCATCGTTTCTTGATCTACAATCAATTGAATCGAATCGTTTTTCGTTACCATCAATGATGAAAGATTTGTTCTGAGACGATCAAGCATAAAATATTTAAATAGAGGAAATTTAAGTTTCTTATCTTCATTTAGACGTTCCAAAACATATTTCATATCTGATGAACAGTCTATTTTCCCTTCCATGAAACATATACGTTCCAAACAAACATGAATATTGTAAACACATAAAGTATCATTCCAACATTTAAATCTCGCTTGAGAACGCTCTGGGTTTTGCAATCGACAATATTCTCTCTCATCTGTAGATCCAAGACAATCTACAATTCCATTTCCGGCTCGATGATATGGTAAACATATGAGCTTCTTTGTTATAGGAGAAATACATTCATGAGTATCGAGAGGACATGTGGATGGGAAACAATTAAGTTCATCAATACCATTTGGACAATTCCAAGCTCCATCACATCGAGTATATAAATTATTGCATGGCCAATCATCACAATGTGTTTCATCTGTTTCAATAAATCCATCGAGCATCCTAGGCTGTAGGTGAACATATCCATTACACAAATTTTGAAATGTTATTTCTTGAGAAATACTCATAGTTTCATCGTCACCATTACGACAATCTTTTACACCATTTTGACGTAAAATGAATGAAATACATTTTTGTTCTTTTGGGCATTTAAAACGATGTTTATGATTCCATTGACAAGCGTCAACATCTTTTTCGTCAGCACCTTTATAACAATCTGGAACACCATCGAAGACTCGATGCGTTGAAATATACTTTGTCGTACCTGGACATTGAAAGAGTGTTGATCGATTATAATTAATTTCATGTTCGTTTTCAATTACAATGAGACAAGATTGGAAAAGATTGATAATATCAGTAAATGTATAAAGATTTAATTCTTGCATAGATTGACAAGTTGTACCATTTATATTCAATATTGAATTAGATGGAAGAAAAGGACATTTTCTCACATCATAACAAACATAGTCGGGAAATATGTTTATCTCTCCATAATCAAAAAATAATGTTTGGTTTGTTAAGTATAGTAAGGACACATGGCCATGAAGAATAGGTCGCTGCGGAAAAATAACAAATTCTGTGTGACATTCATCTACCATGCTAATATTACAACTTTCATCTCCATCATTAGCACATAGTGTGTTACATTTGGGCGTAAGATGGTAGTTCAAAGCGATTTCAATATATAGGCCATTCGGTGTGCCGCATAGTAGCAAAAGCCAGCAGCTGTATGGTAGTTCAGAATGTTTAATGTATGAAAATAACGAGCTTTTAATAATAATATTTCGTCCATTATCACAATACCGGCTAGCTTCAAGAATAGAATCATCGCTGACGTCTCCGTCACCACAAAAAAAATGTTGAGGATTCTTTCTATAGGTGCTTTCTTCACACCAAAATCCTGGGTTCCTGGAACACTTTGCGTGACGCTGCGCATGTAAAATAATCTCATCCGTACTATCAAGGCAATCTGAATAATAGTGACCTTCGCCTAAGAATTCTTCTGGTATGCACATTCCATTGTGGCACCGATATTCGTTTTCTTTACATTCATTTATTTCGAGTTCGAAACAGTTCATTTCATCTGCATCATTCCCTAAACAATCGACTTTTCTATCACAAATTTCTCGCCAATCAAGACAAGCAGGTGCTGGTCCTCGATCACAATCTAAATGTAAATAACATGTAGTATCCGATTTATTCGTAAAACGTTTGTCGGTAAACGTTTTGTTAACAATTATGTTCAGTGGTAGACTTATATTAAATGTGTATTGACAAAATCTTCCAAACCATAGGACAGAACAATTGTAAAACTTCTGAAATCCCAACGAAACGTTTGATGGTCCATCAAGATATTTATCGTACAATTCAACAAGATCAATTAATGCTGACCATGAAAGTAAATCAAACGTAGTAACTTGATGCCTTCTTAATTCTTCAAATGTGAATGTAGTCAATACTTCTCCCTTTGTTTCTTCGTTATATACTTTTTCCGTTTCTGAAAATGGACGAACACAATATGGAATGATTTGATACCATGTTTTTAAATCATTTTCTCTCTCAAAAGATCGAATTGTATGATCAACTACTCTGTAATATAAACAATCATAGTATAAACCATTATTAATTGTTTGATCCATGTAATACAAATACAATTGGCCGTGAACATCTTGGCAACTTAATAGTAGAATTCCGACAATATAGATTGACCATGTCATATTGATAGTAAGAATAAGTGCATGTAATTACAAGTCAAATAAAATCTATTAAATAATACAAGATTATGAGATAAGACAATAAAGTCTTGCCATAAGAAATATCTACAGGTATGACGAGGAATTAAGAAATCTAACAAAACAGTCCTTTTTACAATACACAAAGATAGATATTATGTTCATCTTTAAATTTAGTATTTGTATGAATAAATATTTTCATATACACCTGTTTCAATGATGTATTGCGGTGCTAGACGTAAAATAGATTTTCCAGTTACTTGATAGTATAGAATATATTAGCAAATCCAGAAGATACTAGGAAGAATAAGATGTTTACAATGCTATGGCCCCTTATCAGAAATGATTAATATAATTCGAATATGAATAACAAAAATCTATCGACAAAATCAAAATCGAATGGACAAATAAGAAAAATGACTTCAAACTATTAGATAAATGTTTTGTTGATCTTGAAACTGGTATAGTGTTAACCTTGTAAGGTTCAAATTATTCTTATCAGAAGATTTTCACGGAATTACTGATTGTATTCCGAAAAAGAAAAGAGTGAAAAGAAAGGAAGAGCAGTGCAGATGAAGCCAATGCAACAAATCTCTTTAGTAATTATTTGTATCTACGAGATGTCGTATAGTACCATGATATTGTTTTATAAAAATATATAACATACATGAAGTATTTTTTATGCTATGTGACCGTAGGAGCTATAGATATAGAAGAACACGAGTATGAAGTATTTTCTTCAAAATTCTTTTAGCTTTCATTATTTTTTTTCCCAATGAAATATTGCTAATATTGAGAAAGGTGATATGAACGTTTAGATTAGTTTCTATACCAAGCAATGTTATGTCGCTCACAATTAATAGATATCGCTATATCATATAGGAGATATGAAGAGTATAACTTAAAAGAATCACATTGAACAGTTTTTTTTAGCTATACGCTTATGTTTAAAAAATCTTTGAATTTCTTATTGAATTCTATAATTGAACGTATGAGTATATTTCTACCTTATTCATCTCCTGTAATACGTTGCATATCTGAAAAGAAGAATTTATCTGTCAACTATTGTGTGATTGTGTACTTTCGAAATGTTATACTATACACTAATGGAAGGTGACAGTGTAGATAGTTAGGAATACTGACTTGCGCTCTCACCCCTACTTACATGAATGCATCAATAATTATTCACCCAACGAACTGAACAGATGATATGATTATTCTTTTTTTTGTAGATTATTTTATTTTATCTTTCTGAGTATAATAATTTTGTTCTGCGTTTTTACTTCCGTTTTCTGATAAAAGTTAATGTTCAGTATCAGTGAGTTTTGCTGAAAGACGGAAACGGTATGATTTAACTAGTTTAACTGCCTTCACATGATCTTATAGTTACCTTTGAAAATGAATAAAAATGTAACGTTAGCTGTTTCTCATTTTATGTGAATTAGTGTCGTTCTGCTATGTATATTGAAACTGTAGAGAAGAGATCTGTCAAATCTGAATTCATGTGAGGAGTATGCGATTTATTGATGTCTCCAACTATTTTTAGACATTTTGATAACGAGGAATTATAGTAAAATAAAAAAGTTCGGGAGTTGCTGGTGACGACCTGAATTTTATGAAAAATAGTAATGCAAAAATTCAAGACTAATAGATGTTCTGAGAAAACTTTTAACAGCGTTCAAAAATATCTTTATATTTTCACAAGAATAAATCAAATGAAAACTATAAGAAGAAAAAAGAAATTTTTTCTGATCGTCTTATAAGACAATCAGATAGTTTCGACATTACTTTTGGATAACCCTAAATAGATAGATTTTTATGTAAAGCCTTGTTATCGTTTTTTTCTTCTGAGCTTCGTACATTCTTATATTTGCTTTATTATTCAAAGGTAGAAGAGAAAAGAATACTTCGAAATGAAAGTGCGTTGTAGTATGTGGTTGGTGTGTATGACATGTGCAGAATAGAAGCGAGATTTTTTTTTCCTTCGACTATTCTGCTTAGTCATCATGAGCGTAGACATATTTGCTATCGTATATAAGACAGAAGAACGACTTATCGCAGTCATTTATTTTTAGTGAAAACATGGCCCCTATTCGAAATGCTGCAGTTATTTTCGCTGAAGTGCCGACAGGATATCCGGAAGCTGGTAAACATCTGAAGTATGTTCAAGATCGAACCATCGATCTCGATACTGTGGATGTGCAAGACGGTATTGTGACAAAAAATCTTGTGGTTTCTATTGATCCATATATGCGTGGTCGAATGCGAGATGCCAGCCAAAATAGTTATACACCGGCATTCACGCTCAATGAACCATTACAGAACTTTTTCGTGGGTAAAATTGTGAAATCCGGCAATACAAACTTTCCTGTAGGCCAATATGTGTACGGAATGGGTATCTACGAAGAATATACTGTTCATCCAAAAGCTTCAACTGATCACCTTCGACTTTTGAGCGAAGCACAACTCAAAGCTGGCTTACAACTTACAACATGGGTGGGAGCAGCTGGAATGCCAGGTCAAACAGCGTACCATGGTTTTTATGATATCGGAGAACCAAAGAAAGGTGACACGATTTTCATTACTGGAGCATCAGGTGCTGTTGGCCAAATCGTTGGACAACTTGGTAAATAAGATTTTGATTGTTTTGTGTAAGAAATACAAAACTGCTTTCTTTCTCTTCGTTGCAGCTAAACGTGAAGGTTTAACAGTAATCGGATCAGCAGGCTCTGATGACAAAGTTAAGTGGCTCAAAGAAGAATTGAACTTCGATCATGCATTCAACTATAAAACGGCCGATGTCAAAGCTGAACTTGCCAAATTTAAGCCATTGAATATCTATTTTGATAATGTTGGTGGTGATCAATTGGAAGCCGCACTTGATGCTGCTGACAATCACGCTCGATTCATTGAATGTGGAATGATTTCTCAGTACAATGAACGCGATGCTCATGGTATTCGAAATCTATTTTTGGTCGTTGCTAAACGCATAAAACTTCAAGGTTTTATCGTTTCCGATAAATTTAGTGATCCCGAATTTTTCAAAGGATTCTACTCGAAAATCCCCAAATGGATTGTTAGTGGCGAACTCAAGATTAAAGAAGATGTTACCAAAGGTTTAGAAAAAGCACCCGAAGCGATCATTGGTATCTTCCGTGGCAATAATTTCGGCAAAGCTGTCATTCAAATAGCTGAAGATAATTGATTTGAAAACGTGTTATGTATGCGTGTTTTTTACAACTATTGTACTCATAGAATAAAAGAGCAAAGAAACAAATGTGAACTAGCTGATGATCAAGGGATATATGTTTCTTGATAATGTATCCAGCACTTAATTAATGGATACGTAAAACGATGATTATCTGTCATGATTGTAAATGCCTGGAAGCAAACGCCAAATATTTTCTTGTTTTGTAAGCGATTATTGACAGAAACATAAGTGACATATGTTTCATTATGGAAATGAAAATTCTCTCATTAGATCTAATCGATCATACACTGACGCATATTAGCCTCGACCTTTTCCTGCGCAAGCACGTGCGCATCGATGCACATTAGAGAGATCAGCAGCCCTTTTCGTGTCATCCATTCTTTTACGACGATCCACTCAGCAAAAAGTGTCCTTCTCATATCATTTATCTCTTATGATACATATAGATATATATATATATATACATATATACAAACATACATCGACCAGAGACAGCTATTCTTTGAAGATTCTGAGTTCTTTCTCACGTATACATTACCGATAATGATGAATATTCTTTCGATCTTCTTCGTGATTTGTTTGATAATATTGTATGTCAACGCCGCACCTTCATTCCCATTCAATAATACTGGAACAAGTATGTACAGAGCTCGACAAGGTTGACTCTAGAAACTTATTTTAGATTTTGCTTCAGTTGCAAATGGTAAGTTAAATGATGAACCAATTTGCAAAACTGACGACGGACGACGTAAGTTGTGTTTGCTTCTTCTCATCGGGCATTTCATTTTGTACGGAGAATCTTCTAGTTGAAATTCCTATCAATGGTAAATTTCGTTCGAGTGCGAATCCATGTAGAGGTAAACGATAGATTGAGTTGATCATTCTCAATTGTTTTGCGCGATGTTTGTAGTGTGTACATGCACGGCGACGGGCCTATTATGCGAGGACATATGTGAGCCATCAACGACAACAACAACAACAACCACCGGTACGTTCTTCGGATAACTTGCATGTTTGAATATGATGATAGTTTTGCTAGAATCGACAACAACCACAACGACAGCAAGCTCGTCTACAACAACAGTGCACGATCACAGTTCACTGTTACCACCTTCTTCGACATTTCCAAATGCTACATCATCTAATAATGGTCACAATACAAGTTCGTCATCGTCGATGGGCAACCCTGATGATGATTTATCAACGACTCCCTGTGCACGAGCTGTAGCCGCACGTGAATATGCATATCTTGACTGCAGTGAAGTTTATCTAGCTGGAAAACGTACCAATGGGGTATATGAAATTTGGTGAGTGATATTCATTCTTCTTTTCCTTGAAAATATTCGTCTGTTGTCGAATAGGCCTCGAACAAGCCCGAGACCATTTCGTGTGTTATGCGATATGGAGAAAGATGGCGGTGGATGGACTGTCATTCAACGACGTGGAGAATTCAGTCAACAATCGAATTTCTTCGTTTCCTGGTCATCGTATAGACGCGGTTTCGGCGATTTAACGCGTGACTTCTGGCTTGGAAACGAAAAAATTCATGCGCTCACTTATCAAGATGAGTATCGTCTTCATATTGATCTAGAAGACTTCAATGATCAATCACGTTTTGTTGACTATGAATGGTTTTTTATCACGAACGAGCAAACGAAGTATACATTGAATCTCGGCCGTTATATGACCACATCAACAGGTAAAGATTCGTTGTCCTACAATCGTGGTATGCGTTTCACAACTCGTGATCAAGACAACGATCAATCGTCGAGTAATTGCGGAGAAAACTACAAAAGCGGCTGGTGGCATCAAGGGTGTACGTTAGCAAATCTCAATGGTTTATATCTTCGTGGAAATGATTCGAGTGCTACAGGTGTTTTTTGGAATGATTGGTTAGGACCGAAATACTCCTTGAAAACATGTGCAATGAAAGTAAGACCAGTCGATTTTAATACTGAAATGCTTTCATGAAACTGAAGACGACGTGTTCTTTTTTTTTTCTAATTTCTTTTTTGTACATTGTTTCACTTTCTTTTTCGAAATAAGACATGAATAAATAGCTCGTGACGCAAATCGATTGAAATCAGCTTTCATTTACTTTCAATAAGACTTGACAGAATACCCTGTCTTTTTTTAACCATGCACTTTGATCTAAGCCGCGACGAGGAGATTCTCAAGGTAACGTTTTTCTTTCTTCAAACTTCTTTTTTTCGTTCTGCTGTTTGGCAAACCTTGGCGGTTAGCAAAAGTGCATAAATGCGCTGTATACATTAGCAAATAAGATTGAAACCAATCTCAACCTTTCTAGCATTCCATGACGATCGATCGATCGATCGATCGGTATTGTACTACAAACAATCCGTAGTCGGTGCCTCTATTCTATTGGTTCAAATATGCAAAAGATAAGATGTATCGTGTGTGATTCATCTGATAGTTATCTGTTTGTTCTGTGTGTTTTTTTGCAGTACCCATCTCTTTAATATGCATGTTTGTTTCGTTCTGTATTATATTTGGTATATTCTGGTTATTTGAGATAAAAAAATTTGGCGTTATCTTTCACAAATCTTCGCCCGTCTACTAGAACAGTAGGAAAATGGTTTTCGAAAATATCGTCGGCTATCTACTGGACAAATACTTGGGCGATTATATTGAAAATTTAGATACAAAAAAGCTCAAAGTTGATTTATGGAGTGGTGAGTATAAACAAGTTGAGTGTCTCTATTTTCCAAATTCAAGCGAATGATTTTTAGGCAAAGTCGAACTAAATAACCTTTATCTGAAACCAAATGCACTCGTATGTCAAATGAAGTTCTACACACAAGAAATCGGTTTTTTTTTCTAGGCTGATTTAAACCTTCCTGTAACCATATCTATTGGTTACCTCGGTGTGTAATTACCAACGTGTATTTGCGGTTTTATAGCGTAACGTTTTCTTTTCGTATAGAAAGATTAGTTCTGGAAGTACCATGGAAAAGCATTTATACATCGTCAACCAAAGCAACAGTCGATGGACTTTTTCTTCTAGTCGTACCGAAAACTGGTTCGTTTGATCGAACACAGTGAAAGGAATGATGAATGACTAGTCGTTTTTTTCCTCTTTATAATAGAAGTTGAATACGATGCCAAACGCGATGAAAAGGAACAACATGAAGCAAAAATGAAAGAAGTCCATCTGGTCGAACAACTTCGAAAAGACAAAGAAGCTGAGAGTAATTAGCGCTAAAAGTTATCTACATTAGTTCCAATTGTTCGTTGTAGAAAATAGCGATGCTCCAGCGACAAACAATGATACATACATGGAACGTATTCAGTTACAAATCATACGAAATTTGGAATTATCGATTCAAAATATTCACATTGTCTATGAAGATCGCTCAACGAAACCGAGCCATCCGTTTGCTGTTGGAATAACTCTCGATTATATAAAACTACACGTACGAAATAGTTCTCATTCATTTGTAAATATTCGTGTATGATTTCATCTAGACGACGACTCCTGATTGGCAGCAAGCAATTCTCAAAGAAGATACGCCATTGATCCATAAAGTAGGAACCTTCATTGATTGTGGGATTGAGTAGCATTGTTATCTACTTAGCTCGGCCAATTAAATGCATTTTCAATCTATTGGAACACAGATGCTCAATCACGTTCAACACTATCACGCGCTGATATCATCGTAAGTTGGTATTCTCTCTTCTATTTTTGTTTTTCAAACCTTGCGATGATAGAAAAATTTACGAGAACGAATTGCAACCAACAATCGACAAGTTCCAAGTGATATGTCATATAGTAAACATAAGTCTTTGATTAGTTTCGGATTTAAGACTTCATTTGATGTAGTTCTTCGACCGTTGAATGTTACGGCAAGAGTGATATTGGCCATGAAACCACGGCAGGAAAATTTTAAAAAGCCGATGTTCGATATCAAAGTTGATTTGGATGAAATTAGTTTAAATATCAATCGTAATCAGGTAAAGTCAAGTTCCTCGAATAGATTATCCACTCAACATTTTTGTTTAGTACTTAGATGTATTGGATTTATTGGAATTTCAAGATTATCTGACCATTAAATCGAAATACATTAAATATCGTGGACGATCTATGCTGGAACAAAAATTAAGTCGGAAAAAGTAAGTCTACCGTGTTCGACCGAATGAATCATGTCATTGACCATCGATTTTTAGTTGGAAATTTGCCTATGAAGCTATTGTTAATGAGGAAGTTCGACCTCGATTCGATTGTTACAAATGGGAGAACATCAAAGCACATTTAGATCGGTGCAGAGCATATCGGAAACTTCATATTCAAGAATTGACAGGAAAACTAACAAATGAAGATAAACAACGCATTCAAGTAAATAGCATGAAGGAACATCTTCATGTTTCACGCGGTTTTATTTAGGAATTAGAGAAAAAACTAGATGTTTTCAATCTGACCTACATTCGTCGTAAGGCGGAGATCGAAGCACGAAAGAAGAAGGAACAAGAACCAAAGACTTGGTGGGGAAGTGTGTCGAACTGGTGGGGCGGAAATACACCAAAAGATGATCCAAGTCTATATTTCTGATCGATTAGTTTCTTCAATAAAGTATTCTTGTTATTTAGGCCTTAGTTTAGAAGAAGTGATGACTCCTGAAGAAAAGAAGAAACTCGATGATGCAATCGGGTATGAAGGAGAAGACAAGTCTACATCGACATACCCTGAAACAGTAAATCATTTCAATTGATTATTTACCAAAATATAACGGCTTGATGTGTTTAGTACATCGATGTTGATCTAGCTATTCGTTTGAAGATGCTCGATGTAAATGTATGGTCAAAGATAAACGACAATGATACGCAGTAAAGGAATAACCTATTAGTTTTACAGGATAACCTTTCAGACTGTTTTCAGATTCCAAATTATCACGCGAGCAACGATACCCGATACAGGTTTAGCTTTCCGACGACGACCTGCAACGAACGCTATTGCGTATGTTGTGTAAACATATCGAGAAAAGCATCTATATACTGATTATATCTAGTGTATTTGTTGATTTGGGCTCGTTTCAAGTCGTTGGCATGGCTACAGACGGGCTGCAAACCACTACGTCGAATGAAAATCGGCCGGTACTCGTTCAACCGGTTCACCGCTTGTCATCATCAAGTGAACAGAAATTGCTACAAATCGAGTTTGAAACCAATCCATTGGATAAATCAGGGGATTATCGTGTCAAAGTAGTAGCACAATCTATGGAAGCGAAGTACAACGCTGTAAGAGGTTTCCCTTCAAGAAATTTTCAAATAGCTATTTATTTTCTATCTTGTAGCCAACAATTAACAAATTGGCGGAATGCTTCGAGCAAGATACTCAACGTAATCTACAAGGGTAATTCACACGAGATGAGCAACGAGAAAGACGTTTCGTGTTATTCTAGTGTGAAACAAGTGGCATATTCGACATACACAGATGTAAAACACCGTTCGTATATTCTCATGAAACATAATGTCGAGAAAATCAAAGTTTTGGATATCGATATTGATCTTCAATCGTCATATTTTCTTCTCCCAGAAAATGGAGTTTTCCAAGAGTGAGAGATTTAGTTGTTTTTCTTATTAAGATTTGATTCATTTCTGTATCAGGGATGGAGCGTCGATTTGCATGGATCTTGGTCATTTGACATTGAAACGAGGAACAGTATCTGCCGACAGTGAAGATGAATTGACTGCGATAAAAAAAGCCGAAGTATGTCGTTGAATCTTTCAGCAAGCATTCATGTTTGTTTCGTAGAATATCGATGATGCTCGAGAGAAATCCTACACGCAGTTCAAACTTAAACTTGAAGATATTCAATTGATCTATGCCAACCGAAGTAAAACAGCGAAATCCATTTTTACTAGCCAGATATTATTCTCATTTTTATCTAGATGAAAGTTGGGAAAATGCTCGCAAAAACAAAAACACGCCGTTACATTTAATTAAACCAATGTCATTGGAGTTAGATGTGGGAAAATGCTTTTATAATGATGATGCTGTCCTACCTGCGTATGATTCATATTCTTCTATGTTTTTTACGCAACATTCGCATTTTCTTTAGCTGGAAAGTTGCTGGAAATATTCCCAGTGTAGACCTGCGCTTATCCGATACGCGTCTGTTTCAAATTATGCATCATGTGCAATCGATTCCATTTCCGGAATCGAAAACTCCAACCATTACTGAAATACCCTATGAATCCGAAGTTCGTGAATGAGATTCGTCATTAGTGAAACGTTTTCTTCGTTGAATTTAGACATTACCTATGCAAGCATTGGTGAAAAATCCCGAAGAAACATTACAAGCTGTTGAAGGAATGACACCGGTCAAGAAAACGAAGGAGAAAGTCGAAGCTGAAGAACAGCAGGAAAGTTCAAGCGCAGTCGAAGAGGAGAAACAATTTGAAGGACAATTAACGCAGTTAGAAGCTATGTTTACATTAGATAAAGTAAAGGCAGAACTCCATCGATCAGCTAAACTCTTTTCTTCATCTGTCTCATCTAGATCGACATACATATCGATAAAGCGACAAGTGATACAAACATTGATGAACCATTCTTACGCGTAACACTTCAGTCAATCACTGCCAACACGAAAATCAAAACTTTCGATATGGAATTCAATGCATCTTTGGAAGATCTTATTGTCTATCACCAACAATTTATCGGCAAAGATAATCAAAAGTTACGATTGTTATCAGCCCAACTCGACAAAAAAAATGCGGGTGGCGATCAGAAACTAGTCAGCTTGTACTTTCTGCACACATCAGCGGAGAATCCATTGTTTTCATCACCAACGTATGATGGAATCGAGAATCGAGCTCGCGTTCATTTCAGCAAACTTGTGGTGATGTTACAATTAGAGGCGCTTCTATCCATCTTCAAATTTCAAGATTCATTAATGAAAAAACTACCCGTTGATGTGAAGGATGACGCGACGAAACCAAAAGTCGAGGACGAAAACAAAGCTATCGAAAAAGCAGAAAAAGTTGTCAAGAAAAATGGTAAAAGTGACCAGGTATATTCGATAATCTAACTGGATGTCCATTTAGATGCTCCAACTACACCATCACTTACGATCAACGCTGATTTGGAAGAATTTCGAATTATACTTGCAACGAAACAGGCTCGACTGTTCGATGTTCAAGTACAAGGTTTGTAAAGCAAATATTCTCTATCGATCATCATCGATTCATCTGCTGTTCACACAGGTATCATAGCTAAAGTCGCCCAATCGTCTGAAAAGACACTAGTGAATTTGATTCTATCAGATTTACGTATTTTTGATCCATATAAAGAAGCACGATACCGAAAAGTATGCGACAACGTCCACTATTTGAATGTAAAGCACGTTTGATTCCTTTTTTTCAAAGATTATTTCTCAACAAGGTGACGAGAAAGAATTATTGCGTGTTGATCTGTCTCTTTTCAATCATCCCGAAGGAGTTGCGAAACCATTAGACTATTTCGACTGTGATGTTAAAGTTCAATTCGCAAAAGCGACGATTGTCTTTCTTTTCAAACATATCGGTGCACTTCTGGTAAACACTTTGTTTCACTTTCGAAACTCTTGTCTATCGTTCTTCTTTCTCTAGGGCTTTCTCGATACGTTGAATATCACCAAAGCAGCACTTGATATTGCATCTACACAAGCTGATGCTGCCTATGAGCAAGTACAAAAACTTCAAGAGCAAGCATTTAAAGTTCATCTCGATATTACCTTCAACGCACCGAATATCATTATTCCAACGAATTCTTACTCCGACGAAGCACTCTTTCTAGATTTGGGTAAATTGACGTTGAAAACGAGTTTTCGTGATGATCCAATCAAGGATCTTATCGAAGAACAGAACATTCAATTGGAAAATATTCTCGCTAGTCGGGTTAAGCTCGATCGAGATTATAATATTCTTGGTGAAGCTGTTCTACTTGAATGCGCAGAATTGAATGCGGTTGTTAATCGCTTGTTATTTCCGCAAAAAGCAAAAAGCCAACCGGGAGTATCAATTAATGTTCAATGGGATTTAGTTCACGTAAATTCAGCGAAATTTTTTATATTTAATTGCACTTTTCTATTCATTGGTGTAGTTTCGATTGGCCAAAGATGATTATTCATGTGTAATGAAAGTTTTGATGGAGAACTTCTCGGAAAATGTCCGTGATGAAATGCAGGACAATACTCAAAATGAAAACTATCGATATATTCAAGATAAACAAGAAAAGGAAGAAGATGCGTTAAAGAATGCTGTCATTAAAAAACAAAAAGGTTGACAAAATCGATGAAATCATGTCGAGTAATGTTTCTATATTCATTATTTAGAATTACAAGGTGACGAAGTTATACCAACAATGAAACTTCGTGCACGGATCAGTAAATTAGCCTTGACGTTATATCTTGGCGAATCTGATTTGGTTCGTAACACTTTTTTTCATCAAAGGAACGATTCGTTTCTTCTGTCTGCCGTTTAGAGCACACGTCGTGGAGCACGAAATGATAATCTGAAGTTGGCTAATGTTGAAATCGATATACTCGAAGCAGTGTTCCGTCAACAATCTGATGGCAGTTATAAAGCAACAGCACGAGTTAAAAACTTCCTACTGGATGATCTACGAGAAACGAATAAACCTGAAAGTGTAACGCGTATGATGGACAGACATTTCACTGTCGATCCCAACGCTCAAATGCTTGTGGCAACATTTGAATTCACACCTAAAAGTGCTACACAAAATATGGCTCGCCGAAAATGTAAGCAATTCCATCGACGAGTTTTTAGTTAAAATTGCCTTTCCGATAATTAGTGGTGGCACAGCTCGAAAGTCTTTATATTTGCATCAGTTTGGATTATTTAATGACGTTACAAGATTTCTTCATATCGGGTTTACCGTCTGGCAATGCGGAAACGAAACCTCAAGCAATAACTACAACTGATCGAGTGGATCCTGATAGAATATCAGTTGCACAGGATACTAAATCATCGAACGCACCTGCGAAACCACCAACACCAGCAGCAAAACGTATGAGTGTTCTTTGGGAAACGGTTGGATCTCCTTTTGAAAAGAAATTTTTCTTTTTTTTTAGCGGCAACACCAAATGCTGACGCAGAAGTTGAAACTGCACTGGATGTGTTGGTAAAACATCCGGAAGTGATCTTACTGGAAGATCAACATAATGCCAATTCCAATTGTCTCGTACTTGATGTAAGTCATAGAGGGAGAGATTTTGTTCACGTCACGGATCCTCTTCTTCTAGTTGGCATTGGAGATGCGTATGAATATCGTCAACGAAAAGTCGGAGTTGTCTGGCAGGCTGAGAGATCTAACCGTTTACAGTTCGAACTTTGCTGAATTGAAGAGCGCAGCTAATTCGCCATCGAAAGTTAAATATCGCGTAAGTAATACATAACTTGGCATCTTTCTCTACTGAACAGACGTTCTGATTCAGATTCTTCAACCAGCGAAAGCTGAGATTTGTATGTTAACAACTACTGAAGAGCAAAAAATTGATTTAAGAGTATCGGATATCATGGTCAGTATTGCACCAGCTGCTGTTCGTACTGTCATTGGCGTAATGAGTTCATTGGGAACACTCCAGGTTAGTTCAATCTTGATTGGACTCGTACGAATTTGAAGTGTGTAGGCAACAACAGAAGCTGAAGTGGAAAAAATCAATTCAAAATCCATCTTCGATCCGAAACCGTTCAAAGATGCCAACTTTTGGTTTACAAAAGGTTGACAGACATCAAATCGTTCATTTTTCTAAATACCCGTTCTATTGAATAGGTATTGAAGAGAAAGTGGAAGAGGTCGATGTACTGGAAACAGTGCGCGGCACACCGTCCCAACAGGGAGCCATTAAAGAAGAAGAAAATAAGATAAAAGAGCAAGAACAAACACCAGTTCAGAAACCTTTGGTTCAACAAGTAAAGCATAGAATTTACTAACAGAATTTGTCTGACTATCTTCTTTTAGTTAATTTTCGTGTTGGAAACACTCGAGCTCAAACTCGAAGTTGGTTTAGGCGTGGTGACGAAGTCTGTGGTCGCTATGTGTTTGACCGGTCTAACTGCTAATATACTAAACTGGTCATCGAATGTAAATGCAAACTTGATTTCTTCTTACTTCGAATTGACAGTTTTCCATGTGCCATAGATGAGTCTTCAATCAACGATGAATATCGAAGCAGCTTTGTACAATGAGCATGTCTTAGCTTGGGAACCGCTGATCGAACCTCTAACTGATGCGAGTGGTAAAACGTTTTCTCCATGGAGTTTGAATTGTTCAATTATACCCGTAAGTCATATTCCGTCCACGAAACAAACTATGCATCAAAATTGGTTTTCGAGATGATAGAATATTTATGATCTTTTTAGCAAAACATCAATGATAAATATCGCATAAAAAGTATCTATTATGTATGTTGTCATATCACTAACCACGGTTGTTGATTTTTCTTTTCACGCACGAAAACTCTCACCCAACAAATTTATATCTATGTCGTAAAATTTACACTTTTTCTGTTTTCTTCCTTCATATCAGGCATTACCATTCACGGAAAAGAATGAATCATCGCTCATCAATGAACAACAGCGCAAAGAAGGCGTCCCATCATCCGGAGCAAAACAGTTGATCGTGGTTCGCGCAGATCAATGGCTAAATATCACCATAACGAAAACAGGTCTCGATCTCGTTCAACGTCTATCAGCACTTTTCAATGACGTTTACAACAAACGATTGCCACCATCCGACGACGATGATTTACCGTTATTATCTGTATGGAACAAAACCGGGCGAGAGTTGAGCATTGAGAATCTCACTGGTTTGCTTCTCAATGATCCATCGACAAAATCGATTACTCTCCAACCGAACGAATCTGCACCATTGACAGTCCATAATCCCAAACAACACCACGGACGACTTTCGGTTATCGAAGAGCAATCGCATAGAAATCCACAAGAATTTGCTGTTAAAGTACTTGTTCACTCATCGAATTCTTTGTTGAATAACCGAAAATCTGTTTTTTTAGTATCGTGATACACAAAAGACAGTCAGTATCAATCGCACATGGAAACGTGTTTATGAATTAGGTTCATCATTGATTCAAAGTTGGCCCATGCAAATTCTTTGCGATGCTCAAGTGAAGAATGACCGCCGATGTATTATTCTTAGTTCAATCGTTCGAATTTTTAATAATACAACATTACCATTGGTTCTTCTGAATGTTGACTCAGTGAATACGAAACATCATACAGACGTGGCACGAATTGAAGTTAATCAAGATTATTATGTTCCCATTGATCTACTATATAGCTCTTCGAAATCATCGATATTCTTTTCGGTTGATGAGTGAGTTTCGATTGAAAGATATCAAGAGAAGGATTCAAAAATATTGTTCTAGGGGACAAGAAGATAAGGACTTCTTCTCATTCGATTGGATCAATGAATATTCAACAGAAAGAAAACTAAAACTCAAAACTGGCAAAGAAGCCAATTTTGTCGTAAGAACTATCAATGGAAAACTTCCATATCTCTTGTCTCTCTTGCGTAGATTTTCAAAGAAATATCAGAAGCTCATTTCGAAAACATCGATACGATCGATCGCCCAGCATTTAATCTTCACATATATCCAGCTCTTCACTTAACTAATCTTTTACCAGTTGATATTCAATGCTCAGTGGATGTAAGTTAATCGCTACTTGTTTGCATGCGATTGCCAATGAAATATGTACCTATTTAGGATGTCGAATCAATCGAATTAAAACCCAGTCAATTACAGTTAATCACATCTGGCAATAAGAAATCTTCATTGAAATTTACTGTAGATAGTTGCTGATTTTTATCATTAGATTCGTTATGTTTTGTCTCGTAGATTCCATCGTATGATAATATCAGGTGGGTATCGGTACCAGTTGATCTGACACAGGAGGGTCGAGGTGATTATAATGAACTTCCGGTAATCTTTCACAATGCTGATGATTCAAGTGCGCAACGGATCTTGGTAAAGAAAAGTCTATTCAATAAAATGGAACAATTTTTTTTGTTTTCTTTGTAAAGAGAATGGTCTTACGTGTTGATGCATATCATGAATCCTATCGTTTGTCGATTTATGCTTCGTTTTGGATACTTAATCGTACGAATCTTAAACTTGAGTTTCAAGTAAGAAACCAGTCTTCATCGGCTACTGGATTGTATACTGTTGATATAGATTGAAAACAATCGAATATGGATTGATCCTTTGGAAACACCCTTTTTAGTCTGCCCAGAAAAATTTGCCAGTGAAGCAAGTAAAAAGGTAAGATAGTTTCTAATTCAACAAACAAAATTTCCGAATTCATACCATTTAGGGACAAATCCGCGTCTGTGTAAATGAACAAATCGAATCCACCACGAACTGGTCAGAGAAATTCTCGATGGATGTCATTAAAAGTACAGGTGTGGCTACTTGTAAAGTACCAAACGATCGAACATATATGGTAAATTAAAACGAGGAATAGAAAAGAAAGAATCACTTTTTCTGTCGAGTAGATCTGCGTGGATATTGTGACAAGTTCATTTGGCTTAACAAAGCTTGTGACACTTTCGCCGTCGATGATTGTCACAAATAAATCAAGTGTATGTTCGAAAGAGAGCCTTGAGAGTCAGTTGATATTCTCGATCTTTTCTTAGATTGGAATTGAAGTTGTTGAAATGGTTGCCAATAAAGAACAGGACACATGGAAAAAAATCGAACCTAATCAGGTAACGAAAACAAACTTGTTTTCATTTGTTTTACTTATTCGAAAATCGTGTAGCTGATTCCGTTTTGGCCTCGTAATATCAAAGATGGTGTCATGCATGTTCGCTACACCGACAATAATCAAGTCATGTCGACAGCATTTGTGACTAAACGAAAGCATCGAACACTCTTACGCATGGACGATGAAGAACGACCAGCAATTAACGTCGAAGTTAATGCAACCGATTTCGACGGTGTTCGAGTCATTTTCGAAGACTACAAGATTGGAGATGCACCGATACTTGTTGTCAATTGTTTGAATAGTGAACCAGTTTCATTCAGTCAAGTCGGTGGTCCGTAAGTTTAATCAATTGATCACTTCGCACAAGAGCTCTTTATCATGTGTATTAGGCCTATACATACACAAGTTCTACCGGCATTGAGTTATGTTTACTTTACATGGCCGGACCCATTGAAAGAGAGAGAACTACACATATCATGTGGTTCAAAGAGTACACAAATTGGATTAACGGTAAGTGATTCGAGGAAGTTGTTATATTGATTTCCAATTGTGACTTTTAGCCTATATGTGGTTCGTTTGGCAAAGAAGGTCACCGTACTGTGAGCTACGCCATTTTCGTCGATGGTGTTCAAACCGTCTTACTTTTCTCAGACAATGTCAAAGTGATCGAAGCTGCGTCGGGTGTACGTATTTTTATTAGTTATGCTAACAAAAGAAAACGATCATGTGATAACTTTGTTTAGATCCCATCGTTAGCCGAATCGATGGATCAACGTATACAAATTGGTATTCAGGATATCGGCATTTCGATTGTCAATGACATTACTCGAGAGGAAATGCTTTTCATCAGTTTGAATAAATCGAAAACTATTTGGACTGAAGCGAAAAAGTCTCGTGTTAAACCATTACCTGAAGACGTCAACACGCAATTAGAAGCTCTCTATCAAACACACATGCAGAAACGCGAAGCGAATCCAGACGATAGAGAACTTCTCGTCGCTAAATACAGCAGTGAGAAATATCGAGTGAGAAGCTTGATCTTTCACCATAATCTAACCTATTCCGACTCTTCTTCAAAGGAAATTCTCTTCGATGAAAACACCGCATTCTTGATTTCGACGAAGAATCGTCGAAAACATGCCAAACGACAAGCCCTAGATGGTCTCTGCATCGAATATGCATGGTCTGTATCAAATTCTGCATTGCACATACGCATCAATCGCGTGCAAATCGATAATCAACTCGGTTATACAATATTTCCTGTTATGTTCCACCCCGTCATATCAAAAGCGGCCAAATCCGATCATGCTGAAAAAGCATTCATTGAATTGAGTATCTTCCAAACGAAATCGACACAATCGAATGTTGTCCAGTTCAAATACTTCAAATTACTTATACAAGAATTTGCCGTGAAGATCGATCAAGGCTTGATTGTTGCCATTCTTGCCTTCATGAAACAAGAATCTGTTCGTTGTTTTGAGTCATTTTGATTTCATTCATTCTTGTTCGTGCTTAGAATGCGGGAGCACCAACAGTCAATATGGATGCTGATTTGGAACAAATTAAAAAACCATTGGACGTGATTTTGAAAGCACAAATCGACACTCCATCGGGCGAAACAAAAATGTATTTTGATAACATACATTTATCTCCTTTGAAGGTACGTATTTTTGTTTGAGAGAATCGGTTCGACATTAAGGAAGAGTTCTGTTTTTGTTAGATTCATGTCAGTTTTTCAATGCATGGAGCAAAACCAACCGATGAATTGCTAGCGGAGTATCCATTAGTTGGCTTTCTGTTACGAACGCTGAATGTTGCCGAAGTCAATGACGTTATTTTACGGTAAGAATTTCCATTGGTAGAAAGATGATTGTAATCGTCATGTTCGTTGCAGTTTGGGTTATTACGAACGAAACGGTAGTATATTCACCGTGACGAAGATCACAAATGATGTCACAGGTCATTATCAAAATCAGTTTATGAAACAAATTCACGTCTTAGTACTTGGCCTTGATGTACTCGGTAATCCATTCGGCGTTATTCGCGGTCTTGCAGAAGGAGTCGAATCGTTCTTCTATGAGCCATATAAAGTAGGTTGCGAGCAAAAAGAATGATGAAGTAATACTAATGAATACTTTCTTTAGGGAGCTATTGAAGGTCCAATGGAGTTCATTGAAGGTGTGGGCGAGGGTTTCCGATCATTGTTAGGTTCGACAGTGGGTGGTGCCGCTGAAGCATTTTCAAAAATAACTGGGGTGCTCGGTAAAGGTTTAGCAACATTAGCATTCGATGAAGAGTACAAGGCATCGCGTGTCCGACGAAAAGAACCCGGTAGCAATATTGCAGCCGACATTGCCACTGGTGGTAAAAATGTTGTTATGGTACGTAGAGAGTTCTCAGATGAACTTTCAAAATTCAGATGATAACATAAATATTGGTAAAAATAGGGTTTCGTCGATGGTGTCACAGGTGTTGTAACTAAACCAGTAGCTGGTGCAAAGGCTGATGGTGCAGCTGGATTTTTCAAAGGTTTAGGAAAGGGTATGATCGGTCTTGTCACACGACCCACTGGCGGCATTGTTGATTTTACTACAACATCATTTGATATTGTCAAAAGGTAAAAAAAAACTATTTTTCTCCCAGCGTATGTTCCTATTTACTCCATAGAACTGCTCAACACGAAGAAATTGTTCGTCGGATTCGTTATCCACGCCACGTTGGTCGTGATGGTCTCATCCGGCCATATATCTTTCATGAAGCAATGGGCTTCTACATCCTCAGTGTAAGATCTTCATCTCTTTGAAATTGCTTTTCAATATTCTCTTTCTATGATTTTACAGAGGCTAGAAGATAAGAAATATTCGAAATCTGAAGAGACGTATGTAGCGCATATAACTTGTTCAGATAGTCCACAATCTTGGTTGATAGCAACATCCAAGTAGCTAAACCATTTATCTTTTCACTTCCATAGGATTTCTCTTTCTCTAGACGTTTAATATTTGCTACTGAAATGTCTCTACTTGATTCGTATGAAATCGATTGGGATATCGAATACGAACAATTATACGAACGGCCAACAATAAAGCCAGACGTAAGACATATCGAAATTCTGACAAAGGTGAGTACATCTATCTTTGAAAGAAATATCAAATTCATTCCGTATTGATCTTCTCAGAATGAAAAGAAAACGGGAACAACCAGATCACAGCGATCGTTTGGAAAATTAGTGAAGTATAAACACACTGCGGATGCTCAGGTAACATTTCGTCTAATGAGTTGACTCTCATGTTGAATAAACTTTCTCTTTAGTATATCGTCAAGAAAATCAGTGATACGATGCATAGTGCTGGTAACTAAAAACTTTTGTTTTCTTTTGAATTTTTCATATTTTATGCACGAAAATCAGTCGTGTGTCTTTCATTTGCTTTTATTCGTAATGAAATTTGTGATTTTTTTCTAAATTTTTCTGTGAACAGTTTTAGATTTCTTTATCAAAGAGTGAAAAAAAAGAATGTATGTGTGCATGAGTGAATAATAATAATAATGAAAATTATTCAGGAACTTTGAGACTAAACTTGTACGTACATCATTCTACTGAACGTTCGTTGAGTAAACATATACGCGTATCTTCGTTCTCCCGTATCGATCGGGCATAAGACGTCATCTGTGACGTAGATTAATGTATTATTCTTAGGTTCTATCGAACATCAACAAGATTATTTATAGGTATATCACACTAGTATGAATATCGGCATGTTTCTCACATATATTCATACGAGAAAGCATTATTTCATCGTTTTGACTACATTCTTTCTACAAATCAACGAAAATGATTGGTACACCAATTGCTCCTATCAACAGCTGGAATAACGATTACCAAACCATCGGTTATGGAAATTACGGCTATGGTATTTATACACAAGATGTCGAAGTCTATCGTAATTCATTCACCGGACATATCAATATCGAACGAGAAGTTGACTTTGTTCCACTAGGTAACAGGTATTTCCAACCATACACTGGTTTTCCTGCTGCTATTCACCAACATTATATCAATTAAAACTTACGTTGTTTATATTAGTACTTGTAAACTTTCCTTTTTTTTCTGTATATGACGAAATAAAATACAACGTGAGTGGAGGAAATCTTCTCTGCTCATAGAAATGACCTTGTGCGTTCATTGAAAAAGATGAAATGATAATTGACAGTCATCCAAAGAAATTCCGATTGAGAAAAATTGATTGCATAGATCCCTGAATGATCAACTATGGTCTCTCGGGTGTAGCTAATTCGAAAATCGATCTTTAATAACCAAACAGACTTCTTCTGATCCCTGCAGAAGAAAAGATAGTTTTCGTTTTGTTTGATTCTTTATCTTTTACAGCATGCGCACATCGATTATTTATTATACATTTCCTGATGAGACGCGCACAGTTTATCGCATCACGTTTCGTTCGGGTCATATAATAACCTTTTCGTCTTATCGTTCAATACACTTGGATACATTTACTAAGCCATGAAGGAATATCAAAGACGCCCAGCACTTCATTTCGAAAAACAATCTTTCAGTTTCGAGTGGAAACTCGGCATAATCAAGGGGTTGACAGTCTCTAGTTTGTAATAACAGAAAAACATCGATTTCGATGTTTATATAAAAGACAGCAATGGCTTTGCAGCCATACGATCTCGCATAGAAGTACTTGAAAACTTTTTCGGACAAGAAAAAAACCACACAGATAAACTAACTGACTGATTGACTTTGTTTTTTTTTACATAATTAACGACATTTCGATGCATATATGGCTTCGAAAATGCGATAATAAATGCAACAAGTTAGATTGATTCGTTAAAAAATTCGATTAGAATGTCTTTTTTTTTTCAAATACAAAAGCAAACTTTCTTTCGATTACGATATTTCATTCGAAATAAGAATTTCGATCATGCCTGCGATCAAATGTGCATTCCCCACTATTACTACAGTAATATGTCTTTAATGTATTCGTATCTTCGGCACACTCGATTGATGCGAGGGTGCACACGATGTTTCGTCAAAGTAAAATTTCGAAAAAAAGAACGTACCAGTTGTTACCTTTTGAAGGATCAATCACTCTGCATAATGGACTAGTTCAGGGTTGAAAAACTTCTTATTTTACCTGACAATGGTTATCAAATATGAGATGTATATAGACAGAGCAAACAAATGAAAGAAATTGTTATACAAATTTTGTAAGAGCGAAAGAGAAAAAAAATTAGTCTTTACTTTAGTGACGTTATTAACAAAATTTGTTCGTTAATTATTCTTTCGATGGACATTTCCAGTAGAAATCAATTGAACAAGAGAGAAGGAAAGAGAGAAAGACAATATATCATTTTTCTGTATGTTCTCTTTCCTTTATCGTCGATGAAACGTTGAATAAAGAATGAGAGAACAAGAATAGACATACGAAAAAAGAAACGAGTGGTGATGGGAAGAAAGACTATGTGTAATTTACTTGTTCGATTCTTTCTTTTTGGCTTCCATAAAGAACGCGACACACAACTTCGACTTTTTCCGTCTAAGAATTCGTACACCTGCGACACTTCCTCTCTTCACTAAACCCTGTGTAGCATTTCAGTTATGTCTTTTGCGTTTATTTTTCAGATTAATTAGAACTTTCGATGGTATTTCTGTTCAAGTCGACGAATGGATGGCAACAAGCATAATTCTATTGTTGATTTTCACTGCCAGTGTTCTAACTGTGGTAAGCTTTCAAATTCAATTGCGCATTGACCTCTTTCAACAAAGTCTCGACTAGTTGTCATTTATCGAGCAGAAGGTGACGAATCGATTTTTTTTTCTTATATGTCTGATAAGAGTCACTAGCATTGGATATCATGAACATCTATTAATGTATGTCATCAAAAGTACAATGTTAAAGAAAAGACATAACCATTAAAAAAAGGAAGTTCATTATAGTATCACTGAATGGACATGCGTCAGAAGGTAATGTTTATATTCTCATCGATTACATCGATGTAATGACGAAGAACATCATACTCTATCAAGGCTTGACAATAGTCATAATGATGTACGAGTTGTTCGTATTCATACGTAGATAGTCATTACGATCTGTATGTTATGTCTTCATCGTCATCATCATTACATTGTTCAGTTCTATTCCACATACTTAGGCGAGATATTTTCTTATTTTTTTTAAATATTGCATCGATAATCATTAGGCATAGAGAATTACTACCTTCTACGCACTTTTGATGTAACTTTAATTGATGTTTGTTTACACTGTATTGTCTGTTGAATATTTGTATCGTACAGCTGTCAATTTGACAATGCAGGTATGATTGTATGAAAATGGATGTTATACTCAAAGAGTGACTGAATGAATGTCCTTCTTTTGTGAACATAAGTTGTTCACTTTATCGAAGTAGATGTCATTCGTATTGAAGAGAAAAGTATAAAATGTTTTTGTTGTTCTTTACTTAGTTAACCATATTGGAGTATTAATATCAGCAATGATTACATCAGTCGAAGAAGTTCCGGTGTAGTCAAAAAGTATTCTTTCCTTCTCCTCTGTTCATTATTGAATTTACTCGTTGTCGTAACAAACGTTCATTGAGTTTCACTCGATTATACTTTCGATGTATATATATATATATATATTTCCATTCGTAACATTGTAAGGGGAGTATATTGCATCACAGAACGATCAAGTGATGGTCGTTTAATCTGAGTAATGATCATTATGAATAATCAGAAAGAAATTTGAACTATTCGCACTGCTGTTGCCATTTCGATTCTATGATAACATTGATACAAGGTTAAGAATAAAACAAAACGATTCCCGTTCTTTTTAGCCACTGCTGTCCTTTCCAACGTCACTATCGATCGTTGCTAATCAATTTCCACATTCATACATTCAATTTCGGCGAGCCGAAGATCGACGGTATCGGCCTGCCTTAGTTAGTTTTCTGCACCGACAGCCCGACGGTTCGCAATTAGCCAGCATACGTTATTATCGTATTGTTTTCCATTGTAATATTCTACCTGGTTCACTCTACCTTCGATTTTCACATTTACAACCCTATCGAACTGTTGTTCAAAACCGGCAAGACCCGTCAAGTAGGAAATCTTCTCATCTATCATATTCGTCTCACTTGTTTTTCTTTAGCTATCTTTGCTTTTCGATCTGTTGGTGCTTATAGTCGTGTTCAAATACAAAACTATGTGTCCGGACTTTGGTTATGTATGAATAAACGAGGCAAAATAGTACAAAAAGTATGTTATCATCTTAGAACGAATTGATTTGTACATTATTCTATTCTTTGCAGTCGGATATCACGATTAATAACTTAGCGTGTACATTTCGTCAAAATTCAGCTGGACCTTATAAGACACTTGTATCCGAGCTAGATCCAACGCGTCAAATGACATTCAGTACTCTTCATCTGCTATCAACAAATCCGATTCTCCATCGTCGTTATGCTCAGTATATGACAAATGAACATTCACTTTTTCGAAAAGAACAATGCAATCGATTTATGCTCGATAATCAAATCGATATCAGTGTATTCAATCGAACAAAGGATCGTTTCTCTCGCTTAAAACATTGATGTGTATGTATGCATGTGTAGGTGAGTGGTAGATAAATAGTTTGTTCTACAATTTCTATTTTTTCAAATGGCTCAGTCAAATGTTTGTTTTTTTGTTTTTCTTTTCTTTTCTTACATTTTTATTTATTGGAAATTGTTTTACACGTATATATCTGTATACTTTATTTGTCAATGTGCAGTTGGTGGTTTGTCTATATAGATTATAAATATTGCCTTTTTTCAATTAGAAGGTTTTTTTTTCTATGAAAAGTGCAAGAACTTGAAAGTTTTTGTTTTTTTATTTCTTAATCGTACAATGTGTAACCTTGTTCCTTGAGGGAAAAGATTAGGCACAACCATAATAAGCTTTAACTTTTTCAATATCTAATTTAGTCATTACATTTGAACTGCCTAAAACGGAATTAGCTAAGCCCGTTTTCGATGTAATTGTTGGTTGGCCATTCTTGGAGAAAGCATTCCATTTATAATGCATGATCGAAGCTAGAGAAAACGAATGACATCGAGCTCTATTTAAATGGCGATAGCAATGAACGCTTACTGGCATCATAGGCTTTGTTGAATGTATTGACATCACTAGTAAGATATCGTTGAAAGTTATTTTCTGTACCACTTTGAATGTTATTGTAATTGATAGTAACGTAATTATCACGATCGGGTCGAGTCTGTTCATGAGCAAAACCAACAGCATGCAATAATTCGTGTATAGCAATATTTTCATAAACACAACCGGGTTTGGCAAGAGATACATCTTGTGAACCACTGGTTTTTGTTCTTCCCATGTATGACCAGCATCTGATAATCAAGCATAGGTTAATGAGATCATCGGAAAATTTTTTCGGAGAATGTTACCCTGAACCGGCAAAGATTCGTAACCATGTTGCTTGATTAGTACGTTGTACGAAACGAATGCAATTGTTTGTTTGTTGTTCAATTTTACGCATAGCATTGGTGATCGTCGTAATTTGTGCAGCGGTATAAACACCGCCGTCGATAGTGTATGGAAGAATACCACCAGTCCATTTTGATGATTTGATATAAGCATTTCTTCCGGAATCTAATCCAGGAGCTGTACCAGCTGGAAATGCAATGTCACCATCGACGAATTCAATATCTGGCCGATCGTCCATAGTGGTATTAGTGAACAAATTGATCGGGCCAGCATGAACTGCTGAGTAACAGACGAGCAACAGACAGATGCATTGAAGCATTTTCGTTTCGTACGGACAATGAGAACAGTCTGGTATTACAAAACCGAAAACATTCCTTTAAAAGAGAACATAAACTCGAACATGTGACTACGAACAGATGACAGTCCATGCGGATCTGCATCGTGTAGCTTCCCACACAGGTCGTGCACTTCGAAAGTATGATGTGATATTTTTAGATTCCATTGTAAAGAGTATATACTATTTTCTCAACGTATTTGATGGAATTTCAACGCGAAAAATTTTTATTATCATAATGGAACGTTCGCAGCTGTTTGTAATCTCATCGTTTTGCGTTTGACAAATTTCATGTGAGAGATAAAACGTTCTCGCTATAGAGAAAGTCAGATGACCATATTTTTCACTTGTGCACTGTGTATTTCTAGACGAAAGATCACTGTAATGAAAATGTATATGTAACATACATCATTGATACAAAATACTGTCTGTTGGATAACATATATACGAACAACTTTTTTTTGAAATATCATATTACAATAAAATATCGATGATTGACATGAAAAACTATTATAAAACAAAATAAGGTGGAAAAGCTTCTTGTTGTGGATAAAGATAAAACTGCTGAGCTGAATTGGCTGGTTTTGCTAAGTAATTCGTAAATGTAACTGGTGGCTGGTAGATGGATGGTGTCGCCGGTGCCGGTGCTGGTGCTGCTGTTGATACTGCTGGTGTCGAGCTTTGATTTTTCGGCGCGATCACAGCACTATTTGAATGTTGTAATTGTAACTGTTGTTGCCAGATGCCTTGGTTAGCTTGTTCGTCAAGTGAATATCGAAATTGCCATGGCTTTGCCGTCGATTCTCTTTCCACAACAGTCATACTGCAAAAGTCCACTTTACCTGCAAGTTCGGCTAAACGTTCAGGTCTCGGTTGTCCATTCATTAAATGACGTGTGAGTACTTCAAGACTAGGCGCGTGTGCAACAAGTAAAACAGTTCCACCTGTTTTTCGATGTAGTTTGATAATCTTCTTCATTGTTTCTTTTGATCGATCATAATACTGATATTCATTTTCTAACAATCGAAGATCGCTCATTTGTGAACGATAACGTGTATCGATATTGTAACCGCCGTTGATTAACTCCGAATCGGGCATAAAATTAATCGGTGATCGTGCATACCAAGATGTACATTCAAAGAGACCAAGTTCGAGCCGTAATGCCACATGTCCTAGACAAATACATTGATACCGACGAGTTTATGAGAACTTTTCTTTACCTTTTCGACCCATGCCTTCCAGTATGCGATCGGCTGTTTGAATACTACGAAAAGCTGGTGAAGAATAACAAGCTGTTACCGGTAAATTGTATCTATGAAGAACACTGCCCACATTCCATGATTGAGATAAACCTTTCGCAGTCAATGGTGTATCAACGTCATAGTCTAACCAATTCGTTCGATGTGGCAACGACGGTGGCATATTNTATTGTACTCATAGAATAAAAGAGCAAAGAAACAAATGTGAAAATAGTTGATGATCAAGGGATATCTATTTCTTGATAATGTATCCAGCACTTAATTAATGGATACGTAAAACGATGATTATCTGTCATGATTGTAAATGCCTGGAAGCAAACGCCAAGTATTTTCTTGTTTTGTAAGCGATTATTGACAGAAACATAAGTGACATATGTTTCATTATGCAAATGAAAATTCTCTCATTAGATCTAATCGATCATACACTGACGCATATTAGCCTCGACCTTTTCCCGTACAAGCACGTGCGCATCGATGCACATTAGAGAGATCAGCAGCCCTTTTTGTGTCATCCATTCTTTTACGACGATCCACTCAGCAAAAAGTGTCCTTCTCGTATCATTTATCTCTTACGATACATATATATATACAAGCATACATCGACCAGAGACAGCTATTCTCTGAAGATTCTGAGTTCTTTCTCACATATACATTGCCGATAATAATGAATATTCTTTCGATCTTCTTCGTGATTTGTTTGATAATATTGTATGTCAACGCCGCACCTTCATTCCCATTCAATAATACTGGAACAAGTATGTACAAAGCTCGACAAGGTTGACTCTAGAAACTTATTTTAGATTTTTCTCCAGCTGCAAATGGTAAGTCAAATGATGAACCAATTTGCAAAACTGACGACGGACGACGTAAGTTATGTTTGCCTCTTCTCATCGGTCATTTCACTTTGTATGGAGCATCTTCTAGTTGAAATTCCTATCAATGGTAAATTTCGTTCGAGTGCGAATCCATGTAGAGGTAAACGATAGATTGAGTTGAACATTCTCAATTGTTTTGCGCGACGCCTGTAGTGTGTACATGCACAGCGACGGGGCTAGTATGCGAGGACATATGTGAGCCATCAACAACAACAACAACAACAACAACAACAACGACAACCACCACCGGTACGTTCTTCGGATAGCTTGCATGTTTGAATATGATAATAATTTTGATAGAATCGACAACAACCACAACGACAGCAAGCTCGTCTACAGCAACAGCGCACGATCCCAGTTCACTGTTACCACCTTCTTCGACATTTCCAAATGCTACATCATCTAATAATAGTCACAATCCAAGTTCGTCATCGTCGATGGGCAACTCTGATGATGATTTATCAACGACTCCCTGTGCACGAGCTGTAGCCGCACGTGAATATGCATATCTTGACTGTAGTGAAGTTTATCTAGCTGGAAAACGTACCAATGGGGTATATGAAATTTGGTGAGTGATATTCATTCTTCTTTTCCTTGAAAATATTCGTCTGTTGTCGAATAGGCCTCGAACAAGCCCGAGACCATTTCGTGTGTTATGCGATATGGAGAAAGATGGCGGTGGATGGACTGTCATTCAACGACGTGGAGAATTCAGTCAACAATCGAATTTCTTCGTTTCNACACGTTTATTCAGCTAGAAAAGAAAATGAAGAGCCATGACTGTGACAAGTAACCTGCCGATAGGTATCTCATCTGTCAAAACACCAATAGATATACACATATATATATATATGTATATGTACAAAAAACGTTATCGAGGACGACTATATAATGGGTGACTGACTTTCCTTTCTATATTAATCGTTCTGTTCTCACTTCAGTGAATAGGAAAAAGAGAGAATATCGAAATTACAGAAATCCAATCATTGTGAACATGCTGACACTATGCTCGTCGATTTTTTACTGGTTTAATGCGAGTCCGTCCTTGATAGAACATCATACCGTGAGTCATTTGCATTCTCTATCGCCACTCATCTGATACTTAGACATAATTATCAGCATAAAACGTATTTTGGAAAATAACTTTTTTGGAAATTACCATGTCTGATACTATTTTAGAGTTCGGATTCCTTTGCGAATGTATGAAAACAGTCATACTATATTTTGTTTTATTTTTTGAATAAGAACACGAAAAAAAATAATAATAATTTTGTTCATGGCGAAACCGTATCAGAGATAGAAAAAGGAAATGTGCGTTTTGTTTTCATCTGATCAGTTGCGGTTAGCAGATGCAAGACGTCGACGGCAACATGCTTGACAGAGTAAAACATCACCCAATGGGTAACAACGACGATCTGGTTCGTCATTCAATTGTAACGAGCAATCCTAGATAAACATACAAGTGTTTATTCTTCTTACTTGCATTCGAAGAGATACATACTTCACATTGATAACATTGAACGTGAAATGTCTTACCCATGGAGATAATTCGCACGGTTTCATTGGAGCCCTAAAATTGTGCGAGAAGTTTCGTATAAAGCGAAAAAAGAAAGATTTCGTGTCGTACATCTTCAGGACAGATTGGATTGGAACATTTATCACATCGTGGTCCATAAGTTCTAAAGAAAATACATTTTCGTTTGTTCATTTCATTGACAGTGTCTTACAAATGATAATCATGTAGACAGAACAGATTTTTATTTTTATCCGTTATGAATGGCACACCGTCTAAGCATATTGCGCATTTCGAACATTTAAAGCAGGACAGATGATAAGATTGACCAAGTGCTTGTAAAACCTAAAAGAAATTCAATTTAACAAATGGTAACCGATGAAATCGTTCATTTACTGTATCGGTTATTAGATGACCGCAAGCTATGCAATGTTCAAGTGTTTGATGAAAACCTGTATACTAAAATGCGAGAAAAATTAGAGATATCATTAACGAAAAATTGTTTGAAGTTTACCAAGAAATCTTCTTCACAGTACAATTGATCCTTAACGAAATAGTGTTTGTCTTTCACGGACCGTCCGCAAACGACACAAGCAGCACATGAACTATGATACATTTGATTACGCATATCACAAAAGTCATCTGTGTTCAGAATTGTTCCGTGACACTTTTGACAATGACCAATGGAGTATTCTCGCCGATTGGAACCATTGTTTGTCTCATGGAGATGAGTATTATTGATGGAGAGAGAATTGAATTGTCGTTCGAGTGGAAGATCATTTCGTTTGGAGATCGACGAAATAACTGGCGAATGATAAATTGTTTGACTAGCTGGCTTAGGCGAAGCAAGAGAACGAAAATCTGGGGTAGTCTTGGAATTTGTCTGAGAACATAGAGGTGAACCTCGTGGAGGAATCGCTGGTGGCTGAAGTGGATAGCGAGGTGGTGGAGGTGGCGGTGAAGTTTGATTGATATATAATTGAGTTGTATTCAGATATGTTGTACTTGTTTTCATTCCACTTGGGGAGTATTGAGGAGGAGGGACGTTTGCATGCTGAACAGACGTATTGGTTGTTGATGGAGCTTTAGGCATGCGCATGGGTGGTGGAGGTTTTGTGTCGGAACTTCGATGAGGTGAGGGAAGTGGATGATATCCGTCTGAAATACATAAAGATAAATTTTTATGAATTCATTTTTATTCTTGTCTTCACCTGCGGTAGATTGTTGATGGTGATGTCGTTGCGAATGTGTTGTCTCATTTGGTGTTGCCGGTAAAGAATACGATACATATGATGCTGGTATTGGACTATTTTGTTGTTGATTTGGACAGTACCGAATTGATGGTGAGTTGAGTGAAGATCGTGAATTATGACGATTAGCTAAGGCTTTAGTGAAAATACTTTCTTCGTAAGATGGTGGAGGATGATTTGGTTTCGGTGAAGCTTGCGGTGATGCTGACGAGATTCTCGGCGATGGTGAAGATGAAGCTTCCCAGAGAACATTGGTTACATCTGGACGTGACGATGGTGACACGAGTGAATAGAACGTTTGTTGTTTTCCAGGAATAAAGTTTCGGTTGTCAAATGCATGTGCCATGGACAGACAACTGTTTTCTCTATGTATGCGTGTTTCACCTGTGCGGATAGATTTGTTTTTATCGTCTAATTTGAAAATGTCTCTGTTTTAAATAAATGAACGAATGAACTAAAGCGACACATTGGAATGTGTGGAATGTGATTATATATAGATGTATGTGTACGTGTTCGTTTCTTCTTTTCGTTCGCCGTTTGCTTTGAACGTTTTCTTCGTTTCTTTCCCTACGTATTTAATTGCAAGAGAATAGCACGCGAAACGAATGAATACGAAGACAGATTTTTTTCCTTTCTTCACACGCACTCTTTAATATTGATATCCAGCTGTGCGTTTGTATATACGTATGATCGACTTAAAATTCCAATTCACGCCTTTGACTCTTTTTTTTCTGACAGAAAGGGGAAAAATGTCAGGCAGATGGATCAGTTCGACTGAGATTATCTAATATCAATGAATGTATTGTCTTTCTTCCTTTGAATACTTCATCTGATTACTGTTCTCATCGACTAATTTGTTATGCGAGCGACTCCTTTTGACAAGTAGCTTTAGAAATTTCACACTCTAATCAATTCCCAGAAAGAATGCCAACAGCAGAGTGCTATTGATGAAATTCAATTCTATTGTATTCCAGTTATAAGCTTGATTTTATCGATAAAAGAGTTTTCAAAGAAAAAATTTCAAGAGTTGTTTATCGAAGTCGCTTCATTCTTTTCTGATTTGTTCAAATAATGCTTTACCAACATCGTCACGATTGAAGAGTTCCGTACGCATTTTCTGCCCTGTATCCCAATCACGAATATTCGATGCGATTAATTGTTGATAAGACTCGCCGTCAGGTACCGGCGAAGATCGTTGATGATAGTTTCCATAGATTCGAACAGTACCATGTGGTTTGAGTTCGAATGTTGGGAAAACATAGTGAAGCCGTCGTCCGTCAACTTCACGTTCAATGTACCATCCGGTCAAATCCCGTGGATGATTACCGGTATTTTCAATATCAACAAAGCGTCCGCCAACATCGACAAATTTAATTAAAATATTTCCTAAAAGTCAATTGCTCATTCGATTCAATAGTTTTACTCAATTTTTTTCTACCTTTATATTTCCTTGTGATATGGATTTTACTTTGCATATACTTTTCATTCAATTCAGACGTTTCTTGTTGTGCTCGTGTCATATTGATATTAATTTGTTGTTTACCATCGTGTTCCTGAGTTGAGCGTTTAGTTGTCCGTGCTGTCGTTGTTGTCGTGATTTGATTTTGATTTAAGATATCGCGTTCGATACCATACAAATTGCGGTCAGTCGTTTTGGTTTGTCGGATGTTCGTGGAGACATTTAGTGATGGACGTGGACCTTTTTGTCGATGTAAAGAATTCAATAGTGCTTCGTAAATCTTCAATTCTTCTTCGATACTGAATCGAAGTGTGTAAACTAATTTATCTAATTCGTCTTTCAACGCATAGTACTCCGCACGTATTAGATCAGTGTCTTTTTGCAATTGTGCATGCTGTTCGGCATGCTTACGCGTTTTGTTTCGTGCTTCATTCTCTAAATCTTGTAATAGACGTCGTTTTCGTTTGTTTTCCTCGGCTAAGGTGCGGAGATCAGATTGAAGATGATCGTATTCTTTTGTATACTCGTTCAAACGAGTTTCGAAGCGATGCATCTCCTCCCGACGATGTCGTTCATCTAACGAGATTCAATACATATGCAAGACAAAAACATCAAGTTAATTTTTTACCGTTTTCATCAACTAATAAACCCATTTTAATCTTCTCTTGAATTTCATTCAATCGCGTTTTCATCTCCGCTTCGATATCCATCTGCTGTTCTTTCGCCATTTTGGCATAATCATCATATATTTGTTGTTTGATCGTTTCTAAGTAATCTCGATAGAAATTCGTCGAATCTTGGGTGATTTGATTCAATAACCGTTTCCATTCATTGATTTCCTCTTGGTTGAATGCTAGACGAAGATTATAATGTTCTCGAAGTGATTGTATTTCAATTAATAGTTTCTGTCGGTCCAGCGCGATTTGCGACCATTCCGCTAGATAAGAACGAAATTTGGCGAGTTCCTTTTGATAATCATCATCATGGGCTTTCACTTGACCATTACTGAGTTCCAGTCGAATTTGAATTTTATGATATTCATCTTCTAATTGACGAAGATAGTCTAACAAGAACTGTCGCCTGTCTTCGTACAAACGACGGACATCGAGGAAAACAGCAGTAACACGATCGGTGAGTAAGGCTTGTTCTTCAAAAACTTTCGTTTCAGCGTGAAAAATCGCCTTTTGTCGACTCTGTTCCGAGAGATGTCGAGTCATTTGGTCGAGTTCTTCGAGAAATCGAGTACGATTCTCTCCGCCCATTCCCCAACTGGAGATTAAATAATTCAGTTCATCACATAATTTCTTATTTGCTAATTCTAAAGCATCTAGACCATGCAGAAATTCTTCGAGACGATCATTCAATGAATGCAAGTAACGTTTTTCATCGTCATCTTGTTTCTTGATTGATGAGATATCGTTGGCCACCTGCGAAACGAATGTTTGCTTATCATTGGTTTGATAATGAGGGATAGCATGAGTTGAAAAGTCAGTTGTATAACGATGAATCAATGCCATATTGAAGTCGTCGTATACCGTTTGATTTCTATATGGTCACTATTCATCGATCTTAACCACAAGAATCATCCTATTTGACATTCTTCAATCAAATATCGATTTGCAATTCATCGACATTTAATCATATTTCATTTTCTATATTCAATTGTAATCAAGTATTTATATTCGTATTCTCTCAATAACCTTACGATCTTATTAAAGAGCGAGTAGAGTTTTCAATAGATGTATCGTTATTTCTTTTCCAAAAACGAATCGAAAACATTAGCAATAAAAATAGTAAATAAAAAATCACACACACACACACACACACGTAGATTGTTTTTGATTGATTGTTATTCGTTACATATATTCATCGTTATCACGACCACCTCCATGTCTACCAGTTTTTTCTTCCTTGTCAAGTTTAATCATGTCATCGATACGTAATATCGTAATAGCTGCTTCTGTTGCGTACTTTAAGGTTTTAATTTTCGATATGGCTGGTTCAAGAACGCCATGCGACACACAATCACGAACTTTACCAGCTTGTAGATCTAAACCGAACCATTTCAGCTGCTCGCGATCAAGTTTGGTTTGAGAGGCATTGTGATAAGCGCGAAGTTTAGCAACAAGATCGGTCGCATCTTGTGCGGCATTGACACTCAGTGCTTTGGGAATGGATAAAAGTGCAGAAGCAAACTCAGCTATTGATAACTGCTCTCGTGCATTCTACAGAAGAAAACAACAGATCTAGATCTTCTACTCAAATCAATCGAACCTACAATAGTCGTAGCAAAATTTTCTAAATAAATCGATAGAGCTGTTTCACAGCAACCACCACCGGGAACTACTTGTTTTGATTCTAGAACACGTTTAATCACGCATAGGGCATCGTGTATCGAGCGTTCGATTTCATCACACATGAAATCGTTCGCACCACGTATGATGATCGAAGCAGCTGTACGTGATTTCGGTCCTCGAATGAGTATAAGTTCATCATCACATACACGTTCTTGAACAACCTCAGCAGCACTACCGATGACCGTCGCGTCAACGGATTCCTCATCTTCCATATTGGCTAGAGCGGTTAATAATGTTGCTAGAATGATTTCAATAGCGATATATTCACAAAGTTCATTACAGTTCTCACCTCCGGTTGCTTTAGCAATTCGCTTCAAATCTGCTTTTTTACAACGTCGCACAGCCATGGCGCCTGCTTCAATAAATTGCTTCAAACATAGATCATCAATACCACCGGTTGTTAAGATTACATTGGCACCTGCGTTCAACAGTTTAGTAACGCGTTCTTTCGCAATATCCGTTTCTCTATATGAATTTTCGTCATCTTAAATGTGAATGAATGAACGAAACTAGCAAACCTTCGTCGGATTGCTTCTAACTTTTCCGGATCTTCTACTACAATCTGTACTCCTAATTTCATTCGTACTTTCTGCAAACTAAAATCCAAACAGGCAATCTTGGCATTCACAATTCGTTTCCTCATCAGTTGGGACGCAACTGTGCAGTTCAATGCATAACCCGACACTAAAACACTTTCACGAGTTGATCGTCCGTGGGCTTTTAATACGTTAATTGATTTCACCGGTACAATTATCTTATCTTTTTCGTTAAATTTAACAGAATTGACAGCATCAACACACATTTTAGCAAAAAAATCCGCATCCCTACAACACACACTTGTCATTCATTGATTATCAATGTAATTTACACATACATGCCAATCACTTTACTAGCCATAGATGTCTTTGCAACATTCATTAAACAATCCTTGCCTAACTTGTCAACGCTAACAGTCATTTTCTCTTGAATGTATTTTACAGCAGTTCTGAAATAACCCCGATAAGTAATTATAGGATGCTGGAAAGATGTATGTTCTTACTTGCATGCTAGTTTATAACCGCTGATTACTGATGTCGGATGAATCTTCTGCTTGACAAGTTGATCAGCATTTTTCAACAGCTCAGCAGCAATAATAACCTTGAGAAAAAGCGAAATTCAATTATTGTAGAGACAGAGAGAGACAATGTGGTTGTTTTTACGTACAACACTAGTTGTACCATCACCAACTTCTTGATCTTGCAGTTGAGCTAATTCAACGAGTATTTTAGCAGCCGGATGTTCAACATCGAGCAGTTTGAGGATGGTCGCACCATCATTCGTAATTGTTATGTCCTAAAGTATCATTCGATCGATGATCTAGAAAGAAAACCAGATCTGCTTCTTACACCAATATCATCTACAAGCATTTTGTCAAGTCCAAGTGGGCCTAATGATGTTCGCACAATATTGGCAATTGACATAGCAGCCAAAACTAAAAGATTCGAGGCGAAAATGACGATTCTGTATGCTCATCGGAAAGTTCCTTACCATTTTGAGTACGAATTGAATCGCCTAGAAATGAAAATCATTTCATTCTCTTATCAATGGTGTAGTTTTTTTTTCTATACCTGTAAGACGTTCACCACCGAGTGATAAAGTACCTTGAGCCATTCTATCTGAAATAAAAAAACGTTTGAGTGGTTTTTTTTTGTCATAAGAAAATCGAACGATGGTCTCTTGCAAGGTTTATCATTATCATTTGGATTCAATGAGAATAATCAAATGTGATCCAGTGAAATGTTTCAGTTCGCTCATGGAAAGATGTCACTATCGACATCACTAAAAAAAAGTTAATTGAAGGAGCAATCGCACGTCACATGGTCGCTCATTATGTTTATTTTGTTTACCGCTTCACCCTATCGGTTGATCGATAATGTGGAAACGAAAAAAGAAGTTCAGTAGTTAGTATCGAAAGAAAAAAGAAACATTAGACTTACTCTTTAATCAGTTTCAATCATCAATAACGTGCTTATCTGTCCAGACAAAGAAAAATAAAGTGGATCTTCTTATTCATCCATCACTTGCCGCTGCCGCTGCTTCGTCGTCTTCATCAAGAATGATCTCGGTTTCTCCTCCACCTCATTCTCATAGTCCACCGTCGAATGGTGCCTCAACATCGAATAGCAATGGTCCATCGTCAGATGCCTGCAATGGAATTGTTGCCAATCTTTTATGCCATCGACAGAGAACTAATGGAGAAAGTGAAACATTCGCTAAACGAGCTATCGAAAGGTAATTCGAAGAGGAAATATTCGATGATTTGGCTTATGTAGTAACATGTGTTTTTTTTCGTAAATATTGTAGTTTGGTGAAGAAATTGAAAGATAAGAAAGACGAACTTGACGCTCTCGTAGCGTCCATCACATCTAATGGGCAAATTCCGACAAAATGTGTCACTATTCAACGAACTCTCGACGGACGATTACAAGTATTGTCTTGCTCAATCAATATTTTATTGAATTATTATTTTCATACTTTGCATAGGTCGCCGGTCGAAAAGGTTTCCCACATGTTATCTATGCTCGTATATGGCGATGGCCTGATCTACATAAAAACGAACTAAAACATTTAAAAATCTGTCATTTAGCATTTGATCTTAAACAAGAATACGTTTGTGGTATGTTTTTTTACTCAGACTTTTGAGTGTATGTACTGTATCTGCTTTTCTCTCATTTAGTAAATCCGTATCATTATGAACGTGTTGTTTCACCTGGAATCGGTAAGTATTCTCCGTAATGAAATATTGATCTAGTTATTTGTCTATGTATACCAACAGATCTCGCAGGAATGCCGCTAGTACCTCGTTTTCAACTACTGGGTCACGGTGATCCATCGTCATCAAATGACCGAGATCTTTATTCTACACCCGATGGATTCCGCTATATGAAAGGTGATTGGAAATATATATTCGTCTTTTCGACAAATGGAATGCCTTGATTTGTTTTAGACTACATCGATGAGCAAAACTCACCCCAAGCTCTAGGAATGGTTCAACATCAAGCACCGGACACGACTAGTCCTAGCCCGCCACATCCATATTCAACAAATGGAAATGCAGCAGCTACCTTGACTAGTTTTCCACCAGGTACAACAAAACTTTCACAAATTTAAATAAGCTAAAAACTTATTTTTCCTCCTTTAGACGGAAACGTTCCTCTATGGGCACAATCAACACCTAGTGTTGCTAATTTATGTAAGGAAATGCTTCAAGAAAAATTCTATTTTCTAACGGCTCGTTTCTAGGGCAACCACATCCTCTTGTTCCGACAAGTGCACCTACACTTCCATCATTGTCATTAATAAGTAATTTTGGTGAATATTGGTGTAGTATAGCATATTATGAACGTGATATTCAAGTTGGAGAAACTTTTAAAGTTCCTGACAATTTCAAAGAAGTGGCAATCGACGGCGGAACAGATATGGCCACTGTTGGTGACAGATTTTGCTTAGGTCCATTGAGCAATGTGCATCGTACGGAAGCAAGCGAAAAAGCACGGTAAAGATTTTTTATTAGAAGAAAAGCTTTTTTTCTCAAATAGATAGTCATTCATTTAGACTACATATCGGCAAGGGCATTCGTGTTGAATGTCGCAACGAAGGTGACGTGTGGATACGATGTTTGAGTGATCAAGCTGTTTTTCTGCAATCTTATTATTTGGATCGTGAAGCAGGCCGTGCGCCTGGCGATGCCGTTCACAAAATCTACTCTCAAGCTTGCATTAAAGTACGTACACAAAACCAAAACGAAGAATTCGACATCTGACATATGTGTATTTACATTTTTCTCGCACAAAATTTATCCATTAATTGTTGTTATTTCTCATCTCAAGTCGGAAATGGAAGCCATTTGTTATAGAAATAATCAGTCGCTAGATCTCTGATGATACTCATATTTTCAAGAATGTAGTGCAATAAGCACTCGAAATATCACTCTTAGAGTATTTACTTGTAAAACGAGTGTCTCGTTTAGGTCTTTGATATCCACCAATGTTTTTCTCAAATGGATCAACATGTCAAAATGGCTGCTCATGCTCGAATGCAACAACAGCTTCATGGTCAACCTGCACCATCAACGAGCTTAAGCGTCGATGATCTCAGACGTTTGTGTGTGTTGAGACTTAGTTTCGTCAAAGGATGGGGACCAGACTATCCCAGGTAAGACTTTTAGTTTTATCTTCTCAAGTATCATCATCATCGACTTTCTTCTCAGACAATCAATCAAAGAAACGCCATGTTGGATTGAAATTCAGATACATCGTGCTCTTCAACTACTTGATGATTTATTTAATTCAATGAATCATCAATTAAATTCTTCATCAATTTCAAATAACAACAGTAGTTCGTCGAGTTTAACTACGACCACTATTGAATCAGCACCTAATCGTCCACCACAACATGGTTAATTCTGTTCTCCTTTCGCTGTTTTCTCTTCGTTTTCACTTATTTATTTTGTATGTAATCGGGTCTTATCTATCATTGAAATTACTCTCGTTTTGTGTGTTCAGCAGATATGTACAGAAATTGTTTTTTTGCAATAGTTATTGTGTGCGTGTGTGTGTGGAACATATAGCTTGGCTATTTGTGATTTTCTGTCTTCGTTTTCTTTTCTCCTCTGCTCATTTCGGTTTTCTTTCCTTGTAGACATTCTTGTTGATCTGATCGTTGTTATTTGTTGTTTCCTTATCTCTACTATAGATGACGAATTTCTGTTATTGCTTAGATGTAATGAACAGGCTCAAATATACATTCATTCTTATTCTTTGTTTTTTTTGTTTTTAAATCTGACATATTTGTTTTTCATGCTTTTGTGATTGAACAAATCAGGTTTTGATATACATAAGACTATCGAGTCATCATTTTCGTTATGAGTTTGTGTATGTATACGTTAACGAAAAACACAACATATGTATGATTTTAGATACGAGAGAACAGCGATGGCATATGGAATATCCGATGACGAACCAACGAAATGAGAACATGTCGATCCATTGGATATTCTGGAAAGAAAAAAAAATTCTCCACTAGCTGAATGGATCCGAAATTCTGAGCATTTTATTGCCTTTACAGGTTTGATGATAGGAAGATGATGGATCTGAATAGTTTGAGTTCTCTAGAGGCAGGTGTGTCAACATCATCAGGATAAGTGAATCCTGTTGTGATAAATCTTCGTGCGTGCATGGCCCTTACCTATACGAGAAGAATCGAATTCACTGATGTATGTGATTATTTCCACTTTGTATTCCTGATTTTCGCTCAGGAATGAACACGATTTTATCTACGAAACTCAATGTTTGGGAACTGCGTAACCATCCAGGTGTGACACGTTCACAAAATACACATATAACTGCAACAGCGAAAGCTTTTTCATTTGCTAATTATATGGCATTGGTGGAATTAGTATATCAGAATCTCCTTCGACTTGTTGTTTCGCAAAATACAGATGGTTTACCATCAATACTATTAGCTGAACTGCTCGGAAATTCAAATTTGAAAATTTGCCAGAAAATGTCACACAAAGTATCTACGCGATTTCCATACGCGTACATCTTCTCAAGCACATGGTCATGCCAAACGCACCGATGTTTGCTTGGTATTAAGCTCTTCATTACGGGTCATTTCAGCTGTGAACAAAGAGGTAAATTAGCCATTGGCAATCTACAATCGACTCTATTAGCTTCGTTAGCTAAATTAAATGTTCACATAATGTGTGAAGACCCCGTTCATAGATTAATAGTGCAATTAGAAATTTCCATACCCGAATGGGAACTGTACCGGCGCATTCGTGTGCCGATAAATCAGTACACTGTGTCTGTTATGGACTTCGATCTCAGTCAAGATATTACTTATACATTGTTTTCGACCATTCAAGTCAACGTTAAATAAAACGAACAGGTTCTCTACGATTCGAATCGTGAAGAACCAATAGAACATATGGTGAACATAAACGAGTCAAAGAAGAATTTTGTTGGATTGATCGAATTAAACTGCCAAAGAGATTATTGTGAATCACTGTACACAATTTGAGTGCCTTGAGTCGATTTAACCAAAGAAATACATCTGTTTTACAACTCGAAAACAAGCATTTGGAGGGAACAGTAATACTATTCTCTGCTTTTATCTATTGTTAATCATGCAGATCGACTTGTAATCTAATCTTGCGGATATCTCGTTATTTTCGAGAATAATTTTTTCATTGCATATTAATTATTCCCGAGTGAACATTCATGAATGTCTTTTTTTTTATCTAGCTCTAGATTGATTTATTCGATTTTAATCTCTCTCGATATTTTTCATTTGACAAAAGTCGTCTCCGCTTAAGCGGAATCAATCTATTCGTCGATATTTAGAATGGGATCAAATTCATCACAACCACCAGCAGAATTAAGCGAAGAAGATGTCGAATTCATTTCAAGTAAAGCAAAAATCGACCACGAAAGTGTTAAAGTTTGGTATGAAAAGCTCAAGGTTAGTTTATGATTGCTTTTGTCTTCTTATCTCTATTCGATTTGTTCTCATAGGCAGCGTGTCCTAACGGCAAAATTTCCAAAGCTGATACAGTGAGTTTCTTGCGTAGTATCAATAGTGGGAAAGAGGATCAAATTGAAAAACAAGCAACTGATATTCACAAAGCGTTCGATGCAAACAATGACGGCATTGTTGGTATGTAGTTTTGTTTGAAAATGTCTTTACGGATAATTTATCTTTGTGTAAAACTAGATCAACGCGAGTTTTTAATTGGCTTTGCATTGACATCAACGGGTAGCGTTCGTGAAAAGTTAAAATACGTTTTCCGAACGTACGATCACGATAAAGATGGTGTGATCAATAAAAAGGAAATCGATCGAATGGTCAAAGTAAGTCAATTAAACAACTTTGATTGTATTCTATTGTGCTTTCTTAGATTGCCATGAGTCTTCACGCGAAAGATGATCCCGAAAATACCACACGTGTTATTGAAGAATTGAAACGCTCACTTGAAAACTTGCACCAAGGCAAAGATTTGGACGATATCAAAATCACCTCCAAAGAGTTTATTCAACTCTTAATGGAGAACAAAGAATTGTGTGAACTAGTTTCACCGTTCAATATTGATCAACCGAGAGAACCCGTTGTTCAACAACCTCATACGCAGTCAAAATAAACAAGCAAGCGATCCAATCAATAGAGTTCTTAGTCAGTTATAACTCCACGGACGACTCGGATATAATCATTTTGTCTTGTGTCTTTTTATTCAGCTAATCATATCAATGGTCATGTTTCGCTTTCTTTTCTCTTCTCTTGTGTTTGTACGTGTATGTGTCTTCATTCTTTTTTCTTGCACATTCTGTTCGGAATGATAAGCAGAGCAACGGTTTATTCTTTATTGTATATCAGCACAGTCTATAAGAAAATCGAGCAGGATAATATATTCAAGCATTATGCAAATAACAGAAATCGGACAAACGATCTTTTTCTCATGGATTTTTTTTGTCTGTTTTTATATCGGAGAATGATCGGTCAAAATGTATGTGTGAGACGGTACGAGGATATACATGCTCAAAAAAAAAGTATTCTTTAAATAATAAAAAGCAAAGTCACTCGATGTATTTTCAAACATCTTCGTCAATCGATCTGACTCTAATAACGGAAATAACATAGCGATGCGGTGTTCAGAATAACAACGATCAGACATGACAACGGAACATATTGGAAGTGTAGAGACCATTTTACATTTCTAGATATGTCTTCAACACAACCCGTTACCGTTCTTGAATCACTTCCCGACGAAGTTTTACTTGTTATTCTATCATACTTGCACGCTATCGATCGATTACGAACATTCAAAAAGCTAAATTCACGTTTTGATCGATGTCTTAGAGAAGTAGGTGTTGGCATTGACGATGAGCTAGCTTCAGATGAACCGCTTGTTCGTAAATTTGCTTTACGCACTATTTTCATACGCTGCAATGAACGTAATGAAGAGTTAGACCTCAGTCAATTTCCAGCTCTTCGTTCACTAACACTCGCTGATGGTGTATGGCCACAAGTAGTTACAATTAATCCAGAAGAGATGCCGGTTATACAGCATATAAGTCTGCGATCTAAAAGTGTTTTTAATATAGAGGAAGCACATACAGAATTGTTCGAAGATGTTTTATCAAACAAATATCCGTGGCTTATTTCAATCCATTTATCTCATGGCATATTTCATTTAAATCGGGAATTATTGGATGCATTCAATCCATGTGATCGTATTCATTCGGCAACTATCGGTTTTTGTCATGTCACTTTATTTGAATTGCTGCTTTGCTATTTACCTAATGTTTCAATGTTAGACGTTCGTGTCGATGACTGGCATTTAGCAAATCGAATTAGAAACGTTAAAGCCATGCCCGATCATTGGCAACAGACTTCATTGTGCTTTTTAACACTTCATCTTGATCATCCGTTCAAAAAACGACATTTTGAATGGCTTGTAAATCGATTACCCGTACTGATACATCTCGATGTAGATAGTCGACATGATGAAAATAATCCTCACCGTTTATGGACATACAATACGGAACTGATGGAGACATTCAGCGAAGTTACACGAACTCAGAACGCGAATGATTAATTCTGCTGAGTTGGTTTTTTATATCTGCATTTCATTCGAATAAAACAAGAGATCATGTAGGATATTTTGAATATTGAATAAGACGTGAGAAGAAAACAAATAATGTTTATTATCGTACATTTGATTAAAACAATTTGTCAAAAAATTTTCGCACATTAATCATGCTTACGGAATTATACATATGTAAATGATTTATTTCTCATTAGAACCTCGACGTATTCGACATCGATAGCACAATAATGTGCCATCTGGTAATGGACAACAACCGCCTAAGAGAGCTGTTGTTTGTTCGTCACTTAAACTTGATTGACAATCCTGCAAGAGAGTATGACGGAGTCAAGCTAAACATATCATCCGTATGAAGTCGATCATACCTCACATCGATAACATTCAACGTGAAAATTCTTATTCATTGCGATAACGCGCACTGTTTCCGAAGAGCCCTAAGATAGACATCATCCACGATCGACTTCGAACATATTTTTTATCTGCCACTTACGTCTTCCGGACATATTGGATACGTACATTTTGCACATCGCGGGGCATAAGTACTACAATGTCAATTTTTTCAATGTTCTATTTACAATCACAATCAAATCCTACTTATGATAATCACGTAGGCAAAACAAACATCGCTCTTTGTCGATAGTAAATGGAAGACCATCGAGTGAGTCGTTACATATCGAACAACGAAAACAGCCTGGATGATATGTATGACCTAATGCTTGAAGCATCTAAAATCAAACAGAAGAAGAAGAAGAAGATCCATGAGTTGAAACTTGGTAGTCTCTCATTCAATTAATGACATACTTGATCCGTAATCAGATGATCACAAATATAACATTTATCAACGGTCTGTTGAAAACCAGTAAACTAAAAAGCCATCCAATGAAAAAATTAAAATACTCGCACACAAGATGTTTCTTCGAAGAATGTCATATCATCTTTCGTCACTTACCAGATAATCTTCTTCGCAGTACACCTGATTATGTATACGATAAAATGGCTTTCCTCGTAATACACGAGCACATATGACACATTTGAAACATTCATTATGGTAAAATCCACCCATGGCTTGACAAGCATCTTCTGATGAACCTGTTATTGATTGTCCACATTTCGTACATTGACCGTAATATTCGCCGACAGTTGAATCAGTCTCGAGTTCTTTCTCTAAACGTAGTGTCAGTGCTGCCAGTTTTTGTTGCACATTATTTATAGGCGCTGGAGACGTCGGTGTCATCGGCATGATTGGATTGAATGATATCGGTGTACGAGGAGGTCGTATTTCTGATGATTGAAAGTTGATTCGAGAAAAGTTCTGTGCTGGATTATTAAAAGTAAAATTAAATTGTGATCGTGGTATGGATGCACGAGATACGGCTGGTTGGTTGAAATGAAACTGATTGGAATTGTGAAAAGACATTGGAGATGAAGACGATTGATTTGATTTGTGTTTCAATGGAACGTAATTCATTTCGAATAATGTTTAACTTTATCGTGAGTAAATGATTGTTCGTCAAAGTCAATCGTCGTTAACTAACGGCTACGATGAATTCAATTTATCAATAACGGCACCATTCGATAGGCATGTGTATATACATACATATTCATGTCTGCACGAGAATGCCAAGATAACTGGCATAACCGGTATTTTCTCTTTTTTTTCTTTGCTCTTTCTCTCAGCACTTCGAGGATCTATTGTATCCAGTTAATCATTCACGAGGGGAACAGAGCGAGAGAAAGAAAGAGAAAGAAAAATCTTTTGTACTTCGTAATTCTACTACTCTATTCTTTCGTACGCATCACAATCCCTCAACACAAGTGAATTGCTCGGCGTATCGAAGGATAATTGCAGTACCAACTGATCTTTCTTTTCTTCTCTTTTGTGCGTCCTTATATGTACTATTATGTTCTGTACCTCTTATAACATCAGTTGTGTTGATGGATGGTAAATTAGCTCATTTTTTTCTCTCGTTGTGTCTACGTACCATAAGGAATCGTTGAATTTTATTTCGGAATCAATAGAACAAGAGAAAGAGTTTAGGAATGATGAACAAAAGTAGTCTGTTTCTTTTTGCTTTATACTTTTATACGGGCTATAATTTTTAAATTCTTCCGTTTCATGTGAGACTTCTTGTGTGATCGAGATCGATTTGGTTTCGCTGGAGTAGTTCCATTACATGGCTGAGAAGGATCATCTTTCCGAACGAAATGTATTTCACACGTATCTTCAGCTAACTCACAATTTTTCGGCGGTTCTTCAACACCAGCGCCGACTCCATATCTGCCAAATACAACAAAAATATGCTTCACAAGATTTTTTTCTCTCGATTATTTCATACCCACAACATTCCATTCCATAGCTAGCACATAAACAATTAGCACACTCGGGATACGGAAGATTCCAAGTACTATTCACATCATATTTCATACCTGCACTAACACAGTACTTCTTCGGGTTATCGTCAGAACCTAAATATTCATCAAAAAAGTGATGTTTTGTCTCGTGCCGAAAACATTCGAAATCGGTTGACATCCGAAGTAATTATTACCGAATCTGAGAACATCGTAATAGCATGAACTGTGGAGATAGGATACCAAGAGAATTAAAATGAAAATGATTCGAAACAGTAAGTGAAGCATTGAAGTCGATCGGTGATTGAATTGATACGAAATGATTTGAAAGAAATATAGAGACAACTGTCTAATTTATATGTTTGTTTTTCAGTAGTCTAAACAACAGATTTTGGCATCATCTGATATTTTCGCACTGATTATATATATATATGCCTTCGGAGGACCGATTGTATGCGGATAGAACTACTGAATTGATTATATGAAGACACAATAGAACAAGAATAAATACAATTTACATGACAAAGATGCTGCGCTTCGACGGTATCTTTACACGAATTGTATACCGATAGTTCTTTCTTATGGGTACAATCAGAATGATCTTCATTTCGAAAGTACGACGTAAAGAAGAAACGAATCGTTTATTCTATTGAATCATTCTACTATTGATTATTTTTTTTTTTTGTGTTTGAATTTATTGAATAGAAAAGAAAAGCAGATGAGTTAGAAATCAACACAAGAAATTGACATGCACTGGTGATGTACGTCAAACATGGAATGATTTTTCGATTTCCATTTCTTGTCTTTATACATAAAAAAAGAAGAGAAAACAAGAGAAAGACGAATATTCAAATAAATAAACGACAATGATAACGAAATGTCTTAGATTGTTTAGTAATCGTTTTTTATTGCACACACACACACACACACACAGAAGTCCGTTGAAAAGAATACTTAGATTAAGTTGCTTTCATAGCGTTCCTATTTTTGTTTTATTTAAGATCAACATCACCATTAATTTTCTTAGCAATATCGTCCGCTAAAGAACGAAAGACACGATCTGAACGTAATGGTGATAATGGTGTATCTTCGATATGTTTCAAAAAGGCTTCTTTGTTTTGTTCTTCAACGGCAGCAATTAATTGCCGGAGTAATTTCACTTCCAAAGAACGTTCTTCGAATAACGGATTATCACTTAAATAACGATTCAATGCAGTATTGGCATTTTCAACATCAATACACAACGCACACACTGACGCTCTAGACAGACAATGGATTGAGAAAATGCGATGAGATACGTAAGATCGTTTACCTTAACCAATAATCTTTAGCACCATATTTCAACAATGGATCATCTTTAGTTTTATCAGCCATTTCTTCGTATTCTTGTTGTGCTCGTATATACTCATGTTGCAGTGCGAGTGTTTCAGCCATTTTCTTTTGCACTCGATTGGCACCTGCCTTTTGTCCTTCTTGCTTCAGAAATCGATGTGCTTCTTTCAAACATTTCATCATATTGTCAAGATCATTCAATTGCTCGTACAGTTCAGCAACCTTCTCTAGTGTTTGAGCAGCCATGGTCCATTTACCTTGAGACATATGCGTTTCAGCGGCACGAGTCAACGGGTGAATCGCTTGTGGAACATCAAACATTTTGTACGACGATGCAATTGCTTCATACATTTGAGCTTTTTCGTAATCTTCAGTGCTCATATCTAATGCACGCTTGTAAGCTTCAACCGACGTCGGATAATCACCTTCAGCTTTTCCCGCATTGCCAGCTTGAACATAGAGTGCGCGTGCATCTTCGGTAGCTGAACTACCAGCACCCATGATACGACTGAGGAGTCCGCCTGCTGATTTGGCTTTCTTATTTGCTTCAGCCATCAACTGCGATGCTGGTTTGTTACTTGTTCCACCGGCCATGAGTAGCAAAGATTAAAAGTGAAAAAATGAAAATATCTGAAATGACAAGAAACTTGTTTGATTTCTCTTTATTGTTACAAAAGTGTAAATGGAATACGAGTTTCTTCGAAACAAACATTAAACTAATACGATGACAAATGCAATCGTTTTCAACATATTACCCTGAAAATTAAACATAGGCTTTTTTTTCTATCAGTTACCATACTTTTACATCTAGAAAGGGAAAAAAAGCAGCAGTCCAATTTCAAGAATAAATTGTTTTCTTCATGAACTTTTCTACCTTCCATCGATTACCACAATTCTTGCAGAATACAAATAAAGTCATTGGTTCATCAGCACTACGCGTTTGAGCTTCTGTGTATGCACAATTGTTTTGCTTACAACTACAAATCCATAATTCAGTTTTCCCATCAATACTAAGTAGTACTGTTTAATGACATCCTACCGTCTACATTGAATGAGATCAGTACCAGTTCCTTCATCCATAGCTAGTTGATGTTCGTTGATTGCACTTTCATTCAATTTCGTACGTTCCTCTTTTAATGCATCACTTGCCATTTCCTGAAATATTCGATGATTACGAGCGAAAACAAACAATCGAAGTTGACCTACTTCTGCGGTAAGTACAGCTAATCGTTCTGGCGTAATAATGCCGAGAAGTGCATTTGTACGAAGTTTAGGATTCTTCAAATCTTTCAAATTCGATATGCGACTACGAATACGATTGCGATATTTATTGCCTGTATCTTTCAATTCTTGAAAAATAGCATCCTCAATGCGTGCAGCTAATTCGACAGGATCTGCTGATCCTTCTGGAAGTTCAGAAACGGAGAAAGCAGCAGCAAGAAGTTCACGCGACTTCAATCTAAATTATAGAAACTTTTACCAATACACCGACAACTTCTCTATCTATAGATCTACCTGACTTCATCTGACGTATGTGATGCAGTAATACTGCTCGATGCGGGCTGCGAAATTTGTCGTTCAATCGACTTGCTTGGTTCGAGCTTTCCTGAGCTCGAATTTGATTCCTGTGATAATTGACTATTGTAATTATTCGTCGGTGTCGATTGTTTTTCTTCTTTGCTGAATGGTGTCGATGGAGATTCTTGAAATAATCAAATAACGAGTGAGATCGTTTCGTCTGGTCAAAAAACAAGTGCTACGAACCTGGTACGAGCTTTTTCCAATTCTTTAACAGACTTTTGGCTGTTGTTGATAGATCTTCATTAGCAATAAGCCGCCGTAGATTATTGACTGTTTTTCCAATCCCAGTTTTTTGTAAAATGCTCAATGTAATACGTGATTCTTGTAAACGAGTCAACAGATCCCGTGCAATCGATTCATCCTAAGAGAATTCAGTGAAAAGAAGACATTTCTTACCACTGTTTCGATCGTGGAACTTACAACTTCGGATTTATCGATCATTTTCTGTAATTTTCGATTAACTTTGCCAATTTCTTCTTCAGTCATTCTCGTCTTTTGACTTATAATCTAAAAAAAAATGAAAACCAAGTTATTCGTGGCGAGCAAACGTTTTATTTACGAACGGCGATGTATGACTCGAACTACATGTCTACGCAATAGAGATTAAACAAAATGATTCATCGGTTACAATTCTCGAAGAAAAAAAAATGTTTTATTTGAAATTCTCATCGAAATCAACATGCTGATTGGTAACATGAGATAAGAAGAAATAAAAAAAAGGCAACGGACAGATGTCGGCAGCGGAACATCTGCGTAAAGGTCAATGATGAATTTCTATTCGTTGACAGCGCACCCTCTTTTTCAATTGATGATATATATTTGTTTTTGAATCAAATGCTGTTGCTGTGATGTTCAAAATTCGTGTTCTAATTCGAATTGGTGCTCTGTATTTCCTTCTGTTTTTTCTCATTTCATTCTGGTACTCATCAAAAGTTGAATTGCATGAATCTAATCTCGAATCAAAGCATCGCTTAGCAGTAATTGTTCCGTTCCGCAATCGTTCAAGTGAATTAGAACAATTTTTACCTCACATGAATGCATATCTCTCATCACAAGCAATCGATCATATATTCATGGTTATTAATCAAGCTGATACTCATCGTTTCAATCGTGCTGCTCTGATTAATATCGGTTTTATTGAATCTCGAACAGTTGTGGATTATATTGTTATGCATGATATTGATCTTCTTCCGATGAATTCCCGAGAATTACGATACGATTATCCAGAGAATGGGCCTGTACATTTAGCATCACCGATATACCATCCGATTTATCATTATCCAACTTATGTGGGCGGTATCTTAATGATCACATGTGAAGATTTCGAACGTGTCAATGGAATGTCACCGTTATACTGGGGTTGGGGTAGAGAAGATGATAACTTTTTCGTGAGAATGAAACTTGCTGGAATGAAACTTTACCGTCCGTATAACTTAACAACGAATTCGTCCAATACATTTGCTCATATTCACGATAAGAATGTCCATAAACGTGATTATGCCAAATACGGTCAACAGAAAGAAGAAGGTAGAAAAATTTATCCGGAAATGGGATTTAACACAACTAAATATACTCTAATTAATAAAAGTATTCTAAAGACTAAAACGGGAGTGGAATATAATATGCTAGATGTAAAACTTGAATGTGATTATAATCTAACACCGTGGTGTGACCATCCAATGACTACTAATATCTCGAAATGATTTTGTCAGATATTTGTAATGAATGCTTTTCTTTTATACAGAATTTACTAATAATTTTAGATACATATATATATTTGTATGAGTGTTGCTCGAGTGGTAATAACTGGTCTAGGTGTTGTGTCACCGCTAGGAGTCGGTGTTGATTTCAATTGGCAACGTTTATTGAATAACTATTCAGGCGTTGTACCATTGAATAAAGAAGAGTACGCAGGAATTCCTTGTCAAGTGGCTGCACGTGTTCCAATTAGTTCAGAAAATGAAGATGGGACATTGAATTTTGCAGCGTACTTCACTCGTTTGTCAGATTTGAAGTCGATGTCATTGGCTAGTGCATTTGCTCTTGTCGCTGCCCAAGAAGCACTTGAGCAAAGCCAAGTAAGTATTTCTTATTCTACTCTTTTTTAAAAAATACTCAGAAGTCTTTTTTAGCTACTTACAGATTCAACTGATCGCACACGAGTTGGTGTTTCCATTGGAAACGGATTAGCTGGTCTAGAAAATACATGTTCCATCTGGGAACAAATGAAAGTCAAAGGAATATATCGTGGTATGAGTCCATATTATATAACCCAAATCTTACCCAATTCATCAGCTGGTCACGTATCGATTCGACATAAATTACAAGGACCGAATGTGAGTGATTCGATGAGAATACTTATTGAATAAATTGCTCTTTCAGCTTTGCAATAGTTCAGCATGTGCAGCAGGCGTTCAAGCAATTGGCGATGCTTACAATATGATCCGACTTGGCCATGCTAATGCTATGGTATGTGGTGGTACAGAAGCAACAATCAATCCCATTTCGATATCAGGTTTCGCACGAATGCGTGCACTGTCGACATTATTTAATGATCAACCAAAACTGGCTTCCCGTCCGTTTGCGTAAGTACTTTCCGTTTGTCTTTGGTTACAGCTTTGATGTATTAATTATTTTAGTAAAAAACGAGATGGTTTCGTTATGGGCGAAGGAGCCGCTATTCTTGTATTAGAACGATTAGAATATGCCGAACAACGTGGAGCGAAGATTCTTGGCGAAATACTTGGATACGGTTTGAGTTCAGATGCAAGTCACATTGCAAATCCCAGTGGAGCAGGAGCATTGAATTGTATGAAAAATGCATTGAATAATGCTGGTTTAAGTCCAACCGATATTGGATATATCAATGCTCATGCTACATCGTAGGTTTGATACCACTTTGAAGTGATGTAATAAAACATGATTTTGTATTTTCCGTTTCAATCTAGAACTCCTATTGGTGATCGCATTGAACGTCAAGCTATCTCACAGATATTTCAGTCAACGAATAGTCATGTGTTAGTTTCGAGCACAAAAGGTAATACAGGTCATTTACTTGGCGCGGCTGGTGCACTTGAATCGATTTTCACTGTTCTTGCCTGCTACCATGCTCTATGTCCTTCGACGTTAAACTATAAGGATAACGAAGACGATTCCGAAGAATTACCGTCGATAAATATTATTTCGGGTGACCAAGCATTGTCTTGGAAGAGTGAAAAACGTATTGCTTTGAAAAATTCTTTTGGTTTTGGTGGAACGAATTCATGTCTTGTGGTTTCGAATTTCTTTTAGATAAATAATGTCACTTGCTGATCAATTGAAATCAGTTCGATTACGTTCGACAAATCAGCCGAAGGAGAAGCGTCACGAACAACTGCTATGTCCAGATAGTGAAACTTATCGAAAAATGATGGACGAAACCCAATTCGAGCGGTATTATGAGGCCATTAAACAGTGGACGTTTCCGTCGGTGATTCTGCCAGCGAATGAAAATCAAATCGTCGCACTTCGAAACGGCCATGAGTTGTTCAAAAGTCTTTCGTCGACTGACGATGATGAAAAGACAGAAGAATGTTTTCGAAAGTATCCAGATTTAGCAGAACTAGCGGCAAGAATTGATAGTTGCAGTATAAAACGACCGGTATTTGTCCGATTGTCCACAAGAAGTCCAAAAGATGCCGTGTTACTATTGAATAAAGACAAATTCAAGCAGATCTTCCAACAAATATTCAACGAACTCAAATCCGATGAGACATCCAGTTGGTGATTATTTGTTTTCTCTCTACTTGTACAACGGATCTATTTTCTTTTAGAACATAATCAGCAGATGATTGCTCTGGATGAGGCATCGATTCGTATTCTTGCTGTTTATGACGGTTTTCACGCAGTTCAACTGCTTCTCGCTAGCGAACGCATTCAAGATGATCTTAAATCATCTTTATCGTTGAATTTGATTGTTCGAGAATTCCTCATGGATCGCCAGAGTTTAAAAAGTGAATTTCGTGCGTTTATCTACAAACGAAAGTTGACTGCGTTGACTCAATACAACGAATACATTGTAGACAGAGTTTTGATCGAGCAGAAACGCATCGTTTTAGAATCAGTTGAGAATTTCTTCAAAACAGAAAATCTTCTCGAACAAATTCCATACGATAATTGCGTGTTGGACTTGATTCTAATCGAAAACTCTCCTGGTAATTATCGAGTGTATATCTGCGAAGTTAATCCATTAGCAGAATTTGCTGGTACAGGACTATTCTCATGGTTGAACGATCGAGCAATCCTTTTAGGTGATGCACCATTTGAATTTCGCATAAGAGAATCTGAAACAAAAGAATCTAATCAGGCGGATAAACAATGGTTATCATTAATAAATCATTTGTAATTATTTACTTTTTTTAATACTTTCAGATGTTCTAAATAGGATAGAAAGGAAACATTCATGCCAAACCAATCAGCAGATATTATCAATTTAAATGTTGGTGGTCAACGATTTTCGACCAGTCGACAAACGCTGACGTGGATACCGGATTCGTTTTTCACCGCAATGCTCAATGGTCTTATCTCAACAAATCGTGACGAACAAGGCGCAATTTTTATCGATCGTGATCCGAAACTATTTTCAATTATTTTAAACTATTTACGTACAAAGGAACTTGGTAGGGCTTGTGCAGCTTTCTCAGCGAGAAACTCATTATTTGCATTGCAGATATCAATGGCTGTGATCTTCATATGCTAAAGCATGAATGTGAATTCTATGGTGTTCAACCATTGATTCGTCGCTTACAACTGTGCGAAGATCTTGAGCATAGTCAATGTGGTGATGTACTTTTCAACGGATACATAAATCCTCCACATTCAGTTAATACACCACCTACGTATGAGTCAACACAAACGCCGATGGCACAGGCAATCGTCTATCAACCGCCACTATGTCAACCAACAAATTTGGTTCGACCTGGTACAGCTTTGAGATTGAATAGTATGATGCAGCAGACATTAAATCGTAGTGCATCACAACTTGGAGATTTTAGGTGAAAACTCTAATTGCAAGTGATGGGTACGAGCTAATGGAGATTTCTATTCTAGAGCCTTATCAACCGACGTAATATCGGCTATCCCATCCGCATCCAGTGTAAGTCGCGGACATTCACGAGCATCTTCCACTGATTCCGTCCTTTGGGCAACTCACCAGTCTAACTCTTCCTCGTCTCATTTACGTCAAAAATCAATTGGTGCTTCTATTGAGAATCATCCTCCCATAGCGAGCTCTTCCACAGCAGGTGTTATTCTTCTTGCTGGTCATCATAACTGGATTAGTGCGGCATACTCAAATAATGGTATGCATAAATATTTCTGTCAGCCATTGAATTCGTTTTCTTCGTCTAGTTGTAATGTGCTATAAAATGAAAGATACAAGTGGTTGGCAATTGATGTTCGAATCAGAAACTCAATCGGATGATATCTACCGTTTAGCTATAACAGCTCGTTCGTCATCCTCCTCTTCGTCATCATCTTCAGTGAATCAACAATCACCAGATTCGACCTCCAATCTTCGAGAATCTAAACTTTTAGCTATCGCCGTGCGAACAAATGTTCGACTTTGGAATGTAGTTGATGCATCCATCCATACACTTATCGGCACATTTGCGTTTGGCGGACCGATTGATAATCTATTTTTTATCAATTCACAATTAGTAGCTACAGGTGATGAAAGAAAGGTTGGTGTATGGCATTCACTGTCTCAACAGTGGCAAACACAGGAATTAACACGAATATTAAGTTTTGATACAGTAAGTTTTCTTGTCACGAGAACCGAAGAACTTATTTATATTTATAGGCTGGAACGTTTTTATTACTCGGTAGTGAAACAGGATCGATCTACTATTTCGATATGCAAAAATTTCCTTTGAGAATGAAAGATAACGACCTATTAATTACTGAAATATTCAAGTGAATACGAGTTTTCTTTTGATGTCGATAAGAACTATTCGGTTTTAGAGATCCAGCTGGTGAATCAATTACAGCGTTAAGTGTCTATCTAACACCTAAGACAAGTGTAACAGGCAACTGGTGAGAGGAAGGACACTTCGCGAAACCTAATCAATCATTGAAATTCTTTGATAGGATTGAAATTGCATATGGAACTAACTCTGGTATCATTCGAATTGTAGTACAACATCCGGAAACAGTTGGTCATGGGTAATCTTTATTGAATCTTATACAGAGCAGTCAATTATCGTATGTCATTGATGTTTCTATTTAGTCCCCAATTATTTCAAACATTCTGTGTTCATCGCAGCCCAGTTACAAAGGTAGGATAAGTGTAGGTAAATGTTGTTCTACCATCTTTCCCATTTGAAGATCATGCTCTCCGAACGGCACTTAATCAGGTAAGTTTCTTTTCCTTGTCACATCGCTGAATTTCATTGAATCTTTTCTCTAGTGTATGCGCGTCAAATAATCATGTTCGTACATGGAATGTCACCCGTTTTCGTGGCATGATATCAACACAACCAGGTTCGATAGAATGATATTTCATTATCGCTTTCAAGGATAATATCTTCATAGGATCCACTCCACTGTCTTCCTATCGTATTGTATCACTAGAGCCAGCTCGATCAATCGCTAGTTATACAGCGGGCAATGTAAGCAAGATGATTACCTTATCAACTAAGACTATTTGTTATCTATATTTTAGGATATTGGTATGCGTCCTCTGATGAGAAGCATTTCAAGAAAGTTTCAAATTCTTGTTTAGGCCCGTATGGCGATCGTGATGATCAACAAGTGTTCGTTCAAAAAGTCGTTCCATTCGAGACAGATCAGATCTACGTTAGATTCTGTTCAACAGGTAACATTGTACTGTTGAAGTTGAAAATAACAAGTTTTGTCTTTGTGCGACTAGGCAAACGAGTAGCTATCGTTCGATCGGTAGATAGTTCACCGATCAGTTGCTTTACAATCCATGAATGTGAAGGGCCATCACGATTGAGTACACGTCCTCGTCGATTTATCTTCACCGGTCATGACAACGGTTTGTTTCGATGCTTTTCGAAGAAAAAAATGCACTTCGATTTCATCCAGGTTCAATTCAATTATTTGATTTAACAACTGCGATTGAACTTTGTTCGAATACGGATTTAAATTCCAGTTCACCATCATCGTCATCCTCTCACCAACATAATGGAGGCCCATCAGCAGCTGATTTATTAAAAATGCTTGATCATTGCGATTTCGCTGCCACAAGTGGTCAGCATCAAAACTTTCTATCTTCACGTTGTTCAACTCCTTGCTGTATGAGTAATAACCATACGTCGACATCAACCGTAAACTATACAACTGCTGTAATATCATCGCCATCATCACAAGCTACTACAAAAGAAGAAAGTGATAAAAACGTCTAATTTTGCATTTCTCTACGAGTGTATGTGACTGATTTCAAAACAAAGAAAAGTCTTTTATTTCCAGAATGACTGCAACAAACTACGAGTCTAACCTATTCTTCCTTTTCTTTTAAATGCTTTTTGTTAAATCAAGTAAATGTCAATATTATCGGGTTTATTTCAAACTAAATTTTTCAGATGTTGAAACAAATTACCGCCTATGACACGAAAATCTCGCTTCAATGGGCTATCTGTGCTCGACTAGATTCCGCTTATATATCATTTCGAAAACTCGCGATTCTGTTAGAATTTTCTGGTTCAGGTTATGTTTGGATTCCGTATGCAATCATCATGATCGCCCTTCATTACACATCGATACATGAAGCCATGCGATTCATTCTACTATTCACTGGTCTCATGTTTGACATTGCGATTATTGGAACTACGAAAGGTCTAACGCGTCGACCACGACCAATTGTTAACCATAACGATGTTTTATCCATAGGACCTGATAAATTTTCTTTTCCGAGTGGTCATACATCTCGTGCGGTGTTTTTACTTTTTTACTTTATTCAAACATCTTTCTTCAAACATATCCCATCGCCAGTCATCATCATTTGGTTAAGTCTAGTTGTTGCGTCACGAGTGATACTAGGACGACACTATGTATCTGATGTGATAGCAGGCATTTTCTTTGGCATTTTCGAATGTTCAGTTATTGTACGTTTGACTCCATTTGTTACGCGTCTTGTTTTTTCTATTTTTGGTATTCCACAGTAATGATGAAAAGCGAACAAAGAACAACAATAAATTCGTTTTTGTTTTCTCATGTCATTGATCTTTTTCTTTACTCTTCAATCGTTTGTTGACAAGCATCACATCTACACATTCATTCGTATTAAATACGAAAGCAAAAGAGATTAGAATGTTTTGTTCGATTTCGACGAAACGACAAATGAAATAATTTAGTTGTCATTGTACAATAATGACAAGTATTTCGATTTCTCTTACACTGATTATATTCCTAACGATTCAACAAGGTAATCAGATTGCTAGATGTATTTATCAATAATTCGATGTCTTTCTTTACTTTTCAGTGCGAGCAAACTGTCAAAATGAAACATCAGGTGCTTCATTTGTTTATCGACGTGTGTGAGTATCCGTATGCAAAAAATCTTTTCTTCTCTCTCAGTGTTCTCTCTCAATTTAGTTGCTACTTTGCTAATTGGGCAGCGAAAAGATATGACAATATCAGTCGTTTAACACCTGAAGATATCGATCCATTCCTGTGCACACACATCAATTTTGCTTTCGGCAAAGTACTCGAAAGTTTAACGATAGCGCCTTATGAAGAAGATGATTTGAAAGGATGGACCACCAGTTCAAAAGGCATGTATGAGCGTATAATACAATTGAAAGAAACCAATCCTGATCTGCGTGTACTACTGAGCGTCGGCGGATGGACACATGCATCACGTGGGTTCAATGATGTATCGAAGAGTGCAGCAAATATGTATGTAAGATTTCGTTTTCTTGACCTATATAAATGAATATTTGATGTAGCAAAACATTTGCTAAGAATAGTGTGAAGTTCTTACGAGATAATAAATTCGATGGATTGGATTTGGATTGGGTAAATCGACCGAGGCTTTACTCGTGAATATAGCGTTTTTATGTTGCGATTAGGAATATCCAGGTGCGAAAGACCAAGGAGCAGAGCCCCATTCGAAAACCGGATATACAAAATTAGTCAAGGTAGACAATATAGAAGAATTAAAACATGATTTTGACGCTTGATGAATATAGAAATTAAGTGAAGTATTCCAAGAAGAAGCAGAAGAAACAGGAAAAGAGAAGTTATTACTCACATGTGCTACAGGTACTTGTTTAATACACTTGAAACCAATCACATGATTAGTTGATATTCGTTTAGCTGCTGCACGACATCGAATTGAGGCTGGTTATGAAGTGGAAGAAGTGTGCAAGTAGGATAAGCGATCGCCAGGCGAATCATTTCCACTTTCTATTTAACTTAGATATTTTGACTTTGTATCTGTCATGACTTGTAAGGCCTTTCATGAAAATCTTTAATGATGCATCGTCTTTTGGTTGTACAGATGATTATCATGGAAGTTGGGATGGGAAGACGGGACATAATAGTCCGTTGTATGCAATGCGGCATGAACGAAAAAAATTTCGCGAATGGAATATCAATAGTTCAATGCATGTATGGGTAGAATTAGGTTGCCCGAAGGAGAAATTGAACATCGGCCTTTCTGCTTATGGTTTATACAATTAAATCGTTGATTTGCTTTTCTGTTTTAACTCCGATCATTTTAGGAAGAGCCTTTTCGTTGATGGCAGAAATGGGAATAAGTCACGGGAAATCACTAGCTAGAAGAAAATCATCTATAGGTGTGAAAGCAAGTGCTGCTGAAGCTGGAAAGTATACAAGAGAAGCTGGTGTGTTGTCCTACTATGAGGTAAGTTTTAAGATTATAAATACTTTCACCTCTCTCACATTGTCGACAGATTTGCGAATTGTTAAAAAACAATCCCAGTAATCGTGTTTACTGGCATCGTGAAATGGGCGTTCCATACGTTTCGAGTAAATCATTATGGATTGGATTTGATAACGTTCGTAGTGTTACCCTAAAAGTAAAACCGAATCTCTGCATTGATCAGCTTGGATTTTGTTTGATCTTAGATGAAATTTTTGAAAGATCATGGGTACGGTGGTGTGATTATTTGGTCATTTGATCTTGATGACAAGATAGGTGACGTGTGCAATGAAGGTCCGTTTCCGCTATTCAATGCTGCTAAACGTGAATTATTGATCTTACCTGACCACCTTGCTAATGCGAACAAAAAATGTCCAGATGACAATAGTACATGGCTACTGGAACATCTCGGTTCTCATTCAGTTTCATCAATAAAAACTTCATTTTTAGTTCTCACTTTTTGCATATCTTTATTGTGTATATAGCAATAAAAATATCATTAATCTATTTATTTCTAGATGGATGAAATCAGCAATCGTAATAACGATTATATTAAAACAGAATTGATTACAAAGTTAATGAAACATTTCCTTCCGGAAGATAAATCCTCGCGTTTATCAAGCGATATGGTGAAATTATTTACAGAATTGATCTTTGTATTTGTTACTCAAGCATTTACACGTACAATTCAACAAGCATCATCCGAAGGAACAATTCAAGTCGAAATTTCCCATCTAGAAAAAATTCTCATGCAATTGTTACTTGACTTTTGAATAATTAACATGTTTTCTTGTTCTCGTTAAAAAAAAACTTCTTGCTGAATCTTTTTCAGATGTCATCAACTAATTTGAAACACCCATCAGGATCCTTTAGTCACAAGTCATTGTCAAATTCAAGTTTAGGCGATGGACAAAGCGTGTATTGTGTATGTCGATCGAGCGATTGTTCAACATTCATGATGTAAGAAATGTGTAGGAGTCAACTCGAAATAGTATATCGATGATTTCTTTTAGCGCGTGTGACGTATGTAATATCTGGTATCATGGTAATTGTATTGGTATGAGTGAAAAAGAATCAGCTAAAGTGGAAAATTTCTTTTGTCATCAATGTCGTCGTAAGTTGTCTTGGAAAATTGAAATCGTTCTACAAGCGGAAGGAATATATTCGAATAGATAAGAAGCCTAGTTTACAAATCAAATACACCAAACCGTTAAAAGAAATTGAAGAGAAACTAAGTAAATGTATTCGGGTAAGTTTCGACATTTCTCATATTGCACTGACTAGTTTGAATTCTAGCGAAGACTACGCAAAGAAGCTGAATTGTTAAACCCTTCACTAAAACAAATGGATGCACCATCGCTTACTCGAGAACATTCAAGTAGTGCTGATCAATTTGTTAACGAAGATTCCACAAGTAATCAATCGGATTCATCGTCATCATCCGCGAATCTTATGGCACGACAAAAACAAGTTTTACATGGCAATACTTCGCATACAAATCGTTCGAATGATGAACATGAAGTCAAACATACGACAAAACGTACATTGACTACAAAAAATGTTAGCACCAATGAAAAACGGAAACGAAATGTTAGTGGAAGTGGAATTGTTACTATTAAACGCGAACCACAAGTGAACTTCAATGATGATGTTCGTTTCTCTCTTTAATAAAACAAATGGAACGTTAAACATGTGCATTTAGGATGATACGAAGAATCTCAGTGCGCGACGTCGTCGACGTCGTACAACTGAACCTCCTCCACGGCAATGTTACGGACCAGGTTGTGTTTTCGAAGCACGTCCAGCGTCAAAATATTGTTCAGACAAATGTGGATTAGAATTAGCACGAAAGTGAGATAAAGAACCCATTTGTTTGCTTCATTTTGCAAATTGTCCTATTTTAGTCGATTACTACAATTTCTTCCGATGCGTTTAATGCAATGGCAAACTATTCCTTCAGTTGCTGATACTTTGAATAAAGCAGCCATGGAAGAAATTCGCATTGAAATCGATCAAATCAAACAACGTTTAACGGTGCTCGACGAACGACAACGACAATTAGATGAAATTATCGAACGTGGCAAACAGTTAAAAGCCACCAAAGATGCTGATGTACGTATACTAATGAAGTAATGAACAAGTTTTTGAAAAGTTATTTCTATTCTCTAGAAAGTTGATGCTGCAAATGATGAACCAGATGGCATGTGTTTTTGTATTTTATGTAATCAAGAAATTAGTCAAAAGTCTTATATACGTCATGTTGATAAATGTTTTATTCGGGTGAGAAGAATATCTAAGATATAGGGCGATGAGTCATGGTAAACGAAAGGAAGAGAAGGGCATTGCGTGCGATTTTTTTTCTTTGACGAAAATCATTCGAATGGCAAAATATTTGAGGTGAATTATATTGAATAATTGTAGTTTGAAAGTCAAGTCTCGTATGGCTCAAATGTGAAGTCAAATATCGAAGGGCTGTTCTGTGATAATTATGATCGGACAAATAATCTCTATTGTAAACGATTGAAGGTCATTTGTCCTGAACACGCTCGCGATCCAAAAGTAAGTTGTATTGACCTTCTACAAGTGAACGAACGATGAGTGTAATTTTGTAGATAAGTCCTGATGAAGCATGTGGATGTCCATTAGAGAAGAATCTATTCGAAGTATCGGACGAATTATGTACAGCACCAAAACGCGCGTGCTCGAAACATTTCAAATGGGATCGACATCGGCGCGCCCAAATTGATCTTGAACGACTTCATGAGGTAATTGATTTATACAGAAATGATTTTAGGGAGGAAATAGCGACTGTTTGTTTTCAGTTAATGCGTTTTGAAGAATTGGTCGAAAAAGAAAATCGATTACGAACAGCTTTGAATGAACGTGGTTCGGTCGCAGGACTTCTTTTACACAAAACAACAGCTCATTAAAGACATTTATTCGTGTGTTATGTATATGTGTGTGTGTCAAAAAATGTATAGTTGCTTTTGTCTTTCTTTATTTCTTAATCGAACATTCTAAACAGAGGAAAAAAACCACAGAAACGTAAATAAATAGAAATACGTATCTCATCCCAAATTACAGATTAGAAAAAAATGCGGAGATTTCTAGGTCTTGCAGTCGCTTTTGGTGCAGGTCTTGGTGCTGCAAAACTTACGCAATGGAAGCCAGTGTCAAGTGAGCAACAATCTAGCGGACATCAACATGACCATCATCATCATCAGCACACACCGGGATCAAAAATGACCCTGAAAGGTATTTCATCATGATGAAAAGTTTACTATGATCATTTCATTGTTTCTTTTGGCAATCATTACAGGACATGTTCTTGATATGGGTGCTCGAATGGCAGTACGTAATTATCAGTTCGCTTTCAATCACGTACAATGATACATTTATTTGTAGGGCCACTTTGCTCCAGTGAATACTATTCATCAGCACGTGTGTGGATTTCATTTTTATTCCGGTAAATAGTAATTATTGCATGAACGTTGGCGAGAAAAAGAAATCTATGTTGTATTGCAGGTGATATGACACGACAATTGATTGCACACCATTACTGTTCACATATCAATCAAGATGTTCGTCAGTGTGTCATATATGACAGTGATCGTCCGGATGCACGTCTCATTGGTGTAGAGTACATTATATCCGAGGAACTTTTCAATCAATTACCTGCCGAAGAAAAGAAGTTATGGCACTCGCATGTCTATGAAGTGAAAAGCGGTACATTAGTCACGCCAGGTGTACCAGATGTTGCCGAACGAGAAGTGATGAAAGAATTAATTCATACCTATGGCAAAACATTTCATAGTAAAGGATATATTCCATAGAATCATGAAGCGAGATTATGTATTTCTTTTTAGCATGGCAAATTGATCGCGGCGATCCACTTCCGCTTGGCGTACCACAACTGATGATGGCATTCAATCAAGATGGACAACTAAATCCAGAATTAGTACGGCAACGAGATGAATATTATAAAATATCTGCTGAAGAGAAAAAACGTTCGCGTGCTGATATTCAAACTCCCGCGGTGAATAAAGATGCGGATGCTTGGTCAAAATCGGGCAAAGCCGTTCAAGTAACGATTACAGAATCAAAAATGAAATTGGTGAAATGAATACCTATGTTTTAATGTTATTTAATCTAGCAAAATTTCAGTTCCGGTAACTTTTTAAGTTGAGCATTTTGGTGTCTTCTCGTCGAAAGTATCCGTTGTAAAGCGGCTCGAACGAAAGTCTTCTTAATTTTGTTTTCTTCTAGTTCTTTTTGTAATAAAACTACTGATATGTTGCAGTCTTATTCTGATTACGACGTTTGATAGTTTATTTAAACTTTTTCTGTATGAATTGTAATTGACTACAATGCAAGAAAGAAAACTTCCAAGCGATTCTATTTTTTATCATGAGATACCTCGAATATCTTTTTCATTCTTTCCTTTCATTGACTTTTACGATCACAATGACGTATTGTAAATGTACTACATTCGAATGTGCCTATTACAAATGCATTCCCATGTGTTTTCTTGACTCTTTTAATTCTTCAATATGCAGGACGATAGCGAATACGTATAAATTCAACAGAATAAATATCTACTGTTTTCATTACGTTGATATAACATATAAAGCCCATTTTAAGTAAGTTTGTTGATATGAGTGTATGTGGTGCCGGCGTTAATTTAGTTTGGACTGACGCTGTCAGCACTTGCAGTGCATACTTCATTTGTGGTGTGCTTCAAAATCAGCCATTTGCTTATCTCGAGCATAGGCCATACGTAATGGGGAAAGAATGGGCCATTCTCGATGGTGGCGGTAAATCGATTGATAAAGACCGAGAGCGAGAGGCACTTTGACACTTAATCAATCCAAGCAAATCCACGTATGACCGCGTAAGATCATCGTTGTTAGGAATATCTCTTACCTTGTTCTGTAAGCTTTGTTATCACACGATCATTCTTGCTCAAGTCACACGCGAGACCACCGAAGAAGAAGAAGAAGAAAGGTGAAGTATGTTTCAACTCATATACTTCAATAAGTCTACTGGTATTCATCGACGAAAATTGACGAATTCTCCTTCCAAAATCTTTATGTAGTTTTCTCTTGGCGAATTTCATGCTTTCCAACTGACTTCTTTGTTCGTTACACTCCAAGTCGTTACTTAATCGAATCTGATGAAAGTGAAACTAATATTCTTTTAAAGAAACGTGTAGTATTAATGGCATACATATCGTTCAAGTATGCATACGTCGAAATAATCATATTCTGAGGAGCATATGTATGACGTGTTATCAGTGAGAGATTTGACTGTTCACATTTCAATGTCATCTATTCAAAAACAATAAAGAATACTAACAAAATTTCAAAACATTCAATATCTGCACTAGAAAGACTTGGAAAACAAAAAAACTATATTCAATAACTAAAATACTGTCAATACATTCATTGCCTCCTTCAATTGATCGATTCGTTGCCGTTCTTGTTGAAGTTTATCTTCGTACGAATCAATTATCTGTTTTTTGCTGTGTTGACTCTGTTGTAACAACAGTTTCAATGAATTATTGATGTTTTCTATTTGTCTAATGTTGGCTTTTAAATCGCGTAATTTTTCTATTAAATTCATCAATGATTCATTTTGTTTTTGAAGTAGTTTCGTATGTTTGGCTTCATAGGTACGTTTAATTAATCGCAATTCAACTTGTTGTGCAAAACGAATTACTTCTGTTGTATCGTTTAATCGACGAATCCCTTCTTTCAGATAAGGCCAATCCGTCGTATTTTCGAACTTCGAGAAACATCGACTTGTATGGTACATTTCAGCACGATTTAATGAAACATACTTTCGAAGCACTAATTGTTGATCATTGTAAAAATGTGGTTCTTCTACAATAGCATGATTCACACTATTTCGATCAACAAAGTCAATCAAAAATGTCGTCAAAGGTATCACAGTTCGACAGAAGACAACGGAACCATACTGACTGAAGTACTGTCGTATATTCGTTTCATTAAATTCTTGATCAGTAGAGAAAGAAGGTAATGAAACAAGCAGTTCATTCGATGATCGAAAGCGTTCAAATGCTGGACGATTTCTTGGTAAAGTACGGCGAAGAGATAAACTATTCGTGTCAAATTGTACATATTGATAATGTTGTATTATATAATCGATATCGGTATGTTCTGCAAATGTAATCATCGCAGCGGGATTAGGACGACGACTACATTTCGTGAAAAATATAAAATTTTCAATCTTTCCAAATTGTGAGAAAAAAGCACTGAAACAAAATTTGTTTGTAATTACACAAATCAAGTGTTCGAACAGAAATCCATACGTACAATAAACTCTCGGCATTAGTCTTGCTCGATATATTGCTCACGTATAAATTGTAATAATTACGATTCATGTTGTTCTTAAAAGAAAAATGCACGATATCAATTAAGATTCTGTCTCGTACATTCGTCTTATTTATTGTACAAAAGAGTGTGTAGTAAAACAGAGAGAGAGAGAAGAAAAAGTTAGACGAAGAGATTTCCAAGTGGTGTTCATGCTCACCGGCAACAAGAACATCAAATAGATATTAAGCATTAACAAGAACTGTTCACAAGAGAAAAACAAAGAAATATCGAAATATACACAGACGTGGGTGAATGAATCAGTCGAGTTGAAAAAAACAGATACGAAGTTTTCGGACGGACGATGTTAGTTTGTAGGTGTCAGAGTCTGATTCATAACTTGAGCAACTGGAAAGACAAGAAAATGAACTTCTTAAGCAAACAGATAGATATGACTTACTATCCACTGTATTATTAGTGATAATTTTTCGAGATTGATCCGCTTCTACAAGAAAGAAACAGAACATTGATCAGTGATTTTGACAGAGAAGCACGTACTGTCTAGTGAAACAATAGTTGTACTGGCGGTAGGAGAAAGAGGAGAAGAAGAAGATGATAATGATGGTGGTGGTTTATCCATATCTAAAAAACAATCAATAATACTCTCAAAAACGACGCTTGAAGAAGTAAGTCTCAATACTAGGTTTTGTTACGAGAGTTTGTTGCAGTTGGTTGCTATCAACAATGGATGGTTTCAAAATAGTAGGTTCTACGGAAATTTAGATAAATAAATGGTTGAAATCGTTCGAGAACTTACCTTTGGAGCATTTACATGCGTCTAATTGAATTCTCAACTTATCCAGATCTGATTGTAATCTCGAAGTAATTATTGATGTCTATAAGCTCGAATGTGTAGAGATAAAATTGAGAAAAATGGGTACCTTCTCTGTTGAATTGTGCATAAAAGTTGACAATTCTTGGAATTGTATGGTAAAATCTTGAAATTTTGAACTTTGATTGAGACTTTGCAATTCAGTCTATAACGAAACGAATGATCTCCTTTCAGTTGCATTGAAATCGTACGAAATTACTCGAAAAGAGCTCAACTCCTTTTGCCATTTAACTGCATTGATATAAAGAGTTTCATTTAGCGAAGTAATTTGTTGTGCCAGTTGATTTGTATCCTAAACATAAAATCGTCATTGACCGACAATGTAGTCTTTCTCTATTCATCAAACCTGGTGAGCATTTTCTCTTCGTTCTTGTTCTAACAAATGCTCAATTAATTTCTTGTCGAGCGTTTTCGTTTTCTCAGTCACTATATGTGTCACTTGTTCATCAGCATCACGACTTAATTTCTAAATTGTAAAAGAATAATACCTTCAATGATCGAAAAATACACGGATTCGTACTTCTAATTCATCAGCCACATCAGAAAAATGCGTCGATTGTGCCTCAACTTTGTCCAATTTCGATGAAACATCGACGTCCTCATGAGTCATAGATGTCTAAATAAATGTTTGGAATGTAGAGAAGAGAAAGAATTCGAGTATTTCGTACTTCGGCTGAGAGTGCATTTGGTTTAATTTGATTAAACTCTGTATGTAGTTTTTGTAGTCGATCATAAATATACGACACATTCCAACGTTCAATTACATTCAAGCGATTCTTTAGCTGTTCAATTGACGATAGCACACGAGTTATATCCGAATTTGTAAAACGCTTTTCAACTAAAGCAAAACTAGAGAACATTGTAACTGATTCAACTGTCTTACTTTCAGTAACACGTGAAGATAAATTTTGCACCTCACTTTTCAGCTCAATATTTGCATAGGCGAGTCCAACACTAAAAGTGACAACGAAGATTGAATTTCGAAAACTTACTCGATTTGTACTTACCAAACGATCATAAAAATACAAACAAAACAAAAGGAAAGAATATGTCGAATATAACTCCACCATCGGCGCTGTCGTAATGATTGTCTATGGAAGATGTCGTGAAAGTAAAACATAGAAATTTATTTGCTTCTAGATTACTTACAAATGAGTTGGAAGAGAAGACTTCTTTTCTGGTAAAAATAACTCGTCCTCAGAAGTATTGATTACTTCGTTAGATAATCGATTTGATTTTGCTGAACGAAATTTTAAAAGAGCATCAAGCTGTTTACGTTTTTTCATCTTCTTGTGTGGAGTTCGAGCAGGATTGTAGGTGAATCCCGCTTCTAAATCGTTCATAAGATCGTCCATAACAGAAAGATTCTTCTCAATATATATTCAGTTGACACGACCAATATCAATGATACTTGTTCGAATCAAATGAAAACAAACAAAAAACATCTGAAGAGAAAAAACACAATCAATGATATCATCGATCATAAAATTACCTTTCCAATGTGTACGTAGAGTACATCTCACACAGTACACACATTTTTTTTCTTATCCTTTATTGAAACAGTAAAGCGATTATGAGTTTCAAACTTTTCAAAAACAATCCAACTATTCAACCAGTACAAGAGAGTACGGGGTATTTCAGATTGTCATGTTCTTGTTTTCTGCTTTGCTTTGAGTTTTATTCTGGAATGATTTGGCAACCATTGAGAGATCGATATTCTAGAGGGCAGCACATGTCAAGACATGAGGTTAGCAGTGCGTTTGCATTCAGTCCTGTTCATACTTGAATGAATGACATTTCCGGAACTGGCGTAGTCGATCTGGTCGAAGTTAATTCGACAATGCCTAAAATAGAAAAAACTTTGATCTGCACTTTTTCGCATTTCAGGACAGCAGGGCAGAGAAGCAAGCAAGAGAGTAAATACGGCTGGCATGACAGCGAAACAAAAGAAAGATTTGTTATTCTGTTTAATCTTTCATCAATTCTTTTCTTTCAATGTACAAAACTTTTTCTTCGTTCGATTTTTCTGCACAAGATTTCATTTTCGTATTATTGCCGACGACAATAACGTCAGCAGAGATCGATTTGAGTCTTATAAAGAAAGCAAATGGGTACTACCTATGAATATACATATGAATATGAAATATCAGATCCCTCGAAAGGCGCTCGAAACACAGGTGGAACTACTCAACGATCTGTTGCACACTCTCATCCTGGAGGTATTATTGCACATTCAAGTCGATCGGACACGATTGACCCATTAGCAAATTTACAACATGATCGCATATGGTCTAAACTCTATGATCCAGTTACCACGGATAAAGCGCAACATGATATTGAAATTCAGGTTTGCTCATTTACAAAGACTCTAACTCAGTCTAGGGGTAAGAAAGTTCCTTGCGTTTGAAATGATGAGAAAAAGCAAATCGACGAACAAAAATCGAAATTTTTTCTCTTTTCTTTCTTATTCATTCGGAAACATTAATATGTGCGATCTGTTGTCATAACAAACTGAATCCTTAGCTACATAGTTGACGTCATTAAGTGAAATTTCGATGTCTAACAAAAATACAAACAGCCACAGAATCAGGGCGAAACTATCGTCTTGTTGTTTTTGTTTCACTTTCTCATCTTTGTTCGAACAACTTGTCAATTTCTTTCCTTTCGTTTTACGTATTCGTTCACCTGAAACCAAAACAACAGAATGCTTGCACACAACCAGAATGGAAAATAAAACGAGACGGAGAAGAGAAGAGAACAGCAGAAAGAAATCGTTTCCTAGCAAATCTCTACTCAGCTTGTATCACGAAAGAAAGAAAGAAAGAAGAAAAGAAAAATTCGCTACTTCGTTGTGTTCACATAAATCGCTACACAGATTTCGAACACGTCTCTATAATTATTAAATCTCGACTTAGCGAAAAGAAAAATGTTTTCTGACACACCCAGACGTTCTCAAGATGATGAAGTAAGATAGAAGTCTTAGCTTAACATATGTTTTTGTATTTGATTACAATTAATATAATCAATGGTTTTATTTGCATTTTCTCAAAGAAAATGGCTCGTCGTCAAGATCGTAAAATAATCAAAATCGAAGCCGCACATGGATCGGATCGACAAACATTTATTGTTAAGAGAGATTATGAGTTACGTGTACGTGATGTCATGGAAGAAGCGTCAAAAACATTTAAAATACCTGTAGACCAAGTGATTCTCTATTGGAAGGTAAACATAGTTAAGAAAATTTCATCTATTTCGAATATAACTCTGTTTCGTTTCAGGGTCGCAATATTTGTGAGACGCCCGATGTTCTCTTGGAATCCTTGGGTGTAGAAAATAATAATACCATGCGCGTGGCACGTGCTGATGAACAATATTTCTTACGGCATCAACAACAAGGTCGATATCAGCAAGCTGCAACATCATCTAGCGGCATGTACGGACAACAACAACAACAATCAGGAGCAGCTGGCTACTATGGACAACAAGGAGGATCCTACTCAAGTGGTTATTCAGGTCAACAATACGGTGCTGGTAGTGTTTCTGGTCAACAGGCACTTTCTTCATCAGCAACATCAGGCGGTATGTATGGACAACAGCAATCCAGTTCAACTAGCTACTATGGACAGCAAGGCGGTGGATCGTCGTCAGGCGAGTTTTATGGAGGTCAACAACAGTATTATCCATCACAAACTTATTATTCATCTTCAACAGGATACGATCAAAATTATGGTAACTATGGGTAAGAGTTGTCTTTGAAATTATTTCGTTTTATCCGATCCACTAAATAACTCACACATAACATGACAAATCCGAAAACTACCCTTCATAGTACAGCGTGTACAAGTATCGTTTGTATTCCCTAAATGTAGTAATCGCTGCAATTGCACATGTCATCAAGATCAAAATCATAATTATAACTGTTGTGGCCATCATCACGGATCGTAAGTAGATTGCTTTTGAAAAATAATCAACCAAATCAACGCATTTCAATTCTCTTTTTCCCTCCCTATTATCATTTGCTTTAGGCATTCTCACAATCAACAAGTTTAAAGACATAAGATTTTATTTTCACATAACTTTTTTCTTTTTCAAAATAAATATAAACCCTTGACTGACTTACTATTTTGTTTTCCACTAACTCAACATTTTTAGTACTAACCATTATCAACAATTCAATAGTCAAACTACCGCGAGATCGGCTGCGTCGACTCCCGCTGTTGCGACATACATAACCAGTTTACAAATAGGTCTCGGTGACCGAGTTCAAGGTCTTGCCATAGGTCGACAACATCCCATAACTATCTACGATCTACAAGTTGAACTTCAACAACATTTCAACATACCCATACTCGAACAGAACATCTCTTTCAATGGAATGCCACTGTTACACCTTCCACCCGATACATCACTTGAAACAATTGGCATCTTCAGTAATTCGTTCATATCGCTGTGGCCTAAGAGTACGGTGACCCTGAATCAACAACAATTCACTCCACGGCAGCAAGCTTCATCGTCATCGTACTACTATGCAGGCGGATCTCATCCGCTGTATGGTGACGATATGTCATCCAGGTAAGGACTGACTCTGAGTGAGATATGAGTTTGCGTGTGTGTGAACGTTGCTAATATTAGTTGTCGGCTCTCATGATTTCGAAGGCGAATGTACTACAGCAACAGCGGAGGCGAAATGATGCAAACTGGTAATCAAGAAGATGTAATGAAACTCGAAGTGTTCCATGGTAAACGCCTATCACTCTTTCTCTCTTTGAAAATCAAACTTATCTGATGATTATATTTAGGTTCTGATCGTCATGTAATGATCTTACGTAGTAGTAATAATATTCGTATCATAGACTTGATGGAAGAACTGCAAAATATTACTACTGTTCCGGTGCAAAATCAAAGATTGTACTATCGCGGACAAGAATTACAGACAATGAAAGAGCGTACTTTACGTGATGTCGGTCTTGATAATAATTCTCAAGTGAGATTAATTGGTGATCCATTAAAATCACGATATGCGCCAATTATGGCAGGAAATCAAACAAACTGAAGCAAACATTTTCTCCTTTCTTTTCGGTTTATCACTCACTCGTTTCTTTGCTATTGCTGTTCGTTCATTCACGCCCTTACCCGACAGAAAAAAAAACGTACACATACAAACTTTGTAAATAGAAACATGCAAAAATGAATATTTATATAAGACTAGTTTGTTTTCTTTTTCAATAAAATTTTTTCTATAATTGAATATTTTCATTGTTGAATCGGTATTGAATAACATTGAAATCGATCGTCTGTCTGATTCGATTTCAAGGATAACCACAATCGTACATTAATGATGGTATTAACTCATCTAGTGAATAGATTTCGCACTTTTCTTCTATATTTCTGCTAATTGATATCAACAACCAGCAAAGTAGTTGTTGTTGTTGTTTATTCTATCATACAAGATAAGTCGCTTCTTTTGAGGAGAAGAACAACTGCTATTGTCATTATGTGCATTATTAGACTAGACAGCTGTATCATGTAAACAGACATTCTTAACATTTCAGTTATGGAACCGAATGAAAATATCCTCGGTTCTTTGTTCTTTTCTAAGACAGCTATATTGTGTACGATCAAACAAATGACTTAAAGACATTCTTGTGCGATACTGTCTTCCATCTGCTGCTGTTGTCTATGACATGATAATTGAACATTCAGACTTCTTCATTTGAAACGTGTGAGGAAATTTAGTTTTCCTTATTGAATTTATTGGAAAGCAACGGTCAAGTAGGTAACAAATTGCTACTTGAAATTTCTTTTATTTGTATATATATAATATGTCTGTCTATATTAATCGTAGTGGTTTCCGCCGTTTTCTGATTGGTTCCTATGTTCTACCTATCAAAGGAAAGTGATAGGTCAATTTTTTTTTTCTTCATCATCATCATCATCGATGTGTATGTTTATTTCTGTAAACGGTGTTGCGTTGTGATAGATTCCGATGTTTATTGATAGTCGAAGCAGATACTAATAAACCCGATATATTTTCTCTTATTATCGATTGAGCATATTCATTACATGTTTGTGTTTTCTTGAATAAATATCCATTCGTAGTTTCTATTGAAGAATATTATACAATTGTTGAATTCCATCACATCGACATCTGGAAAATGTTATTTATATCTTTCTTTACTTATATTCGTTTTTTTTTCGCTAGGCCTGCTAATTAACCTTCTTTTTCTCTCTATTTACATTATATAAATATAAATATCGTTTCATCAGTTGTCGTTAGTTGTATTTTCCTTGTAATCGAACGAAGATGTCTTTGAACTACTTTCCGATGTATAGACTAGCATAGAGAATCCATACGAATACAAGACACACTCTGTTCATTGCTCCTTCTTCTCATCTCTCTCTCTCTCTCTCTCTCTCTGTCTCTATGTGTGTTTCTTTTTCGTTCTTTTCTCGTTCAGTTCGATGTGTATGTGTATGTTTGCCCTTCATTGAAGTTCCCTTCCCACTTGATTATTGCATTAGTTAACATTTGTGGACGAGTTGGGAGTACGAAAGAAGTACATACATATTATATATATATATATACAGCTGAAGAGAAAAAAAGAAAACGTCCTTATGTAATCCGTTCCTACTCACAAATTGTCTAACGTGCGTACATGCTTGTTTAAAGCACATCTCATCTTTTCTTCTGCTCCATCGCTCACTTATACTTGAACACTCATTATTCTTCGTTCTTACTGTTAAGATTACACATATTCATTTTATAAGGTTTCACGCCCACTGTGTATATATGAAGAGTGAATAGCATCGAATCTTGTCTTGATCGGATAGAAGTCATAGACGATGAGAAGTCAGTCAGCATGTGTTAATTTCATAATAATATGTGTGAATGTACAAAATACAGACGGGAACTGACAGATAGATAGAGACGCGTCATTTGCATAAATGTCATCAACAGAAAATATGTTTGACTTAAACTTTTTTTTCTTCTCTTTTCTAGAAGAACAATTATCTGACAGTTTGATCCAAATCATTGACAACGGCAAGATGTCGACGTCGTTCGTCGCACTTCTTCTATTCAATGGTAAGTGCAGTATATTATTCATTGCTACGAAAAAGAAAAACAACATAAGTGAATATGGATATACATATAAGAGTCTCTTAAGACGATGTTAATCGTTCTATTGTAGTATGAAATTATCATGAGAAAAGAAGAAGTTCAATGACAAACACATTAGATTAATTGCTATGCGCACATTGAAATGTGAAAGAATAGACACATGGTAGACGATTTGCTAAGGAATCTCATTTTGAATTTTGGTCTCTAATTGCTTCGAGTTAAAATAACAACGAAGTAGACGAAATGTTTGATTTTCGACACTCTAAGTGATTTGTAATACAATTTGAATTTGTTGTGACGCATTCTATTCTAGTCTGTCTTCTATGCATGTTTATTAATTTAACGGTTTCAATTAACGCCGATGCACTGATTCAATTATATGTTCGTCCAAAACATGGTTTTACAACTGAAAACATCGAAGTTCGTTGTCACGTCACGACTCCGTCGATATATGAAAACATCTATCTATCGGTGAGAACCGACAATGTCAAACCGTCGGGAATTCTTCTCATGGTTGACAATACAGTAAATCAATGTCGAATTAACAAAGAAAAATTCGTGCAAGTTAGCGTCTGCAACTCGACTTTGATCGTCGTTCATATCAATCATATAGTTCTTAATGATACATTGCGCACGATTGAGTATTCATGTAGTCAAGGCGATGATCATGCCTATAGTTCATATCGAATCTTGCGTAAGCTAGGAAGACTTTGATGTGTACAGAATATATTCTTTTGTTTCATTTAGGAGAAGAACCCGCTCAATACTATGATAGGAAATCCAGCAATTCATCCTCGATGCTAACTCAAACATTATCTTTTCTATTATTTATTCTTCTAATCACCAGACTAACTACAGCGGACGATGTTCGATGGTTATTTCGATAAACAGAATCGTTTTTAAATCACATGTGTGTCTGTGTGTGTTAGTCTGTGATAAAGAAGATGTCTTTTTTTTTCATATTTTATACATAAAAATTTCACATGTTTCACTTACAGCTACTTCTATTCACTGCTATTTTTCTTTTCTACATGTGCGTGTATGTTTGTATTTATCTTCATAGGGAAACATTTCATTCCAGAATCTCTGTAAATTCGTATGCATATATATACATGTGTGTGTTTAGGAGCGTTAGTTGAGAATGAATCGCCAAATATCTTTTTTTCTCTCTCTCTCCGGTTGTTTGTTGGTTTTGGTTTTCTTAAATTCTTATACGTGAATGATTCATCTACTCTCTTTTTCAAAAATATATGTCGAATCTTGAAATTGATAAATTTTTGCTTGCTTTTAGATGGCAGCTAGTTATTCATTGACATCGCAACGCGAGCGTAATACTCAAGCGTTTTTTCCGAGTTCAGCGACGCATGCTGATCAATGTCGTTTTGTGTGTCTCTATCCAGCGTATATCAATGTGAAAAAGACACGTGCACAAGGCCGCCGTGTTGGCAAAGCTAAAGCACTCGACAATCCGACGGTGAACGAGATGCGCGATGTCCTCGAAAATGCCGGTTTGAAAGTTGTTGTCGAACCTAATCGGTTGTATTCTCGGGAAGAATCTCGCGAACCTCAACAGCGCGGTCGTATCCGAGTGCAATTGAAGAATGCTGACGAGACATTGGTGAAAGAGCAATTTAAAAACAAAGATGATCTTCTATTTTATCTTGTGGAAATGATGCCGAAATTGAAGACACGTTCAGGCAATCAACAGCAACAAAATCAACAAAGTCAACAGGGTGGTGGCAAAAACAAAAAACGTTAGACATTCCGCAAAATTTGAATTCTGTCTTTTTCTTTGTCTCTTTTATTGTTATTTTATTCTTGAAGGAAAGCCAAAAAGAAAGGAACGAATCTATCCGTGTCTTGACAAATAAAAATTCAGAAGTTCACTTCTAGTTTTTAGATCTGTGATAAACATTTCTTTGGTTTCTTTTCTTCAATTTTCTGCGCGTTGTGCGCATTGAAAAGCAAGATTCTTTCCAACAACGATGTTAATCGACGAACAGAATGCTGACGACGTTATTCGTACTATTCGAACACTTCATCAAACAACTGTCGATCAACGAAAATGTGATTTAACCGAATATCTTACTGAAGTATTCCAATCGATTGAAACTCAAGAAAAATGCGATCTGAGAAAGCAGTTTCATTTACTAACCATTCTTCTACGTGATTATGTCGATCGAGCCGCATTAAAAATGGAATTCATCAAAAGCAAATGCTTAGAAACAATCGAACGAATCCTAGCGAATCAAACAACTAACCAAGAGAATATTATTGCTATACTTCAATTTATTGCTGAACTCCTTGTCGATTCGAAAAATGCACAAGACAGTTTTTCAACTTTCAATGGTTATCAAAAGATCTTTCAATCTCTTCATCATGTTCAAACACCGTCGATCGATTTCATTAACGAATTGCTTCTTCTTATGACTGAACATCCGAAATTACAAATCGATAGTACTTTGACTCCTGTGGATCTCTTTGTTCATTTCGTTAATCCATACATAGCTACTATTCTAATTCAATGGATTCCCTATTTGGCAAAAGTGTCCGATCAACAACATATCATTCATTCCATAAACATCATCGTTTCACGGTCATTGCAAAACAAAATGATGGCTTGTTCAAATAATATCATTTATTCACTAATAGAGACACTTCGTTCCACAAAATTACATGATAAACTTCTACTGGATAATATATTTTCAATCCTGGAAAAATTATGTCGTTTTTCCATTCAAACAAAAGAAATTCGTCTCATATGTCAATTATTCAATCAAAATACACCCTACAAGAAACAATTATTACGAGTTTTAATAACAGCAGCCAAACATGATGATCCAGACACGCATGCCATATCGTCCTACTTCGATTTACAGAGATTGAATAGTGTACGTCTCACAATTGACATTTGATTCATATTTAAGATGATTGTTTTTAGGGAATTATCCTACCGATTATTCGTCGTTGGCCATCGGTCTCCAATGTGTCGGTACACTTTACATTTCATTGTTGGTTGAGGCTGAATAATGAAGTTGAGAGTTATCCATACGATGCACGACGCCAAATCTACTCATTCTATTCGGAGTCGATAGGTTTAGAAGCATTTATATGTAATTCATCAGTTATTATATCAGTAAGCGATCGCCGTGAACTTGCCTACATTGAAATACCCGAATGCGATGAGTTAGTTGATGGTTGTTGGCATTCCTTAACAATTATTCATACGGCACAACGACCATCGCTGTTTGTTGCTGCATTTCAAGCTGTTTCGACGTGTCATCTAGCGATTTATATCGATGGTCTATTAAAAAGACAAATCAAAGACTTTAAATATGTGCCACTTATGAATGAACCTATCAGTTTAGCATCGATCGGCGCGCCTAGTCAGCGTCCGCGTGCACCTACTGTTGGTTCGAAAGGTGATTCGATGACAGCTCTTGCCAAAACTATCGGACCACTCAAAGGTCTATTCTCATCGAAAAGCAAATCTGTGAACTCACGTGCAGAAGGTCAAGCTCTTCATCCACAAAACATTGTTATAGTCGAACCGAACACTCAAGATACTTTATTTGGTGAATCAACATGCATGCACGGACAATTAGCGAGTGTATGGATTTTAGCTGAGACATTGAACGAAGTACAAATTAAACATTTACATTCGATGGGTAAGATCATTATTTGTAAATGTCTTTCGAAACTGAGTGTTTTCAGGTGCTGATTTTTGTCATCAACATCATCCAACATTCGGTGATGAAAATTCCATGTCATCAACAATCTACGATCTTCTTTCTACTCGGTCTCTACTTGTTTATCATCCATTGGCATGCAATGGGCAAATTTGTGTGGATATCTCTGCTTGTACGTCACAGATGAATGGGCGATTAAATAATGGCTCATGTTTACGTCTTCGCTCGTTCTCCGAATCGTTATTAAACCTTGGCGGCTGTCCTGTACTTTACCTGATGACTGATAAATTCAAAGAAAATGATTATTTAGATACAGCAAACTCAGATAATTTATCATCGCCAACAAATGGCGATTCACCAACTGACTGGATTATTGTCCGTAAACTATCGCAAACACATTCCTCGGATATCGATAATCGCTTGATTTCGAATCCTATCGCCTCGATTCTGAATCTGATACGCTGTGTGCTATCATCGAAATCTATGGTTATGTTAAACGAACAAATGACGAAACATTACAATGTGGAATTGTTAGGACAACAATTGAATCGTATTCCCGCCTTTTTCGTTGATCAACAACTTCTAATTGCCATTCAACAATTGATCGAATGTAGCCGTTTGAATGAAACACCTAATTTATTAACCAGTCAATTGATTCAACATATTCTACTTGATTTTGGTCTTTGGAATAAGGGAAAGTTTCACGTGCGAATATCACATTTACAGTATGTAGCTTCTGTGATCAAAGATGAGAGAAAATTTTATCGAACGAAATTCGGCGTGCAATTCTTCTTAGATGTCATTCGCCAGTATTTGAAGTAAGACAAAGTTACTTGAACTGAATGAATCTACATTTTCCTCATATTTTAGTTCATCCGAAGAAGATCCCGATGAGCAAAAGCAGTTACGCAGTGCTGTTTATGGCATTATTAAATACTACGTTCAACGTCATATTCGTATTGAAGAGCTAAATTCGTTGCTTTCTTCAATTTCAACCTTATCGACATCAAGTGATGCCATCACGCAAGAATTACTTGAGTTTATACTGGGATTACTTGATCCACCGTCTGTTTCAACTGACACAACAGTTGGACTTCTATGTGAACCAAATATGACGGAATGTTTGTATGCATTGTTAACTGTTAATCATCTTTCCAGTGATACGAAAGAGATTATTTTGAAAATTGTGAAATTGTTAATTGCATCACGACGAGTGCCGCAGCAGATACGTACACAGTTGCGATTAGAAACGAATCAAATCGGTTTTGGTGGTATTATATCAGGCTTAGCACCAAATGAATTGAGTGTATCCATTATACGCGAGATTCTCAATTTGATTATTCATTCTGGTCAGTTTAGATTAGTTGTATTTAAAGAGAAAGGACTAATTACTAACTTTTAGAAACAACAATTGCTGTCGAACATCTCAATGTTGTTTTAACACTTTGTAGCGGTGCTTCACTTGATGTTCGTTATGTCGCTATGCGAAAGGTATGATAGTTGACTCGACATTTTTGAATCATACTGGATTTTCTATGTTCTAGTTAATGACATGTTTCATTGCACATCCAACTATATGTCGTGCGTATGCCAAATGTCACGGATGGCAAGAAACAATCGCTCATTTCTTTATCAAATCTCGTCGATCAGCACCAATACCACCTGTTCAACGTTTTCCTTCAACGAGTATATCAAGTGATACTTTGTCAACATCGACAAAAGATCAGAGTGTCGATTCTGGTAGAGAGAGTTCTGATGGTGCAAATCTAGATACTAGTAATCTTCATGTTCCGCTAGTCTCAACAACAATGCAACCACCTCAAATATTTGAGACATCATCAAGTCCTGATGATCCAAATCAAGGACCACGTGTACGGCAACTTGACTTATCTCCGATACCGAATGAGAATGCACATCGAAGTCTTACCCAAATGCTAGCGACTCCTGCTGATTCATTAACGTCAAGTTCTCTTCTAACACCGATGACCCTTTCCACCATAGATATTGATGGAACTACGCCTGAATTTCTTCGACGTAATCAGAGTGACGAATTTCATCCAGATACAATTGGAACAGTTGCGACACCGTTACAATCATCAACGAACAGTCGTGAAGATCTTCTCTCATTGATGAAAACAGATGCTTCCAATGATGATGTAGTATCGGTAACAAGTAGCAATGATGCCTCAAGTGTCTTCCAAGCAGCAACTACACCAAGTATAAAACACCTTTGTGACGATGAAGATGACACTCAGCAACATAGACGACTCGGTCCCGAACTTAGACATATCTTAGGTCGGCTAATCGCTTTGCTTGACGAACGAATATATAAAACAGATTTTCTCTCGATTTCTTGCTCTGGATGATGTGCTGATAAGTTAAGATCAGGTGACGCTATGCTAAAATGCAGATATCTGAATGGTTTCTCGCTTGACTTGGTCAAAATCTAGAACTATTTCATTTTCACTCACCAGCATAGGACTCTGTCTATCTTCTCACATATTGTTTATACTTGAGGGTTGCTTGAGTAATTATTTGTGCATTGTACTACTCTAGGTGTAACAAGTACAGAAGATACGTCCTTCTTTTTGCCTTCTTCCACTGGCACGGAAGATGGTAGTCTTCTCGAAGAACTCTGCGAAACTTTAATATTAACAATTGTTATGGTCCTGTGGAAAGGTGTAGCTGGTTCTGATGACGAAGCATGGCTCGTATGTACTTCTTTTTTTTGTAAAGTTGACTTTTTCATTTTACATTGTGAATTACTTTCATTAAGATTCGTGGCCAAATCTTCTCGGCCTTACATTATCTGCATCGTGAATATGAATTCTATTTGCCACTAGTTTACATCGAACGACGTATCTTGGAATTAAGTATGGAAACATGTTTAAACGAATTGAAATTAAATGGAGGTATGTAAAGAACTTAAAAAGACTTTTTCGTTTAATCTTCATCATTCATCCTAATCTAAAGCATATCACGGTTATGACCGTCTCTATCGACGGCGCATGAGCGAAATACGTAAGTGATATTGAATTCTATGCAAAACAAAAGTTGTTGTATTATTCACCGAACAGAACATGTTCTTCTTCATATTTGTTGTTTTTCTTCTTGTATTCGATGTGTTTATTGCAAGTATAAAAGATTGATCTTTGATTTAGGTAAAACAACACCGGCCTACGAAAGCAATTGTCGTGAATTGATCAAAATTGTTGATGACTTTCTTTCACAATCAGACAAAAGCAATGAACGACTAACGGAAAATTTTGTGAATGGTAACTGATCTCTTTTGTGATTCGAGAACAACTATTTTCGAAAATTCATTTCCAGGAATTATTCCAATACTTGATACAATGCTTATTTTTGAAGAAAACGGCACTGGCGATCATTCGGTTGCGACATTGATTTCTCATGATGAACATTGGACTGAAACATCTCTCACTGGTCTGAATGTTCTTCTTACTCTTCTCGCTCATTCCAATGTATCATTCTGCGGACAAGCATCTGTTCGAATTCATTCCTTATTGCACAGTCGACCATTAAATGGACGTGAAGAAGCTGCATATCTATTGTTCAGTGTCAACAAAATATTTATGTCTACATCGCAGAACGAAGATTGCGAACATGACATCTATTTAGTCCCAATCATGAAAACGATTATTGACAAAGCTTACGAACTTCTTCAAATGAACGTACAAATTCCCAATGTTCCTTTACACAAAGCAACAGCTACAGCATTGGATGATTTTCGAAAGTATAGTTCATCGTCGAACAGTCAAGAGTGGCAAACATTCATTCAACGACACATTGAACCGTTAGCCGAACATTATCGATCGATGTCAGTCAGACCATTTCATATGAATATGAAAATCTGGTGGAATAATTGTCATGAAATGATGATGGTTGGCATACATAAACGAAATCGACAAATCGGAGAAGAAAAACTAAAGTTTCAAGTAAGATCTTGCTTCTATGATCTCTCCGACAATCTTCTTTCATTCTAGAGTCATATAGTTGATCAATGGCGTGTTCGTCGCCGCAATGATCATCAGCGGATCTTGAAACTAGCGAAACAACGTCGTATTCATCAAGTTCATGTTGAACATGAATGGAAAGATCGAGAAAAATATCTACTTGGCGAGTGCGGACCATGGTGGCATGAAAATGATCAAAAAGAACGCTACTGGATGTTATCCGATCGCGAAAATATTCATCGAATGCGATGCAAACTTGTCATTAATGATGACTTCAATAGGCACGAAGAAGCCAGTCGTTTACGAGATAATTTCGGTACAAATTCGAATGATGGATCGGATCAACTATTGATCGAAGAAAGTTTAAAGAACAAAAACTTGTTAATTCAACAAGAAATCTTGCACAAAAGTTCATTGGATGAACAGGAACTGCTAGCAATTGACAATGAAACACAATCGTTGCTACTTGACGAAAAAGAAAAGATGTAAGACTTGGAAATACTTTGAAAAAACATTCACTGTTCGAACTCTTGTAGAATAATCGGCACTCAATGTTCATTAATAACCGTTACATCAACAACGGAAGGTAAACTGGAGATAACAAACAAGTACATCTATTTCTTTGATGCATCGCCACAAAAATCCTATCAAAATGACTTCAAATACCCACTTTCATGGTTGCAAGATGTTGAACTACGTCGATATAATTTACGGCCATCAGCCTTGGAATTTTTTCTCCTCAACAAAACAAATTTTCTAATGAATTTCGATAAAAAATTACGTCGACAACTCTATCAAAAACTCATGTCATTAAAACTACCCGGAATGAAAAGTGCATACACGAATTTTTCTCTCACATTAACTCCACAAGATATTCTTAAAGAATCGAAATTAACAGAGAAGTGGATAGCAAGAGAAATATCCAATTTCGATTACCTAATGATGTTGAATACCATAGCCGGACGGACATTCAATGATCTTAATCAATATCCGATATTTCCATGGGTTTTGAAAGATTATGTTTCGGAGACATTGGATCTGAACAACCCTAATGTTTATCGAGATTTTTCCAAACCAATTGGTGTGCAAAATCCCAAACACATGGAACAAGTGAGATTAAAGTAAGCATATCTGATGAGTTCCAATGATTTATAATTACTGGTTTTGCAGATACGAATCGTTTGATGATCCGACTGGCTTGATGAAAAAATTCCATTATGGTACGCATTATTCGAATGCGGCGAGTGTCATGCACTATCTAATTCGCATGGAACCGTTTGCCACCTTGCATATTCAACTACAGAGTGGAAAGTATGTGAAAGCGACTATGTATTTCCTTTGAAGCAAATGATTTATGATATAGGTTTGATATTGCCGATCGACAATTTCACTCATTTCAATCAGCATGGTCAAATCTTATGGACTCACCGAATGAAGTTAAAGAATTAATTCCCGAGTTTTTCTATTTACCAGAATTTCTAGTAAACTCCAATAGATTTGATCTTGGTAAACTTCAAATAAGCAATCAAGTTCTAAATGATGTTCAACTACCGCCATGGGCACATAATTCGCCTGAAGAATTCATTCGTCTCCATCGTTTGGCGCTCGAATCCAATTATGTTTCAACGCATTTACATGAATGGATTGATTTGATTTTTGGTTACAAACAGACCGGTCAAGCAGCTATCGACGCATTGAATGTCTTTGTCTATTGTGCATATGAGAAAGCCGTTGATGTTGATGCAATCGACGATCCGGTCACACGTGAAGCGATCGAAGGTATGATACAGAACTTCGGGCAAGTTCCGTCGCAGCTTCTTACTGAACCGCATCCTCAGCGGCAAACAAATGAACAAGCGGCATTTGAAATCGAATCTCAAGGACGTGCATTAAATATCTTTCAAAATCTAAATCATATCCGAGCATTCTTCGTGGAAATCACACCTGCAGATGATAAATTGTGCGATCCAATTACATTTATTTCCATCCCGAAAAATCAGGTTCGATCATTTATGCAACAAGGTATCCCCGATACACTCATTACTGTTAGTGTCAACGGTGTTGTAGGAAATAATGGTAGGATTTTCCTCTCGTCATTAAAAGTAGATCTTAATTTCGATTCGATGTAGGTTGGCAACCTTATGATAAGTCTCTAAGTAACTTTTTTACATTCGAACGAGATCCGACATTGCAAACCGAACGGTACGATGAATCCTTTAATGTTCTAAATACCCTTCTTTCGTTTTCAGGAATCGTCATATCATCGCTGCGCCATTCTCTCCATCGTTAGAGATCACATCTCGTCAATTTGCTGTTTCACACGATGCAAAGTTCGTTTTCAGTGGTGGCCATTGGGATTGGTCATTGCGTGTGTATTCGCTACTGAAATCAAAGATTATCGCATCTTTTATCCATCATACCGACATCATAACATGTTTAACTCTCGATTCGACTGGCTATATTCTCGTTACGGGTTCGCGAGACACAACATGTGTGATATGGAATTTATCGTTAGTAGATAATCGAAATTTGAGCAATACGGCAGCTGAACCAGAATCCAACGCACTTCTTTCGCCAGCTGTTACACTTTACGGACATACTTTGGAAGTGACATGTGTTTGTGTATCTACTGAACTTGATCTTGTTGTTTCGGGTTCATTGGATGGCACGTGCAATATTCATACAGTTGAACATGGAATTCATGTTCGAACGTTACGACCATTGATGGATCCAATTGTCAATGTACAGTTGTCGACTGAAAGACATATTCTTATTCAAACGGAAAAAGAGGAAACAAATTTATTTTTATATTCGATCAATGGAGGTCTTATTCAAACGCGAAAACTAGAATACAATGTTGTAGACATGATTCTGAGCGACAAGCATATTGTTCTTGCTGTCAATCATATTCCATCAGCACAACAAGTCAAAGGCCAAGTAGCAGCACGAATTGTCATTAAAGACATGTTCGAGTAAGTTATGCAGAAGATAAATTCGATTGATTGAAGCTCAGTGTTTTAGTATGAAAACCATTCAAACGATACGTCTACGTGCACAAATCAATTGTATCTATTTTACGAAGGATTTTAGTCATTTGCTCGTTGGTGTTAAAGATGGTAAATTGATTGTGTTGACTGCGGAAAAAAAGACATTAGCAAAAAGTATTACGAAGACGAAATGAAACTGTAAAGTGAAATTTTACATTCCATAGTCGGTAATGCTTGTTGTCAATTTCATCGGTCAGATTTTCAAATTCTGTTTCTTGTAAAAGCCCGGAAAACGATTACGTTGATCAAATTTTCGACTTGATTCTTTTATTTCTTCTTCCTGTGTGTGTGTGTGTATATCTCTACTATATCACTTCCGGTTTTCTTTCTTTTCATTTCAATGTTATGATTATCTTTGTGCACGTTTTCATCTTAACAACCCAGACACGTTGTATTCGTTCCGCTGGGATAGCACGTGATTTTTTTTTGAGCCGTTAAAGAATTTATTTAATTTTTATATAGAAAATCAAATAGGCAGTGAATGTTATGATTTTAACAAGTACTAAATACCCTCATATTTGATCATCTCAATATTCGGACTGGTTATGATGAAAAATAATACGTTAACATAGCACGGAATAACATGAAGAATAGTGGAATACATGAGAATAAGTAGAGATAGAATCGAATGATGATGATGTTCATGGAACATTGCATGATGCTGTGTAAAACTCGAAAGACGGTAAAAATCCATGCGGCAATAACGTATGTTTGATCGACTTGGCCGGTGACGAATAAATATAATGTCAGTGCGTAGAATAAAACGGGAATTTCGAATAAATTCTTCAAATTATCCGATGGATTATTGACGGCAGGTGGTGAAATGCGTTGCAATTCACCAAAACCTACGAGTGACTGTGGATTTATTTTCGTTGTTAGTATAAAATGAGTTCGCCGAATGTACATGTACACCCAAACGACCACCGTCAATAGCATAGTAGCAAAAAAGGGGCCAAATATAGCCAATTGCGCATGGTTGTGAGCATCGTATCGAGCCATGGTTTGAAATACAAATCTAAATCGAGGTAGAGTAGTCAAAAAGTACTTTTCAGACAAGGAGAGCAATTGTGCATAACCAATCAGAACGATTATATGCGGTACTTTGTAGATGACAGACATTTACACCGAGAAATGAATTGTACAATTGTATGTTAGTATTTTATTGCTAGAAAATATATCGGAAGACAGTTGGAAATTGAGCGATGAGATTTGTACAAAAAAAACGATATTATTTCATTTGTTTAATAAAACGAACGATACGTCGTTGATTTTGAAGTAATTGTTCGGCTTTATTCGAGGCAAGTGCGTATTTATTCCGACGTTGCTTCTGTCGTTGAGATTGAATTGGCGGAAGAGCTTTATACCGGTTCTGAATGTTCTCCGAAGGACGTGTAGAATCCATGACCACGGCATTTTCATCAGGAATACTGTGGTTGTATGCCGTGGGTTCAGATTGTGTAAACGGTGGACGATCATGTTGAGCATATGAAAGAGGTGCCGCCACGCGCTTTTCAATTTCTTCGAATGCAATTGGTGGAGAATGCAATGAGCGTGCTGCCGAAGGATTCAGAACACCTAAATTATGTCGAAAGAGCAAATCGGACATGTCAATTCGAGATTTCATATCATTCAAACCATTCTTTTTCAATTTGAGCAACTGTTGTCGAGCATCGATCAATGCTTCTTTTAATTGTTCACGTTCTGTACATTCTTGATGGACGGTTTCTTGTAAAGTGATAACCTAGGACGAAGATAGATCGGCTATGAATAGTATCTTTCAGTATTTGATCGAACAAAACCAAAGCACACACATGTTAGATCAAACGGATTTGAACACGGATTAATTCTACAGAAATATGAATAATACTTCTTCTTTGGCTTGGGTTAGATCTACTCTTAGTTCATTGATTGCTGCTTGTGCATGAAATAAGCTCGTTTCTTTTTCGGCTAGATCTTCTTTGAGTTTTAAATGATCAATTCGTTCTTTATTCATTGATTCTTGTTTTTCTAAATGCGAAACGGTCAGTGAAACATATCTTCATAACAGAAGTTCATTCGAAACTAACTGAGTTGATCGTGTAGATCTTTCAGGACATCTCGTAGAGCATTCAATTGTTTTTTCAGGTTTTCCTTCTCTTTTTCAAGTTGATCTATTTGTTTCGTATAATAATTTCGTTGCTCAATCGTCACTCGTTCGGTCGATGCCAATTCCTGCCGTAACTGTTCAGCCGACGAACCACACTCTTGCTCGTATTTGCGTAACAATCCGTTATATTTCTGTTTTTCTATATTCAAATCCTAGAATAATCATACTTTTCAACAATAAATTTAAATAAACGATGAAAATTACAGTGGCGAATGCTTCTTTCATACGTCGTTCGAGATCGTTCATTTGCGTTCGATGCTGTTCACGTTCGGATTTCAAGTCCGCTTGCAACCGATCTGGCCATTGTTCCGCTTCGCGTAATTTCGTTGCATAATTCTCGTGAATTTTTTTCATCTGAACATCATGAGTAATATGCAATGTTTCTCGTTGTTTAGTCAATTCGATGTTTTCATTTTGCAAACGTTGCAATTCGGAACGGATCTTTTTCGCTTCTACTATACAGAGAAAGTCGAAGTCGTTGACAAAGAAAAATGATTTGGTCTTTTACAAGTATCTTTGTCTTTTAAACTGGCGAGTTCACGATAGGTTTCGTCGAGTTCGGTATATTTTCGCAAGAGTTTTTCGTATTCGTCACGTGTACGATCGAGAACCGCTTGCCGAGATCGATTCATTTCATCGATTTTTCGTCGAGTGTTCGCTTCATTGGTTTGAAATTCGCTTCTCATTGTATCTAGTTGGTGATATTTCGAACGAAGATCCTCTAATTCGTGCTCACTTTCTGCAAGAAACTATTGAATTTCAATCAAAAAAGGAAATCATTATTTACTCAATCGAAGTTCCTTTTCAGTCGTTGCCTCTCGTCGATATTGATCGAGGATCGCATCAGTATTGTGTCCCGATTGATCTCTATCTGATATCTGTCGTTCTAGTTCATAGGAATATCGTTTCGCGTATTCCAGTTGATTTTGTAGTTCGATGCGAATGCGCTCATCGTCAGAAATCTGTTCACGCAATCGAGACAGTTCGGTTTGATGAATTTCAAGTTCTTGACGAGCTGCATCCAAATCGGTTTGAATCCTACATCAAATAGATATCATGAGTTATCGTCAAAGAGATTATACATACAATGATTGTGATTTGTTCGAATGTTTGACCTGACTAGAAATAGAAAACGAAACTTTCCGAAATGTGGATATGTGCGATCGCATACGTCAATTCGTTTTCGGTTCGATATTTGTCGAACATGTTTTGTATGTCTAAACGACAGTTTGTTGAACTTCGAAGAGATTGAAAAGTTTTATTTACGAATTTGTAATGTGTCTTCAGTTGTTTTCAGGAATATCTTCCAGTTTTGACTGTCTTTTGTATAGGAATCTTGTAGGAGTGTGTATTCTTTTCGAAGATTCTGTATTTGATTTCGTACCGCTCGTAAACTTGAAGAATATGTGACAATTTGAGATCTGAATGAAACGAAATTGAAAACCCAAATCTCTAACAGAACATTGGATCTACTTGGCTTTTTCATGACATTTCTCCGATTGATCTAATTGATCTTGTAGTAATTGAAGTTTTCTACTCATTTCATTTAATCTATGGAAAGATAGAATGAACTTCAGATGAATAGAAATACAAGTATCTACTTATGAGTATTTAGCGCATTGATAGATTCAAGATCAGCTAAACGTGTTTGATCGCGTTCGGAGGAGTTTTTCGTGTGAGACGCTAATTGATTTTCGAGTTTTTTACATTTACTTTCTAATGCTTTTATTTCGTTATGAATTAGATAAGAAACACCACAAAATTTGCAAACAGTATCTTGCCGTGACATATTTGCCACATCGTCCGGAAGAGGATTTTCTGGTGTGTAATGATTAAAACGTTCTTGTTTTGGCATGTCTACAAAGCAAGAAGAATAGAGCAGATTTACAAGTTTTTATCGTCGGATATAGATAAATATATCTATGGTATGTTTCCTTCAAAAAACAACAACAATAACAACAACATAGGGGAAAATATCTGTTTATGACCATAGTGTTGCCGAAGGTGGACGCTCGACACGACGATGTGTTGGTGGACATTGCGAGAGAGTTTTTTTCATGGCATCGCCTTGACCTTTGAGTAAATTATTGACTCCATCATATTTTACTTTGGGTGCTGAGCGTGCTGATTGCTGCAATCTACCGTACTGATGAAAAAGTTGATTGACGTGTTGACCTTGACCCATTTCGTAGTTCAAATGAGCTTGAGTGCCTTTCACATTCGGTTCCGGTGTAGATGTATAACGTTCATGTCCATGTTTCAGTAAATGAGAATCTCCTTTACCTTTTTCAAGGTTAACTTCAGCCTCGTGACTTTTAACACGAGGATTCGGTCGTGGTGTCGCGGGCGCCGAACGACCGTAGTTGTTCAATATCGGACCCATTTGACCTTCTTGATGGATATAGAATAGATTTGTTGCTAGCTAAAACAGATATTCAATAGTCAAGATGTCGATATTTTTCACTGAAAATTCTTCTTACTTCGCCTTGAGTATGCGGTCCCTTTGGTGTTGATAGCGGTAGTTTGCCATAGTTTTCAAATAGAGCCTTTGTTTGTGAATGATGGCTTTTTTCATAATTTGCTCGAGCTTCGCGTTTAACACGCATACCATTATGAGAGTTAGGTGGTTGAAGGTCTCCGTGGATAAGATTCGGTGTTGACGAACGACTTTTCATATAATTTCGTAATGCATCTGGTCCTAAAACTTTCGGTTGAACTAAACTAGATTCTTCTTGAACGGGCACCGCAGTCGTTGACATTCGGCGACCTTCGATAGCCCAATCGCCAATATTCAAACTACCACGATTCTTCATATAATTTTTCACTCCCTCTCGATTGACACGAAACGGTGGTGCTTCTTCATAGTTGGGCAGCGTCGATACAAACGTTGTTGGATGAGATGGAAGAATCCAATTAGCAGATTCAGCGGATAAACCTGTAGTCATCTTGTATAAAATAATGCAATAGTGTTTGTCAAGAAAACATCATCGACATCTTGCATATGATAGTTGCTAAGCAATGCCCATGTATGGATGAATTAATGGAAACTTGTGTTGCTTATTAATTCCTGATCATCGAAAATTGAATTAGCTCTTCCTATTAATGATATCGATAACAGATTTTTTTAATGCCCAATCTTCTGATTGAAAGCTAGACTCTATCGTGAAATTTTCGATTGGCTATAGTCTTTTACATTATAAATTAGTCATCAGGTATTCAGCAAGTACGTCTACGCACACAGGTAGTGCTCAGTAGTATCTGAAGCGGACTATGGCCTATATGCTGTCATGTTTCTTCTCTCTCTATATTAAAAATTCTTTGTGATTCATAAATCAAAGTATAAAGGTAAATTAGTCACTCAAATGAAGCAACACGATCTGTAAATCTATTGGTTAGGACGTGGCTGAGCCTATGACACAATTCTCTCTTTCGCCGTATAAATTGAACAGATTTAGTTGATTATTTCATCAGTTATAACAATCTAATTGACTTTTTCTCTCGATAAACAACTGGCAATGCCTTTGCGCAATCCATTTCGTCGATTTGTCCATAATATATAATACATGAACGTTACACATCAAAGTGGTCATGCAAGAGAAGAAGAAGCCAAGCGATTTTTTCTTTTCTTCTTTTGCTTTCTGTATCAGGTTATTCTTTTCTAGTACTTTTCTTTTCAACAAATCCATATATGTACGCTTCGACTAATACTGGCTAATAGTAAAAACATCGACATGTCGTTTAGCGAACAAGACGAAGGAGAGAGAGAGAGAGGGACGGGAAAAGACGAGAAAGAGAGGTAAGAAACAATTCCGTCCGCCGAGATGAAATATGGTCGTTTATTCTGATTAGAATCAGCCTTCTTTTCTTTTAATTTCGACTTTTCATCGAGTTGAATTGAATTCGATAGACCATCTGTTCGACTGTTGTTGTACATTTCTAGATAAAACGTGATTTCAATCGACTTTTCCTGCTCCAATGGAATCTCAGAGTTACGATATTGATTCGACTACAGGTGGATGGACAAAAGCATCACATATCGATCATTCACCTCGAACTTACGATTCGAGTGAAACACCAACAGTCAATTCAACAAATCCCAACTATCATCCATCGTCAACAGTGAACAGCTCAATGAACGAATCAGTTGCCAGCAAGGCTACAACTGAATTGAAAAAAGGTCAACAACATGCAGAAGATATCATTACTAAGTCCAAAAGACTCTTTCTTCAGCAATGTAAGTGAAAATTCTTTTACATCAGTGCAAAGATGTGAAGTGACAAGTCAATCCGCACTCGGCATCTCGCCGTTTGTGTGATACTTTCGGCATTATCTGCCATCGTTATTGCTCATAGGAAAAAGTCAAACGAAGGGCAAGAGAGAAGAGAAAAACAGAACCGATCGTTTTGGAAAAGCTACAGAGAAAATACGCGAGAAAAAAACCACAGATAATCAGGGATGTGTATAAGATATGAGTACATTATTGGAAGGAAGAGAAAAAAAACGCGCAAAGAATGGATAAGAGGAACTTCGGAGAGCTGATTCGTCTCGTATTTTCCTGATAAACACAGCATCAATCGATCGATGTTCTCATTTCATTTTTAGGGAATCAAACTCGTCAATCAGTGATTCACTTTCAAAAAAGAGCCAAAGAAATGGTACCCAAACAAGGTGAGCATCTTTTTCTCTCGCTTGATGCTTTCTCACAACCGAACTGTACATTTTTCTAGCCAATAATCTTATCTATTGGCAAAATCCGATTCATTCGGGCATCGTCTTCGGTGTTTTATTGTCTATTATAATAACATTTATGTTTTTATCGTCATTGGCTGCTATATCATTTTGGTTACTTGCACTTCTTGTTGTTGTTGGCCTCTATAAATTATATAATTATGTCATGGCAACATTCGTCGGTCGAATTCAAGATGACATTTTCGAGTAAATCAAACAATTCGTTTGTCATAAGTCGCATTTCATTGAATCTCTTTAGTGCGATGTTTTCATCTGAAATTCATATCTCCGAACAACAAGCTCAAGCTCTCGCTAGTTATGTTCGTAAGAATGGAACCAGTATTCTACGCCAAGCACGAAGTCTCTTCTTATGGAACAATTTGACAAACTCAATTCTTGTAAATAGTGTTTAACTTTCGTGAGAAACGCATTGCTTTCTATCTGCACATGTTGTTTAGTTCGGTTTGATTCTCTTCGCTACATTTTACATTGGTCTATCAATGAACACATTGACGTTTGGACTTGTTGGATTAATCTTCTTATTTACAATACCGAAAATCTATCAAGTATATCAAGTAAGACGATACATTTGCGAAGTTTTCCAACGATCAACTCGATTCATTTCAAGGTACCAATCGATAATTTTGCTAAACAAATTCTTGATCAAATCAATCAAGTTTTAGCCAAGTAAAACTGACTTTCCCTATCTATACAAAGATGACTGACTTTCATTCTTTTAGAGTAACGAACAAAGCACCAGTTAAACCAAAGAAATCTTAAAAACGAGTGATTGTGCCCACAAAACATTGCGATCTCGATTTGATAAAAAAAAAAGACTTTTTTTTTCTTTTTTCATATCTAGTCCCTCTCTCTCTCTCTTTCGTGTGCAAATTTCAGTAGGCATGGGATGCGTTATTTTCTTTGCTCTTCTTACTTCCTACTTTTTTTTCTAATCTTGTTGTCGTGTGTTTGTTTATTTCTACAAAACATGACAAGAGAAAACAACAAACAAATCATATGCCAAGCAACATTCTTCTTTTTGTTTCTCATGTGTGTCTCGTAGTCAACTAGAGATTTTCGGCATTCTTTTTTTTTTTCTTTTCTAAACAATGCATATTTTTTATATGAACCTTCGAAACCAATAAACAGCGATTCGGATTGTCACAGATATGAAAAAGGAAAACATTTTCTTGCCAGAAGTCTTGTATTCATGTAACAACATCCATTCTGTAATGTAATCCTAATATCAACATTGACGTCATGTGAAGAGAGTTGTAATCATTAGGAAGGAAAAGATCTTTTCGTTCGAACAAGCAAAATTACATTCGGCACGATTGAATAAAATAGAAAAAAGTGTAGAAGATAATGATGATCATGGTAAAAGAGACAAAACATGTGTTAATAGTCTACACGCGTTGCGAAGGTCAAAGTTCTTCTTAGATAGCTATATCAGAGAAGAAATTCTTCACGATCAGAGGAGATAAACAAACGTGCAAACATTATCTTAACCTTTATTCAATTGAATTCGTATTTCGAATCATTCGAGCGATGATATACATTCGGCGACATTCTCAAAAAAAATCCAATCGTTCTTCCACTTCGTCGATATACGATAGTCCATCACGTCACGTCGCACGAAGAAAATAGAATATCATCGAGGATAATATTGCGCAGTATATACGTGGATCGCCCTTTTCTACCTCCATGTCATCGTTTTTACATTTGTTTTCCCTCCATCTCGGCCCATGTTTCTCTCTAGATTTCTAGATAAACCCTAGACAAAACAAAACATACGTGATTCGTTCATACGTAGTTGTGTGTCATTCAGTCTTAAGTTATTCGTTCGTTTGATCGAAATCGATCCGCATTTTGTTTCTAGACGAAATTTCTTCTTGTTCAGTGTAACAATGTTTGGATTTCAAACACTCGCCTGTCTACACGACATTCCAGGTGAGTAAAGGAAATTTCATTGCATCCATTTTGCTTTTTATACTTGTCTTTTGTCGTGTTGAAGTTGTTCGTTCATCAACTGATAAACTTCAAGATGTATATGCTAAAGCTAAAACTAGAAGTGTGCTCATTCGACTTCCATGCAACTTAGCTGAAACAGTTGCTGATAAATCATTGAAAATCGCGACAACTGTTGCTATTCCTATAATGAAACCATTCCAAGGGCCAGGTAAAGAAGACTCCGCTTGCTCCGTTTTGATGTGATGTTTTCTCGATTAGTACGCGTTATTGACGATTTTACTGCTGAAAAACTTCGTCAAATCGAAGCCAAATATCCTGTTATTAAATCGACACCTGAACAAGTGCTCAATACGTTAAATGAGAAAACTGAACCTGTTCGTAATGCAATGACTTCTGTTAAGGAAACGACTACATCTACTATTCAACATGGCAAGGAAACAGTAATCGATTGTTCGTATAGATTCGTTTCGTTACCTCTCATCTAGGTTTCTAACGTAGCAAATGCAACAGTAAACAAAGCAACTAATGTTGCTGACAGTGTGTATACATTTTGTGAAACTCACGTTCCAGGAAGTAAGATGCGATGTAGAATGTTTTAATCTAGTTTCTTTGCAACTAGAAACAATTCCCGTTCCTCGCCAAGATTTCGGCCAGCGAACAATACTTTTATGGGAACGAATTAAATCAACTATCAGTTCACAAACTGATTTTCTTTATCGATCAATTGTATTTCTTTTAACATGGTATCGCATGTTCATTGTCTCGTTTCTACTCAAAATTAAACAAACAAATGACTTTGTGTTGAATAAAATTCAACGAAAACCATTCGTGTTCATCTTTCCACAACGATTCTTTATTCGTATGGGCGTCATTTTGGAATATTTTGTCGAACGACTTCGATCGGAAAACTCAACAGAACGCAAACAACCATCATCAACTCGATCTGTTCAGCAAAAACAATTCGCTAGTCGGTATGGATGAGATGAAACCTTTAAACTTGTCACCCTTCTTTTCTCTTATTCAAGTAGACAAACCTTGAAACCCGGTGCACTTCTTACAACTCGTCAAAGCGTGATTGTGACCAAGGAAGAAGTATCGATAACTCGTAATGGTACAACTCAGTCAATACATGACAAGGACCAACTTTATCCTTCTTTGAATATCGATGAAATCGAACCTGTGTGCGGTACTGATATCGATAAACTACATGCTAAACTTAATCCAACTGATGTTGAACTTCTCTACAGTCGTTTACCAACAGATATTATACCAGCAGAAGATAATCTTGGATCGTTAACTGATGATCAACGAGCTCTCCATGCCAAACTTCTTGGTGCTGATTTAGAACGAGAAGAACAAGATGATGATATTGATGAAGATTATGATGATTAAACTAGTCTTTCTTTTTCTTTTCTAGCATTATTTTGTGTTCGTATTTTCGATTTTCTTTGGACATCTTTTCATTCATGTTTATTATTTGTGTGCTATCAGCAATCCGTGATCGTTAGTTTACCTTGGTAAACCAATCTAACTTATGATCAACGGTGTCCAATTCCTTTCTGTTGTATTTCAGTAAAAGAGAGGTCAAAATAAACAAGAAGCACAAGGCTAACTCTTCAATACAGCATCAACTAGATCAGATCTTCCGATATTCTCAGAAACAGACACTTCCTATTACAGATAAAATCTTCCGAAGTCTTCGTAGATTCTACGGACAGCAATTTTGTCGTCGCATCGAGCATATATGTAAGAAGTAAAGATCGGACTTGTTTAACATTGATATCGCGTAGATATTAATAATATTCCTTGCGAAAACTACAAAAGCAACGAGAGGAGATAATTCGATTAAACTAGAAGAGATAGTGTCAATAGGATATTTTTAGGAATGACAAGTTTCGTACAAAAGATATCAATGCAACGATAAAAACGTTTCTATATTTGTTGTTTATTTATGATTTGATATAAATACAAAACTGAGCATAGTTCACTGGCAGTAAAAAGATATCAAAGCTTCACAAATCATTTTTACATAAGCGAAAAGGAAACGTTGACTGAATCCACGGGTACAAACGCCGCTATGTATGTGTTAGAAGAAAAAGTAAGCCATGCAAGAAAATAAACCTGTCTTCAAGAGGTAGATATTCTCTAAATCAGTTATTCATCAGCATTTCGTTGAATTTGTTCCATGAGGTAATCATAGAATTCACGGCGTTTAACATCTTGATCTTCGCTACCGACACTGTCGTCATCTTCATCGATGAATGCACGTGTCTTGATCGGTCTAACAGGTTTTGGTTTACTTCGAGGTCCGGGAGTTTTTTTACCAGGAAGATTGCATCTGTTTTTACAAACTTTAGCAGCGTCCTTGACACTTTTACCTTTGCCACGCGATGGATGGCGTTCAGAATGAATACATTGGATTTCGCATTTCGATTGTTTATCAACTACATTATGACCGCCTTGTCGTTTGCTGAATACGGCATTTTCCTCGTCGTCATCTGAAATGACACGCAGAGAGTCAATCGATACACAACGATGAGGAGATTTATTTACCTTCATCTGACGATTCTATTTCGCGTTCTTCAGTAAGTTGATCTAAAATTGATCGAAGCTCTAATTCAAGTTCGCTGTTTGCTACTTCATCGTCAGCATCTTGATGCGATGGATAACTAGCGGCAAAAGCAATGCATAGTAAAAGTACTAAATAATATTCAAACGTTAGTAAAAAGAAGCGCGTCTTTGGTCGGAAGAAACACTACCTGCAAATACGATACGCATGTCGATGTATAAATGGATAATAAAGAAATTGAAATGGTCTCTGAAGTGGATTGTCTTCTTTTTTTATAGCCTTCTCTTCTTCGAGAAGATTATTCATGTGCTGCTCTTCTCTCGTTTTTCTTTTTTCGACAAGATGACGACGGAAGAGAAAAATAATCGAAAGAGCGAAGATTGATTTCAACGCGATCTCTCAGCACAAAACAATTAACGGTCGATGATATAACGAAGGCCATGCGAATTATTCCGTCGTTATTTATTCCACAGTAGTCGAAATGATACATAATGGCGTCTGATGAAACAAGTGTTGAATGAAAGAAAGAAAAAAAAAGATTCTAACGAGTGTGGTGAAAACACCTCATAATTGAAAGTTATTAGTAAACTGATGTATTTGTTGAGAGATAAGGATAATATTATTCAGAGCTTTACATTCTGTGACAAAACTCGTCTATTCTTATTCATAGAGCCTAAAAACACACTAAACCAAGGTTTTCTTTCTGAACCATCATTGCCCATGCATTCGAAAGACTCACAGGTGCGTGAGTACCGATACAAAATGTACACGCATCAACCGATCCTCTATTCTACTCCGAATGATTCATCCTCTGTTCTTAGCAAAGGCAACACATCAGAAACACGACAACTCTTAGCACACGCAATCGCCACATGAGGGTGGGGGCCCGCGACTTGCAAAACAGCAGTAAAAACAAAAAGCACGCCACATCTTCCGGGGACTGGTGGGGGTGTCCCCCACCATAAGCCCATTCCTTGCCAAAACAATCAACACTCCCACTATCCATAATCCTGTACTCATGCGCTGTATTGATACCGAGGTATGTACTTGGTTGAAAACCATAGAATTGAGGGTGTACATAGTCATGTACTCATGTACTGTATTGACAGGAAGAGATGTGTTTTTTCATGAAGGCGTCACCTGTCTGGAACACTAGTATTTGTTTGAAGCGAAATGGCTATTTGAAGTCTGGTTACTATTCCAATATTGGAATATGGTTACGGGATAAAGTACCGCATCGATCCCGAAGATGCTCTCGGGTTCGGTCTTCTGGAATTGGTGAGGATATGGGCACCTAGTAGAAGATGCTGTGGGATATAAACATATGAATATAAGGTATCTAAAAATCAAGATATGGGCAAGCCGTGAAGTAGAATCAACAAGAAATGAAGTTCATCTTGCAGAGGTTCTTGTAGCGAGTGCAGTTTCAGGAGAATTGTATTTAGTATGAAACGGTAGTACGTGATGTGATGCAAATGGGAGGGAAGAGTTTTTAGTGTTCATAACGGTTGGATCGGTGACGGTGGTGTTGAAGAATAATTAGATTATCAATTGCATTTTTGTGTCGAGGATACATCTATATAAAGGTCAACAAGACAAATACGCTATGAAACAGATATATCTCTTCGATTTCGAAGCGCTCTCGTGCTAGATGCTATGTAGAAGAGATAGAAAAATTACCTTTAGCATAATTTCGACAGTACTCGTAGCGACCCTCACAGGTATTGCGCTCGGCGTTCATGAGGTGAAAAAGAACTAAATATCCGACACGTGCTTTTCTGGATGAATACGATGAAAGTGCATTTTGGTATTGCTTCAACACGCTGTTTCGTTGTTCAGCAACTTCAGTGTTAATGCTTTTAGTTGCATCATCAGTCAAAGCATAATTAATGTTTCGTTCTTTCTGACACATTGGTCGCTTGTGATTTGGTTGATGAAACCGATCGATGAAAAATAGGCATCTGGATACAAAATTCGATGGTGGCGTTCGCAAAATCCTTTGATAGATATCTATTTCACCAAAGCGACCCCAAAAGTAAAGAAATAGACTGCAGGCATTATCGTATATAATAATTCTTGGCAGATGGAGCTGGTAATCCTTGATAAGATGAATGATTTTGAAGAAATGCCATAAAACCAAATAACATGATTCAGCTCTATACAGTTCATCAAATCCAACAACTATTCCACAAGGTGACAATGTGTATATGATGCCTTGTGATGTTTTCTTCTCGATGTCAACGAAACTAAGAAAACAAAAAGGAAACAGAGCTAACAATTGCAATTGGAAGTTTGTTATTATTTTTAGTAGAGATAAAAATTGCGTAGTCTAGCATTTTATTCGAAAACTATCACATATACCAATGATATGCTATCGAGTAAAGTAGATCTCATATGATTGCTGGTATCATGAATATTAATTCTAGCGCGTTAATACATTGAGACATGAATTTATACATGACACTGTTTACTTTTATCGAAATACAAGCTATTAAAAAAGAAAACCGAACTTTCGTTACAAGTAAAGCTAATATTTACCGATCTTCTCGTGAAACATTGCAGCCGGTTAACGGATGATCGTATATCCCTTTATCACCACTGGTTAGCAAGTATGTTTCATTGTCGTCAAGTATTTTTGTACGTCGACACATTTCGCAGAGACCAGACTTTGCTTTTGGTGTGTTACCACATCCAATATATACTCCATCTGGGAACTCATCGGTTCGTATCCATTTGTTTTTATTGGTGCAAATCGGTCGAGCAACTTTTTGCATACCATCAATGATGAAAGCTTTCATACAGAACGAACTTTGACTGTTGTCTTTTGTTTGACATCGATGTGTCACATGATGTATTGCCCAATGATTAACGAAGTCACAGTACCATCGATCATAATTTGTATCGAAGAATTCATATAAGGATGAATCGTCTAATAATCTTGGTATTTCGAATTGTTCAATGTCATTGTTGAAGAAGTTGAAAATAGAAAGTTGATATAGAAACCATATGTTTGAGAAGCATTCGCGATTGATTTCGACAAATACCTGGTCAATCTATAATATAAAATTATTGTTTCATTTTAACTAAGCTCAAAGAAGAAGATCAGAGTGCAATGAACAATGACAAATTATACAGTGTACCAAAAGAAAGTCCTTCATTTTCAATGAGAAAGAGAGTTCAAGAATCATTTACATTATTTATCCAATAACTTACTATGTTTCTATCAGGTAATAAATTCGAGTATTTCTTTATTGACAAGTTGTATGAATGTTGGAAGTTCTCGAAACCAGAATATTGTCTCAGGAAAATTGATGTGAAATGAATTAACAATTCAGTCGAATAAGCCTTTTTTCCGCCAAAATAAATGAAATTTTGGTCATAAATGGAACCAGGTGTGACAAAGTTTTTTCGGATGGCTATTTTTTCATAGAAATTTGGATAAAATCGTTGTTCACATGGCCTACATGTTGCAACATAAACACTTCCTTTGGTGATTGAGTTCAAATTGAATACATCGATAAATTGATTAAATGTCACATTGAGTTCTTTATAACAATTAAGACATGTTTTGGTAAACGGTTTTAGACAAACCGATGTTGCATTTGTATCGGACACCAGACTTAACGTGTAATCCGCAAGCAAACGATCAATATTAACAGTATGAAAGAGTTCGTTCATTTCGCCAAGATTTGGTTGATTGATTATTTCATTCACTGTTGTTTCGGTCAGATTTGAATTGAAAACAGAATTCGTCATCAATGTGATATCTTTTGTTCGAGTATCAACACAATCATCAATTCGGTTATTTAAATCATGAACCAAATGAAGAACCTTTATATGGAACGTTCTATGCAAAGTAATAATGTAAGTCTCATTATTTTCCGTCAACGCCAAATTGGAAGACATAATGGAAATGTGATTAATGAGTAAAACTGGTAATCACTGATATATCTGCAAGTAAATCAACAATAGAATATTCCGGCAATTGTCTCTCGTCAAGATTAGTATTGATTATGTACATAACAGAATGATGGAAAGGGTTAAGATTGAGAATTATGGATACCTGTATTCAACATTTTCAGTTCAGCAGATTTTTACGATAAGGTTAGAACTGACAGAGATAATAAAGTTTATTCGTTCATCAAATAGTTTTTATTTGGTAATGCCGCACAAATGCACAATATGTGGAACAAAGGAGCGCAGATAGGATGATACCATGCATCTCAACAAAAATAACTTCACTCCAATACGCAATTCGAGCGAACAATTACCAATAATTTTGTATTTCATACGGGGAAGTATTTGCTTCTAATACGATTGCACCATATCCGCATGTATAGTAATCAGTAAACACCAATAAACACAGGGAGAAGGAAAATTTTCACATAAACAACACCAACATGAATTTGCCAATTTCACACACAAAAAGATGCCAAAATAGAACGACATTTCACAAATGAGAGAGAAGAGTGATAAAGAAAAAAAACGAAAAACGCAACAAATTTCGTGTATTAACAGTCTAGTGTACGTAAAACAAAGTTACAACGAATTATCAACAAGTGTGCGAAAAACAGTAGATAATAAAGAAATTTCACAATAAAAGTAGCAAACGCAGTTATAAGCTCTATCTTTCAATAGGTTCCAGCCAATTAACAATTCAACAAGCATAACGGTTAAATGAACGAAAAAAATTAACACAAAAGAAAAAGCAGTGTAATACAAACAGTATCGGCTTTGCCAATATGAATTTTCAGTTTCAAAGACGTCGAGATTTTGATCTAGTCTTCATCGGACTTAGAATAATTCTTGATCGTTTCGGTGTCAAGGGAGGTGTTCCAGAATGAGGTGATACTTCTAGAAAAAATCAACTTTTCGTCACAAAAATACTACGAGCCTCTTTCAAAATGAGGTTATCTAGATTTCAATTTCAATGCAAATGTAGTTATTTCCAGTTGTTCCTTGGTTGATTTTCGCACGAACAATAACTTTTCCGCTGCCGACGCAGCCTCATAAACTTTCTGAACATATCTCGATTTTTTGGATGCAAGAATACATAAAAAACATGTTGATCGGTCATTTTTATCGCAATAAAAGCTTCATTGAAACTTTGATTTTTAAGCAGTTTTCTCTATTTTTGTAATTAGATTTCTGCTACTAAAAGTCTCGCTTCTGCTATAAATGCTACGCAACTCGTTTTGACAAAACTTCTCGTTTCAAGGGCATCTAAACAGATGAAGAAAACGTATTAATAACATACCACTCGCACCAATAAGAACAACATATAAACCGGGTCTCGTTGAGTGATTTGTAGTTTCACAATAGGTTAATGAACCTTCTCCAAAATGACTCATTCCTGTTAAACTTGTTTAAAAAAAATGCCAAATCATTCAGACCATAACCACATCATCAGTGTGAAGCTAGCACGAAGGAGCTAGCACGAAGAAACTGTGTGTAAGCTAAAAACGTTTTTCCAGAGTTTGTCCGGTTCATAGAACCTAGTCCATTCGTTTCAGAATTTAATTCTGCATCGAATGGCGGTATTTTTATTCACCGGACAAACTTTGGAAAAAAGTTTAACCACATCTTTGTTGGCCTCATATAGGTCTATTTATGTTTCCGATAATTTTTTTCCAAAGTTTGTCCGGTGAATAAAAATACCACCATTCGATGCAGAATTAAATTCTGAATCGAATGGACTAGGTTCTATGAACCGGACAAACTCTGGAAAAAAGTTTTTAGCTTACACACAGTTTCTTCGTGCTAGCTCCTTCGTGCTAGCTTCACACTGATGTCATAATCTCTCTTTCCTCTTCTCTATATAAGCGCTTGTCTTATTGTGAAAGAGATACATTCTGGTCATGTAGAGTAGTCAATAAACATCGATACCGTGAGAAGTGGCCAGCTACTCAAGCAGTTTGTCGTTACACTACCCTACAGCGCAAATTATCAGAATTCATAAAAGAGGCGAGTACATGGTTATGTACACCACCAATTCTATGGTTTTTGACTAAGTACACGCCCATGTACTCAATACAATACAAGAGTACATGACTATGTACACCACCAATTCTATGGTTTTCAACCAAGTACATAGCCATGTACTCAGTAAAAAAGTATTCTGATATGTTAAACTCCCAATTATCATTATATTCTGAGTACATTTTGTACTCGTACTCACGCAGCGCTCCTACGAAACCAAGATGTGTATCAATATTATTTCTATAAGTGTATACTGTGCAAAGAATATACTGACAGGCGAAACATGTCATACGGCTGAGAAGTGAATCATGAACAACTCAGCTGGTATTAAGACTTATCGACTAAAACAGCGCCTAACCTCGTTCTTTTTTCAAACTTTTCTTTAATCATCTCGAGCAATCGCAATTCAAGATCGTTTTCCTCGGCTGCAGATAAGCAAAGAGTCTCGAATACATTTTCAAAACCACTTCATTTATTTAGGATTGAAAATCACCGTATACACACACACAAGAACGTTGATTCTCGTCAAGCAGATATTTTCTGTTTATTATTATAAGCCACCATTCGAGTTCTTTCCGTTCTTTCCGTCTATCAAAAAAGAAAGGGACGTGTTAAATATTATAGCGTATCTCTTTTTCTCTTCTTTCTCCGTCAGCTTTTTCAATATGTTCAAGGAAACATTATTACTGGAAAGAGAGTTGAGAAACAATGACTTGACAGTGAAGACAGTCTGCCTATGGGTGAGCTCTACAGGCACGTGAAAAAAGAACTGCTTTGTGTCGTTTGTTCTCGCTCTCACTTTGAATGGCAAAGATGCCATTTTATAAAAAAAGAATCGTATGAGTTCTTTCTTTTTCTTCATCAAGTTACTTGAGGGTTGAAATTGATTACTTTTTTTTCACGACATAAAAAGTAGATGTATACTTTTGTAGTTTTGTTAAAGATTTTGGTACGACTTTCTTAACATTTGTTCGCTTCTAAGAAGAGTTTTGTCTTTTTTTTTGCACCTTTTCTCAGCTTATGCCTTATTAATCGTCCAAGCAAGAATTCACTGCTTAAGTTCATTCATTTTATTATGAAAGAACATGCTAACATAGTCACGACATAATGGATAGTTCTCTAATCTCTCATTGAATCGTTTTCCGGTGAACTTCCGTACTTTCGAAAAGACCGACGATATTTTGTTATTTGTCATTGAAATATTTTTTTTAGATAAACAAATAACGTTCGTTATTAACCTGGTGATGGTTTGCTTAAAACGTAGTTCTCGTAGAACTTAAAGATTGATATTTGTGTGATATGGTGGTCAACAAACAAAATATTCAGGCATGGAGAATAATGATCTATATGATCATATTCGGTATGGTTTTATTGGCGATATATTTTGTATCTGGTCAAGTCAGTCCATCATTTTCGACTCAACTGAGTTTCGAAAGATTAAAGTTCAAAATTTCTGTAAACGATTCGAGTCAATCAAGTGCACAGAGCATCAGTCATCTTTGGTCATTACGTCTTGCCGATGATGCTCATTTCCGTCTGGCAAAGGCAATACCATGTCGAACTATCGAATATACTGGTGGGCCGAAGAAAGATCCTGTGAATTCATGCGCTGACCAGTCCACAAATGAATTTTCAGTTGAAAACACTATAAAAGCACAACAATGGTTGTTTAATCATCAACATCCCAGCGATTGTTCAAACAAACGATTTGCTATCATCCGCAAGTATGCCTGGTCAGGTTTTGGTTCAACTGTTCACCAAGTTGTTTGGGCATTTGGTGTCGCCTTAGCAGAGGATCGAATTGCTGTTTATGAAACACCGGGACATTGGGTAAGACGTCTTCATGAAGGCAATCATCTAACATTTACCTTCTTAGCTCTATGGAGATTGTGTTTCGAGTAATCCCGACTGTCTTTTTCTTCCCATAACAAATTGTTCGGTACCGCGTAATGTCGATGGCAACCAAACGTCATATATAAATGCCGATTTTGGCCACTGGTCAAAACCAGTTCATCCGAGTGCCTTTCAAAATCGAACATTTAATTGGTACCGTGCACAGCTATTGTTTTATCTCATGCGTTTCAAACCTGAAACTTTAGCACATGTACAGAAGATGGCAGCGCAATATTTACAAGTGTCATCGATTGATGTTTTGCGACCGTTCATCGCAATTTATGTTCGTCGTTCAGATAAAATCACAGGAAGAGAAATGAAACAAGCGTATCCTTTGAAACAATACTTCGGCTTATTCGAAGCCGATTTACAACGGACAAACATTACGAATATCTACTTGAATTCGGAAGACAATCAAGTATTTGACGAATTCATCGAAATAAACAAACAAAAACAAGGCCGCTACAAACTACTAAGCATCAAAGCTCAGAAGAATGTCGTTTTTGCCTCGCTCACACGAATGTCACAGCACGATCGTGGGAAGATTGTTTTAGAGTTTCTCACTGATCTATTCATCGAAGCGAATGCTGATCTGCATGCAGGGACATTAACATCCAATTGGTGCCGGCTCGTTGATGAAATGAGACTCACTCTCGGTAAAATTCTGCCCTACTACACGCCGGAAGACAGATATCTCCTTGATATGTAAGACTTTTTCCGGAAATAAGTGAATTTATATTGACATTTTATTGTAAGAAGTCAATAAATTTTAAATCGAATGAAATTTGTTTTACATAGAGATATTTCGAGAGTCTTTTTACATTTACATCGTTTTGATATGGGAACGCCGCGTAAAACATGTGCAACATGTTGGCCACAGCCTAAACGAGCAAACATGAACAATGAGTTTTCCATACTGTATTCAACGTACCTTTCCAAGTTGGAAGTCCACATTGATGACAAGATATCCTCACGCACATATCAACTATGGGATCGTGTATGATCCAATATACGAGTAATTAACTTCGGTCGTGTTTATATATCAATATCACGTAATTTGATCAAGGTTTTTGTTTCATTTTTTTTTCTTCTTCTTTCAATCATACGAGAAGCAGACGAAGGTAAGAAAATGTATGTGTATCGATTCAATGCCAATAAACATCTGCTTACATTAAACAGTGTTTTCGATCAACAACTGATTTCATACTATTTTCAGTCCTTGAATAGGCAAGAGAAAAAAGAGAGAAACATCGTAACATCAATTCGTTTTTTTTTCTTCGTTAACAATTATCAAATTGGAAGTATAAAAAAATGAGAATGTCTATGATTCATTTTCAGGAGTTATTCGTGTGCTCATATTTAGTATACCCTTCGGTTTTCGTGCTACGTATCTTCCGTTGGGTCTCCGGATTAATTCAGTGGTATCGTTATGGTCATTGTTGATTATGTGATTCAGTTTGCCGGCGGCTTGTGCAGCCATTGCAACATCTTTGAAAGTATCATCCCTTTCTTTACTTGCCCATCGTTCGCGTTGATCGATGTAACGTTCACGGTCGATCTTGTTCTGAATCGTTTTAGGTACACTTGGCACAAGCCAATACATCAAATAAATGATAAAGAAAACCAAGTGCTCAAAGACAATGATAAATGCTAAACGAGCAGCGAGAACATTCCAGTAGACTGTCGTTTGAGAATAAGGTGAAGTCGATTCACGAAAATCTCGATATCTTAAAGAAAACGTTTCTCATCGTATTTCAACAAATCACTATTCGATCTTACCGACAGTATGTCAAATTGAAAGTATTCGGTGGCATTTGACCGGTGTTATTGTAATCTTGAATTGAGAATGACGATAGTGTCCAATTGACATAACCGTCTAGACTGGTTCCTTTCGACTGCAAAACACGATAGGCCATTTTGGGAATAAATTCTGATGTCCAAGCGATGATTATAGCCTAAAACGATAGAATCAAACTTTTCGTGTCTACGAGTCAACAACAGATGTTACATTAGTTAGAACAGCTAAGTATGAGACTGCAGAAAAGATTGAACTCCAAATACCAATGTCCGATGCTTTGAATGGAATGGGTCGTTTATACTTCGAGAGGAATTTCCATGCGTCCAAACGTAGTTCAACTAGGTTGTTTATCAATGCAAATAGTGGTGCTAATCTATTTATAAATGAGAAGTTCTGTAAAAGAGCAAGATGAAACCACTTACGGAAAAGCAACAACGAATAATGTAACGAAACCAAACTGAATTACTGAAAGGAAACAAAAAATATTCGATTTCAGCTTCGATGAGTCATACAAATCTAACCTAATTCAAGGTATTCATCGATTAGAACAGTAGAGTTGAAATCGTACAAAGTATTGTCTTCTTCCCATTGATATTGAGTATGTTTTCCTTCCTTGTAACATACACGCATACATGTACGACGCATTGCGGTAAAAAATTCGACAATATTGTTGATGATTTGTTTACCAATCATAACTAAATCGGATGATTACCTTTGGTCAAGGTCAGTTTGCAACGAGAAATCTTACTGATCACTAACTGGATTGAAAGTTCAACTAAACACCCGGCTGGGTCGCACTACAAATTTCCGCGATAACGATTTACAAATGAGCAAGAAACTCTGTTCGAACCTGTTCAGTAAAATCATCGGGTCTAGGTTCACCGTATTTTGATGGATACTCCAGAAATCTAGTTCAAACAAACAGAATCATGGTGAGTCAAGCAAAGGATGCACATCTAACCTTCCTTTGAAAAACGCGATGTAAAATATTGATCCGTAGAAATTCATAAATTGAAAAAGATAAATTTTGATAATCAACGAATCATCATATTTCGACTGATGTTTATGCAATTCTAAAAAAACAATTTTCAAACATCGAACTTGATTGCAAACCAGCTGTCTTACCGAGATCCGTTATCTTTCCGGCAAGCCAATAATACAATTGAGACAAGATTAATGAACAGATTAAATTGATTACTGCGCCTGTTACTGTGATAATAATCGAAGAATAAGTTTTCGCCGATGTATCCCTCAATATATAATCCATTTGAACCCGGTAGACTATTGTACCAAAGATAGTGCCACACACGATCAATATCTAAATCATCAATGGAATGTTTCCCTTCGACTGCATTCGGAAAGTTCATTACAGTAATTATGACAACAAATACAGAAAGGATAAAGTATGGTATCCGTCGTTTAATTGGTATGTTTGGTTCTTTGATCTAGATTGAGCAAACGAAATGACTCAGTAGGATTGTTTTTCGAGAATTGCTCACTCCAGTAACAGGATCTTCACGTGTTTCTTTCATTAATGCCGCTTGACGTTCGTATTCCGGTCGAATGGGTTCTAAGTGTGCCTCAAAATCTATGGAATCCTACGAATAAAGTTCTCATAAATATGTCTATCCTACGTAACTGTTTTACCCATTCGTATTGAAAAGCTGCTTGACGTCGACCCCAAAATTGTACAAACAACCTAATCGCAAGAGTAGAAATAAGCAAGAAATCGCGTGTTGACTAGTTCGTACCGCGCCCATAATGACATAAATATACCGAAAACAATGGTTGCCGCATTATCGAACACATAGGAAATCTATTGCAGCAGACGATTGAAAAACTACCGTGGAAATATCTCGTATCATTACCTTCGAATACACGCAGCTATCACTTAGTTTCCAAAATGGACAGACTTTATCACATCGCGGACACATGTACGTATTGGATCCGAAATCTCCACATATATCAGATCTAAATAGATTCCAAAAAAGAACTTTTGTTAGAAGTTCCTGGAATCGACTACTAACGTTGATTCATCTGACATAACACTCGCTGCGCCATAGATAAAGATAATCAAACCGACAATTGCCGGAGCAATTAACATTTGATTATAGAATCCTGTCATTGCAAAGTAAAATGCAACTTTTTCGCCCATGTACGAACGTATCAAAGCAAATGGCTGAAATTTGAAACATTTTCGCATGGTTGCCCAATGTCTTTGTAGTTTCTGATATTTGTCAATAAGAAATTGAAGATCACTAATCAAACAAACTCACCTGTCGATCATTTAAATCTTTATCCGGAAGAGCATCATAATTATGGAGTGACTAAAATCATACAGTGATTAAACAGTGAAAACTACGATTATTGTTTTACCTCATGTAAAGGAAAGTATCCATCGTATACTTTTTTCGTCACTAATCGATCGATTCCTGATAGAGACGATGGAAACTTGTGACTATCAAATGAGCAAAACTAATTCATACCTGGCTGATGGCGACTTTTCTGTGATCCAACGATGGCGTTCGCACCTAGAATCGAATGAATAATAAAGAGAAACAGATTTCATTAGGTTTTAGCAACCTAATTTTGGATCATTTGCCGATTGATCTAAATTGTGCGGATCACTCGGGCGATCATCATCGTAGTTATCCACAGAATGAGTTCTGGATAATAATTCGTGTGTTAATAAACTCCTTTCTGCCGGCGTGAAATAAGCTTTTCCTAACTCTTCGAATTCCTCCTGTAGATCTTTGAATTTCAGAATATTCCTCGAATAAATAGCTGTATAATAATCCAAATCGTCCTCCGTCAATGCTGGATCGAGGAGGAACGGTTTAGATAGTTTGTCTTTCAACCGTTTCCACCAAGAAGTATTCGATTGTAACAGCATAGTTTCACGTTTTTCGATTCTCTATTAAAGACAAAACACTAAAGAATCATCTTTTCACACAATCTTTACTGCAATCGGTAATCGCATTCGCATTTTCTCAGCCGTCGATAGAAGAACTTCAAACGGTGTGCTAACTTTGACATAGCCCACTCGGCTCGATGGCGATTTCTAAAGACGAAATAACTTCCATAATTTGTTTTCTCGTCGAATGTTCTACTTATTCCGTACATAATCCTGAAGGATAAGACCTTGTTCTTTTTTTAGATAATGTTCAAACTTTTTCCTTCGATCTTCAAGAGCCGTGTACGGTTTTTTGAGTTTATGATTACTCTCATTTTCGTGATCATCGTCATCAATCGTATAGACGAGAATACAATCAACAGGCAACTGATCTTGCTGCGGATCAGACGACACAAAAGTATTCTGACGATCTGCAGGTCGATAGATATCTGCTTTGTCTTGCTGCTGGTTGGAGTAGCCTTCACTGCTCATGTCTAAAACAAAAATATGATTGTTTGATTTCGCGAGAAGTTCTCTAAGATTAATACAATCTCGAGTAAACAGAAATACCCTTGTTACTCAAAGCTATAAATAAATTCAATAAAAAACATCCTCAGTTTACTCTGCTGATTCAATTGAGGAAGAAGAAAGAAATCTTTCACACACCAGATTCCCGTTGCAACGGCGGTAAATGAAATACACGTGGCATTATCGATGCTTTTTCGTGGAGTCATTTGAATTTATACAAATTCCGCCGGCGTGTTTGTGTCATTTATCATTCATAGCAACATTGTTTTTCATTGTACGATGTAAGACGAAGGAAAGAGACTTTTTCGTTTCGTTTGCACTGTCGATAAGATTTCTATGCTGAGTCTCTCGGCAACGACATCCAATCGAAATGAAAAGAAAGCTTTTGCTCGATGCAGACGAATGAGTGCATTTTTAATGTGTTGGATATTTAAAATGCAATTCAACTAAGAGATCTTTCTCCTGCAGATCAAAAGACTTTTGTTCCTGTTGAATTCATAGAGGAAATATGAACGCTCGCATGTTTGCAATGCAATTGTCAATTTAGTTTTGCTTTCGGAGACAAATCAATTTCCTTGAGAAAAAGATTCATTAGGTGGCAAAAGGCAAACATGCACTCTGAGTAATTTAATTGAGCTTTTCCTATTGTAAACGTTTGGCCAAACATCTGCTAGGTCATATGTGTGATAGAAAGGAGAGCTCCTCATGTGATAAACTACGATTGACGATGATCTTTCAGGTGACAATGCCATTTGTTGACGCGCAATAATGTAAATGAATGAAGAACTAGGGATTGTGTGGCTACACAACCGTTTGTCCTATTAAGTTTTAATTTTCCAACTCACTTCTTTCTCTCTCTCTCTCTCTTGCTAGTTTGTGTTTGTTCATTCTTGTGTGTATTCCGTCTGCGCACAAAAGAATCACGGAAAACGCGAGTATTTTTGAAAAAAGAGAAAAGAACCTCTTGTGACAAACTAATCATAATATCGGCTTTGTGACTAGATTTTCATAGATGAAGCGCGAAGAAACAAAAAGAACAAAGTTGTTCATCGATGATGAGACTCCAAGAGAAGGAGCAGCTATATGAACGAAACAAGATTGGCATAAGTTTCTCAGGCGACGAGTAAACAACGAGTTGTCGTGTTCAGAAATGAAGAAACAAAATTAATGAAATAGTGCTCCAGTTCGTTTTATATACGTGACAGAACAATTTTGATTATTGTTCTTTTCCCTGTTGTTTTAACCTACGCATATTCATCTACATTTCCACTGTGTTCACGATATGTAGACTACTGGAGTTTTCTTTTCTCTCTCTCAGATATGGTCTTCTGGGGAAAATATTTTTCAGAGTAAGACAATGAGCAAAAAAAGGAGAGAGAAGAATTACTATTTGTATTCCACTCTTCCATCTCGCCTTTATTTTCTTATATCATTATGTTAGTTTTCTTCTTCTCGTTTACACTGTAATCAAATAGCCAGCAAAAATGTTTTTCTTTTCTTTCGCTGAAAAAACTTCTCTCCTTCTTTTCAGAGATAGTTCCGCTCGAATATAAGATACGAGTGATCATGGCGACATCCGACAATCCACGCTTACCGTTGACATCGGGTTCATTACCTGTCGTTAAATATATGGAAATGCGTGAGCAAACAGCGTCTGGCTCGTCAACTAGTATACCCATGGTCCCACCGTCAGCTTCGAAACCGAAAAACAATCTCGCAATCAATGAATATGAACTTCGACGTATGCCAACTCGACAACGACGTGTAGTCAAGAAAACCTTGATGGCTCATGTTGGCTACCGGCTAGGAAAACGAAAAAATTTACACATACAGCGGTAAAGTCGAAAGAGATTCTTGTGTTCATCGATTCTCACTGGCGATAATTTGTCTTATTTAGGCGTTTTATCGGCGATTTGATGTGTTTTCTCGGTATGCTAGGTATTGTTTTGATGATCATTGAAAGTGAATTGTCGTTCAATCGTGTTGATCATAAAGATTCAACGTTTAGTTTATTTACCAAAGCGACAATTTCTTTTTCATCCATTGTTCTTGTTGGCTTAGTCTTTTACTATCATCATATTGATTTAAATCTGTATTGTGTCGATAATTCCATTGATGATTGGCGCATTGCTTTGACGCGAACGAAAATATGTTCGATTGTACTCGAAGCAATTATCTGTATGATACATCCAATTCCAGGTCATTTTCTTGTCGAATGGGGTTCACAATACGTGAAAAAAGCCGAAGATAGCTTAAATTTTATCAATCCGTATCGGTCCAGTCAGAACACATTGACAACTGCGATTTTACCAAACGCAACGATGACACCATCGGCTAATTTAGTAAGCGCAGTGGAGCAGTCGAAACCGTACGTACCCATTGATGTTATGCTAAGTCTACCAAGTAAGTTTGTCAAAAGAAAACTTTGTTCGATTCGACTTTGAAAAATAGTGTTCTTTCGCTTATATCTCGTATGTCGATTACTAATGCTTCATTCTCATTTAATTCGTGATGCTTCCTCGCAATCTCTTGGTTATCTCAACCGGGTTTCATTTACATTTCCATTCGTTATCAAGGCTTATATTCAACAACATCCAGCGATCAGTCTGACAACATTCTGTATCAGTTCATTCTTCATCGCCAGTTGGGCGATGCGTGCATGCGATTTCAATGAAAAAACAGGACATATGTCCTTACTCGACGCAACATGGCTATTCATCATTTCGTTTACCACCATCGGTAAGTCACTCCGTGCATGTTTCGATTGCTTTACCGAGCTTTTCTAGGTTATGGGGACATCGTTCCATCAACATACTGCGGACGAGGTCAGATTGATCGGCGAAGTCTAATTCGACATTGATGTTTTTTCGTACAGGTATTGCTGCAATAACAGGTATTATTGGCGTGTTTTCCACTGCATTACTCGTTGCAGTTATCTCCCAAAAACTTGAATTAACTCGCTCGGAAAAATATGTTCATAATTTCGTTGCTAATATTGAATTAGCCAAAGCTTATAAACACCAAGCAGCCAATGTTGTTAAGTACGGTTGGAAAGTTTGGTACTTAAAGCAAAAAGGAAAACATATGGCTATTCCGTATATTCAAGCTCAACGTCTCTTGTTAACATCGATGCATTACATGCGAAAAATTAAACAACAGCAACGTAAATTAAATGATACCTGCGTTACTCTACTCGAAGTTTATAGTGTACAGAGTAGCACTAGTACAACAGTGGATCAAACGTCGGAGAAAGTGAATATAATGGAAGGAAAAGTTGACAAAATGGAAGATAAACTCATTGAAATCAACCAAGGCATGGTTATTTTACAAGACAAGATCAATATATTATTAGATAGAATTCAACAAAGATAAATTTAGATATAATTATGTGTAAAGGACTGAACGTTTTTTTTGCTCTTGTTCATCGTCAATACATTAATACACCAATCAAAAACAGAATATATTCTCTTCTATTCGTTGTTTACATCTAAGAAAATAAGAAAATGTTCACGTTCGATCGTCAATTGTAGATATTTCCATGTGATGAGCATGGAACAGGTGTCTATTAGTAGACAGAACTTCATATTTTAGAGTGTCTTTTACAAGGCATTTGATGAAGGAACTATTTTGATATTAGTCAATTATGAAAATGGATACGAGAAAAACTTTTCTTGTCAATTGTTGACTTTTCAAGTTTGAATGTGTATCACGCTTGAAAGAACATTAATTAATCATGTATACAAAAAGCAACTTGAATCTTCTTCACAGAAGTGTAGTTTCCTTTCCAACCTTGGCAAATTTGTCTCGGGTTAGTGATTCATTTAGAAGATGTATATTCTGTTTTACCACAAATTTTGACATTCCAACACAGGTCAACCAGTCTCAATTGTTAAGAGAATTTCTTAATAAAATATTCCGAATTGTTGACAACATTTGTGGTGAAGAATTCAATTGATTCGCAATCCAGTTGATGGCATATTTATCTGTGCGAGGTTTGCCATCACGTGTATACAAACGTATAGCATACATCCATAGGGTATCATCCCAAATTGAATGATACTTCACATTAATCCACGTATAGTTCTTCTCTAATGGTTTTCGCCAGAGATTGTAACCATACTCATTATTGAGATAATCAATTGGCGAACAGGGAACAGTAAAACGATAACCGAATAAATCACCCGAACAAAGTTTTGCCAGTAATGGTATGATTCGTCTAGATCAAAGTAGGTGAATTCTATGAAAATATTGGCTTTACTCCCTTCATACCGGTATTTCACACGTTTCACTTGATACCCACACCATCGATGGTCGTCTTCGCGATACGCCCAAAACAGATCGAATGTGAACTGACCCGTGTGTAATCGAAATTCCAATGAATCGTTAACCTAAAATCGATCCAAATTGAGCGAGTTACATAGAAAGTCTTTCTCTTACCAGTCCCAACGTTCCCCATAGATAAACATGAGAATTGCCGAGAAAATATTGACGAATACTTTCATCGTATTCCTCCGCAAACAGACCGAAATCCACATCTTGAGTATATGGTATTAGTCCACAATGGCGATACCAACCTATTCAATGACAACTTTCCCTCTCATCGAGTTTCTTGAAGTTCCAAACTAAATTTTACCAAGCAGAGTGCCACCGGCGAGCCAATGATGTTTTTCCAACTGGTTCAATGCATTAGAAATCATTCTCATCGGTCGAATGGTTAAATCTAATTGACTAGTATTCTGATACAGGTGATAGTTTGTTTCCATTTCTTTTGTCAATGCATGATCACATTCAATAAATTCTGATATATTGTACAGCCAGAGAAAATGTGAGGCATTCTGCGGAGATGAAAATCGGTATTTTCTTCTTCGAAATTTTGCTTCTTGCCTATAATAGAGAAGTAATGAGGTACTTTGAAGATTCATCTCATCATCTTACGGTTCGATTACACGGAGTGTATCACCATATGAAAGGAGAACATCACTCGGCAACGGTAGAAGGTTTTTTCGAATAAGAAAATAGGAATTTTGTAGGTGGAGAACAGCCAAATGTACGATTTGTTGATCGTACTCGATGAAGACATGATCACTGTTGGAAAGTTTCACGGAGAAGTTGTTAACGGAAAAAATTGGTTCAAGTAATCGTAGAGAATCATTGAAAATACCAAATGTAATCAAACGCTTTCGCAATTGTTTATAAGATAACTGTTGAACGAAGAGATAATCAAGCACGAGCGGATCAATTAGTAGAAGATTAATGTGACATTTCGATAAATATATAAGAATAAAATCCAGATTCGATGTAAAAGTATCGTATTCATGGACAATTTCAATCGGCGCTTCTTTGAGGATTGTTATGATTAACCAGAAGAGAACATAAATGAATAGACTTAAGAAAATAACAGCTTTGTATTGAACGAAAATATAAGAGATATTCATTGATTCTTCTCTGACCTCATCGAATTGCTATTATCGAGTAGATTCTAAAAGGAAATGTTCGTGAAAGAATAATTTCTATAGTAGATCATTAATCTATTACAGATGACCAGTTAATTACCATCATCTGACGAATGTGTCGAATCGGATTCTTTCTCTCTTTTGCTCATTCTTTTCTCCGATCGCTAATGATAATTTATCAGTTCTTTACAAGTCAATAGAGACATGTCGCATGTCGTAGAAAGAAAAAGAGAAAAGAAAGAATGAGTTTTGTCATGAACCGGATGGGGAATTTGATTGATGATGTTCAGTCCTGTCGGACTCGAGTTCCTTTTCTTTTGACTTTTCAACTATGAATACTGATCAAGCATATTAACATTAGTTGTAAAAGCATGTATAATCTGGCAATTTTGTAACATCTGATGAGCGAGCGAGAGAGAGAGACACACGATCTTACCCGATGAGATTTTCATCTGTTGCCAATGTGAAGTATTCAAAATGAATAAATGATGTCAGAAGACTTAGAAGTTGAATACCTTCTAGTTCGAGAGAGCTATTTTCAATTAATTCGAAATGAAGAATGTATAAATAATATGACAACGAGTTGCAGACATGCGTTGTCTTATCGATTTCTTAAATCTTTTGTTAATAATACAAAGAAAGATGGTATGATATCATCTGCCATTCACTACTGGCACGAAGAATTTCTGATTATCTCCCACAACCAACAGTCGAGAACTGATTCAGCACGAGAAGAAATTCGTATCGAAACAAACTCAAATAAAAAATCCATAGTATATCATTGATGAGAAAAAAACACAAATGTTAATTTGATAAAAAGAAAACTGAATCAATTGCAAGCAGGGATAATGCGAATCCAAGACATGTTACTGTATTTATCATTGATTTCTTGTATAACATGCTATCCACACCAGAGATCTCTGATTGAAGCAGACAATGTTGAAGAAATAAGTACATTGACCTGCATAGTCGAACTTGCAGTGCTGATATTCGTTTAGGTGGAGATTTTGAAGGCGATATAATCTTGGCACCCGACACAATCTATCGAGGAATAGGTGTTAAGAGTCCTCTTGCTCGGTGGCCAAATGGAATTGTTCCTTACGAAATTTTATCGGAATACGGTATGAATAAATCTATTTCTTCGACACACAACCACCTTGAACTTGTTTTTTTGGAATGTTTCCCTTAGATGCATATGATCAAGCGAAAATTGTAGCAGCAATGCGCCGGTTGGAGCGACTAGTTTCATTAAATCCTCACGGACAGTCTTTTTGTATACGATTTCGGCCGAAAACTGATGATGATAATTATTTTATTTCAATTAAAAACGGCAGCGGATGTAGTTCGTTTGTCAGTTGAATTTCAAGTCAAAGGAGATCTTTTCACGACGAATTTCTTTCTTTTAGGTAGGACGTGTGTTCGAAGGTGGTCAACCAGTAACATTAGAAATGAAAACCTATTGCGTTGATCGAGAGGCAACCATCATGCATGAGTTCATTCATGGTAAGAAAAAAAAAGTTCGAATATCCGATCGATCGTCTATTTGAATATCACAGCCCTTGGCTTTTGGCACGAACAATCTCGTCCGGATCGAGATGATTATATCACTATTGATTTCAGCAATGTTCGACCCGGTAAGCAACAGTTTGATTAATCATCTTTATTGTCTTGGACGCAGTAATTTTCTTTCAGGAACTGAACACAATTTTAATAAGTATTCCATTGAATTAACTGATACATTAAACCTTCCATATGATTACAATTCAGTCATGCACTATTCTAAAACTGCCTTTTCCGTCAATGGATCCCCGACAATCATTACGAAAGATCCAAATGTTTGGATCGGACAACGTAACACACTGAGTGCAAACGATATACAAGAAATTCGACGATATTACAATTGTATTTGAATCATTTTTACAGCATAATACAAAAAAAAAGAGGAAGATAAACAACCTTACCGAAGTTACTACACTAGGAATTCATGTGAAATATCAATGTATATTTTATTCTGTTCTACAACTACTTTCTAATAATAATAAGCGAAACAAGAGATGTATAAATTCATCTATCGAATTGCTAATGCTAGAAGTACACCGATTATGTTCGCACATACAGCCGTGATGCCTAAGATAGCTGCTTCACGAATGGTATCCGTGAGATCGCCAGCAACGTAAGCAATACCAAGAGCGACTCCAATAAAACCAAAAATGAATGAGATCAAAGGAAGAATTTTAGCGACTATAGTCAGAATTCGATGTAGTTTCGATTTGAGTACAATGCTTATAAAAAGACATAGAGCAGATAGAAGCGATACAAAACAAGCCGCTGTTAGGAATACTCGAGCAAAGATTCTTTTCAAGCACAACGAAAAAGAAGAATCTCGTGAGCATGTCAATGGTAGTCTTGTACAACTGCTATTCTTTGTGTTCCAATTGCATTCCAACCACAAGCCAGCAGCTCTATAAGATCCATTGAGATCCCTTACCCCAACAGTTTCAATAGCTTCAAGGGGCTCGTTTGAGATAACGCCCCTATGCCTACAATATACATATCATATAGGTGATGATTATGTCGAAACACGGTTGACATTGTATAAATGAAGGGAAGTTATTCAAGATGTACGAATTTTAAGTTAGGGAACGTACCATAGTGGTAAGCCATTGCTGAGAACATAAAGAACACAAGCCAAAATCATAACACAACCGCCGATGATGGCTACCGTACGTCCAATGGGAGTCATTTGTTTCATTGAGTCAATGACAGGAACCTGTTAATCTAATGAAAATAACTGAAACGATATTTAAGAAAGAGTATTTATTACAATTTGATTATCCTTGAAGAAAAGGAATCTCTATTACTGAAGATTAGTAAAGTACTGAAGCTATTTATACTATTATTCGTATCAATTTACTGAATAGAAAAGAAAACGTAGTGTCTCATTTCATAAGCGAACGAATAACGTCTCTCCTTCATTATTAAACAGATTTCATCGTACTAGACATGTTTTATAACAATATTTGTTGAATTGATCAGCGAAGGACAATCATTACATAAAATCAGAAAGGTAATACGTCTAATACAGACAGTTTTGTGTTTTGAAGCTTTCGTCATCATAGGAGAAAAGCACCAAGTATTTATTTGAACATGACATAGCCGTTGTCATTGTTCGTTGCTGCTTCGAACTTGTTTCGTGTTATGTCAAAGGTAAAATCAAGTTATTTTAGATTAGACTCATCACATGAATGTTTTGTTTTTTATTTCAGTAAAAGCTAGTGCACAGGTATAGAATGAATGGAATTTAGAAAGAACGTACTGCTTTGTTTCTGAAGAACTAAAAAAAACGTGTTGGACTTAAATGAGAAATAATATCACCTAATGGATGTTTAGAATCAAATGAATAGAAGGTGGCGCGTACAGACACACACACAACAGTGGATAGAGTTAAAGATAGGAATGTGAAAGTTCATATGAGTTGTTTAACTGCTTTGTTCGCTTGGATTTAAACGGTACCACATTTGGCGATGGTGACTTTCTTCTTTGTTGTACCGGATTGTGAGCCTAAGCCTTCGATTTGCTTGACAATATCCATGCCATCGACGACTTCGCCGAAGACGACCTTTATGAAATCAGACAGTTGATAAAGAAAATCAATTTGCTTTTCTATATTATCATACATGTTTGCCATCGAGCCATGATGTTACAACGGTTGTAATGAAGAATTGCGAACCGTTGGTGTTTGGACCAGCATTGGCCATTGATAAAAGACCAGGCTTGGTGTGTTTGAGTTTGAAGTTTTCATCAGCGAATTTTTCACCATAGATACTAAATAGAAAATGAGAATTGTGAATTTAAAATCGAGTCGATTTTCAAGCTATACCTTTTGCCACCAGTACCGTTGCTATTGAATGACGACAAAAAAATGTGTAATGATCATTTGTATTAAATAAAAATCTTTACTTACTGTCGTGTGAAGTCACCACCTATTAAAAAGAAAGTAAAGTAAATTCATTATGAGGAGACTACTGTTTACCTTGAAGCATAAATTGAGGAATGACACGATGGAATGTGCTTCCTTGATAACCGAAACCTTTTTCGCCTGTGCATAATGCTCGGAAATTGGCTTAAAATACAAGAAAAACAAATACAATGAGCAATTCTTTTGACACCGATGCGAACATACCTGCTGTCTTTGGTACAACATCATCGTAGAGCTACAAATTTCGGAGAGAAAAGAACGTTTGTCAGTTGAAATGCAATTTCGTTCTATTTACTTTGAATGTAATACGACCAATTGGGTTACCATCAACGGCAACATCGAAGTAAACGTTTTCGGTGCTCATGGTTGAATGAATTTGTTCAAAGTGATATTAAATCTAGAACGTTATATGGCATGATCAAGATGGTGAAAACACCAAATTAATTAACGAGGAAAAATTACAACAGAAAAACTGACACAAAGTCCATTCCACAATATGTATACACACATATATATATATCGAAGGAAGCACACAGAAAAAGATAGAGAAAAAATACATACACAAAACAACATCTGACGAGAGGCCGATTGATAAGAAGAGATTAAGACAACATTCAGAGAATAGTAAACTGAAAAAAGATTAGGGAATAACAGATGACTAGGAGCAAAATTGATATGTAAAGAGAGATTTGTTTCAGCTTCTACTGACGATTATGACGAGAATCGATCAGTGTATTATTGTACGATTGTTGATACGATGACGAATCACTTGATTGTACGCGATCTCGATCGATATTCAATTCTTTCAATAGATTACTAGAAATTTGTTGTAACGAACAAGACGGTAGATGTGAATACTGAAAAAAGAAAATACTCGATAGGAAAATTCGATTAGGAAGTACTTGTCTTTCACTTACGCGAACAAAGATTGCGACAACATTCGTTTCTTTGATAATTGTTTTACATGATAGATCTTTGGCGAAGTTATTCAATGCGCCGACAATAAGCTCAATCATGACATCAAATTGATGTAAATACTGATGTCGATTTTCTTCGTAGAGTTTCATTCGTTCTCGATCGACGTTGACCAGCAATTCAATCAATCTTCGAACAGCATTTTGTTCACATAGTTGTGGAATTATGGAGGGTGATAATGCTAAGTTTTTTATTAAGCCCACCGAAGCTTTGATTATACCCCAGTGCTCTTTGAAATTTTTGTCACGTAGCAATTTTATGATGTTACCTATACCATACGATTTTCTAACGGCTTCTCGAGCTTCATTTTCGAAATCATGACGCGCAGTGACATGACGAAGAGTACACAACTACAATATCTCGGAATAGTAAAGCAAATTTTCTTCCAAGAAATACTTACCGCTCCTTCAATGATATCATCATTTCCGTCGGCATTCATCATTAATCTTTGCATGATTCCTTGTACACCATTCAACTTAACTAATAAACTCTTGTTCGTTCGATTATCTGCTGTGAGGTTACTTAAGATGCCTAACGAACATAACACGGATTGCTGATCATCGGTGACGACAATGCCGGTTAATTGTTGTATTAATGAATCCACATCACGCTAGAACAAAAAAGAATGAATACAGATTACGTTCGAAGTTTCAAACAACTCGATTTTCTGCTTGATTAACATTCACTCTCGCGTCTGAAACAAGGTTTCTTTCTTTCTTTCTCACTTACCATCCGTGTGGCTTGGTCTGATATGTTGCGTAATGCAATTAAACAATTATGTCTAATTCGAATACTTTTCGTCGTTTTAATTTGCTTTTCAAAAATACTCAGAGCATTGTATTGCAAGAATAATTTCTTGATGACTTCATTTCCGGAGGATATGATGGGAAACAGTTTCGATATAGTCAGCAGTAATTTGTCGTATTTCGATGTATCAAATATGTGCAGGAGACGTTGAAGGCACTCTTCACTATTTTGAATGTAGAGTTTAGAATTTAAGTTGTAGCTGGTCATTTTCAGTAAACAATCCGATACTAATGTAAGGAGTTTGTCGTTGGCACTCTGAAGTAAATGGATGAAACTTTGTGTACCATTAACACGATCGATTTCATTAGCAGATTGTTCTTGCAGAACGATGAGAAAATTATGCAAAGTTGTTATGACAAAGTTCACAATATTATCCGGCGAACTAAAACATCAGTGATGTGTAATGAGGGTAAGCAAAATGAGAACGTGTCTTACTCAAGGATTTGAATTAAACGGGGTATCCCGCTGCATTCAAGTATCGCTCGAAGGCCTTCTTGTTGTTGAGAAAGTGAATGGAACAAACTCGCAAGTGCATAGATGATTTTGCCATCACCAACATCTTTCGAAAAACTTTCCAAGAGAGCAATGATTAACTGAAAGAGAAAACGAAAGATATTCGTGAGAATTACCCATGATGGTATGCGATACTTACATCACGGTTTCGAATAACTTCGGATCGTGCATCGCCACCTTCCTTTACTAACATTTGAGTGACAGTAATGGCTTCACGCACAATAACGGGATCATCTTCCATGAGTAAGGTTAACAATTCTGGTATGACCTGATTGGGATCAGGACGTGAAAGCGGAGCATTGGCTGGTTGCATTTCAGCATACTGTGGGTGCATATTCTCATGATCGGGCGGCAACGGTGGTGGAAGTTGTTCATAACCGGCGGGTGTTGTTGGCCCATGATGAATTGGACCGGTGGTATTTGTGACAGCGGAGTCTATACTACGCAGTGAAGCTGGTCGAGAGTTAAATCCGGAATCACGTTGGGACGCCGGTGCATTGGAGACATTATAAGGATCGTCAAGCCACATTGAGGTGTGCGTCTCAGGATTAATTGGCTGTAGTTGATTTGAGAGAAGTGGATGTTGAGGATGATGCATTGGATGAGGTGGCATCTGATGATGCATCGGTAGTGGTGGTTGTGAAGGAGGTGGCCGATTACTTGTTGGGTAATCCATGATTATTATCTACCAAAAAAAAGGGGAAGAATGAAAATGATAGATGCACATTATTCTCTTAGTTTGTCGTTTTTTTTCTTCTTTTTGATTATATGCCCGAGAAATACATCACGGTATGCGTTCATTATTCTTACCTAAGTTGGTTAGATGTGTGCGTTTGTGATGAAGCCGAGTGAAAAAAGTAGAAAATAGAAACGCGATGAAGAAAAAGAAACGACCGCCGTGGCGGTCGTTCTTTGTCTGCGCGGAAGTCGATAAATATCCAGCGTTGTCTATTCTTAACCAATGAAAAGAACGTTTATCTGCCCAGTTAGCATTGCGTCCTCTCTATCTAACTGGTAAAAATTAGTTATAAATCTTCTTGTACATTTACATTTTTTCACTTGAAATCTGATAGTCTATTTTTGGTTTTGAAAGAATGCTTAAATATCATCGAATTCGAGCGATTGTGGTGTCATCTATCGACATCGTCGAACACGACCGAGAGACCGAAGTCCGGAAATATTCATCATCCGACAAACGATTCTGTCTTCAATTGAAATTAATACGCTATTGACCTTTTCACACGACATTTTCTCTGATCAAATCAATGCAATTGAAAGAACGAGTATTCTTGTCTTTTATTACTAAAAGAGCTCTCCGAAACACAATCGTTACAGAACAGGGGTTATCAATCATTCACTTTTTTCTTCTATCACGCAATCTAGGTAATTCTATCAAGCTCTATGAGAAAAATCAAGGTGAGAAAAAGGAACACATGTGCGGGAGTAATCGAGAAAATTGAGCGTGACTTCATTCAACGGTCTAATTCACCACACGCAGCAATAGTGATACGTTTTTGCGTTTTGCCTGATTGTGAGCCCAACGCTTCGATCTTACGAACAATGTCCATGCCATCAGTCACTTCACCGAAGACAACCTTTAACGAAATGATAGTCTCCTATATTTGAATCAGTAATCTATACGTACATGCTTGCCATCAAGCCAGGGCGTTTGAACAGTTGTAACAAAGAATTGTGAGCCTACAATCGAGAAATTTCTGCACACTTGAGTGATGTGGAACAAAAAATCACTACCGTTTGTGTTTTTGCCTGCATTAGCCATTGAAAGTAAGCCTTCCTTTGCATGTTTGAGTTGAAAACTATAACAAGAAACAATAATATCGAATTTCTACGCTCATTCATGTTGACAACAACATACTTTTCATCTTCAAATTTACCACCATAAATGCTATTGAATCAAACAGATAACAAACAAATGTATAATTTCTTTTCGTAAATTTGATCTTACCTATATCCACCAGTTCCGTTGCTAAATTGAACAAAAAGTTTCGAATACAATCTATGATTACATGTGTCGACTTACTGTCGTTCGAAATCACCACCTTGTAACATAAACTGAGGAATCACTCGGTGAAATGTTGAATCTTTGTATCCATAACCTCGTTCACCAGTGCAAAGAGCACGAAAATTTTCTATAGAACAAACCGATTTATTTCACTTCAGCATTCGCTCTTTCTTCTCTTACCCGCTGTCTTTGGCACAACATCATTGTACAGCTAATAATAACGAAAAGAAAAGGGTTTTGCCTGTTTATTACTGGCACATATCTTCACTCACGAGGAATAGAATTCGACCTAATGGTTTATCTTCAACATTGATATCACTAAACGAAACAACAGATTCAGTAGTGGAACACAAGCATAGATTTCATCATACAAAAAGCATTTCGATCGAGCCATAATGATCGCACGTGTGCGGGTTTATTTATCTACAATAATACGAAATTTTATTTAATAAAAAAGTTTTCCAGCAAATATAAAGATCTATCTGAGATTGGAAACTAAATGAATAAATATTCCGATCGGTTATAATAGATACCTAATTCCCTGAGGTATAAGTATATGGAAAACTATTTATCTACGTATAAATATTTTGATTGGAAGAGAGAAAACAACGTTCTTTTTCAAAGATCACTGTCAAGCCAAGGTCCTGCTCCTCCTTGGCAAGTGGATTTATCCACGAAACCACTGCCAGGTGAGCTTTCGGATGTGTAATAACTGATAACAGGTGCGTCATGCATTGGTAGTGGTGACCGTCGACATGATCGTGCATACGGTTCAGGTTTTGCTTGGTAATGCTGGAAGAGAAGAGAAGAATATTAACAACGAGGATTGTACGTATTCAACTTACAGTTTTAGCAGAATGTTCGTCGCGATAAAATGTCGATACACCTTCGTTAACTGGTTTGTCATCTGACAAACGAAATAAGATTGCAGCTGCATATGTTGCTATAGAAGAGCACGAGAGAATTTTGTTGTTTTTCTTGTGAAAAGATTTCCAACGTACCGAGACATTCGTCATTGGATTTGAGTAAATCTGTGAGAACCTGCGTACAATTTTGTTCCTCGATACACTCCAGACACGATCGATCATTAACTAATTCACATAGAACACCTGTTGTTGCACGTTGAATTGGTACATTTGTCGGTGAATGCAAACACTAACGAAAGAACAAACTCTCCTTTCATTTTTTTTTTATTCAAAACTTTTCCTTACGCGAACAAATATCGGAACTGTATTTAATTTTCGTATCACCTGCCGACAGGATGGATCCCTGGCGAGAACATGAAGTGCACAAAGACAGCCTTCAACAATATCGTCCATTCGCACGCAATTTTCATTGTACGGTTTAACAGATATTTGATCATAACTGTGAATAAGCACTTGCACCAACTTATCAATAGCATTAGCATCACGTAACATAACGAGATTTTCATCAGACAAGCCTAAATTTCTGATTAAACTAATTGTCGCTTTGATCACTGGCCAAGTGTACAATGTTGGATTCAATAGATCAACGAAAGGTACGAATCCATGCATATTTCGAATGATGCTTTGTGCTTCATTTGCATGTGAATTTCGATTTGTTACATGTCTTAACGCACAGATCGTTGGCTCCATAAGTTCTTCTTTGTTGTGTCCTTGAAGCAATGCATTGATCAGTGCATGTACACCACCAGATTGTACAACAAGTGCTTTATTATACTGATGGTTGCATGTTAAATTAGCGAGGATACCAGCTGAACATGCAACAGTTACGAAATCATTCGATCGTAAAAGATCGATGAGCAAACGAATGAGTGAATCAAGATTTTCCTAAAGAGAACAGAAGAGAGTAAAAATGCATAACTACAGTGACAAACGAACTAATTGCACTGCTTGATCGGACAAATTCCGAAGAACTTGCAAACAATTCTGTTGAACTCGTAAGCTTAATGGTTGATACAATTGCTTCTCTAGAACTTGTATAGTAGTTTTCGTCACCATGCCTAACTTGACTGTTGGACTCGACGATAAAACTCGCAGGAGACGTGTAGTTGTCCATGCTAATTTCTCATAATTTATCGTGTCCAAAATTCTCAATAACTGTTGAGAACCATTACTCGATTCAATAAGCAATTTAACTTCTTCACAATTGAATGCTAACATGTACAGACAATCGATCAGAATGGCAAGAAATTTCAAGTTGGGATTATCTAATAGGCAAACCATCTTTTGAACACCGCCACTACAAATCACTTCACACTTGGCTTGTTCGATATATAATAGTAAATTGTGTAATGTAGACAATGCATAATTGACGACAGATTCATTTGATGAACTAGAAAAACGAGAGCGAAGGATCATGATGAAAGGCAAACAATGTTCGACACTATTTACTCAAGTAATTTGACAAGCACGGGAATACCACCTGCTTTGAAGATTAGCAGGAGACCTTGTTTGTATTGAGAAAGAGAATACAACACTCCGGCGATCCCACGGCGCGTTTCATCTGTGGCGCGTGGATTTGATACAGCTTGAATCAATGCTTGTATCGCATGTGAATTGGATAATACGGATCGACTGGCCTCTTTTCGTGCCAAACTATGCAAAATCAATGCGGCTTGTCCGGCAACAGTCGGATCATTGTCGCTTAACAACCGAATCAGTTCTGGAAGAGATCTCTCAGTTGTTTCAGCATCTTCTTTGTAATTAATAATATCATTAACCGCATTTTTCAGTAATTGCGACGGTTCGGAGAGCTTTTGCACAGCTGTTGCTGGACTACTGAGAAATTGCGTCGGAGATATAGGCGAACATGATAAATTACTCGAAAGATTATCATCAGCTATTTCAGGAAAGATTGCAGCGCGAATGCGTTGAGCACGTGTTGAGCTTAACTGTGCATTACTTGCATCAATATGTTCCTGGGTCGTATAACCACCGATACTATTACCTGATCCATGAGTTCGACGACTGCTGGTAGTCGTCGTCGACATTTGGTAAGATTCGTAATGCATCACTGACGATTAACCTCGAATGATATGTACGCGTACACTTCAGTTGATACTGTTCGCCATAGTGTTCATTTAATATGTACAAGCTGAACAAATTAGAAAAAAATAAATAAACACAACGACTCTTGTTTGAAGCGATCATATAGACAAGAGTTTTCTTCGGTATATTCGACATTTTTCTACACGTATATGCTGATCAGCATAATCAAGAGAAGGAAGGAACTGCGTTGAAGACTGACGAATATCAGAATAGGATACATTAGATGTCGCATACTGACATGATATTGACGCTAATTACAATGCGTACGAATGCTCCACACATAACTTCACTCTAACCTACTTATTTGAATCGAAACTAGTTTCTCTCGACATAATTTATACCAGCAAAAATATGTACTATTGCATCTTCCGCTTCAATCGTACATCGAGCCAACTTTACATATATTACATCATTTTTCATTACACATTGATAGAGAAAAATGAATGCGCTGCATATATAAGAGACATATTCCACACCTTCCATTTAGTTTTCAATCGATGAAAAGAAACTCGTCAGATGAAGGTCTTCGCTTTGACAAAAAGAGAAAAGTTTTCATTTGATAAATCATCAGCCGTGAATATCTGTGCGATATTTCTTTTCAACGTCTTTTTTTCTTTATAATATCACTCATACCATCTATCGTGTACGAAATATTTTATAATAAGCAAAACAAATTTCATCGCAAGTCAAGAGAGAGGGAGAGAGAGAAGGATGAATACAAATAAAAATTTGCTTTTCGAAAATAAACAACACATTTTTGACTTCAGCTTCTCTCATCACACAAATACTGTCAAATATTCATTTAAATTTCGACTGAGAACATTTCTCGAGTTGGGCTGCTGCTGTAATATCGTTGATGGTGATAGTCCAAGGTCGGTACCTGTGCCACTGATTGATGACTGAAAGAAGAGAAATACATCGGTAATGTGGAATCGAACCGTCATGCAAATTTCGTATTAGTTCATAAGCATTGTTATTAAAACGAGAAAAAAAAATACAGAAATAAATAGACAAACACTACATGGATTAGCAACGAGTAGAAGCAATCAAATTGAATCGAGAATAATCATGACTACGAGAGCTGTTATGTCCTACTTCAACAATTGTTGTTGTTGTTGTTTGTTGTTGACAAGCAGCAACAGTGGTTGTCGAACCTGATGATGAGGAGGAAGAGGAAGATAACAATGAGTGAGTTGATATGCTCGATAACAATGAATAAGCATGAGAACACATGGAATTAGATGAATTACGGGTCAAGCAAGTCAAACAAGCATTAGTAGGAAAGTTTACTCTAGTATCTACCTCGTGAGATTCAGAGATGATATCCATTGCGTCGTCCGGAATGATCTGATGTCGTAAACTACTCGAACGGCGTTGTTCAGGATTACTATTCATCCATTGTCTATCTTCGTTAATTGTATCTAATTGTTGATGATCGTTTGTCTCACGTACAACCGTCCGAAATGAACCTGTGTTTGTGGTCATCACATGATCGGCCACACCTGATGAACTCGATGAGCTACTTGTTGAACGATTATCGTAAGATGATAGCAGTTCTTCGATCGTTGTATTGACTGGTAATTCATTTACTTTGTAACGTCCGGAGAGAAGGCGATTATTCAATGGCGATGAAGATGTTTGATCGGTGCTACTATTCGATGAATCGTCATCGCGAACACCCAATGTATATGGTGACGAGTCAGTCAACGGACTTTTCGATTTGAAAAATGTTAAACCTTGAGCTGGAGATTGTTTTCGGATTTTGAAGAATGGTGGTACACGCTGTTTGGCACGTTGAACATTATAATAAATAATAATAAATAGGATGGCAATGACGATTAAAATAAATGCACCAACGCTTGCAATAATAGCATAGATTGTACCGTTATCCAATCGAGATGATGACGATGCTGCTGCTGCTGTAGTCGCAGAAGAATTCGAAGATGGAAGATCACTGATGGTTACGATAACATCGGTCGAAATATTCGACGTTAATTGCGAACAGTTCTGTTGAACGTAAACAGTCATTTGGTAAACTTCTTGTGTTGGTGTAGATGATGGATTTGTCCACGTGATGTTACCAGTTGAGAAGATGGAAAATAAAGAACTCGATTGGCCAACAAGAGAGTATTGCACTGAACAACGAGCATCAGAGTTAATCTGAAGAGAAAATCAGGTTTTTCAAATGAAGATTAAGGTCAAAGGAAAGTTTACCAAAATTTGACCAATGTTATTATTCGAAGTACTAAGCGGATAATTAACTGAGAATACATAAGAGTTGAATACAAAGGAAATCGGAGTGTACAGATTAACAGTGAGATTAGTTTGACTCGACTAAATGAAATTAACTCCGATTAGAAGATAATATATATGAAAGATGAACACTTACATAAAGTCCATCGGTAACATTCAATGAACATCGACATGGTTGACATACGGGAAGTGTTTGAAAGTAAATCGGTCGAATTTGAAAATCACGAAGACTATTGAAACAATCCATGATTTATCATTTTTATTTAATCTCTCTTTCATACCTAGTTTTTTTTATATTTAAATAAAGTAGGCTATTATCACAGCTGTATCCATAGCTCAATCTTGGAAACTAACGAAATGAAATTTAAATCAAACTACTTCGCAAATTGCGTTCTTTTTTTTGTACTTACTGCGTCGTTATCTTGAACACTTCCGTTAAAGACTGGTATCTGATCAATATTATTCGTTGAGTATCCAAACATAGTGTAGGGAGTGTTGAGAAAATTTGGAGGATAGAGATTAATCTCATAGACATTCACACGTAATATCGTTGTTGCGAACCGATTCGGATTATCGGCTTGTTCAGCCTAGATTTCAACGTAGAAATGCGATACATAGATATTCTCGACTTACTTTAACTAATAGATCAAACTGCATTGTAGAATTGAATTCACGTTGAAGAGTAACGACACCAGTCAGATTATTAATGGTAAAATAAACATCTAAAGCGTGAAATGAAAAATTCCAGGTGAAAGAAAAGTATGTGAACTGACTTGATGTCAATATGGAATAAATAATCGTTGCGTTAATGCCTAAATCTTGATCGTATGCAAATATTCGACCTTGAGTAGGTATGACTTCTGAGCCCTAAGGGAACCAGAAAAATATTTTCAAAGGAAAACATTTCTTTTCAACATACAGCTGACGTATTGATAGATATATTGAGATTGTAGTTTGAGGAAAGAAAAGCAGGATTTAAGTTATCAACATCAATGATATGGATAGCGAGAGTTGCTTGCGATGAAAGTGAAGAATTTGCGATATCCTTTGAATGAAATAAGTGTATTCATCGAAAGATAAAATGAAAATTTTACTTGTGCGATAATTGTTAAATTAAAATTTGGATTCATAGAATTATAATCTAGCGCTTTGACGAGCATTAAACTGGCATTTGTCGTGCTCAATAATTGAAAATAAGTCTAAAAACTACAATTACTCTAAAGTTCGATGTTGCCATTTAACTTACATAGTACGGTGATGAACTATTCGAGAGATAATATGAAAACATGCCGTATATGCCTGAATCTATATCATACGCCGAAACGGCTGTTGATACAATGGTATTAACAGGTGTAGATTCAAGAATATTGATTTGATACACAGATTGATTGAATCGTGGCGGATTATCATTGGCATCAACCAGATCCAGTTGAAAATCGATATTACGACGCGTTTGATCGGCTAGAATTGTACATTCCACGATGAAACGAAAGGGATTCGGATAATTATTCGCCGACCACCATTCGTAATCCAGTGCTATAGGAAAGAAAACGATGAAAGTGTTTTTTGTTGTTCGATGCTTTGACAACTCACGATAGCGTAAATAGAGATTAGTGAAATTTAAAGTGAAATATTCAGTTCCATTTGTTTTTACTTCTGAACTATTGTAAACAAGTCGAGTGGAGATTTCGGATGCTGTGCCAGTAATTTGTAAACGTACAACAAGATCTCCCGGTTGAGTGTCTTCAGACATAGTGATTATTTGAAGTGCAGGGAGAAATTGAAGTGTACACGGTTGACCTTAATTAAACAGATTCACAAGTTTGATTGTACTTTTCATGAAACCATGGAAAGGAGTTTGCTTTTCAATAGAACGTGTTTGAAAATTCTATTCGAATATTAAATCTCTCAACGTTCTCTCTTGTTCAGATTGTGTCGAGTAGTCTTCTGTTTATTGATATATTTGATCGTTCATTCATTTTCATACTGATTAGATTAGCTCTTTTCTCCCGACACACGTCGGCCGAAGTAGGTGAAAGACTTTACCTTGTGTCTGACTTGTGATAATTGTTAGAAGTAGAAGAAGAAAAAATCCGTTCATGATGAGAGAAAGCAATGCTCATCAATAAAATCTAAATAAAGAACAAAGTCAACACCTATTATTGTTTCGTTTTATTTTTGCATAAGCAATCCTTTTCTTCTTCTACTCTCCAATACGACTTACCTTTTATGCCTTTGTTTAAACTCCTACTTATTTTTAGTTCAAACTGCCTCTCCTTTGTTTAAGTTATGTTCAGATGATTACGCACATCTCTAGTCGCTCCCATCAGCATTATGAGGCGCAAAAATTCAACTGATTCTTTCTCTCGGTATCGCATTTTTTTTCTCTCTCTCTCTCTTCTCTCTACTCTTTTACCATCACTTCAACGACAGTGAATCGTTTCAAGTGTGTCTATACTTCATACATGTGAACGTAATACACCTTCTCGGTTTTTTTTTTCGCGTCGAATGAAATCTTGAAGGGTAATTTATGTAAACATGAATTATGCTGCAAAGTTCAACGGGTGATTGTTGACTAAAATTGACGGAAGAGGAGGTTCTTTAAATCAGATCATCTCGTGTTTGGCTCAACTACCCTGATCAATGTCATTTCATATCAACAACGTTAACCTTGAGAGAAAATGTGGATGAACGATGTCGGGAAAAAAATGATTATGGACATTTGTCACGTATCTATTTCTCTGTCGGATGGCGAATTCATTGGCCGGAAAAGATGTGTTGAAAATAGCGAAAATGCGTGAAGAAAACAATCAAGAAGTTCACCGATTGAACGTGACAGTCAAGCGATTAGAAGGTGAAAGCGAAGAAACAATTGATCTTGCGTTCTTCGGGCAGGATATTTGGATAATGAATAACAACTGGCAGAGAAACCTTTCAGGTGTTATGCAAATATCCAAACAACGGACGTGTTTTGTTTACGGATGCGCAAAGAAATGGATAAGGAGAACGTACGGAATGTATCGACGAAAATAATTTCATGATGTAAGATGTTTTAATTGAATCGTTTCATATTCTCTCATTACATTGTCGTTCTCTACGGTTCATTTAATTTTATTTGTTGTGACAATTGAAAATTTGATCAAATAAAACAATGCAAAGTACAACTATTAGAAAAATATAATTGCATGTGTAGATATTGATAAACTTTAGTCTCTTCTCGGTCTCTTTTATCGTGCGTTCGAATCGTTTGCGATCAATCTTCAGCCGCGATGTATTTATCTTCAAAATATATCGTTCAATAATGTGAATCGCATGAGCAACTTTCATCTTCAACTTTTTTTTTTCAATTAACAACTATTTGCAAATTACATCACATATACATATCTATCTAATGAGCCAATTTGTACATAAACGCATCTCGAGAAATCTCTCCTATTCGAGTAAACTATCTCATTAGACCGCTGACTTCTCCTCTTTCTTCCAAAGACTGTTCAGAGTAATTGGTAGAGAAGATAACACGCCTTTTCAGTTCAGATGTTCTAATTTACCTAACTGCTGCACAGACGAGAAGCACAAAGAAGTGTATTAACACCAGTATGCAATTTTCTATTCGAAGATGTGCGAAATTATATAAGATCAATGTATTCATACATACTGAACAATATCGAGCGTCTATATTTTCATTCGCATGAATATAGAATTCGGTATGCTGTGTTTGTCTAGTAGTCGTAGTTGTACGTGCGTGTGTATATATGTTTTACTCTTGCCTATTATAAAACTTGATAATCAACTGTGTAGAGTAGAAGGAAGAAAAGAGTTTGATAATGAATATCCTCATAAATCCATATGTACGTACATATTAGTAAGAGAAACGAGGTTGTTGACATCGCCATGGACAAGATCTTATTTCTCGAGGACGGCAATCTATCGACTTTTGTTCATTGATAAAAGGAAAAAAAATGAAGGAAAGAGAAAAAAAATTGGATGTAATTTAGTGTAAATATTGTACATGGACGCAGATGTAGTCAAACACGAATCAGTCAAATGATGAAATTTTGTATTTCTCTGGTAATAATGAAAAATACAGCTCATAGCTCCAAAGAGAGAAAAAAAATTTCTTTCTCCTTTTCTTTCGCTCTCTTTTTTTGCATTCTTTTCATGCATGTTCGTCTTTCTGTCATTTCTTTTCTCATCAGCGAGGTGTCAATTGAGATTTAGTTTTGGCGTCATTGCTTTTACTTATTCTTTCAGATTGCATCATCAGTATATTACAAGTCTTATTCATAATGCTTTGTCGCCTAAATCCATTTGAATTAAAAGGAAGTTCAAGGTACATTTGCATAAGCATTCAACCTGATGAAAGATGAACAGACAATGCACTGACCTATATCAGATATCGGTCAACAAAGTAGCTCGCTTCGTGCCTGTTTCCATTTGAAAACAATCAAATTTCTAAGTCATCGTATTGACAGGCGAAAAGAGATGTATCATAGGTCATCCCCAAAGATGACACTCAGTCTTATATCATATCTCTGACAGATCGAACTATTGATCCTCGATGATAATGATTAAATGTATCTTTTTCTTAAGACTTTAAGACTTAATTCAATTGCGTGATTATGATAAGAAAGAGAAAACATCCCTTAGAAGCATTATACAATGCGCGGTATGTATTAAATACATAGGAAGTTACTTAATGAAATATTGCCATACCGAAGGATGATGTGAGTAAAGTAACTTTATCTATTGTGGATGCTGTCAATATGAATTGAATAAGAAATTATCATTATAATGCATGTGTCCTTGGAATAGAAGTGAAATCTTAGGAGTGAAATGATATCATTTACTCATCCAGTAGGTCGTCGAATAACAAATTGAAATCAATTTTTAACAAGAATATGACAGTGAGCATTACACAGGCCTCATCGTGTACAGTGGAGATTCCAGTAGCGTGAGCATTTTACTTTTTTTTTATTGATGAAGGAAGAGATTTATACATAAAACAAGTTACACCGACAGAGAATCTATCTCTACGTACAGTTTGTAATGAATTCGATTAACTAGCTAATCGGAATTGGAGAAGATTCTTATTTTGGGTTAGGTGCGGTTTTTAATAACTGTTCAAGACGTTCTTCACAATTGTTATAACCGTAGAGTTTACATTTTTCTAACCACAGTTGACAGATTGCGTCTTTACCGGCACCATTGGCAATCTCGCCTTGGAGTCCTTGTGGAAACGAAAAGTCTGGAAGAAAATTTGCTGCTGACGACGGATCATCTTGAGTACCTTGTGCATGTAACGCACCCGTAGTAGAAAAACGTCGTGGCATTTGACAGAGAATGCGTCGCACTAAAAGAGACATGATCTAAAACAAACGAGAATTTATCTGATTGGTTTATTGTCTGAAAAAAAACAACAACAACGTCAAATGCATGCAGAGGAATGTTTCTAAACGTAAATTTGTGCTATGAAAGAAAACATTTATTGAATTTATTTGAAATTCTTGTGATCGTTTGTCGCAGCCATCTCTTGTTCGATCTTGTTTAACGTATTCGATGTAACAGCAGCCAGGTCATGTGCAGTACCTGGTGTTTGCTCTAGCTCATGAGTAACTTCTTTGAATTTATTCGACATTCCACGACGGATATCAGTGAATTCTTTCGCCATTTGTTTATTCGATTCGAGCAGATCGCGAAGTTTAGTTTGAATATTCGAGTTTTGAGATTCAATCTTATCCATCGCTTTTTCAATATCATTCAAAGCGGATTCCAATTCCACGAGTTCTATACAAAGAGTAAATAAACATGCGAAAATCGAAAGAAAATAAATAAATACCCGAGTCAATTTCTGTGTCGCGTACCGAAACATCCTCATTCGAATGATGATGATGATGATCAGCGCTTGTCATTTTTAATTACTCTGAAATATATAGGAACAAGTCAACAGCGGACTTTGGTCTAATCATGCGACGACATGACAACTAACTTGAAGGCTAAAGCGTGATGGCAAACACCGCTAGCGACCTCTAACGAATAACAAAATAAAAATCGGATGTGAACAAATTCGTCATGAAAAATACGAGCTTATTTGGCAAAAAAAAGAAATATGAATTCAAGTGTTATTATTTACTCAAAAGATATTCGTTGAATACAGTGATTGGTAGCGAAACCATATCGTTTTCATTCTGTATTCCCTTCTAGATTGAAATTAATCAAAATGTCTGCAGCACAAAAACGAGCGTGGCCAGAATTAGTCGGTAAAGACGCCGATTCTGCCATTAAAACTATTCAACAAGAATCCGGTATACAACTGTCGTTAATTTCATCGTTCCAATATGAATCTTTTGTTGGAATTTAGATATTACTAATATTCAAACTCTTCGTGATAATTCGCCAGTTACACTCGAGTTTTGTCCAACGCGAGTTCGTCTGTTCGTCGATGCAAAAAACATTGTTACAGTCGAGCCGCGCATCGGTTAAATTCTGTTTTTTCTCTTTATACATATCTTTTTAATCCTGCTGGGTCTACTTGTGTAATATATAGTTATGTATATGCTCGACAATTTTTCCTTGAGAGCAATGTAAAATGTATGAATAAAAGTTTTGAGTAATTTTTTTTTTCTATTCTTTTCAGATGGCTTCAAATAAGACTCTTAAGATTAAAAAGGTTCTTGCCAAGAAACAAAAACAAAATCGACCTGTACCGCAATGGGTAAGGAGAGAGAAGTTGCTCGATGCTGACAAAATTATACTTTTGGCTTTGTGTTTGTAGATTCGAATGCGTACGGGAAATACAATTCGATACAATTCGAAACGACGTCATTTTCGTCGCACAAAACTCAAATTGTAAACAATTTTCAATGATGATAGCAAAGACATTCGTTTGTTTTTCGCGTCTATCGTTATTGTTTTTACATTTGTGAACAAAAAGAAAATAAAAGAAAGAAAATAACCATCAGATAGATTTCACCCATCAGTTTGATTTTAGATCAGACGATGAATTCGAGAGCAGCATTAGTCCATCGAACAATGTTCCGCCTTGTGGCAAGTAAGAAAACAACGTGTAGTCACGTCTACGGAAAGCAATATGTTGTTTGTCCACGATGAGTCACCTGTGTTGATTTTATATTGCGATAGGTTTTTTCTGTTTTTCTCTTCATACATAACTTGAAATAGAAGATTTCCCATGATGCATTGTAGCTCGCCTGCAACGAACAAAAAGTCATCATCATTAACTGACAAACATTTACGAGATTTCATTAATCGATTGGACAGTCATGTCAAAAGCCCGTCGGCTTCATCCGAAGTTCTACAAGCAATTTTGCATGAATATGCCCCATCGCCAACCATGCACGAAACTATTCTGTATATCTATTCGAATGCGTTAAATAAGCCTACACTCAATCGACTACTTGATAAATCTGTTGAACAACTGAAATTGAATGACACGGCACATCCAATTCAATTGGAAAAAGCTCAATTGATTCATCATGCAGTTATGAAAGATCATGAACATATTTTCCAGCTGTTAATCAAATCCGGTTTCGATGTCAATAGTTTGTCATCCGATCGTAAGACGCCCCTATCAGTGGCCGTTGTCGCTAGTAATTTAGATCCAGCAAAACGGTTATTTTATATTCAATATCTGATCGCACATGGAGCAAATGCAACAATAACCGATATTAATCATGTTTCGCCATTTAAGCGTCTATGTGGAATGGGTATGTCGAATCAGGATGAAGTTTTCTCTGAAAATTTGCCCACCGCACATATGTTTGATTTTACTTACAGAATCCAATTATCCGAAGATTTATACATTCTTTCTCGAGCATCTCTATTCGGTCTATATGGATCAAGTGCAAAGCGAATTGAATGCTGGCCTGGCCAATGCTGTTTACAACTGGTGCGTTTCAATCGTCACTGACCTTCTTGAACGCGGTGCGACGCTTGATGCATTTCAATCGACCAGCAGCTTAAACGACTTTTTCACACAGATCGCCACGACTTTCTTTCAAGAGCGTCGTTCCATCGTCCAAATGGATGCATTTATTTTATGTTTAATTCAAATGCTTGTTCATCATATTCCTTGTGTCAATTATGCACAGTGTATCGAGACGTTTTTTGAACTGATTTACATTCCTGGTGTTTGTTTCGAAACAAATAATGATCCACTAACGTACCCATCCGTAAGCAACATAAAAACACTTTTAACCATATCCACTTATTATGGATATTTAACAAAACAAAGTATACATCATATTCGCACGGAGCTTTTGCCAAAATTACTGACAATACCTATTCAAAATCCATCAGTGACACAGGCTGTTCGTCAAAGTTTACTGGACCAATTGAATCGACATATTAATGAACTGATTATGAAGTATCATCAGAGTGCGATATCATTAACACTGCTCGCCACAAGGAAACTTCGTCGGGCGATGAAACACGTTACCCAACAAGACATCAGGAAACTAAATATCAGTCAACACTTGATGAAAAAAATCCTGTGATGAACAATAGCTAATTAGTTTAAAAGAGAAAAACAAAACACGATGTGATTCATTCGTAGATGATGACTCATCTTGAAGCGATAGATATTCGTTTCTAGTTCACTCCTTTCTTTTCTTACTTCGCTTGTTTATAACGAACGAACGAACAGGAAAAAACATACGCGATACGAAAAATTTCTTATCTCTCCTCACACAGCTGCATGTTTTCTATACGTATACACACACGTACACATCTCTGATTTTTTAGATATCTATTTGAAATTGAAATCATGCAAGGATTTTCTTGCCTTGCAATTGTTGTTTGTGCTCTATTGTTTGTTTATGGCAACGATGCTCGTCTGCCCCGGTTTGTACATCTGATGCACACAAATTTTCAAAGGAAAGATCGTGCAAATTTTTAGTGTGAAGTTACACCACTTCGAATCGGTACACGATCAACTTTTCGCAGCTGAATCACATCAATTAAACGCATTTGAACGCAAGTATGGTCTCGGTGGACCAATTCCGGAAGGATTAACAAACTACTTGGATGTAAAACACACTGAAGATTATGATTTGACTTTTATCGAAAGTTTTTAATATCTAGGCACAATACTATGGCGATATTGGTATTGGCACACCAGCTCAGACATTTCGTGTAGTATTCGAGTAAGTACATTTGATTTATTTGCATAGAAGAACTGTTTTTCTTTGATTTTTGTTAGTACGGGTTCATCAAATCTCTGGGTACCAAGGTAAAAATCAGTCATTAAGCGACTTTTACATGAGGATTGTCATTCGATTATTTTAGTGTTCATTGTTCACTTTTGGATATCGCTTGTCGTAAGCTGAATATCTTCAAATGATGTAGATAGAGATTTTTTCTCTCATAGAATTACACCGAAAATACAACGGTGCTAAATCGTCGACATACGTAGCAAATGGAACCGAATTCAAAGTAAAGAGCACGAAGATGTTCCCGTAAGACTTTCCTTTGTTCGACAGATTCAATATGGAACTGGTTCACTCCAAGGTTACGTTAGCATCGATACCGTTACGGTAAGATTGATTGATTTCATGCGACTTCTTCTCAGGATTCAATTTTTTGCAGATTGGTGATGCTAAAATTCAAGGCCAAGGATTTGCTGAAGCAATTAAACAACCTGGTATTGTCTTTGTTACAGCGAAATTCGATGGTAAGACAAATACGATGATTTTGTTCTTTTTGTTTAACGAGAGAATTGCTTGTTCAAAGGTATCCTTGGTTTGGCTTATCCATCCATTGCTGTCGATGGTATCTATCCCGTTTTCAACAACATGTGGGATCAAAAACTAGTTCCTGATAATGTCTTTAGTTTCTGGCTTGATCGGTAGGTTTGAATCTTGGATATAATGCTCAAATGTTCAGCACATGCTTTCGATTGTAGGGATCCGCAGAATCCACGTGGTGGTGAAATTATTTTCGGTAAGATTTTGCTTGTGACAGTGTATATTGACAAGAAAAACTTCTGCTTATAGGCGGTTCGGACCCTGAGTTATACGAAGGTGAATTTACCTACGCTGAAGTTACACGAAAGGCTTACTGGCAGTTCAAACTTGATGGAATCTCAATCAATTCCAATCAATACTGCCAAGGCGGTTGTCAAGCGTAAGCAAATGAAGAACGAGAAGATTCCTTTGACGATATTTCTTCTTTCGATTTAGTATTGCTGACACTGGTACCAGTCTTTTAGTCGGACCAAAAGCTGAAATTGCTAGTCTCAATTCTAAATTAGGTGCCATTCCTATTCCCGGTGGTGAAGTAAGCTCGATAAGAAACGTGAAATCATCTTCAATCTTCGTTCATTTTAGTACATGCTCGACTGTAAATTAGTTCCTAATTTGCCACGTATTCATTTTACCATCAACGGCAATGATTTTTACTTGGATGGACCTGAATACGTTTTGACTGTTAGTCAATTCAACAAGACAATCTGCTTATCTGGTTTTGCGGGTATTGATATTCCACCACCAGCTGGTCCACTTTGGATTCTCGGTGATGTTTTCATTGGTCCATGGTATACAGAATTCGATTTTGGTAACAACCGTATTGGTTTTGCCAAATCGGTCTCGCCAAAGAATTCGACAATGCGTGAATACAAGAAAACTTTATCACTTGCTGAAATTTTAAATTAACTCACCCGAGATTAAAAGACAAACGATTCACTCATTTGTATGTTTTATAAAAGCATGTCAAACGATCTGTCCTCATTTCTCTCCATTCGTTCACTCTTTAGAATCCAGCTTTCGTTCTTTCTTTTGCTATTTGTGTATTTATCGTCTTTGTAGTTGCCATTACTCTCAATAAAGTCCTATTCCAGCATAACTCTTTCTCTACCGGCGATCAATTTTCATGTATTTGTATAAGAGAAGTCGGTCAGTTTACTCCTCTCTATTTTCACGATGTGAGAGGATTTCCTTGAGAGAAAGAATGATGATGTAATACTTTTTTTCATTAATTGTACAATAGCAGAAAAGAGAAAGTTTCAACGATGCGAGGAATGGCAAAGAATAGAAATACTGTGTTGGTAATAATCGAAAGTTGACAATCAAGGGCAAATATTCAACAACTTTATTCGATATTTGATAAAAATTAATCATAATCGCTTGATAAATATTTTCAAGTTCTCTCATACTTCTTGTACGATCAGTACATCGTCAAGAGAGCGGAGGATTCTCATATGCAGAGACATCTATCGAACGATACATAGTAGAATCACTGATATCACATTTGTGTTGATCTTTTCTCGAATTTGCTCGAATCCAGAGCGAATCTGCAATGAAATTTTTCGTTCCGCTCGTATACAGATGTTTAGTTGTCGTTACCACGATAACGACTTGAACCATGGTAGTCAAGAGATGTCATTGGTTCATTTCTTTTCATTCTCCTATCATTCCATAAACCGCTAGTTAAAAAAAATAAAAGAAAATACATTTTCAAACTTGATTGTTTGTTTTCTTTTGTTTAGACAGGTTAAAATGGATTCTGTTCGGGGTGTTTTCTAAAAAACAATCAATAAGCTACCTAGAGAAAGAGATCTGATTGTTTACCATGACGTCGATATCGGAACAAAAGTATACAACATTGAGAAAACGTCTCGATCAATTTGGTTTCAAACAACCATTAGCAATTGAATCATTACCATTGGTAGAAAAACTTTTCCAAGCGTTTATTCAAACAACTGAAGAACTCAAGAAAGCAAAAGAAGTATGAAGGATTTCGAGAATGATTTCTTTTTTATCTATGTATTTGTAGAATCCACCAGCAGCGTATGCACCACCTCCACCAGCAACATCGTCCTCGACAAACGGAGTATCATCTGCTCATCCTTATAAAAACGACAACGCTCGTTTGGTAAAAGAGAACAATGATCTACATCTGGAGCTATTGAAGGCTCGCGAGCAACTCGACCATCATGTGAAAGGTAGAAAATGAGAAAGAAAAGCCCGATACAAACAGATGGTTTGAGCATTCTTTTGTGTAACTTAGAATTCAAAAGTCAGTTGAGAAAGCTCGAACATGAAAATGCTGACCTTCGTTTCCTGAATACCCAATACATCCATCGACTTCGAACATTGGAAAAAGAATCTCGTCAGAAAGACAATAAAATTCTCGAATTACAGGAGAAGAACTTTCAAGCTGTTGTTCAAACACCAGGTACGGCCCAGAGCATTGCCATCTTGGAAAAGACTCATTGGCATGTTTTCTTTTTCAGGTGGAAATAAGCATACGATTCCATTCCGTCGTCAACGCTTAGATATCGATGAAATGCTACCTGAATCCTCTTCATCACAACGAACATCTCTTCAACAACTACCCTACGTCAATGATCCATACATCATCGACATTGTGAAAGTCACTGAGGATCGCATTGCTGAACTGGAAGTCGAATTACAACAACAAAAACAACATACTGACGAAGTCGAAACCAAAATGACAAATCTTAAATATCAGGTGAGATATCGACGTTGTTCTTAGAAGATAATTCAAAAGCAGAAAGTTTTTCTTTTCGTAAGATGCTTGTTTTTCACTTATCGCACTGATATCATAGGTAAATACACTTCGAAAGCGATAGGAACGAAACAAAATCGAGTTCGATAAGAAAAGATATTTTCTTATTATTTATAATTTCATTTCTGTACACATCACCTGCGATTGTGAATGAGATTATCTTTATCGATAGAACGAAAATCACAAAAGAAGAAAAGTAACCGCCATTAGGCACATACATAGTCACTGAGTAGAAGCGCAGGAGAAAGAGAAAAAGAATGAAAGAAGCCAATCTGATCTCTTAACAATACACTGTTCTGTACTTTCGTCATTCGTTTCAAGTGCAGAAGAAAGTTGTAAATCTTGATTGAATGCATAGTTAAAAGAACGCAAATTCTCTATTAACTACCATCTCAGCCGCAGCCAGCTTGCGTGAATGCATCATCATCGTCATCTATCGTTTGCGTTTATTATGCTGAAGCTTTCTCAAAACGCTTGATTCGTTTTCACGATCGCATGGATATTTCTTTCTCTTTCTTTGTTATGCCACCGCAAGCCACAAATTCTTTTTGTGTGTTTCATGGTCGCCATCTTCTGTAAGCGATAGTAGGAGAAGTATTCGTATCTCGATATTATTTTATTAAAAATGAAAGCGTTGTTTTGTTTGACAATGTCACTTGCAAATTCTTTTTCAAACATATTATAACTCGCTTCTTTTCACTCCACTATTTTTTTATGCTACAAATCTCAGTGTTTATAATGTTGTTAGTAAGAAGTACACACACACACACATATACACACAAACGAAAGAAAAACAGAACATTTGATTTTTCTCTCGCTGTTCGTCTCTTTCGCTTTCTCTCTCTGTCTTCACTATTGTTTTCTTTGATTTCTACCTAGAAAAGAAAAGAATTTGAAAGTGAACGAAAAAAGAAGACACACAAGAAGTCCCCTCCAGGAAAGTTTTTCGGATGAGAGTTTGTCTTTGATCAGCAGCGAACTGTCTGGCAAGAAATTTAGACATGTACTCCCCTCGACGTCATGGATCTGTATCTGATCTGCACAATAATCATACTGTTTCGTCACTGATGAGAGCGACAGCAAGATCAGCACTGTCGCATTATCCTCAGCAATCTAGTCGTCCAAAATCAAGATCAAAGACGAATTTGAATGCATCCTATTCATTTCGTTCGCCTAGTACACATAAGGTTTGTATAATATCTTTCCTCGTAGTCATTTATTTACAAATGAGAAGAATACCTAAAAATGTAATTTGATATAGAGGACTACATCGCGCTTTTGAAGTCGATTGCTTCATGTTTGTCTCTCTAGGTTGAAAATCGCGATCGGGAAATTGAACGACTTCATCGAGTATTGGATGGTGGTCGATCAGCGGATACTCTTTCACTTGAATCAAGACTGAAAAGTAATGAAAAAGTCATTGCTAATCAAAGTGCACAAGTAAGAAGCTTTTTGACAAGAAAATGAAGTCTTTATTCGGAAATGTTCAGATTGACTTCCTTCATGAAACCAATCGGGCACTAGAAAGACGTTTACAAGAATTGACCGAATTGAAACGTAACCTATCCGACAAACAGTTCGAAGAACGCCTTCGAAATACTGATCTACTTCGAGATCTCAAGGATATTGATCGCCTTGCACGTAAAGTACAAGCCGACAAGGACTTTACTGTTGAAGCAGCCGATCGAGAACTGAACGAAGCTAAGGTAGATATCCATCTACGTTTTTTTTTCTGACCGATGATCATTTTTTCAGATCGAAATTCAACAAAATCATCGCGAAATGCAATCACTCGACACCAGAGTTGCTTGTTTAACAGCGGTATGTATATTTGATGAGCATACACCTCTATTCAAGTCATTGTTCGTTGATGTAAAAGTCACAATGAAATATTTTGATTATCTAATCAGTTTGAAGGATGTGATAACAATTTGACTGAAACCATACTCTTAAAAAAATAAAGCAAATGATATTTGTTGACATTCAGCTGAGGATAACATGCTCATATAAACAGAATCCCAAATGTGTCACTTCCCTTTTGTAATAATGGGAAGAAGATTGACTTGCTCAAGTGTTCATATTTGAACATTCGCTCGTTGACAACTAGAAGAGATCCTCAGCGATGAACGCTGTTGTAATTAAAAGTCTGGAACTTCACAAGGCCACTTTGTGGCAGAGTAACAACGACAATTGATCAGCTATTTTTATACTCGCTCTTAAAACAACAAAGAAAAATTGTTCGATTGTAGTACTTCGATGTTTTTCTCGCCTTCGTCTGTCTTTTTCGTTCGAAGGCTTCACTCGACATCCGAACAAATTGGAAACGATTGTCAATCTTACCTTTTTCCTATGTTGAACTCGTGACACAGATTTTTACTAAGCGTTTGGTCGTATTGTAGGAAAAGAAGAGTTTATTGGAAGAAGTCGATGGATTGCGAAATCAATGTGCTGAACGTAATAACGAATTGGCTCATGCGCAAGAACTTCTCGAACGTACGCAAGCAGAAAAAGCAAAGTTAAGTCGTCGCGTATCGAAATTAGTCCTCAATGGTATATGATTTCGTGCATTTTAATTTGTCTACTGTGTATTTGTTTAGAAAAAGATCTTCTTCAAGAATTACAGAAATGTCGTCGCACAACTCGAGCTCCAACTCCGACAGCGACTGGCGCTTCATCATCAAAGAAACTTTCTCTTCCAGCGCGACTCGATCTTCATCTGAAGAACGTCGAAGATGAACGTGATATGTATAAAAATGAAACGGAAATTCTTCAGAAATTACTTAACGAACGTTCACGTACTACCGGCTCATCATCACCGTCGAATTCACGGCCACGCGGCCGATCACTATCTCCAACGCCTGGTTCACGTACAACCGCTCGTCGTGATATTGCAACTTCACCTGTCATTCAATATAGTCGACGATCTGGAAGCAATGGTAGCGCGTCACCGACACGTTGTACTGTTTGTGGAATCCATCGAAATCGATCGTCACCAACACGAGTAAGATATAGTGCTGTGTTGATGAATGTGATGCGAATGGTTTTATCCGTTCGAAGGATTTGACTGTGTATGAAAGTCAATTGAGAAATGTGGAAGAAGAACGCGATCGTTTTCGAAAGGAACTTAGTAAATATAAACGTTTATCAAAGGATAAAGTAAGCTGATGGACTTGCTGATTGGAGAGGATAGTCCGGCGTAGCACACAATTACATAGGAAATGGTTTTGTTGAAAGCATAGAGAGTAATATTTGGTATATTTAGGATGGTGATGAATCTCAATTGGCTAAAGTAATACGAGAGAAAGAAGATCTACAACTGTTGTTAAACAAGTTCGAGCGTCACATGGGAGAAGTATAAGATAAGATCTCTATCGTTCGATGTGATAATTTTCGTCTAACTTAGATCCAAGGCAATATAAAAGTTCTCACCAATGAAAGAGATAACCTAAGTGTTCTCTATGAGCAGGTGAGTTATTTCATTTGACATTGAATTGATCGGAGAAACAATCTTGGAATTTCAGGCGAAAGAAGAACTACAGAAGGCTCGTCACGATTTTCTTCAATGTGCGCAAACACCGAAAGTATCTCTTGCTGCTCAAGCAATTTTACGTAAAGTCGAAAATGAACGCGATGCAGGTGAGTTTGAGTTGATGATCAAGAATATGCTTGAGATATGTTTCACTTTCTTAGCCCTGGTCGAAGCACGTTCAAGCATGAACGAACGTGACACGCTACGAGAACGCTTGCGAGTAAGATCAACATTTCAAAACCATTGTCTATAGATGAATTGGTTATTCTATCAGATTGCTACGGATACAAATCTGACTGAACGTGCGCGATTGGAACAACGCATCGAAGATCTTCAACTTGAAATACGAAAAGTAAATACTGCTTCGTTCTCAACCGAATAAAAACGTTTTTCGCTGTAATATTTCAGCTGGACAATGATCGCGAAGAACTTCTTCAACAAAATCATTTACTACGAGAGCAAATCAAAGATTTCGAGAGTAAACTTGACGAACAATTATTTACGACTTCTCAGTTAAATCAAGAACTAAATGATCAAAAAACCACGTCATCACAATTGAGATTCCTTTCCGAAGAAGCAGAACGGCTCGTTCAGGAAAATCAGAGACAGCTGAACTTGAAGAAAGAAGAACTTCGAGTACAAGAGGAGAAAACTCTTCGACTCGAAAAGAAACTTCGTATGTTCGTTTCGATTCTCTTGACAGATCTTGACAATTTTCATCTTTAGTCGATTTACAAGAAACGAACAAAGATATCAAAGACGATTTTCATGTTGTCCGTGCAACTGTTCAAACACTGGACAAAGAAAAAGATCGTCTATGTGGTGAACTCGATCTCAAGGCTGAAGAAAATCTACACTTAATCCAAGAGATCAACTCGAAAACACGCCGAATCGATGAATTAACAATGATGATCACAGAGTTAGAAGCAGCACTCGAGTAAATTCTTTTAGATTCACAAATCGACAAGTTTGAACATGTCTGATTCGGTTTTAGTCGTTCGAAAGATGACACCAAGCAAAAGTTAAAAGAAATCACCAGTATGCGAATGCAATTAGATCGAAATTTAGAAGAATTGAACGAGTATCGACGCAAACTCGATCTTAACGCACGGGAAAACAAACGATTACAAGATGATCTTCTCACAGTAACACGAGAGAATCAAGTAAGCACTCACTATTGTGCGATTGCAAACAGCATCTCGAGAATACTTCTTTTCTAGACAATTCATCAAGAACTTGAACATGCGATCGACGACAAAGAAAATCTGAAATTACAAGTTCAAGAATACATCAAAGAAGTATCAAAATGCGAAACTGTTATTACACAAAAAGTATGTTCGAGACAGTCGAATGTGTTCCTTTAGTATTATCCTTCTTCGAATTAGGAAAACGATCGAACAACACTATTCGAACAATATCGTGAAGCGACGAATGAGTTGAGTCGGGCGAAACTAATTCTCGCCGATATGGAATCTCAAGCTGCTGGTCTCAAACAAGAACTACAAATCAGAGCAGCTGATATGAAACGTTTCACCGAACGTATCGATTATCTCGAACGCGAACTTCAACAAGTAATCACTGATAGAACGCCTCTCATCTCATTTCATTTCATTGATCTTTCGTTTTTTCAGCATATCTCTGTCGGTCACGAATACGAAATTCAGCTATCGAATATGAATCGTTCGTTACAACGTAATGAAGAAATTATCAAGCGATTGCAGGCAGAGAAACAAAACTATGCAAGTGAAATATCGAACATTCGCGATTTGAACTCGACAGTCGAGAACAAGAAGGAACAGATCATTCGCGAATTAACAGGCCGAGAAATTGAAAATGAACAGTTGCAAGCAGCGATTAGTGATATGAAATTAGAAATCGATATGTTACATACGCAAATTAATAACGAAAAAGCTATGGTGCGAACTCTAGAAGAAATCATTAGTTCATCGCGTGAAAAAGAATTTCAAACGCAAATTCATACACAAGAAAAAGATTCCGAACTACAATTATCCCGAGAACGAGCAAATATGAGTGATATAAAAATGTATGTAGAAAATAAATTGGTCTTTTGCAAGAAATTTCTCTATCGATTCGTTTCTGTAGACAAAGTCAAGGAAAAGAAATTGCAGCATTACGTGCACAAGTTATCGGACTGGAATCTGATAATGATCGACTTAAGCGACAGTTAACAAGTGAAAGATTCGAAAGGTAGGACGGAGAAAATGATATAAGACAATGTCGACTTTTGCCTTTTACTGTAGAGAAAAAGCAGCTCAGGATCTACGAAAATTAACCGATCTTACATCGAATATTGATTACGATTCTCGATATCGTAGTACATCACCGAAGTTGACGTCGACTGTGACAAGGTAAGACGTTTGTTTTTCTCTTTCGAATCATCATTATGTTATTGCAGTACGAGTGCACATCGTTCGTCGACAAGAAACTATTCTCCTGGACGCACTGAACTCCCTCAAACATCGCCAACTAAGGTTTGTTTATCAGAAATATCCTTTTCGACGAAACTTTGTAACATTTAATAATGTGTGTATGTGTTTTGTAAAGATCTCGGTGTCGCTGAAAGTTTCCGAACTTAGTAGAAGTCGGGAAACTCTTCCAGAGACTATCGATAATTCCAGTGTCCATAACAATAACTCGACTGATGATACTGTATGTTATCATCATTGATTGCTTGATGATTTCTCTCTATCCTTCTGCTTTAATTTTTCTGTTTTAAATCTTTTTCGATCTAATTTCTCTCACTCTCTCGTTTTAGGGTGTTGATCGTTCGTGCAGTTTATGTGTTGATACAACACCATAAAAGAATCATCATTGGAATCTTTGCCTTGTCTTAATCATACCATCAATTAAGAAAAATTCTTCTTTTTGCTCTGTATTTGTGCGTCGTGTGTGCCTCTTAGCAGTTCTTTTTCTATGGATATTTAAGAACAAGTGTTGCTTTTGCTAAATACTTGTCCTTCTCTTTCTCTTTCTCTGGGTGTATTTTTTAGACAACCACAAACAAACATAGAAAAAGCTCAATTTTGAATTGAAAAAAAAAACTCAGTTTTTGAATCGTATTTTCCTTATGACTTCATCCTTGCCCTCTCTCATTTTTTTTTGTCTATGTAGACTTGTGAAAGAAGAATACATTATACATATGATTAATTTTTCTCTTTTTTCTTCCTTCGTCTTGTTGCTGAAGGAAATTTCCTTTTTCTTTTCTCATTATCTCTTTATCTTTTCTTTTTTTGGAATAAATAATCAATTCACAAAATCCAATCTCCGCTGCTCCGATGGTACCATAGGTTATCAGCCTTTGTTTTACCCGTAGTCGTATTCTCTCTGTTTATTTAGTTAGTTTCTTTGTTTTTAGGATATGCAGACGACGTTAGGGCGAATGCTTTTGTCGGTCAAGGCGATAACGAAGTTCGTTGAGACGATGCGGTTGTATTTGAATTTCACCCCGTTGCAAAATTTCATGTAAAATTTGAGTGAGTGTTTTCGGATAGCGACGCACGAGTCGATGTTTGATCTTATCTTCATTTGCTAATGTTAATAAATCATCATTCCATGCATGGCAATGCTACAATGAAATCAAAGAATCGAACGATGGGAAGATATCGGCATTGGTCATACCTGAATGACAATCATTGTTATGCATAAACAAACGAGAAGATAAGAAGCAAGCATGAATGCATATGATTGTTGGGACATTGTTCGGGCGTTCTTTGAATGACTGGTAAATTGAATGAGGAATGGCAGAACGAGTTTTCTCTTCTTCCTTAGTAATCCATTGTGGATGAACGTAGTTTTCAATTAAATGTTCTCTTTCCTGATCAAAAGTCAACAGAAGACAATTATGAACCTTAATCTCACACCGTGCTCGCATTTATCATGACTAGCAGGCGAATTCAAAGGGTAAAGTTTCGTGATCCTGTCCGATGATTCCTGTTAACCTATGAGCAGAAGAAGAGGGATTAAGTCTTATTCTCTATATGATAGCAATCAAGCGTCGTGTGCTTCTCCATGGGACATATCAATAATATTTGTTTGACAACTTGCACATTTCGGTAAATACGTATGTTTTTAATAAATCTTCTCGTACGTAATTCAATACCGAGTAAATCGAACGGGAAATCTTCTGCGTTACTGTTGCATGTTTTTCAAATATTTTCTTGCGTTCATATTTATTTATCCAGATGACTTTTCCTCCTTCTGCTCAAACATAACAAAAAACTGTCAGCAGTTCGTTTGTTGTTTTATACCATTTGTATCGATTGTATAATAACAGACTACTCGAACTTGTAGGTTATCCGTAGAAGTGAACAAGACTTGATGAACATCATCATTACGATCGCACATTCAACTAAAATCAATATACTTGAACTGTCACGTAGTCTAATCATTTATTTTTTTTCAAAGGTCAAGTATGACTTGATGTTCTAGTGTGATGTATGCAACGGAAAACATATCGATGTCAAATGTTATCATTTACTCTTGTTCCAAAGGGATCAAGATGTCTCATGTCATGTCGTTCAACATTCAGATAGTCGAATACGATGATGATTTCATGTCTCGAGCGAACATATTGGAAAAAGGTTAAAACAATGAAAACTTAACTAGATGTAGAATCATAATTCGATTTTTATCTGAACAAATATACACAATGAATATGGAAAGCGTGTTTCCTTTTTGTCGGACATTCGTATTCTAGACTGGGACATGAGCGTATATAGTCAATCTGATATGTAATTAGCTAGTCTGCTCAATCGATCAGCTTCTAATCCTCCGTATGTCTGATGAGCGAAATACAATCGCAGAAAGAAGAAGAAGAAGACGAGCGATAGGTCGGTTGAATCGACGATCAACCCAGATGTGCACTTTGTCGATGCATTTCTTCATCCAGTATTGGTACTGATATATGAGAAAAAAGAAGACGACGACGAAGGGAAGGAAGAAGAAGGAGAGAATACAAGCGGGCATATCAGAATAATGTTATCAGTCAAGTGATTGATTTAGTGAAGAAATGGCACGAGCTAAATTTATCAGTCTCTCTCGAATTTGGTATACAATAATTGTCGTATTAATTCATTTAACTCTTATCTATTTTGGAATCAAATATTGCTATTTCAATGATCAATTACCATGGCCGAAATCATCCCCATTCTCATCGCCAAAATTTGAATTATTGATACAAAAAATCTGCGTGTTAACTTCACTGCTTCTTCTCTTTATTTTCATCTATCCTGCACTATTTCACACTGGAAATCTTGCCAATGATAGTCAACAATTAGCAGTCTACAATTTCGATCGAAACCATCTACGGAAAGTCAAACGATCTTTCTGCTCTGGCATATGGCATCATTGTTTTTCGTTTAGCAGTACTTTACATTTAATTATGAGTTTTCTTCTTCTCATATCAACTGTCTTGATCGATGCGAAGCAAATTATGGTCGGCTTAAAAGATTCAGGTACAGATTTCATTTGACATACTTAGTAGAACGAGACGATTAAGAGATTTCCGCCAAGGAAATATCAAATCGATCAAGATAACACACGAGAAAATCATTTATATTCAATAGCTATCAGAAATTGTCTGTCCAAGGACGCGAACTTGCATCACATGTAACAGAAGACAGATTATCGACTTAGACATTGAAGTAGATACCATGAAATATATTTCGACTATTCTAACCTTGTATTTAGCATTACTATGGCGCACTGATTTTGATCTTCTCTTTGATTGGTCTGCTTCACCATCATCGTCATCATCATCGGTCATAAGTTCTTCGATTAAACGGCCTCATTTTTCGAATACAACTTCGTTATCTCAAACATTCTCTCTCGATGCTTACACCCGTTTGACTCTGTTCAATTTTCTATTCGCTTCGACTGTTTGCATCTTCCGCGAACCTTATGTCTTTTGGTCGATCTCGAAGATATTTTCATTGATCTATTCTCTTGCTGTAGCATTGAACGTTATACAATGGTGTTTAATGTACAGCGCGTTTCAATTATTACTGAAAAATATCTGTTTCAACACGATGGAATCAAAACAGAACATCGGCTATTTGCTTCTCCATCAACCATACACAACATTTTTTCTGTATCTGTTACTTGAATTTCTCATTTTTATATCTTCTATCACATTTTATTACTACGGATACAATCGCTTCAAATCCTCGGAAAATTTCAACTGTAAATCATCGTGTTACGATCGTTGCTCACATTACTGTCCTAGTTTGATTGCTATTATCATTTTACTATTGTATACCTCATGCAAAATGCCACTTGTTCACGATATATTTTTACTTTACCTTCAAACACATTTGCAGACGTTATTTTTAACCTTTGTTTTCGAAATCGTTCATGTTTTACTGATTCTCGCACTGTGGATTTACTTAACGACAAAAGCCGATTGGCATGTTAAAAACTCACACAGACAAGAACATTTCGCATCGATGATGAACCACGGTTTAACAGTGAAGAATACTCCGATACAACCAACGGCAGTGTCTTTGCCAGATTTGAATGGTCATTGTCCAAATACAGATAAACCTTCTCGAAGATTATCGGATAATCTTTATCAAAAACCTTATGAAAAGATTCGAATCTTTCAATCGGAAATCTACTATCGAAACCCGCGAAAGAACTGGAGTTTACCGTTGAATCAACAATCGACAATGATGGCAACATTTGATCATGATGACGATGACGATAATGGCGATATCGATGGCAAAGACATCGTTGTACGTTCGACATCTTATCCAACTAATGAAGTTCAATATCGTGATACAGTTCGAAAGACTGTTTCGAATATTTACAAGTTTCCGATGGAATACAAAGAGGAACTGCCGGCAAAAGAATTAGCATTGTCAAGTAAACATGACAATCTACCTCCTGTACCACCTGTTAAACGTTTTTCACAAGAACAAGTAGAAGCAGCAAGATTGCGAGCGCAACAGATGATTCTCCAGCGACAAAAATCCTCCGACTTCCTACAAGATCACCGTTCAACAACTTTACTTGTTAGTCAAGTTTGATGTTTCCCGTCTGTTTTTTATGTTCTTTATAGAAATAAATCAAAGTTTTGTATCAAGCTAGTCCAAATTCCAAATGTCATGTGATCGAGAAAAGCAACGGACAAATGTATGAAGATATGATGCAGTTCGATTTTGCTAATGACTGCCGAAATACGAATCTTTTTGAGATTCCTATTGTTGAGAGACATTCTCTATTCACACCAACATCCTCAGTCAGATCGGGCAAATATATGAAAGAGAAATTCTTCCTCTCTTACCGTTATCGAAATCTAAATATGCAAATAAACGACTCAACTATATTTCAATGACATTTTATTTCGCCGAGGCGTAAAATCTATTCACATAGAATTTTTCGATGTATATTCACACGCTGAACGTTTAAAGATCAAAGAAATCTATTTCTATCGACATTTAACTTAACACACGAGTCATCCGACTGATATCAACACCTCATAATGTACATATACATGAAATAGCCAGTTCGAGCAGCGAACAGAAACGATACAGGGTGCTAAAAAATCGAGAAAAAGAAGGTGAATATATCAGTCCATACCTTAATTTATTCACTCAACGTAGAAAACATTCGAGACATATTGTCAACTTTGTAACAGTAGGTGGTCGAAGAGAATTTATCAATTCATAACGTTTGCTTAGTGATGTTCATATCTCAAGGCAATTAACTGATCATATATTTGCGTAGGAAAAAAAAAGATAAAAACAAGGTGTGTAGATGAGAAACTATTCATGTACATCGTTCAGTTTCCTCTTAATAGAATAATAATCGTTTCTTTTTCAAGTTCCATTCTTCGAAAGTGTTAAACCGATCATAATGAGATTGTCTACAAAATTTCATAGAGAACAAATGATATTGCAAGATCAATCATTCGCTTGATCTATTCACTCTAAGCACATCATGAATGTGATTGCGCGTAAAATACCTGATGGATTAAATGTAATGAAGTCAAGCTGAATACTTGCAAAGAGTTTTCCATTCGCACAGAGCACGTGTAAACATTCGTCTTTTTTGTAGCCACGTGATATTATGAACGATTAAATTGACACATTTTTCAAACTTTCAGGGTTTTGTTTTTTCTTTCAAGACAACTTTAATACCCGACATAAGATCAAAGCGAGCAGTCGTGTTAAAAACAGCAGCAACGGTAACTGATCGAAGAAGAAAGGTGAAGAAAGCTTAAAGCAGCAAGTTACTTGTTGATTCCAATTTCAGCAATACACACACATCTGTCAAAGAGATGCGGCGTCAATATTGATCGACTGATAAAAAACAAAGTTTTAAAAAAACATTATTCTAATCTCACTCATTCGGAAGATCTCTTCGCTCTGCGATTTCAATGCGATCATTTCTCTTAGCACATTCGAACTAATTCTGCAAAATTGGTCTTCGCTCTTTGCACTTACACTTATTGCTGTGTGTGTGACATTTATTTTTTCGAATGTTCGAAACACTACCGTATGTAATTAGGTGTTAGATGAATGATCTCTATCTCCATGAAGTCGCATCAGATAATCGATTCGTTAATAACTGATCAAACTAAAATGCCCTCGAAGTTTTTTCTCATCGATCGGGCAAAGTCGCTTGTGTATCTGACATTTGATTATTAAAACGAATTAATTCATAGATGTAAATCGACTAGCATCATCTTTTTCCTTTTTCGTCATCAAATTGTTATGTAATGCTGTCAAATCGACTCATCCTTTTAATCCTTTGCATGCGACGAGTTAACAAGTGATGAAAAGACAAACTGCCAATTGTATCCAACTGCAAAACAAAGTTTTCCGAGTTCATGGAGAAATCCCTTGCACTTCTCTCTCACGATTGCACTTCTCCTCTCGCTAATGAGCTCATCATTCGTCTATCAATAGATACGATGCCTACAGCTTGTTTCCTTCGAATAAGTTAAAATTGAAAGAAACAGCTGGTCTAATCGAATATTAATTCAATTGATGATTAGATCAACAAGTGAAACATAGAGACAATCCTCTCTTCGACAAATTAACTCAAATAGGTAGCTGTCTGATTGCATCAACAACAAGATGGATTATTCTCTGCTTTCTCATTGGTCGAACATCGTGTAAAAAGCGCAAGAGAAACGTCTACCTTTTTATTATCAACAGGAAATCAACGAAAAGTTAGTCATTCAAACGAATCGTTGCCAATCGGAAAGATGCTCGACGAGAACAATCTTTTTCAACAAGCGGCTGTCGCTTCTTCGGCTTATGCTTCCATGGCTGCATTTACTGCTGCAGCAAATATGTACAGTTCGTTCTATCCAACAACTGCAAATCCCGATCCGAATAACTATCTCGGTTGTAATGGTAAGGAGATCTATTTTGGGTTGAGTTGATCTAAAAGTGAATTTCGATTGTTTAGAAATGCAACGTGAACGACTCGATCCAAAAGTCCGAGTGAAACTAGAAGGACTAGATCTATGGAAACAGTTTCATTCACTAGGCACTGAAATGATCATTACAAAGTATGTGGAAATTTCTTTTTCAAATGATTCTAATGAGTAATACTTGGTATTGTAGAAATGGGCGACGGTTGTTTCCAACTTTTCGTGTTTCTGTTAGTGAACTTGATCCAAATATGAAGTACATGTTTCTACTTGATATTGTTCCGGTGGATGATAATCGATACAAATATCAAGAATCTGCATGGGTGATATCTGGCAAAGCTGAACCTCATGCATATGGACGGTAGGATAATTGCTCATTCCATTGGTCTTCATTTTCGATTCTCGGTACCTTGCAGGTATTTCATTCATCCTGACAGTCCACAAACCGGTGAGCAATGGATGAAACAATCAATCCTATTCAACAAAGCGAAAATCACTAATAATCCTATGCAGAATCCAGATCAAGTAAGTAATTCGTCTTGTTAGCAACATACACTTTGATAAAACATGCTTTTCAAATAGATTCTTCTCAATTCGATGCATCGATATGTGATTCGGTTGCATATCGTTCAAGCATCAGATGAATATTCGATTCGAACAGGTCCGCTCAGCACATACACATTCAACGAAACAGTTTTCATTGCTGTCACTGCTTATCAAAATGATGAGATCAAAAACTTGAAAATCGATAACAATCCATTTGCTAAAGGTTTCCGCGAACCAACACACGGGAAAAAGTATGTGAACATTCAAATCAGCCCTTCATTTCTCTAAAAATGCTTTCATAATCTTTAGAAACAGTTCAAAAGCTCTCAAACGTCTCCAATCCAGTCTACCATTAGACAAATCAACCAAATACGACGATACGCATCATCGCTTATGTAAAAGTGATACATCATTACTATCTTCAAATTCCATTTCACCACCAGTACACCAGCCCATTGTCGATTCAACGTACGGTCATCCTGAGCCTGAAGCTGATCCAACGAATTTCAACTTTTCATCTGCGTATCAACAGCCGCTCGCATACAATACGTATCCAAATGATTCGTCATTGTTGTACAATCCATATATCGGTTCGACCATGTCGTTTTCTCCTTACGGATACTATTCATCGAACAATTTTTCGGCCCCATTTTTTTGATTGTATTGTTAGAAAAGATCTCGAAAGTTTTCGTGTACATGGTTCTATTTAAAATAAACGAAGAGAAACTGATTTCAAATCTAATTGTATATCTTAAATAGGATTTTCACACTACGTAGCAGTTATAATAGATACTCTTGAGATTCGATCACATCATCACAAAGTAATAAGACGAATTTTGAATGACTGCCGTTTTCTCTATTCATAAACGATTATAGTCACACATCGTAAAAAGTAAACGAAGCAGTACTTTGCAATTGTCATAAATATAAATGGTCTAAATGTCTATTGACGAAGAAGAAGAGGAAGACATTGTCAACGAAATTCAATTGGACAGGTGAATCGATTGGACGAAAAATATTCTTTTTTTTCTCTCTCTCTCTCTCCCTGCCTCTCTTTTTCTCTTACAGGTATTTTATCTTGAACTTGAATAAATAGAGACATATACGAATTGATTGCATTGCGTCACATATGTTATCCTACTTGACACCACCGATGCATCCTCAATTGTCATCATCTGACTCAGGACTTCTCATTTGTTCCACATCGTCAGATGAAGGAGAAAAATCATTGTATCCACCTGAAGATCAAAGTCTCGGACTGTTTAATTCACCACATCTGTCCTACTCACATCCGGCCAAAGCTTCTATGCCGTTTATTTATGGGCATTCACCAGCACCAGCCTATGGATTCGGTTTCAATTTTTATGATGAAATGTCTCCGTTTGCAGGTAAAAATTCATCACTTTCTGATCTGTTCATTGAAATATCAATCTCCTTTTGGATATAGACACGACACGATCATCTTATACGTACAATCACACGACGAAACGTGCTGATCCGAATATTGATGTGAAATTGGAGAATATGGACTTATGGAAGCGTTTTGCTGAAATGAATTTAGAGATGATTATAACAAAGAACGGAAGGTAAGAAGTTCGAAGGCGACCAAACACACAGCATGCTCTCTTTGTCTGATGTCTAACCGACTTATTCTTTGTGCAGACGGATGTTTCCCACGTACAAAGTGTCACTCACTGGGCTCGATCCAACCAGCAAATATATTGTCTATATGGATGTTGTACCTGTTGATAATCACCGATACAAATACCATGGTTCGCAATGGATGATCACTGGTGCTGCTGAACCGCACAGTGAGTGTCTTGCTTTCTGTACAATAACACTGCATAGAAATTCCTTTGGTTCTTCTAGTGTCAGGCCGTTTTTATCCTCATCCAGATAGCAACTCCACTGGTGCACAACTAATGAAACAACCGTTATCGTTCAGTAAATTGAAATTAACAAACAACACTGCTGATCAAAATGGACATGTAATCATTTTGTTTTTCTTGTACAGCTTTCGTTACAGAGTCTTTCGCGTATAGATCATTCTCAATTCCATGCATAAGTACATTCCACGTCTGCATATAATTCAAACTTATAACTCCACCACTGCTGATAATAAAGTGTCTACAGGACCTTTGGACAATGTCAATATCTTTGTCTTTCCCGAAACTCAATTCATAGCTGTAACAGCTTATCAAAACGAAAATGTGAGTGGCAATTAAAAAAAGAAACATGGTATCGATGCATTTGACTTTTGTATTACAGGTGACAAAATTGAAAATTGATCACAATCCAGTAAGTATTTTTAGAATGAATTTCAATCGCAGTTTGATCTATCTCTGATCTTATAGTTCGCCAAGGGTTTCCGTGAAAATAACGGACACGGCAGTCGAAAGTATGTTAAATTTACATTATAGTCTCAACATAATATGACATGAATATGATTTCAGAGAAGTAAAGTCAACCAAACGTTGTCTGGATGATGTATATTCCACACCAGAATCGTCGAAACGATGTAAATCTAATTCAGGTGAAGACGATCGAACACCTCCGCCACGACTTCTCTCTACCAATCAGACAGTCGATGTACCAGATTCAACCACATCATTCACAGATTTCTATGAAAATCCCTTTCAATCGCATTTCTACGATCCTAATTTATACACATCGCCGTATTCTCGCTTTACTCCACAATATCCATTTTCTTATACGCCAATGGCCTCGACACCTTCAACAAATGCATTTTCATTAGCAGCAGCGGCTGCTAGTCGTTATTCATCACCTTATTCTTTTTCTTCACCTTATTATCAATATTCCACATCATCATGAGACTTCATTGTATTTTTCTTTTAAAATTCTTCAAGAAAACATTTCTTCAAAGTTTCGCTGTTCATTATTTCATAAATATAATTCCACGAGCAAGTTCATCGGTTTTTCAACTGATAAAACTGTAAATCATCGATTATGATCCTGCAGTCATTCTATTTGAAAGAAGAGAAGTATGCATATGTCTACAAATACTACAATCATTCATAGTTCATGTCGAAAGAAAAGTAAAAATCGATTGATTCGATTTATATATGACGTGTGAGGCCAAAGTTTTGACCAGCTTGACTGGCACCTTTGTTCATGCCGTCGTTGAGTAAACCGACTGTATTCTGTCCGGCACGTAATTGTTCTTCAGTGAATTCTCGAACATTGGCGTCAGCCATCTTCGGGCCAAGTGATGGCCCATTGAAATTTTTCCGTTGTGCCTAGAAGAAACAATCGCAAAAGGTCAGTTCTAAACTTTTCTGAAGCATTGATATTTACTTGTCGACCAAGTGCATGAATGCATTGAGTAACTTGGGCGATGTTTCGTTTCTCAAAAAGATCTACAGTTTGAAATAATTCGGCATCTGGTAAACCGTATGCTCGAGCAGCATTTTCTATTCGATACGTATAAAATCAAATATCTTCGAAGGTCGTCTATGCAATGCTTACGAAACGCAGAAACATTTTCGCGTAATTTAAATCCTCCACCTTGTGTACAAATCTTGGCGACAGAGCCCGGTTGAAGCTTATTGATTAATCTTCAATGTGAAAACATGTTTGAATGGACGAAAAAAGCACTTGGATAAACTTACTTGCACAGAATAATACCATCCTTAAGTGCATCATCGTACGAACCACTTGGAAATTTCTCTCCGATGACAGCTTCAATCCATTGTTGAGCTTCTTTATCTAATTCTGGATTACGTTTGCCTCCCGACATCGAAACAATCAATCTCACAGTGTATCTACAAACGACCAAACAAGAATTCAGTAGAACTGTATATAAATCAACGAGCGTAAGAAAAGAAAGGAGAAAAGACAAACGATGTCGATCGATAAAGAAAAAACAAGAGAAGAAGACCTTTTCGTCAATATCTCAAGAGACGCTTTAGTTCATGGTTGGCTGAAAGGATAAATATGGTGGATAGGATAGTATGCGTGCATTCTTTCTTTACTATGTATTCGCTTACAAATACCATCGTTGGTATTTTACTAGTCGTCTATAATGGAATGTCGATGTTCGCTACTTGTTTTTTTCCTTTTCAGCATGAGATAACGCTACTAACGTTTACGTACAATATGTCCTTGATTGAAGACTAATTCTTGAGATATGTTCCAAGAACTTTGCTTTACGTCAATGTTTCGTTTTTTCGACCTGATTATACGGAAGAAAGACAACTGATAGTGTCAACGCGACGAAGTAATCTCAACGAGTGCTATCGAATAGTTATCTGACTATTACCACAGAGATAGATGTATATTTATACATTAGTAGGCGTAGCAGAGGGAAAAGGAACGGCGTAGAAGAGAAGAAAAACAATGCAAGAAAAATATTGATTACGTCGAGAGAGGGAGAGTAAAGCAGATTTTCGTCGTTGGAAATCTCTGATCTTTTTCTGACGATAATAGAGAGAAACACAACAGGTTATTCTAATAAGTATTTCCAGTATTGCTACAAAGACTTCCATTGTTGACGAATCAATCGCTCTCTTATCGTGTAGTTCTGCATCGAATGAAAACTTTCCCTGATTATATTACATCCTCACTTATGAACATAAGCAATCATTACTACTACTACTACTACTACTAGCATCAATTGTTATTGTAAACAGTTACGTCAATTGTTTCTCTCCCTGGATAGAATTTTCTTTGAAACATCTGTTGGCGTCTTCGATGACATAATCGAAGAAGATTCGTTCATAGGATGTGGTAATTACGGTCAGTTTGGGAGAAAATGATGAAGCATTTTCGGATCTTTATTGAATAAATAAACGAAGCAAATCTAGATTGGTTATATATCATTTTCAAGCAGGATTAGAGCACAAAGGGTCGGTAGGATCGATGAGTAGAGGTTAAGCGGTGGGTCGTTGATATTAACTTCGGATGATGGAGATTTAATAAAACGAAGTAAACTGAGTAATTCCACTATTCCAATTGAATCTTCAAGGGAGGCATGAAGACGTTGCAGTTTATCTGATCGACTTGATTCGGTATCACGCGCCAGATCGATGAGTGTTTGAAGGTGATTATCATCGTCTGATTCATCGTCTTCATCTCCTTGATGATGTTGATTATCTAGATACGTTTGTGACGATGTTGACGGGATCCGTATATTTTGTAGGTTGATAAGAAGGTTTGTGACAGATGAGTTGCTTAATTTTCGTTGAGAAAGACGTCGACCGCCATGAGATCGTGTATAATCGTTGAATAAAACTGAACTTTCCGACATTTCGGATGAAGCTGAAGCAGTTTCGCTACGTGCCGGTCGACCAGTACTTCTCAATGACATTTGCATCTATAAAAAAAGCAACGAGTACATGTCCACATGAATACACTCAGTTATGGATTACTTTTTCTGCTAGCAATTGATCACTAACAGCTCTAGGGTCTTCGATTGTCCCTATAACAAACAAACGCATTATTGAAATGCTTCGCCATAGAATATCATATGAGGGATTGTTGTAAGACAAATCGATTCAATCATTACAAATCATGCGTCTTTCCGTCTTTTTCACAGAATGCTTCAACAATCTGTCACTCTCGAGACATCTATTTCAATTTTTCGTGGCTAGAATCCCGTCACCGATTATGATTTATTCTTTATTAAAACAGTGATCAAGTTTATTTCGAGAATTACAAAGTGCATCTGAGAAGGCAAAGTTCGTTTCCTAAGTGGATTTACATATGTCGTGAGAGACCAAAGTTTTGGCCTGATTGATTCGCACCTTTACTCATGCCTTCGTTGAGTAAACCGAGTGTAGCTTGTCCGGCACGTAATTGATCTTCGCTAAATTCTCGGACATTTACATCGGACATTTTCGGACCGAGTGTTGGCCCATTGAACTTTTTTTTCTGTGCCTGAACGAAAACAAATACATGCAATCAAGATCAACATTTCAAGATATCAAACAACACTCACATTGCGACCGAGTGCAAAGATGCACTGGGTTACTTGAGGAATATTATGTTTTTCGAAAAGATCAATCGTTTGGAAAAGTTCCGCATCGCCTAGACCATAAGCACGCGCAGCATTTTCTATAAAAGGAAGTCGTAAGTATCGAAACAATGATCAGCGAGAACACTTACGAAAAAGTGAAATATTTTCGCGGAGTTTAAATGAGCCACCTGATGTCGCATATTTAGGAATAGCACCTGGTTGAAGTTTGTTCATTAATCTGATACATATTTATATAGAAACATAACTACTGACGAGTGAAATAACTAGACGAAAACATACTTGCACAAGATGACACCGTCCTTGAGTGCATCTTCGTAGGAACCGCTCGGGAACTTCTCTCCGATTACTGCTTCTATCCACTCTTGTGCTTCTCGATCGATGTTCGGATCACGCTTTGCTGCGATCTAAACAATCAACTATCAGTCAGAAACAATCCAAGGACGAAAAATAAAGGATATTTATAGACATTAAAAGACCTATTTAGTCATATCCCGGGGATTTTCTCGCACTGACAAACGATGATATCGATCTGATAATGCTTTGCTCGAATAACAAATAACCGACATCCCTCAATCTCATCGTCAAAATAAGAAAGCATATAAATAGGTGCTTCGATGTAGTATATCTATTTCACCTTTGCTTTATTAGCAGCCAATGATCCATACGCAGGTCCGACGAATGACATAGTTCTTCAATTGAATATACGTGTTCACCGCACAGAAAAGAATGAGAATATTAAGGAACGCGAGTGTGTGTTTATATATTTACAGTGGCTAGGAAAGAGAAACAGAGAGGGAGAGAGAGGGAAAATATCGATATGAATAATTTTTCTCTAGTGTTGCAGTTAATGTGAGCGCATAGAAATCAATATTTTCCTGTAAGAAAAGACTTTTCTCGAACAACTTGTACCATAGATATACAGCAAGAGAGATAGACAGAAGAAGAAGAAGAAGAAGAAAACATGAAATATAAACAGACATTTCCTTTAATCAAAACATGAGGAAATCAATCATTTCTCTATGTACAAACTGTTGAAGTTATTAGTCATCATCATTATCCTGTAGGCGGGCATCGGATACGACATCCACGCTCTCGCTCTTCTCTAATTATACGCGAGACTATTTTTCGTAATAGTACACTTCACGTAGGCGCAGTTCTTGTGAAAGAGAAAGAGTATGATTAATCCTCGTCACTAACGATGAATAACATCAACTTCGTACTAATCATTTTGTTTTCCCTTTGCCTAAATCTGATCATTACATCTCATGCACAAATGTCTTTTCAGCAAAACATGCAGCATGACATTCTTTCCTTTACCTTCCGATTGAGAGCGATGTCCATACCATACGCCGGCATTGTTATCTTGAGTGATGAGAAATCTATGTAGTTCTTACGGTAGGTGCTTACATGAATGTAATCTGAACCGAATGTTATCGATGTGTATGTGCACAGTAAAATGAAGCAAGAAATAGAATCATAGAAGATGATATGAAAGCTTGCAAATATTGTCGTCCAACTAACTAACTCGAGTAACAGGACTAATAAATATCTCTTCTTTCTGGTTCCATCTTCCCTCTTTTTTTTTCTTCTTGTCAGCTGAGATGAAAAAATAATCATCGGAGGTTGTACGAGGAGAAGTACAACACATCCTTGACCGAAGGAGACAAACTGATAATGGAATCCAATTATCATTATCCACATGTAATAACAACATCATCCTTGTACGAGCTAGTTGAAAGAAATTTTCTCGAGCTCAACATAGAAATAACCTTTGAAACTTGGTAATTAACAATGGCAGAAAACAAAAGTTCATCGATCGAATACTTCGGTTTTTTTTCTTTATTTGGAACATCATTTTATAGTAAATTATCTTAGAGAAAATTCTTTTAACTGCCGGACAATGTCTGCTGCGTTACCGTCGAATCCGATGGCTCGCTTCTCTTTTCGAGCATGAATAGGCACATCCGGTGCATGCATATTTACACGAATTAATCTGACGTGTGGAAATCTGCTAACCAACTCATCCATGGGCCAACGGAGTACGCTTGGAGTATTGAAACCAACACCGATTTCGATAATTGTGCACAGTCCTTGTTTTTGATCGATTGCACGGTGAATAAAATCATGATAACGCTTTCGTCCGACAGCAAATGCCGATTCAATGAACCAATCTCCACCGCGAACACAAAAAAACATGGGGCCATGGCAACGAGGACATCGCGGTACAAATTCCGATGGCACTTCCATCGTTTGTTGGTCAACGTGCGGAAGCCCATGATCAATAAATGGACGAGCGTCATACACAGACTCACGTGAACACGGTTTCAAACATTGAAGGAGAGAATAGTCTCCTTGCGTACTCAGAAAACGACTCATATCGAATTTATTCTGCTCAAACATGCCATCTGCATTTGTTGTGACAACAAACGAATCAATGGATTGATTCGATATGATCGCTTTAAGATCTTGATAAACATCTGTTGGCCCCCAATTGTAACGGCATTTATTAACATGTGTAAACAGGTAGCCCCACATCAACTCGGGCGACCAATCATGTTTGCCAATAGCGTCATACATACATCGCATAGACGAGACTTGAGTCATCCGAGGATATAGCTTACGAAATGCAGCAACAGATGTGTAATCAAGACCAACATTATAATGCGGATTAATTGCTGAAGCGGAGAGACCAGCACCGGCAGCAATTAAGATAGAAGAAGAGCTTCGTATCCAATTTGCAGCTAATGATAGATCAGTAGAATCAGCCATCGATGTTCGAATATGAGTAAGTATGTGTGTTAAACGGTATAAATATGAGAGAGACCAAAGGAATTCTACAATGTCAGTAATGACAGTGCAAATAAACAATAGGGTGGCAAAAACAACAATTGATGACGAAGCAGAAAACAAAACGTTTAGATTTCTGAATTCATGTAACAAAATAACTGAATTTGTTAACCTTGCACCACTGACATAGTTTATTTAATGAATACAAAGAAAAATTTCTATCGTAGGTCATGAAGTACTTGATGCCGCTTGTTTTGCAAAAAATTTCTAAAGGAAACACATCAGTGAGCTTTTGGTATGAATTTAGTGCATTTACTTTAAATGGCGAAAATTCATTGACAAAACTAAGACCGATACTTCGAAGTGCAACAACTGGTGTGAATTTCGTTGAATACAAACGGTTCAATGCATCAATGGATAGTAATCTAGCTAAACATTGAGCTTGACGCTGTCGTTCGTAATCGACCAGATAAGTTAAAGAATCTAGATCATTATTTATTCGAAAAAATTCATTGGAAAGTTTGAAGATTGCTTACTAAAATCAGCACCATCTCGAACAGCTTGTTCGAGTACTTTAACGAGACATTCGACATCACCAAAACCCATATTTACTCCTTGACCAGCCATCGGATGAATACGATGTGCTGAATCTCTGAAAAGCATCGCAAATCGATCGCTTTTCCCATTCTACGGGGTTCATCTTACCCGACTAGTGCTAGACGTGGACGAACGTATTGATTTGCATTGAGCAGCTAAAGACATTTCAAGATTCGAACGAAAAATTCAACAATCAACGTTGCCTACCGATAAAGGAAAAGCAGCTCTGGACCTCGGTTCGATATTGATGATCGTTGGTGGCCATTGGGATATCGTTGGTGAAGCTAAACGAATAGACAAAGGAGTCGAAGATTCTTTCAACTAAACCAACAAGACTATACCTGGTATAATTTGTTGCCAATACGATCGTAAACGATCTGTCATCGAAACAACCACATCTTGCTTGTAAGTATCAGATGTCTAAAGATAAAACAAAAAAAATGACCGAAGTATAAGTTTCGATTTTCTTACAAAAGCTTTATTAATTTCATCAACAAATTGCTCATCGGTTAAGTTCATCATTGACTTATGCATCGACTTTGGTACTGTCCATACCAGCGAACTGTGTGTATTACTTAACTAAAAGAAATACAAGGCGTGGTGGATAATCTATCGTCAAATTTACTTACCGGTAGACAAGCGATTGGACCTGTAGGTAAAAATCTTTGCCAGGCAACAACGTTATCTGGCGTCTAAACATCTTCAATTGGAAATCAAGAATATCTTTTAAATTCAACAAACATTATCTGCTAATTGTAAGGTTGCGACAATACCGAATTGATCGTAGTTCCATTGAATTGTTGAAATCCCCGCCATCTCACGAATACTTGACTGATACCCATCAGCTGCAATCTAAACGAAATCCATTCGTACTATAAACTTCCGTGCAGAAAAAAAGAACGCACTTACCAATAGTCCTGTTTGAAGATTTACTTTCTCGTCTTGTAACTGTACACGAATAGAGTTTGGATTATACTCAAACTTTTTCACTCGAGAATTTAATCGTAGTTCAATATTGAATTGTTTTAGTCGTTCGAGTAAACATGCTTGTATTACATCATTTTCAACAATGTAAGCAAGAGAATCTTCGCCCGCTTGATTCGATGGATCAAAAGCAATCAACGAATCCGAACACGCATCCCAAACCCGAACAGAATCAATAGAAATCACTCATTTGAATGTTTTTTTTTCGCCGAAGATTCTACCTGCATGCGAGATACTTTTTGAACACGAACCGATTTCATCAAATCCCATGCGCCCAGTTCTAGAGAAAATCAATTGGAATGAAATTATTCATCTTTTCATTCAATACTTCGAAACAGATTGACTGATTGAGTGTTTAGAGCACAAACACGATTACTGTACGGTTGATTTTTGGAAACGTTCGGTAACTTGGATTGAGATTCCAAAAGGACTATTTTACGGTTTTTGAAGAATGGAGATGCCGCTGAAAAATATTCGTAATGAATTTAAATCGAACAAATGAGAGATTTTTACCAAAGGCGAGTGCCATGGCACTTCCAACGAGTCCACCTCCTGCAATTGTAACATCAACATTTTCAGCAGGCACAGGTGGATTTGGCCAGTCATGGCTCACCGTTGCTCCTGATGATACGGAATACGAAGAGAATCGTATTGATACTAATGAACGACGTAGAGACAATAATTGTCTCATTCGTAGTAACTTCATGATATGATTGAATTTTGATGTGTAGATTGGTAGAGCGATGATTCATCATCAACTCTAAAAGCTCAGGATTATAGCATACTTATGCACTTTGAAATACTTCTATTTTATACAGAAATTTTTCGCATCATGAATAGAACTATTTTGGTTGTGTCGGAGAAAAAATAAAACATAACTCAGAACGCATCCATTTCCTATGAGCTCATTCTGAAAGTGATTGAGTTTGATTAATGGTTTTAACGGGTGAGATACTCTCTTCTCTCTTGAACCATTAATGCGAAAAGGTCGTTGTGAAATCAAAGATACTGATGATTTCGTAAAAGGATTCATTTTGTTTTTACATGTCAACAGTTATATTTTAGCAATTAGTTGCAGTTTAAATAAAAAAGAGAGTCTGCATAACATGCAAATATGTTACAGTGAACCTTCGTACCATCAATCGGAATTTAGCGGATCGTTCCAGATAAAAGCCCTTGGTATTTTCCTATTAGTATATTTGAATTCCAAATTGCTTCAAACTTTTTTTGGAAATGGATGTAAACGCATCAAGTGTATATTAGAAAACAACGGTTCGTTTTCCACTCAGTAAATTGTTTAAACAAACAGGTTTTTCGAGAAGTGATAGTTGGTTGACCGGCTAATTGAACTCTGTCTTCAATCGAGGGACAACAAGATTGAATAATGTTATGAAAATACATTGTTATCATTTCAATGAAGGAATAAGCAGGTGAATGTGCAACATTGAAATGTACACAAAATCTGCATCAATATTCGAAAATGTCAACGTTTTTCTGGTGAGAATATTAAGTCATTTGATCTGGAGTTGATCGCTTAGTTGAAAATCTGTCTCGTTTCTTTCCTTCCGATCACCGGATGTTCAAATTCTAGATAAACATACTGACGTAGACGTTGTAAACATTTGAACCGGCTCAACTCGGAACAAATGAAACTCAGATTTAAATTCGCCGATATGTCTAAAGCACAAAGTGATCGCTCAGTAGAGCTATTTGTAGAAGAGTCTCCATCGCTGGTAGTATTTTTCGTGGCCCTTCGATATGAGAGATGATCATTAGCTGACATCATGCAATTCTTATGTGAAAATGGTAAAAAAAATAGATCTTTGTCTCTTTTTTCAATACTTAAATCTAATTTCAACTTATCATTCAGGAATGGTTGATGATCTTCCATAAGGCTTTTTAACTCGTTGAGTTAAAATTTTCATCTGAAAAACGGCTTTTCAATTGCCTTTAAGATCTTTCAACGCTAAATTGGATCAATTAGTTGCAATTGTGAACTACATCAAGAAGATCTCTTTATCATTGTCACAATAAATCCTTTTTGTTGTAACACATACGTATTCGCCAGTAGACAACGATTTGCTAGTTAAAGCTCGTTAAAGTCTTTTTTTGTCCATACCAATCAGATAGATTTCAGTAAAATGTTTTGTAAACTTGTGCTTTCAATGGTTAGCGATATTTCAAAGGAAAAAATCCGACAAAAGTAAACTTCCTGTACTAAAAAATTGAGTCCACTGACCCCTAGACCCGAGTGTGCAGAAAAACCATCGTTGTATCGTTCTGTGACATGTTCATTTCATTCGGCCCGCTGAAATTTTTTCTGACAATTAGTATATGTGCAGGTCACAATCTGCCCTTGTTTGTAATCAGCGTTTTTCCATATTAGCGAACCCAAGCAATGCGGACACATGATCTGGTGAAATTTTTTCTGACAATTAGCATATGTACAGGTCACAACTTGTCCTTGTTTGTAATCAGCATTTTTCCATGTTAGTGAACCATAGCAATGTGGACACATGACCTGCTGAAATTTTCTCTTACAATTAGCATATGTACAAGTGATAACACTCCCTTCTTTGTAATCAGCATTCTTCCAAGTTAGCGAGCCGAAACAATGCGCACACATAATCTGGTAGAATTTTCTCCTACAATTGTTATATGGACAGGTCACAACAGCTCCTTCTTTGTAATCAGCATTCTTCCATATTATTGAACCAAAACAATTCGCACACATAATCTGGTTAAATTTTTTCTTACAGCCGTCATAGGCACAAGTAATAACACTCCCTTCTATGTAATCAGCATTTTCGCAAGTACTGGAGCGAGAACAATGAGGACAACTCAATAATGCATCTTTCATATTTGTGTCTAAAATTAAAATACGAAATATATAAGAGTACAGTCTTTCATTTATGGCAGTATCATCCATTGCTATTGTATGTATAAACCTCAATTTAACTGGATTAGAATCAATTCTTAGAGAGCAGACTCTAACAATAAAACAATCAATCGATTTTCGATACACGTAGCATTGCTCAATTCCTGTCGTAATTTTACGAATTTTCTCATTGAGTCTTTTGTATGTCTTGAGACAAATCTATGTTGTTACAATCGCTAAGACTCATTGTACAATTCTGTGCACAAGTGAAAAAATTACCCAATTGCACGCCCTCCTTCGAATTTCTATTTATCATACTCACCATTTGCAATTTCCATTGCAAGTTTTCTTAGTTCAATTGTTTGATCTAACTCTTCGCTCATCTGATCAATCGTTTTAGAAACAGCATCTGCAGTTGGATGATTGCCTGTAATCCTGTTTATCAAGGACCAAACATCAATGATCGCAAAAATTCCACTGAGTAGTGCTGTACTTGTTCTAACCACAGGCATAGCTTCGGTTTTTCCCACATTAAAACCAAATGAATCGAGTACTTTGATTAATGTTTCAGGTTGCAGTCTCATACTCTTCCAAAAAGCATCTCCACCACATAGAAGCGTGGAAGATGATTCACGTGCCAACAGTGTACATTTGCTGAGCTGTGTTATATTTATATCGGATGTTCTGATGCTATTACCTTTGAAAACTAAGTTTCGTAGAGATAAAGCATAAGCCGCTGTTTCATCAACATTTAATCGTCGTAGTTCATTGGTCACGCGTTCTAGTTCATCAAAATGTATCTGCAATTGGGCAGCCACAACATTTCTTGTGGCACAGATACTTTCGATTTCTTTGTTTTCCAATTGCGTGGTTATCAAGTCAGCTATACCAGTTGTGAGATTTACAGCAGCTCCTGCTGTACCTACTAACAGACTACAACCACTTGCGGCTACAATTGATGCATCACCTATAGAAACAATCGAATAAAAATGCAACCACTATAGAATTCTCTTATAGTATTTTATTACCTGTAAATGACGCCACTATAAGTGAAGCTGCCATAAAAACTCCACCGGCTACTACTGCACTGGTACCCACTGTCTTAGCAGCATTACATCTTGCATGATGTTCATGAATCCAATCTAATTCTGCTTTTAATGTTCCAATGATTTGATTAGTTACGTCTACAAAATTGTCTAATACAACCAAAAAACCATCATCATTCATTTGAATTATATAAAACCTTAATGGCGGCTCGATGTTTATATCTAGAAATGATAAAAACATCTTAAATCAGTCATCCTCAATTCCGTGTCAGAATAGACTGAGAATGGGGATTTTTACGGAAGAGATGTATCCGATGATGGAAGCATCAATGTACGTAGACCTTCCTTACGAGGATCGTATCATTCTCATACAAAAAATATGCCTATATATCCATACACCAGAGAGGAGAAAAGAGAAAAAACGATGTCGAACTATATCAGAATAGACTAAATAAATATATGAATGGAATAATCCAGTACATCAGAAGAGAATCAAAATGGCAAATATCATGAGTACATTGTACGTAAGCAAGAGCTTCATATTAGCGGATTAAAAGCAGGCGCTCTCCTGAGTGTCCGTAACGATGTCAAAAGCGAAGTAGAAAAGAGATAAATAGTGTAATAATGTCAAAAGATATTAAGAAGCATACAACGACATAAAAGTGTTAACAAAACACATTAGCAGACAATGGTCATAATGGAAGTGAAAATATCATGAGGTACAAATTACATATAATATATTTCCTCTTCTGAAAGAAAGATATATATAGAGATTAAATCTACGGCTTAAAGTACTAAAAGTTTGTCTGTCAGTCCAAGCCAATCAGATTGCAGCATATTGTATATCCAAGAAAAAATCAACAATGATTGACCGAAGATAATTAAGGTCGAAGAAGACTTGCAATCTGATGTTAGTTTTCTAAAAGTCTTTTGTCCTTTTTCTGAAACAAAGAACTAATCCCTTCAAAAAATGGTTGATCAAAAGATAATTGAGAGTATGATCGATGTTCTTTTAGCCTGTTTTGAGTCGTATTTCAGAGCACGAGACTTTCCTCTGGTGAAAAGTTCATGAAAGAGTATGATTAAAACCGAATGTAAATGTGAGGTTATCTTGTTTGTATCTCTCTTCGACAGATTAATATAAGTGTCATCGCTTGTTCAAATTCTAGTCGAAGGTAATGAATTGAATAGCGTTTCGTAACTCATTTGCATGCGATTCGCTGCATTTAGTGGTTCATGTTTTCGGCTTTATTGATTGTTCGACAGCAGTAGGTGTACTTTTTCAGTGATTGAAAGGCGGAGGATATAACACTGTCAACTTTGATTAAACGGTTTTGCGTTGTTAGCTATCATACGTAGTATCTTTCGAAAAAATCCGAAAAGTATCGAGTGAGAATTAGGTTTCTAATTGTGATTCGATTACTGTATCTTCATATGTGTCAATGGTATAAATAGTCGTTCCGATATGTGCCAACCATTGTCAGATGAATACGCTCTATCTGTAACGACTCGTAAAGGCGTACAAAATATCTTTTTTGAAAAGTGCTTGATGGCATAAACTAACGAAGATCTTTATCTGATTATTTCAGTAGGTAATTAGTTTCAGTTGTACTGCATTCGTGTGATTCTTTCACAAAAGGGCCAGTGAGTGCGAAGGGTGAATGTTAATAGTGGATATATAGAAGGAAACATTCGTTAGTCTTAGTCTTCGATATATACGTACATTGAAGTCACAGATGTTGACGGTTTCGTTCTAGCATCAACAAAGATTTTCCCAGTCTGTAGCTGCAAGAAAAAATTCACCAATCAGACAAAGCGATAGTAGAGACCTCACTTGCTGGATTTAATTTCGAAATAGTCAATGCTTGGTAGATGAGTCAATAAATTTGATTTCATCAGAAAATTACCTAATTTATTTATCTTCAATAAATACCGATAATATCTTCATTACGCTATATTTTCGTCTTGCAGCAAGATACAATGAAACTAGCGTGTCGATTTTACAAAAATCGTCTTCCCGATGTGGAAGAACTGGTGATGGTGAACGTAGCTAAAGTTGAAGAGTTAAGTGTTTATGTGAATCTCCTTGAATACAATGACATACAAGGTTTGTTCGTTCGGAAGGATTTTTCTTGTTTTTTCCTATATTGACAAGTTTTGCGCAGGTATGATACTCTTATCGGAGTTGTCACGTCGTCGAATACGTTCGATAAATAAATTGGTTCGCGTCGGTAAAGATGAAGTTGTTGTTGTCACTCGTGTCGACCGCGAAAAAGGTAATGCTGTCACTACTGTTGCTTTTAAAACGAACAAAGACTTGATGGGTATGTTTTCTCATTTAAAGGTTTTATTGATTTATCGAAATGCCGTGTGTCATCGGACGAAGCAGTGAAATGCGTGGAAAAGTTTCATCGTGGCAAAGCCGTATGTTTCGTTTTTGCAAAAGAACAAAGTGGCCCATTTACACATTGTTTTTGCAGGTAAATCATATTCTCCGCCTTACGGCTGCGGCGTTAAAATTGACAAGCAATGATGAGTTCGAAGAATTGTATAGCAAAACCGCTTGGTTTTACGATGAAAGACATGGAAGAAGAGGTATTGCCTATGATGTTTTCTCTCATGCTAGCAGGTAAATTCCGCTTGAAATAAAACGAGTATCTAACGAATGTTTGTATAGAGATGAAAGTGAGCTAAAAGATTGCCCAGTTGATGCGGATACCAAGAAGGCTCTAGTCGATAGCATTCGTCGTCATTTTTCTGCTCAATCAGTCAAATGTCGAGCAGGTGAGGAAATACACTTTCGATTTTCTTTTTCTTTCATTCCTTGCGCTTTACAGATATCGAAGTGGCTTGTTATGAATATGAAGGTATCGACGCAGTGAAAGCAGCATTACGCGAGGGTTTAAACCAATCCACGGAAGATATACCGATCAAGGTAAAAGATTTCAACTTGAGAGGATTAGTATTAAATTTTTTTTTGGTTTTTTCTTCAAAAAAGATCAATCTGATTGCTCCACCACTTTATACTATTACAACGACGTGTCTTAATGGCAAAGAAGGTGTCCAAGCATTGCAAACAACGATTCATAAGATAAAAGAAAGCATCGAAAAGTATCGAGGAGTATGCAGAGTCAAAATAGAACCACAAGTCTTCACTGAAGCTCATGAAAAAGCTCTCGAAGTAAGACAATGAACAAATTCAAAGAATAGATATTGCCTTGACAAAAAAAAAACTCGTTTAGGAAACAAGAGCAGCAGAAGAAAAATCCAACCGAAAATCTTATCATGAAGATTCCGATACCTCGACAGGTTCGTTTTGACTTGTGAGACGATATCGTATCAGTTGAGTCGTATGTTTATAGATGTTGAAAGCGAAAATGAATTATCGGACGAAGATGATAACACAGCAACAAATGGGTTGGTGATAGACAATGGTGTAGAAGAGGAATAGACCTCCATATTGATGTACATCGTGTAAATTTAATTAGATTTCTCTATTTTTTATTCAAATAAACGGGATGACACAATCGATAGCGATTGGAGAAGAAATAATGTGTGAATATATGCACATTTTTCATCAGTATCAGTAATCGTTCGATTTAAATACAATTCCAGACGATAAATAAATTGTTCCAATATCGAGTTCTTCAAATCGATGTTTTTCGTTTTCGGCAATTGTAACCATGTCAATTTTTCCTTCTCGGATGAAATCAGAATCAAAAAGGTAACATCAATCAAACGAGAGAGTGTTTGTACAGATTCGTTGAGTTTGCCAAACCGTTCTTCAGTTTGACAGACACGTTGTTCGACCTGATCGCATCGTTCTATGCCGCGATGTAGACGTGCCATAAGTCGATCAATCTTCATTTGAGACTCGTTCATTGTATCTAACTTGGCGCGTATTAGTTATATCTGTCTTGGCATTCCGAATGACGTACAGAAGGACACTATTGATGGTAAGATCGGAGAATATGGTGACACAAAAAAAAAAGAAAGACGAGAAGCAGAAGAAGAAGAAGAAGAAAGATAGTTCGTTAGCTTGTCAGTTCTTATATCGGTTTTTTCCTTCTTTCCCGAAGGGAATACCATTACTAAGGAATAAATGACATGCATATTTTAGCTCGTAATTGTGCGCCGGCGAAGCACAATGTGATTAAACTCATTGCAAAGATAATTTCTCGTGTTTCATCATCGACGATGCACCCATTGGACAATGGTTCTATTGTTCTATATGTTAACCGGAAAAAAGTCATCAAAGGAATCACTAATGATGACGACGAAATTATCTCTGATGACGGTATTTCTATGAAAAGTTTATCTCATTTGAACGGAAATCTATGTTCTAGTATAACCGCTGATTGCCCTTTAAGTGTTTATTTATTGATTGAGATGAGTAGTAGATTATTATTTTGAAAAGAAAAAAACACAAAACAGTATCTACAAAGATCATTTTCACATTGAGTATGAGAAAACACGAATCGAGAAAGATTAGTAAGATTAATAACAAAAAGCATTACAAAATTCGCTATAACTCATTGAATATAAAAAGAGAAGTCTGGGTGAGTAATTTGTTTTGTATCAAAAGATATCACTGTTTTCCAATGATTGCTAGTTTGCCATTAGATGTGAGCAGATTCTTATTCGTTATTGTTAGTGTCACCGTTATTGGACTCTTGATTGTCCTCGGTGTTATTGTTGTTAGTTTCATTATTGGTATTTTCTTCATCCGGTGTCTTTTGTTCGTTGTTATCGCTAGCAACGTCCTTTTCATCGTCATGCTCAGTCTCTTGTTCGGTATTCGTATTCGATTGTTGTTGAACATCTGCTTCGTCGTCGTGCTCTTCTTCATTATCGCGATTTTGTTGACTTGTAGCATCGATCTGAGCCTCGTCATCTGCTTCGACTTCGTTATCTTTGACTGGTTCTTGCTGTTCATCTTGAGTGTTGCTCGGCGGATTTTCTTGTTCGACTTGTTCACATTTGGCATTTTCGATTCCGATTACTTCAACAGATGATTTATACAAAGCGCATTCCCATTTTTGCTTCTCGAGACTAAACGTTAACTTGATATGTAGGCCATTTTCAAAATGTGTTTCGCAAGCAATATCTGCTACATCGGTTTGCGAAAGATCGACATTCTGCTGAATACTAATACTTTTCAAAGACTTTTTCAACGCTTCTTCAATCAATGCTTCATCGGTTGTCGGATTCCAATCCTCTAAATATCGTCCGTAAGAAGCATGAGCGATGCACAGTAGGAGCACGAAATTCACAAGATTTTTCATTGTATATAAATCTAGAAAAAAGAGTATAACTGAGACGACAAGTTCATATTTACAGGTAATGAATTCATTGGTATCAAAGAAAGAAGAGAAAAGAAAATAACAAGGCCAGATAATATATATATATAACCGAAACTTGACAAGGAAGGAGCATCTCCGGTACGAAAGAAACAGAAAACATTGAAGTGAAATTATGCTTGTCGATCACGCTTTTTTAATGTAGATGTTTGCGACGAAAGAGCTCGACGTTTTCGTTCCTACAAGCAAAGAAAAAACAAGAAATAAGTAATGATTCATTAAATATATATGGAAAATGTCCAATCGCTGTTCGAACGAACTGTACGTATCAAATTTCCAAATTTCTTTTTCTGCAGAAGGGCAAACAGACGTGTAATGATATCTTAACTGTGTTATACGCTGTAACTTATATTATTTTTACATTGAATATCGAAAAGTAATTGGCTAGCCTCTCTCTATAGTCAACGAACCGATATATACGGGTACTTTTAATTGCCAGTAATTCCTATCTTATAAATAAAAGAAAGAGAAATCTTACACTTGTGCTTGAACGAACATTGTTCGATGGTTCAAACGAATCGGATAGGCGTGGTGATGTAACACTATCAAGCGGTGTACTTGGCTGTGTTAAGAGAAAATCGAACTAATCAAAGAAATGATAAGATTTGAATTTCTAATAGGAACAAATGCTTACTGTTTTTGTATTGTCTGCTGAAGACGCACTGCCGGAACTTAAAGGTTGCGCTGATGTTGGACCGGAGCTGAGAGGTCCATTTTCACTCTTCAGTCGATGCAATGACGTTTGTAATTCATATTCGGCTGAATTCAGAGCATTCTTAAGATCGAAGAGAAGAACAATATCCGAACGTAAATCGTTGAATTCTTCGACAACTTCTTCACAAGCCATGGGATTGCGTTCTGAAACGAAAGATGAATTGATATCTGATGAGTGATAAAAGATGCTCGACATACCTAATTGACACTGTTTCAAGACTTGATCGATGACTACAGCTTTTTTATTTGGAATCGATGCTGGTAATATCATCTAAATCGAAGAATCATTCATAGATGATTTACATCGTTTAGAATATGCTTACACGTTGACTACGTAGAAATACACCGGGACGTTTAAATTCTGGAAATTTGATTCCAACTGGAGGCTCAAATGTCGTCTAGAACAGAGAGAAACAATCAAAGATAAAATGATGTCATCATTAGCATACAGTTCGTTGTAATGTTGGAGTTCGATTTGTCGAATTGTTGAGACGTTGAAGATATTCTTGATTAATAGATGATCGTCTCGACGACGATGGAGTCGTACGTTGGGTAGGAGTTGTTGCAGTAATCGTAACATGCGGATCTTGCTGTTGAACAAATTTTTGAACATCATGGGAAATAATACGTTCGCGTTCTTTGCGTTCACTTTCGATGCGTTTCAATTCGTTCATCAAGTACAGCTCTTCTTCTTCCTGGAAAAAAGAACAAATCGATATCGATCGAATCATTTGGATCATTCGAGTTTCTTACTTCTGCTTTTGTTCGACTTAGTAGTTTATTTAATTGTTCTTTCCGTCGTCGTTCATGCGCCGCGTCGAAATTATACTTATCCGTTTGTCGTTTTGTTCGAGCATATTCAAGCGAAGTACATATTGTGTAATATCTTTCTTTTAAATCTTCTACAGACCGATCCAGATAGAGAATATTATTCCATCGATCATGTATGATCAAAAATTTTAGTTCAAACTGTCGACATAAATCAAACAAAGCATCGGTCTCGACGCGACTCCAATCTTTATCTTGCAAATATTGTTCATACTCCGTATCTGTGTATGTTGGAACATCTACATGCTAAAAAATGGTTTGACGAAGACGATTCAACTAAACGAAAAACTTCTACTATTTACTTTGTTGAACTTCGCAAAAGGATATTCCGGTGCTGGTTCATTCGGATCAAGTTTGTGTTGCCAATGGTAGAGAACGAATGTATCGTTTGGACCACGAGCTGAATTCGTGAATGGAGTCCATTGCCATGGACGAACTGTCATCGAGGAATGCTTGATCCATCTTGCATAAGAGTTGCCACCGGATTTTGTATCTGTAGGAACAATGGGAACACTTTCACTAAAGAACAAAGCGACGATTTTTTCGTTGATCGAAAAGATACTTTTGCAATCATACCGATCATCTTGATTGATAAGACTCCACACTTCACGTTTCATTCCTTCTGGACGACGTATACTCTTCTTTGGCCCTTTTTTCTAAGATACAAATGGTGTCGATGAGTGTACACTAGGAGAACGACGTACTTTTTCTCGTATAATTTCATCCTTATTCGCAGATCCACGATTTCCTGATGTTAAGGTATCCGAAAGGATATCGAGTACATCGGCGTTTGCCATTGTAAAATAAAGAAATATAGTCTAATCTAATCTGAAATGTATTCGAAAGAGATGTGAATGGTTTTTTTCTTTCCATACAGTATATTGTCTTTAAATACGAAAAAAAAGAAATGTACAACAAACAATTCATATCATCTAGGCGTCTGATTGTAACCATGCTAATCTTCATCACTAACTTCCAAATCTTCAGGTGCTTGCTCTTCTTCTTCTTGGCCCTCAGCTGCTGCTGCTGTTTCTTCTTCTTCTCCTTCTTCCTCCTCCTCTTCTTGTTGTTCCTGTTCTTCTTCACCCTCAGCAGCTGGTGAGCTAAAACAGAGAATGCAACTGAAATATCCGAACAATTACCACTAATACTTACCCTTCGTTATCGTCTTCAGCTGCTTGTTCTTCTCCTTCTTCCTCATCCTCCTCCTCCTCTTCTTCTTCTTCTTCTTGATCTTCGGCTGGTGGAGCTGCTGGACGCGATGGCTCATTATCCGAATCATCGTCGCTACTCGATATCGTCGCTTTTGACTTGTATCGGCCAGCGGGTTCAGATTGTCGATGTGATGTCTAGACATGCAATGTTAATGAAGCCTTTGTCATCAGACAGAAGTAGAATAAATACCTTTGATGAACGTTTCGATCGATTTGCCTAGAATGAAATCCAAGAATACATTCATAGACAATCCTCTTTGTTTCTCTTACTGATTTTTTAGATGTTGACTTTCGTGGAGATTTTTCATCATCACTTTCTTGCTCATCAGCGGATACCGGTTCGTCGTTGTCTTGAGAAACCTCCTCATCATTTGTTGTAACACGACTAGATCGTTTCTTATGGCTTGATTTCTTTTTACGTTTAACATTTTCATCATTTTCATTTTCACTATCACTTCGAGCGATGGTTTTCCGTTTCCTATTCAAATGCGATCATGTATTCGTTTTGATAATGAAGATCAACCTACTTCGATGATTTTCGTTCACGTTTATCATCGTTCTCGTTCGATTTTCGTGCTCGTTTCTTCTGAAGTTTGTCGGTGTTATTAATAAGATCAGTGGTATCGTTGATAAACTCCTCTTCATCTTCGCGTTTTTGTCTCTATTTTAAAAAAAAAAGAAGAAGACGGCGATGCAACATTCTTGTACTGGAAGTGGTAAATGCGATTTGAAAAAATACCTTTTTCGTTCCACCAGTTGCGCGTTGGCTTTTCTCCGATGTAACTTGCGGTTCAGCAGTAAGTAGATTCTTGGTACGTTCAACGAACTCTTGACGTTTTTCGCGTTCCTTTTGACGACGCTCATCCTCTTGTCGACGTCGTTCTTCCTAAAACAGGAGAGAGTTTTGTTTGAAAATGAATACAACCCATGATTCCAAAATGTTTACCTCTTCTTGAAGCTGTTTCTCTCGTAACTTTCGTCGCTCTTCATCTTGTTTTCGTCGTACGAGTTGCTCTTCTTCGTCCTTCTTTCGTGCACGAATCTCGTGGTAAGTCGATTGAGATAATAAATCCGAACATTGTTGAGCCTCTTGCGTAGCTTGATTCAAATCTAGTCGGTGTGGGTCACCATGTTTACCAAGCCATGTGAATGACCTATAGAATCGAATGAAATCATCTTCTATTGTGTGTGTGCGCGTCTCCCAACTTACTTTTGAGCTATTCGCAATTGATCAATTGCTTGAAGAACAGATGCTAATGTCGAATTTTCATCCTTTAAGATTTCCTGTGCTAATTTCTGTTGTACTAAAGCAATATTATACATTAGTGTTAAATCATGAGGTGCAACACGTCGAGCATTCAATAGAGCATTGTGCGCTTCGCTTAAACGATTGCCTTTGACAAGCGCACGAGCAAGATAAGTCAATACTTCGACGTTGTTATATTTGTAGAATTTTTTCAGACAATTTTCGTACATTTGCACGGCAGGAATATATTGTTTCTGTTCGACATAGATATGTGCGATATTGAGCCAAACGTCGGGCATGTCGGCAGTGGCTTCGCGAACTTGAGCGAAAATATCCCGAGCTTCGTTTAAATAACCCTTGTGAGCTAGAACACAACCAACGCCGTTCGCTGCCCATATGTTACGATTGTCGTTTTTGAGGACAACTTTGTAGACTTGAAGAGCACGCGCTTGATGACGTTTTTCCTAAGCATAGAAAAATACACAAGTGATACTTGAGAAAAAGTAATTCATCAACCATCTTACTCTCTCTTTATCTCGAGATGGCATATACAACGTCTGTAACCAAATATTTCCCAAGGAAATCAACGCATAAGAATCATTTGCCGTTTGTGGATTATGTAAAATGCGCTCGAATTTTCTCTGTCCCGGTCTCCATTCTTGTTTGGCTGCATGTAAATTTCCGATCATGGTCCATGCATCGGGAGAATTATGATTGATTTCCAAAGCATCTTTAAACCAATCAGACGCACTGTAAATTTGTCCACGATCACGTGCCATACAACCCAAACGAAGTACACAATCGACGTACTTCGGATGTTCACGTAAAATTTCTTTGTATAATGTTTCAGCTTTATCAAATTCGAACGATGCTTCACATACACGTGCCAAGTTATATCTCATAGTCACAAGAATCGAATTCGCATAGGCAGGTTCGGCTTCACAAGCCTGTTCGGCGTAGGATATTCCCTTTTCGAAACATTTTCGACTTTCTTCATAATTATTCAAACGGTAATGCAATGAACCCATGTTGTTCAACATTTCTATAGGTGTATCTCTACCATGGACTTCACGAATTAATCTCGACGCTGTCAGATAAGCATCCAATGAGCCTAAACAATAATAGATGAAAACTACGTTTGATCAGCAAGCTTTTATGCATACCTTGTAGATCGACACCTTCGAGAATTTCTGCCAATTGAATCCAGGAATCGATATCATGTTCATCGTGTTGTGTTACTTTTTTCAAGAATTCACGAGCTTTGTCTCGTTTATCTTGATCGGATGATTCGCCATAGATACTAGCTAGGATTTTCATCGATTCATGATCATTGGGATGAATTTTCAAGATTTTTTCAAAACAATCACTTGCATTAGCCGTATCTTCTCTTTGTAAATACATCTGTCCAAGTCCGAATAGAGGTAGAACAAATTTTTCCGGTGCTAAATGAGTCGCTTGATAGTAATAACGAAATGCTTCTTCGTAATCGCGTTCAGCATGATGAGCTCGAGCTAAATGATAACAACTCTCCGCTCGCATCGCTTCGTTTTCTGTATAGTTCAGTGCATGCATTGCTAATTGACGCACACGAGTATATTCTTTTTTGAAGAAGAAATGATTAGCCAAATGATTCAAAACCATTGGATTCTGTGGATCGTATTGATAAGCGCGCGACAATTTGATGACACCTTGTTTGATGGATTCAGGTGCTCGCATATTCAATTCGAGTATAGCTAAGCCGACTAATGCTCCGACGCATTTGGGATCGACTTCAATGGCACGATTGAATGCTAACTCAGCTTTGTCTAATTTGTTCAGTTTGGCAAATGCATTTGCGAGACCAACACGAATGCCGGCGGAATTTTCCGGTGAATATTTCAATGCACGTTTATATAAATTCAAAGCTTGTCGATAATCTTTCTTGTTGAATGCAATACAAGCTCGTCCTAGCAATGCAGGAATATTATTTTGCATTTGATTAAGTACGAAATTGAATTGTTGTTCAGCTTGATCCATTTTATCACCCTCGAGTAAACAAATATAAGCTCGGCCAAGTAAATGATTGAGATCGTACATGAGAATTTTATCAGCGTGAGTATAAAGCAATGTTGCTTGGGTGAAAAATTCACGTTTTTTGTCTTTGGCTTTCTCGCGATGACCACGTTTGACGTAATAAGCAGCCAGAGTATCTAAACAACGCATTTGATCGGTTTCTTGAGCGCGATGACCAGTTGTTTGTTGTTGTCGTTGATTGTTAATTTCACTACAGGCGGATTTGAGAATTTCCACAAAATCCTTTTCTTTATCTTGACGATAATACTCTAACTGAAAACGATGCTTTCAAAAAGAAGAAAATCATCAAGAATACTCACAGCAAGTGTCACCCAGATATGTAACGGGCAGTTTTCTTGCTGCAGAATCGCAAGTACTTCCTGGCCATCGGGTAATTGATCGAGACTGACTTCGATGACCTGTGCGTCAAGAAAGCGTTCGAAAGGTACGAATCAATGCGAACAAAACTCACTTCATCACCGGAATGCAATGGAATTTCAATGGAACGATGACCTAGTTCAGTCATACTCACGATACTTTCTAATGAAAATGAAGAAATTATCAAACAAAACCAATTCTTTTATGATTAAGCAACACGAATTACTATTGGTTTAGAAGAAACTAGCAAATCCAGCACTGACATAGATGTCACCCTTGTCAATTGAAAGAATTTTTATTTCTAATCTTTCGACTGTCATCGGATTCGATTTCTTTGAAGAAGTGTCAAACAATACAACACGTATAATGTACAAGAAAAGAACACGAATAAATAATCACAGGGTTAAACCACGAAAAGGAAGAAAAGGATCAAGAAGAATTGAAATCCTTATTCGTTGTCTGTATCATCGGCTGTAATTCATACAGATGTTGATCGGTTCGAAGATGACATGTACATTGATGTTGATAAGTCGACTGAATGAGATTTGTATGATGATAACTTGCGCATTGACGACAATAAATCAGACAATAGTTCTGTAATGCACTATCGTATTTGATTTGCTCGTATTCATGTGGATGATCGTTTGCTAAAAGTGGTTCAATAACCGCGCATGGATATTCGCTTGGATGCGTACTCGATGTCTGATCACTACTGCAGCTATCACTTAATTTCTACAAAAAAAAAACAAAGAGAAACAAAGTCAAATCACGAAACGAAGTAACCGGCTATTCGATTATATTTGCGTGTTGAATCTCATGTAAAAATGAAGACTTACTGTCCAATTATGATGATGATGACGATGATTATGTCCATTGAATCTGTCCACTGACGAACTTTGAACATATCGTTGTTGACGTTCTTGTCGTCGTTTGATCAATCGATTTCTAAAATTATACATATGAACGTCGATGAAATCTGTCGATGTTTCTTTTGTTTATTCAGCATGTCGAATGAATTAGATCAATATTTTTGTTACCAGCAATACTTCGATATGCATGCTGTGCTAGCTTGTACGAATTCGGAAGAAGAACAAATTATGTGGACTCGTTATGTTCTCCTACTGTGAGAGACAAATGAATGTGATTATCATTTGCTCATTATGCAAATTAAATCTTCTGTGTCGACACCTGAGAAATTTTAATTAACAAAGAACACATTATTTACTTGATAAGACAAATAGTACTGGAGAAGATAAGTAAAACGATCATGATTGTCAGAGAAACAGATAAAAATAATGTTGCTGATGATGAATAAGTCAATTTTTGATGTTGTGTCGACGATGAAGGTGATAGGAAACGCGATGAACATCGAATATCAATAGATAAGAGACGCGGTGGTGGACCGATGGTGAACATAGGTGGAGGAGGGAGTAGTGGAGAACAATGTCGACACGGCGAGATCCTCGTCATGTTGGAAGATGAATAATACAGATGTTCTCTATTGAAATTTCATTTGCTTGTATAATCTAGAAGAATGTAAACAAATAGAGATGATTTGAACTTGTACATAGAACTTATATCATGGAGAGATTCACTGGAGAGAACTTACGAGTGACCTCGACTAGTTGAATATTGATGAAGCATTTTCTTTTTGCGTCAATCTCTCTGAGAAAGAGACAATATGCTCAATCAGTGTATGCCAGGGTCAATCAGACTGGATTGTGTAGAGCGATCGAAGAGGAAGGGGGGAGAGAGAGAGGAAAAGAAAAAGTGGACAATCTTGAATCGTTAAAGAAAAGCGAAAGAGAAAGAATGAGAGCGAGGGAGAGAGAAAGCGAGCGAGTGATTGATGAAGAATGTCGAGACATGGATAGTCTTGTTAATACAACAAGGAAGATGACCTGTTTGCATTTGCTAGTAGACCATTTAGTGCAAAGATTGACATGTCGTTTATGTTTTCTCTGATCTTCTAATCATTGGAATAAAAAGATAGAATAATCAGATTAGTTGTGATAAAAGCCACAACGACAAAGTCAAGTTGAACTCGTCACAATGTTTCGAGTCCGTTTATGCATGTCATCGTCTATTTCTACATGCCGGAAACAGATTTTGACCTAAGACAAAGTTGTTATATATGTATCACCATTGCGCGCAGACGCGAACAAATCTAGCACTAATTGTCGCGTGTCCGGATATCTGTCTATGTTCTTTGTATGTCGTCTTCTCGGATTTTTTTTCTCTGTGCAAAGCATTCAACATGAACGACGAGCAAATAACTGTTTATAAGAAAGCAAAACAAACAAACTGGAGAATGTCAGGATCATCATGTGTTTTGATCAAACAGACGCTCCTAATTGAACATTGATCATGATTAATGAGCAATAAAAGAAAAGATAGCAGGTAATATCTCGAGAGAAGGCGCAAGTGCGTGTTCCCCCCTAGCGAATGGAATGAACAGAAAATACGATTAGGCATTCTAATGAAGAAAATAGCTAACTCAATCGAATGGTTGACCAAGCAATCATGTGTCCATTTGGTGGTAACAGGTGTTACTCATTCGAAAGAATTACGTCAAAGAAACTCACTAAATCATGAAATAGATTATTTCAACTTGAACGAACAACGCTATGCGGAACGATAAACTGTTCCTTTTCGTTTCACACATTATGAAAAATGTTTTTGTACGAATGATAAACGACGATTGTCTGTTATAATAAATGAACCAAAGACAAAGCAAATGTTTGAAATCGATTATATCGCTTATCAAAAAGCTCGAACCAGTCAATTCTCTCTCTTTTTTTTTATTGCCCTACCTTCATCGATAACAGACGCGATGCATTTCAATATCTTTTGAACTCGATGTATGCTGCTCACAGCTGTTAGAAAAAGTACATACTTATATTTGAACAATGATCTGTCTGTCGTTCTTTTCTGACTTATTGAATGTTCAACTTTGATGATGTTAACTATTTATTGTCCAGTCGAGTGTCACCTTGAAGTGGAACTAGGAAGAAAGATGAAACCTTTCTCTTTTAATCTTCTTATCAATGACATATGTGCATACGTTTGATTTTTGTCGTCGTTAGACCGGCTCGAAGATCATCTGATGTGCTGAATGTATATGATCGAGTCATGCATGGTGAAATATTTGTTTATGTTTAAGATCAGATGATGTCCATCCAATGAAGATAAAAGCTTTGTCGTACGGATGAGTAGAAGAGAATGAATGGCAGTCAAAAATAATCTTTATTTGTTCAAGAAAACGAAAAAACAGAACAAAACACACACTTTCGAATCGATTTCATCATACAAGTACAGAGAAGGAAAGCAAGAAAATGAACGTTAACTATACATTATATCTATCGCACTTTTTGAATATGAAAACTATCATTACTATTCACTGTTTTTGACTCAAATATTTCTGATCGTACACTGACATCATCATCGTCATCGTCGTCATCATCATCATCTTCTTCAGCCCAAAGATCATTCACTTTTGGTTTAGGTTGTTCAATATTTGTTCGTTTGGCAATGGAATCAAGTCGATTGTCGATTCGTTTCTCGGTTTCGATCAGAGTTTTGTTGACAATCTTGGCCAGATCAGGAACACTAGCGGTTAGTTTTTCGGTTGTGGCTTTAAATTGTGCATTGATGATTTCAATCTGAGTATCAGTTAGTTTATTTTGTCTAGTCTCATTCAGAAATGCTGTCGTTGTTGTGAGTGATAACGATGATGATGATTTGGTCGACCGTGAGACATGCTTTTTAGTTTCTAAGTATTGAGCGAGAGAAAGAACTTTACGTTTCTTAGTATCATCAGATGTTGGAGATTCACTAAAAACAAGGATCGAATATATTTTTGTGTGAGTCGATTGATGCTAAGATCGAACCTTGATTCTTCGAGTCTCTTTTCGTTGGCTGTAGTATTTGTGTTAATCGTTGATTTCGGAGGTAGCAATCGTTTATGATGCCATTTCTTTAGTATTCTTCTTGCTGATGAGCTATAGTTGGCTGTTTTATGCGATGCAAGTCGTCGAAGAAGACTATCAATTCTCGTTTCCTATAACAGAAAACCGATGATTTCACTTTATTTGTACTTCTTCTTAATCATTATACTTGTATTAATGAAGATGTAACAGATGTGTGGTACAGTTTTCGAAGATATTCTTTCACCTAAATTACAACACTAAAAGAAGTTTCCGGAAATGACTCATGCTTACTTTTGCTGGCTCTTTGAGGGCTATATACTTTTTCAGCTTCTTTTGGACTGTTTCAACAGTAAGAATGACTGGTTCATTGCTCATGATTATTATTATTCAATACTAGGAGATTTCCAATACGAATTAACACAAACAAAGAGAGCAAGAAAGACGAGTGCAATTCAAACGAAGAATGGGATTTGTTGATCTATCAACAAATCAGACTAGAGAAGAAATGACAGACAGACAGACAGGCTAGAAGTATTCATGTGAGGTCGCTGGCTGTTTACGAGGTTCTCTTTCGATTCCCATCAACTGACATTTTAAAATAAGAGTTAAAAATATTCGTCTTCTATCTTTTTCAATATACTTTTATTACCGGTAGAAGATCAATGTAAAACAAAAAGTAGAACAAAATAATAGAATCATTGTGTTTGTTTACGAGGTGCCTTTTTTTCATGTCCGCCATGATCACTATCTACAGGCCAAAGGAATAGTGATGGTGAACATGGTGGAGTAGGTGGATCGAACCGAACGCCAACGTAGGGTTCTTCCCAGTTGATTCGTTCGTACTTTGATCGAGATGTTGTTGTCATTACTGTCGATAAAGGATGTTTCGTTTTAATGGCAGTAGTAGCTGTTGTTCGTTGTGATCTATTTGTAGATATTGATTCTTTCGTTTTTGCTATTGACGAGGCTGTGAGCACTTCTATTTGTTTACTCTTTGGTTTTCGCGTGATTAGAGTTTTGTTGTTCTGGGTTATATTTGAAGGCAACGGTAGTTTATATACTTTGGCCTTCACGGTTGTCGGGTTATTATTTTCGGCGGTGGAATATTTACTTTGTATAGGTGTGAAAGTTTTTTCTTCTGACAGTTTGAAAAGATCCATTTTAGCAAGACTCGCTGCCGGTAGATTATTTACTGCAGATGAAATGATTGGCGGTAAAAAAGGAGAGTTTTCTTTCTTGATGATCAGGGATTCACTATCGGAAACTTGTGGCGAGAGAACTCGAGAGAACGTCGAATAATTCGATATTGACGGTGATTTGGTCTGCGGGATACAATCTTCAATAACATTAATATCTGATGGAGTAGGTTGCTCAGAAGGAAAATTTGTGGCAGCTAAGAGCGGTCCCCGATCAAGTTTCGAACGATGTGAAGTAACTTCTGATTCGTTGGATTCTTTTCTATCAAAAGAAAAGAAGTTGTAATGAAAAACTAATGTATTTCAATGTAGGTTATTACCGTCGTCTTTGTGTATATGTTGATGTCCAGTACTTCTGCCAGGATGATAGAACTTTCTTTGTATTATTTACCAAGAAATTTGTTTGTCGAGTAGGTTCTGCTTTAATTGTAACATGTTTTGAGGGTGTATTGAATAGACGGGTATTTTGAGTATCACCACTCGATACGTTCGGCAGCGGTGCAACAGTTGTTGTTGTTGTTCCTACGGTTACATTTAACGAGTCTTTATTGCCGTTCTTTTGCTTGTATTGTTGCTTGATTTTTATCAACGTCGAGTTCGTATCTGTCGTGGCTGCTGGATAGAACTGCGATAGTTCATGATAGATCGTTTTCCGATGAATAGTATATGCTGCATGACAGCTGTCAAGTTGCGGAAGTGTATCTCCAGCACAACGGCCGATCCATCGTGTTGTATCCTGTAAATTTTTGACTCGGCCATACGATGAAGGACCGTCGATAGTTGTGACTATTATTGGTAGAGTAACTTGTTTTTTATCTTTTCCATAAATCTTTGAAGTGAACAATTTGGAAGGTGATGAAAAAGTTTGAACTACTTCCACCATCGTTGCATTAAGAAATGGTAAAAATTAATTTAAAAAAAAAGTTACTTTTGTTGTCATCTTTGCAAGTAATACCTTTCAAGTTCATTACTTGTTAGTTAACAGTATTGAAGAGGATTCGAAATGTTTAATGCGTTTGCATTTATGTGAGTACACACTTACTATTGGAAAGACACGAATGAAGACGTATATAAATAGACTAATTATGTTTTTATGTTCTCGATTCGTATGCTATTTTTAATCACGCGCACGAATGATTCAAACAACAAAAGTTGAAGGAATCGATTGAATAGGAAGTAACAAAAAAATTATTTTAGTCTGATGTTACAACGGCGTTTTTCTTTTTTTTCGATTTATCTTTCGGTTGTGGTGCATTCGTATTCGTATTCATATAGAACGTTTTTAGCAATCGCATTGCTTCTTCGCCTTCTACACCACTTGTACACTGTAATGGTAATAATCCTGGCATGACATCTTCGGCAATGTTCAATACAGAACCACAACCACCAAACCGATCGTTTGAACAACCGTACACGACTTGAGTCATTCCTGAAAGACGTAATGCACCAGCACACATCATACAAGGTTCACACGTTACATAGAGGACAGATTCGGAGAGAAGCTAAATGTAACGAAGGAAAATCGATGATATGAAGATCGATGAAAAGAACAACTGACTTGTCGTGTAGTCGTAAGATCATATTCAGCAAACAGAGAGTCTAGCGCACACATTTCAGCATGTCTGGTAGCATTCTGTAATCGAACAGGTTCATTTTGACCGAATGCGATAATTTTCGAATCATTATGAACAATTACACAACCAACTAAAGAATAAAATGGATATTTGATACATCGATCCTATTTACTTGGAACTTCTTGTTTGTCGAGAGCACTTCGGGCGTGTTTCAGTGCTTCAAGCATCCATCGATGACCAGGATGAACTTGTGCATCTGCCGTTGTCATACTAATCCGTTGTTGGATAGTACGAAGTGTTTTCAATGATGTATTTCCAATGGTTATCTGACCGACAAGCAAGATCTTACAGAAGAAAATCGATTATATGTTGAAATTTATCACTAATTTACTATTGGTTGCGCACGAAAACCAGTCAAAAATATTTTTCATCATTCATTCATTCTTTTTGAAAATAAATATATGCATCATCCAGAGCATTTCACTATTTATACATAAAAAGAGTTTATTGTAACTAATAACGAAGCGTCGTACTTTCATGTTCTACTTTTCTTTTGTGACACGATATTCCGCAAATTCAAATGTCAATATCCTTTTCTTATTATAAATATTAACTTCGTATGACGTAGTTTTCCAAAGCCAGAGGAGAAAAACGATCTCTTCCCTATACTATGCACTAGAACCGACATAAATAGATTTAGAAGGAAAAAGTACGAAGACAATATAATGTGATAAATAAAGTCCAAAAATATGTTAGGTCGAATATCTCAAGTAAGCTTTTTTTTAAACGCGAAGACGTCGTGAATATTAATACGATAATTTATTTTCATCTTGCTGCATACTTGTTGAACGCAAAGAGCATAAAGTAAGAACATAGTTTGATGAACTCGAATAAGCACTTCCTTTCCAATTGCCTTTGATTGGTTCCGAAAGTCATATCACAAGCGTTGCAGTGCCAGGCGATTTGCTGGAATGAATGATGTTGAAAACAACATGAAGCAGTTTTTTATTAGAAATATCATGGATTATCAGACTAGTCTGGGGGCGATCTGGGAACGAAATATCAAGTTTTGCTTGATAGTTATGCTTCTTATTCCATCATTTTGCTGCACAATATTTTCGTAAGTTGTATAGGAACAGAATTGATTAATGAAATGTAATACATCTTTTTAGCTTGTATCATTTCAATCTGCGTCGCTTTCACAGTCAAATCTATGGGCTTCTTCTTCTGGTTAACCTCCTATTTTTCATAACAGATCTACCATTCACTCTGGTTTTTCTATACTTTGGATCGATTCCTGCGAGCAAATGCACTCTATGGATTTTCTTCAACTATCTTTTAGCCACTCTAAATATTCTCTTGATGACATGGGCGTCGATCGAACGCTATTTATTTATCTATCATGATTCATATATTCTCAGACATATCTTTGCTCTACATTATATGCCTACGATTGTCATCATTCTCTATTCAATTGTATACTACGTCGTGGTAATTCTATTGAATTCATGTCAACCATTGTATAGTACATACTTATACGTATGTGCGGGAGCTTGTTATCAGTATGAATTTAAATTCGGACTGATTGATGTATTCATTCATGGGATTCTTTCCGTTTGCATTATCTTCATTATAAACCTGATTCTCATTCTTCGACATATCGTTCAGATTTACCGAAGAAAACTACGAGCTATTCAAATAAAGAAATCTCATCACTGGGTAAGATTACTTGAAATGCTTGCTATTTACTCATTCAAGAGCTTCTTTCGTTCCTTTAGCGACGTTCGATTAAGTTAACGGTGCAATTACTTTCCATTTCAATACTTTATCTTATCGTTTGGATACCATATACAACCGTAGTTTTCTTGCAGATGTACAACAACACGCCATTTCTGACGTATCTCATGTCAACTTTTATTGTCTATTTGCCTTACATAATGTTTTTTTCTCTACCGTTCCTATGTCTTCTCGCGATGCCGGATATAAAGAAGAAATTCTTCGGTTTGGTGGATTCACCACCACGAGTGATCTATAACCGTGGAAAGTTCGAAATGGTCGTTATTCGAAATGTACAGTAGCTCATTTTTGTGTTTTGCTTATAAAAAAAAATTATTTAATCTGATTTATTTGAATGAGTCAAATCAGTTTTTCATGTCTGTACAAATGTGTTGAAAAAAGTTAGCGTGACATTTCATTTAAAAATCTACTAATTGAATATTCTTGTAGATGAAACATTAGTCAACAGTATTTTGTTAGGAAATACGATATTGATAAGGTATTTTATCTCGAATATTTGGATAACCTGATGCGCTTTAGATCGGCTAACGGATTAGGTATAACAAATGATACAGAAAGTTCGCTGATACAAGGAAAAACGCATGTTTTTCAGACATTGATCAAATTTCATTCTTAGATGCGGCAAATATAATCGTTGATGATAGTCAACTTTCGAAAAATGTTCCACGACAGTGAGCCTACCTCTCAGAACTAATTCTACATACAATGAATTTACTTATCGCATGGAATTTCAAATGTTTATTCTACTTTGTACTTTCTATAGTTTAGATTTGTAAATGAATTAAATAAAACGAGCTTGGAAGTATAATTAGCAATATCATGCGATAGTATTCATTAATATTTAATGAAATTTACGGTATCACTGTAGCCAAGGATGCAGTGCGCTTGAATACACATCTTAGTTGTGAACAGGATTCATATTTACATCAAGTCAGAGATGAGAGTATTTCACGAGTTCCACACTGATGTGACTGAGTAGTAGCGGATATCCTGAAGCATCATTTGAAAAATGATCATCATGTTTCATATCTGTTAATGTAACAGTTTGCTGGAAATTGGAACTGCATCGTATTTTTCTTGGATATTTGTCAGACTTTATTTCAATACAATGAGAAGCAAAACAGATCAAAAGCTTCAATTAGCGAGACAGATATGTTCAAGGAGGACGTTTTCTTTAAAAAAAAAACAGGAAGAAATATCCATCAGTGAGTGGCCTACATTCATGCTCGCCTAATTCGTTTTATTCATTGTTTACGTCTTATTCTGGCGCTGAGATTGAATGTATTCGATAACTTAGTGGAAATTCCGTACAAGGCCAATTCTTGAATAGGAACCGTTAAAATGAACAGAATAGTATTCAATATCATTATCGGTTGTTTACATATTTCTTCCTAAGAAAATAGTTGAGCGGCTGTGGTTGGAGCTAACGAAAGAAAAGAGCTGAATGACATTCAATGATTTTGTCAGAATATACGTCGGTGTACTGTGTAAAATTAAGGAAAATCTGAAAAATCTCTTCTTATCAGCTGCTGTAGGAGGTGAAGTTGCCGGAGTTGTTGCATTCATCGTAAAAGGAACTAGTTGTGACTACGATACCGGTTGTTGTTAGCTAAAATAACATTACCAATGTTCGAAATGAGTGCAGACAAATAAAATAAACTCACGAGATTATCGATAGACTGGTTGTCAGTGTTAGCTTTGTAGTCACTGTAACTGTTGTGAAAGGAGTCGTAGTTGTGGTTGCTGTCGACGATAATGCTGAATTCCATATACTGTATACCCAGAAGGTGGGATCAGTCACAGATGCTGACTCGGGATCTATATTTGTTTACTAGTTCACTATCAATTATTCTTTTAGTGAAAATCGTACTACTGACCACAGAATTCAGTACTGTTCGCCACACCTACAAAAAAAATATAAGATCACATCAGTCAGGTATGTTGTATATCTCGCACATATCACGGTCAAATGTAGCATAATAGAAATGCCTAGGAACCCATGGGGTAGTGGGAAAACGGATGACTGTTGTGAAGCCTGTATACGTTACTTCTGGTTCCCAACCGCGATCATACTTTTGAACGAGCGTGTTACCAGCAGTAGAACCCCATAAGTGGATATGTGTTCCGTTGCGAGTCGGGCAGTTGACTGATTTCATCGTTTATTTTTCAATAAACGCTTATTAGTTCAATTTCTGTGAAAACGTAATGGAAAGAGTGCGACTTGGAATAGAGAATAAGGTATGGTTTTGAAATATAGTGCCGACTGGTGATGCTGAGCCTTGAGCAAGTGTTGGCCGGATAATATCTGGCGATTCGAAGCCAACTAAGAATGTAAAACACCATTGATTCGATTGAAGATTTGCATTATCGATAGCTCTAGCACAGAAACTCTGTGAACGGTATTGATCACCTATTGGGATCCCACTGAGAATGAGATGGAACAAAAAAGTTTAAACAATAATGCAATCAATGACGTTCGAACCAATATGCGTACGAATGCAAGCTCATGGTATCAATGACAAGAGAATGATTACTTCGATTGGGCCGACTAGCGATAATGGCTGGTGACGTTGTGCAATCTGATGGTGTTGGATAACCATAGAATAGGAATTACAATGAAACAGAACTCATCGGGGTTGTTGCTGAAGAATTGTAGTAATCTTCGATTTGTAGTGCCACTTCTGCGTACCAGTTTGCAGTTGTGGGAGTGAACACTATGGTACAATTTGGTTGAATAAGGTTAGCACCAGGAACTTCCGAACATATACCGCCACACTGATGAGAAGAATTAATATTAGAAGATGTAGTCGACCATCGACAACTCAAATGATTTAGGATCCCGTGAGATATATGATTGTTTTTCCATGTGAATCTTCGGACATTCTTCAAAACTTTGTCTTAGATCATATTTTGTAATATAAATAACACGAAGGAGAACAGCAAATTTTGTTCGATAGGTGTGGCATATATATGCATAGAATAAATGCGTCACACAATTGACGATGATACCTTCAAGCGAGACCACTTGAAATCCTTTCATATTCGAAACATGACCCACACCCACGAATCAAACATACTCACCTGATTCTTTTTTTTTTATTCATTCATAGAAGTTCTCTCAGATTTCTAGCAGTTTTCTCATGGATTCCTCTCCGCCCACATGCGTATCCATCAACAATAAATATGATCTTCGAAGCAAATAGATTAAAGAATTCAAAACCATGTTTTCAATAACAAAAACGAGGAATGACTAATTTTTGTATTTATCGGATACGAATACAAGTATATCGAATATCGTTTCGGTGGTGTTGCTTCGTCTTAAATAGCAAGGAAGAGAATAAAATATGCTATAATCAGTTTTATCCACATCGAAATGAAGTTACACATTTGGATATCGTTATATTCTTTCCTCGCTTATGAAATTCACCATGTCTCATCGATTACCTATTCCTGTAACCGTGCAGCTGAATGTGGTTGTTCAAAAAACAATGCGGTTTTGACGAAAATCGTCGGCGGCGAATCAGCCGTTGAGTCAAGTTGGGCATGGGCTGCATCATTACAAAAGCTAACTGCAGGACATTTCTGTGGCGGTACAATTATTTCAGCGTCACATATTCTTACAGCTGCGCATTGTGTGGAAGATACTTCTGATATTGTTCGAAATGTTAAGGTCTTTGTTGGTATCGATAAATTATCGAATATACAGGTTCCAACGGCTCAACAGCGGTCTATTGTACGCGTCTTTTCTCATCCTCAATATAATCCGCAAACTCATGCTAATGATATCGCTATTTTGCAATTAGATAAACCATTGAGTATCTCGAGTGCAAACGGTACTCCACGAGTATGTTTACCATATGTTGCTCCAACAAGTATGACTGGTGACTATCCGTTCCTTCCATCGACTCTAGTTGCAATTGGATGGGGCGTATTAACATCAGGCAGTTCATCAATATATTTTAATCAACATTTACAACAAGTCACATTAGCTACGATCGGTTCGGATCATCGTATGTGCAGAAGTGTGATTCAGAATCGTCGACTTCAGTTCTGTGCTGGAGTTGTAGGCGGAGGAAAAGGTAACTAACAATTTGTCTACATTCTTCTGTCCATACATATCCAAAATTATCTTTCAGATACATGCCAAGGCGACTCAGGAGGACCACTGATGCATTTCGATGACAAAGAACGTCGATGGGTACTAGTTGGCGTAACTAGTTACGGAATCCGATGTGCTGATCCAAATTATGCTGGTGTTTATACGCGTGTATCAGTTTACCGCGATTGGATTCGATCCATTGTTGGTAGCGGTTGTGCAGAAATTCCAATTAATGGCACTGGTCGTGTGACAACAAACTCGGCACAAAACGTATTAATGCCTTATTATTCATTAACAGTTTCATTATTTTCTTTCATGTGCGCGATCTTTTTTAATAACATTAATAAATGTTGATAACTTGGCCCGATATTAGCTAGTATCATGTGAAGAAGTAGACTAGATTAAGAACGTCACGGCACGTTTACAATATCGTTTAGCTAGAAAAATGAAATGTGAGACGAATATTCATCATTCAGTTTGGACAACGAAGCCAGGTGAGAAGAATCGAATAAAACTGAAAAGTGGTTTCACTTGTCAGAAATAGTAATCAAGAATTGCTTTGAATTCTATCATGTGTTCGTTGATTTCGTCCATTGTTGGATGTATTTTTCTTATTACTGGTTTCATAGCAACGAATGACGTGTGAATACACACTACATCATAAGGTTATGTTATCGTTAATGGTTGAACCACCGGAAGACCTATTCTTCGTATAAAAAAATACCTTTTCAAGAGAATCCATGTTGATCATCGTGGCATATGTACTATATGCATTCAAGTCGCAATCTAGTCAAGTTACGACTGTATACGTGTATATTACATCTCTCTAATCGATAATCGATGACAGTTCATTCAATACATGTCTCACTTAAACGAAAAAAAAAACGTGTAAATTTCATTTTGTGATGATTCGTTTATCGATATATAATGACTACACTTGTTGTTCATGCTTGACATTCATCAAACATTTGTCAAGATAAGGCTTGACTTATATATATATGATGATTAAAGTAATACACCACTTTTCATTTTATCAATACAGGTAACAAAAGTAATGTCTACGCAACACCATGGAGTCCAAGAAGTAAATGAGACGAGAATGGATTTGCCAATTTTCATAGGAAGTATACACTGGAAATAATCAATCTTTTGTTATGACTATACAGAAAAGAAGTATACGTGTCACCAATCGTTCTTATTGTCAATGGCTTCCAGTACGATGGATTATTAGTATCATTTGTAGTCAAGGTCAGTAAGCTGTTCGATATCTTCCAGATCAATCTATATGTTTACGATCTTGCAATAAAAAAACATCATCGATAATCTTACTATGATATCTTGATAAGCGTGTTTGACTACAATGATATTTTGACATATATATATTCGGTTTCGTTCGACGAAAACTTAATTAAAGTTTAAAGAAACACATAAATAAACAGAAACTTGATGTTGTTAACTAATAGATCTAGTCAAGACTCTACACAACACACTTCTATTGTCACGTGTAAACAAGCTCTCTCTAAAGAATATTTTCAAGGCTATGTTTTTGCCTGACAAGACGATTATTCGTATGTCTGTCAGCCTTGGCATACTCGTAAGATAGTACAACTCGACTGCTACTTTGTTTGTCTGCCAACTGCCTTTTCTCCTATTCTTTTTTTTCTTCTTCTCTTCCGCTTCTCGCTCTCGCGTTTACCAGGAAAGTGTGTCGTTGTCAAACGAAGAAATTCGTTATTCCTCCTCCTCCTTCTCTCTTTCTCCTTCATCTCTTCATCACTCTTGCACGAGAAAACTCCATCTCCTCTTTTTTCCTAGAATAGAAAACTTTCCTTCCATTTCTCCATGCTGCATGTGCTTGTATAAACACAGCAAATCAACTATTGATCTTTTAGATGACTCCGAATCGTAGGAAGATATTCAACTGAACGTTCGCTGTATTCTGATCTTATCAATGCACTCCGATACAAGATTAGTATTCCTTATTAGTATTATCTTCAACGGTTTTACACCATATTTTTGTCAATATTCTGATCATGAAAGTTATTTGTCCTTAATTGAGTTTAATCGAGGTGGTAGCGCAACCAATCTGATCTTATCATCGCCACATGGCGGTTTTCTCGGTGCGAATTCAACTATCAAAAGCGCAGGAAAATCTTTTCGAGGCGAAACAATCAGCACCAAACTAGAACAATTACCCGTAGCAGGCTGCTACAATGATACTTTAGATCGATGCGTATATACAATACAAGATTGCTTGAAGCACGATGGAACGAAAGTATTTCATCGTTCTGATGCACGATGCTTGACAAATCGTGGGTCAAGTCTATCAATGTATTTATTGACAAAAGCTATTTCGGAAGCAATCGCGTTACCTTATCGTCCATATACAATTTTGAACAAGCTAGCTCGACAATATGTTGATCCGGCTGAAGATTTACTTATCGGAACATTCTTAATTGAAAGTGCTACACGTGTTTATAGCGATTATCATCGTTTGATTGCTATGGCTAAAGAAGCGATTCGTGCGCCATTGCGAGGTCTTTTCATCGAATTAATCTTTCATCAACACTCACAAACCGTACAGCTTGGCTATGGTTACGATCCATTACGTTCATCTGTTGTTAACAAACCCACTCAATCGACAATAAATGAGCTTGTCTCACGGTCTGGACCTAGTATTATTTTAGGAAACAACTCTTTTGGCTATTTCTTACGTCTCAATGGCTTTCCGCATATTATTCCATTGGAACAAGCACAACAACAAAGACAAAATAGTTATCGTGTATCTACGTATTCAACTCGAATGCATGCCGATCAGCGATTCAATGCACTCGTTCTTTCTTATCCAATTGAACGTTTACGAACGAATTCGATTCAATTAGAAGCCAAGCGTATCGCCAAAGCAATCGAACAATTCATGCTAAAAAATAATATTAAATCTCTTTCGTCCTCTTCTTCTTCTACATTATTTCGATCATACACTGTTACGTACAATCTTTTCTTATTTTGTATATTTAGTTTATTAACTGAAATAAATAGACATTATTGATCCAATTTTCCATCTGACAAAATGTGCAAAACTAAAAACTTTCTATATTAGTTCAGATCGCGTTTTTCGCTATTACAGATTTCCCCGGATGGGCAACTCAAAAATTTACACGATGAACATTTGAAGGGAATGGTATAAAAAAGTACAATCAACGAAATGAATAGTGCGATCGTCAGCGCTAGCGATGTGCTTACAACTACCAGTCGGCGAATGTTTTTTCGAAAACTAACATCGGGAAAAACGATCATGTTCAACAGAAAACCAATCAGAAAACCAAAGCATTGAGAATAATTATCAACTAATGGAAGTAGACCGACAGTAAGGAGAAGTATTGAACATATGAGAATTTTGAAAAATGGAACCCAAGGTCGTTTTAATGAACGCCAACCGAGAAACAATTCACTTAAATAACAAGCAAGAATAGCTAATTGACCACCGCCAGGTCCAACTTGAATGGAATCGCGTAAAAACAACGCACTTGCTAAACTACCCACGAAACCAGAGACCACATAAATGATCATAACACGAATACAACCGGCTAATTTCTCTAATGGACGCATAATTAAATATTGAAATATGATAGTAATTAGTAGATGAATCAAACTAAATGAAACATATAAATTGCGTTGATTAAGAAAAAAATGTTTACCCAGCATGAATGAAAATAACTGTCCAGAAACGATAAACTTGATCAGGAACACGAACTAAAGAGGAATAGCTTATGAATGAAAAGATTTCGTGTATTTGATTCTTTCGCTTACCGACAAAGAATTCTAACATTCCACAAACACTTTGTATGCAATCAACCTAAACGCAATCATCAAGTTTTATTTTGCTGATTATTGGATAATTGTGATCTAGTTACTTGGGAACAGAGATGAGCGCGTGGATGAAATATTCCACGTCGACGTTGACAATCATCTTTTGACGTCAATAGACAACTTCCCAGTACTCCCGTACAGCACGGTCTTGCTACGAATGGAAAATATGAATTATTCCATTAGCAACTCTTTCATTTCAACATACCAAGATTTATACATTGCATATGCGGATAAAGTGATGCATTGCCTGCAATTCGACTATGATCTTGCTTCAGACAGACCTAAGGAAAAACATCAGAAGAATTTAAGAATGAATATCGAACTTACTGGCCATTTGGCAGCATTCGAAGACCATTTCAAAACTTTTGAATCAACGACGGTCGATGCCCATGATCTATCATCTTCACGTGGTATATTTCCAACTGATTGTTTCGTACAAATTCTACAAGAAAATAAATCTCGTTCACAGGTACATATCTTTCCTACTCACTCTGGTGTTAGTCCGCAAACAGCTGGATAGATAACATTATGTTGATCTCTCAAACTTTTACTTTTGGTCGCAAACCGATGCCAAACTAAACCTGCTCGTGGCTAAATAGTAGAAAAGTGGTAACTAGTTTATCGATTTATCGAATGTGAAATTCATACCAAACATTGTTGTGAAATGGTTTGCATACATCGACCTGTCGTTGAATCGATACAACAGCCCGACATACTTTCTAATCTCGCTTGTTTTTCATATCGACCCTCAACTTCATCGTGCCGTCGCATACATGGAGTATATTGTGCCCCTAAACGAATTAAATCAGCAGGATACGGGCCAAACCATGGGTTCATTGTCAAGTCTTGTCGTTGATGTTCGAAAATGGATGTCTTTTTCTAAAAGAACCTCGATCATCGAAAATGTTCTTGTGCTATTTCATTTAACCTACCGATTGTGTCGATGTTAATGGCGCATAGCCATAGACAATCAAAGAAACAATACAAACAAAGATTTGTACAAATGTCACCCAGTATGTAAAATAAGGACGATGGCATCGATAGGATTGTTGAATATCCACTAATTTCTTCGATCGAGGTTGTTTCCGAAGAAAAATTTTATTCAACAGACGAGGTCGAACGAATTCTAAACAAATCATTTGCTTTTATGAAAACAAACGGCGTATAATGATCAATTACTAGCTTTAGGTATTGAAGAAAGATCATTATCAGTTTGCGTATACTTTGTGCTGAAAATTTATAATGAAAACAAAACTCTGTTGACATAACAGAAAGATTTCTTTACCACAGGTGTTTATCTTTCGTGTCATATTCATCCATCTTAGTTGACTCATCGACTTTAGGTTTAGTTAGAACAATATTTTTCAGTGATATCTCATTCTCGTTCATTGGTTCTTCTTTATCCGTTTCCTGCAAATGAAAAAGCAAAATCATCGTAATCTTGCTTCAGATTATCGTCAAAAACAACAAAGATATAAAGAACAAAACAAATAAGCATATCGATATATATATATATGTTCTTAACCTCATGATGTGACATGGATGCACGCATAGATCTTCTACGTGTCATCTCGTCTACCTTGAAATAATAATAATCAATAAGAAAAAGATGAAATATTTTCTGTCGATGTATCAAAACTTACGACTAGAAAATTACGAACACCTGACACAGCCATTCCCAATACTGACTCGCGCTTGGCATTCGAACCATCTGATTCCATGCTACTCGATGGTTTCATTTGTGATGCGTTCATAATCGGTCTAGTGGAGATGACGTTTAATGGAGAGAAAACATTCGCAATTCTAAGTTCACCTTTGTTCGGTTTCTGTGCCTATTTCGTTCACCACTTCATTTTTCAATTCGCCAGCGAACATACTATTTTTACTGAGAAAATTGTATCGTCGCTGTTGCCAGTTGTCTCGATGTATCACTGGACTAGCGGCAGGCGCTAGGATTGGACTAGTGTTGAGTTGCATGGCACTGAAGCAAAAAGAAGATAGGATTCGAGAAAAAAAGGATTAACCACATCGAAGAAAAAGCTGTAAATAATTTATTTCATTTATCTACCGATCGTGAAGGTCGATTTGTTCAGAAACAGTGCGTCTCTTTCTCGTTGGAGATATTGCAGCCCAGCCTTCAGGTGATTGTTTCACAAGTAAACCGTTAGAGGGTAATGGAACATGTGATAACTGTCGTTTCCTAGCGCTAATTGAACTGTTCAGTTTTCGACATTGTTCATCGTCGTAATCCATCATTAACTGTTTCGCTTCGTTACATCCGTACATCTTGTGAAAGAGTAGATATATACTGAAGAAAACCGTTTCGCGTTATACTCTCAGCTGATAAAAAGTTAAAAGAGAGCATCTTGTAACTCTGCGTTACCCTAAGGCAAACGTTTCGAGATAGATGATAATAACATTCTCAAGTCAGTCGATAGCAGAACACGACAGACTAAATTGTTAGAAATATCTCATTGATTGATCGTCTATATACTCAATCTTTTCTTCGACTCAACATAGAACATATCTCACTAAACTATGCGCTGTATCTCAATCTATCCGTGTCCTTGTTATAAGAAGAACTAAGAGGATAGAAGATAACTCGACGGATAATTGTGTACTAATAACTAAAAAGGATTTGGTTGTCAAGTCATACAATGACATAGTAGGAAATTTCTTGTTGGACACTCGTATTTACGATAACGTTAATGAAGAATTACTTGTAAAGTACTAATAAATCATTTCTCATATTTGTATGACATAATGCAATAAAAATAAATATAATCATTCTTACCTCGTTGACTCGCATATCAAATCACTATTATTAATAATTGCTGGAGCTGACGACGAAAAATGGGAATGATTAAATTTAGTTTTTCCATGATTTCGTTCCATCAATCGGTTTCTGTCAGCAGATAATGACGAACGGAAGTCAACAACGATGATGACAAATCATCAGTGGCGAGTATTTCTATCTGGAACTAATCAAGTGGTATTAGTTTGCTTTGCTATTAACTTGCATGTTCGTTCATCGGCGCAAAAAAACTTTGTTCTTATTCCAATTTCTTTCTAGTGCATGCGGGTAAGTAGACAAACAACTGCTTGCTTAGACATTTTTCCTTCTCTTCTCGTTTTTTTCCTCTTCATGTCCTTGCTTGCCGTCGACAATCAACGTTATCATATCGGTCTTTCACTCTCTACGCTTTCTCTTTCTTTTCATCTGTTCGTTTACTCTTTCTCATAGATGATCTATGTTATGAAGTCGGATTTCCCTTCGGAATTCAAGTATTATACAGATTATTACTCTGATCTTTTCTCATATACACTGTTTCCGTACAAACAAAATGTCAATCGAAATCTTTACCGTTTTGCTAGATTGTACCAGCCAACTGGTTTCTGTTCGGTAGTAGAAGAAACATTTTCATGATTGAGTACACCATCGATCGCGAGATTCCATAATTGTCGACTGCGAGTACTGCTAGTCGGTCGATTTTTAGGACTATTGGTTAGTGATGATGGTTTGTTATCTTGTAAAAGCGACAAATTCGCTAGCGAATCAGCTAAATATACGTAATGTTTTTATTCAATGAGAAAATTCAAATGACTAATGAACATGTTTACATATGTCAATTGCATTCTGCCGAGAAAGACGACTATCCACCATAGTATTCAGCGTTATCTCGATCGGGTCCACATATGCTGATGTTTATGTGATATGATGACAGTTGTCGATTGTATAGGTATAGTTTGTAAGTAAACATGGAGACGTTTCGAACAGCTTATACATAGCATTCGAGACAGATGACGCTCGAAAGCGAATCTCATGAGCGAGACTTGAGTTTCGCTATTTCATTTCATTTGCATGAACCGATATGAAATCGTCATGGGCACTTAGATATATATGTGTTAAAAGTTTGTTTTATCTTATCGCTCCGACGCTTTGCTTGTTTTTCTCATAAGAGGAAAAAAAGATGATTTAGTTGATATCTGATTAAATAACAATATGTACGCAATAGAAAAGCTGCTAGGATCTTCTTCAATTTACTTTAATTCGATAATAAAATTAGTGGTTTTATCTAATCCCAAGTGCAAGTGTTCTCGTTCTATCGCGAATCAGACAGACACGTGACAAAGTATGCACATGAATCTGATGGCATAGAACAACATCATCATTCCAATAGTAGTAAACGAACGGATATGCAAATCTTGCATTGATGCTCTGTTAATTGTAACGGAAGCTGTTTGTCGATATTCACATCATGTTCGATTAGGGTTAGTTATCCATGAAAGTCTCATTCAAACTGCTGTAAATCGTTCATTATGGTGCACTATGGCTAGAAAATTTAACTAATGACGACAAATAAACGATCCAATTAATCTCGTCGAATCATCAGAAGAGAATCAGAGTTGTTTGCAGTCATAAAGTAACCTGCCTCGAAGCACCAGGGTGTAGAAATGAGTCGAACGACTTTTGACGTATGTGCCATTGGAATATGTATGGGATTGGAGAGGATAAGATCGAATGTTAATTATTGAAAATATCGAACAGTTTTTCTGGTGATTAGCATTGACGTTTGATTGATATCTCTTGATAAAATATACATGCATTTTCTCTCGTGTGGAAGATTTTCTGTATTAATACCATTGCTAAATACGTACTCCATCTATCGTGACGCAAGTAAAATGAGTACTCGATAGACCACCACTTACTGTTCTAAAACATCAAACAGATAATCATCCAAAACGAATTTTACACGATCCCATAGATGTTGAGTAGTCTTGAACACAATCGGGAAACTATCGGTTAATTGCTTGAGATATGCGGAATTCGGATAACAACACAGAATGTGTAAATATGTGAAAGTTAATTTACTGATTGAATGTAAGATCTGTTGGACTATATATATATATACATGGAGACGTGCATGCCTGACTAATCGTCTAATCTCGTGTGCATAGCAGCTAGAGTAGAAAACTTCTTCTGAGAAGAAGAGATTTCCTTGGAAAGTAAATTCGGTAACAGTTTGATTGATTGTGAAGCTATAATCGTTGACGTAACGAAGTTCGATGAAGATGCTCGAATTTGTGCATTTGGAAAATGAAAGAATTACGAAAAGGCAGTATAATGAATGTGAAGAACTATACTTAAATAATCGCTTGATTTTCTCGCGACCTCATCGATAGCCAAATGCCTCAAAATGTTGATCTGGTGACAAAAACCAATGTTAATCTTGTAAACCTCTTCTATCGATTTCAGAGTATTCATCAATATTGATCACATGAACAGTCTTATTCAATTTTGATATATCAAAAGATCGATCACACCATAGGTATCGCCGAGATACCATCGATCTACCTGTTAAAATTCTCAACAGTCCCAGATATGATCACGTTGTACAGCGATACTTGTCATCGTAATACTCGAGCAAAATATTCCTACAAACACGTAGACCGATCGGTTCGCCATCGGCAGCGAGCTAAATGATCTACAAAAAGGCATGCGCAGCTGTTTTCATAGCAGTGGAGGAAATAACTGTCAACATTACTTATGGTTCTTACTTATTGCACTCTTGTCGCTGTCGATCTGAATCAAAAACGATTCGATTTTATAGCAGTTTTATTAATCTACTTGTCTCTTCTTTCGTATATATGTGTAAAATATTTGACTGAGGTCATCGAATCAAAGTGTTTGTTTTGTTGTTACGTTATATCAATTAAAATGCATTGTTTTGCTGTCTACATATCAATGTGTATTCAAAAGGATTACTTCGAAAAATATATCTCAATTTAATTATGAATTTTTTGCTATTGACATCAGATTTATCAAGATAATATAATTACTTCTCATGAAAAATCGAGTAGATTGTATTATCATCCATGCACCTGTGATAAAACATATAAACAACAATGAAATCTACCTAGGCGTATACTTTGTGAAACCTGAAAAGATCGTATCATTAAAACCCGACGTCTGACATCATTTATATCCTTATTAAAAAATGTTTATGATCAAGTTTACAAAAGAAGACAAAGATAAAATCGAAAACAAGGAAAAGAAACTGTGCTCTCTACATGTACGTATGTATACAAGAAAGAAAATAGAATGAAATAAGAAATCTTTTGCCGTTCGTTTATCCAAATATCCAGAGGATTTCATTCGACAACAATCGATTGATTTCGATTGCCTTGGTTTTCATCGATTGTTAATTTGTCATTAAGATCATCCTCAAGGGCGTCCATTGATTCAACAGGTTTGCTTGCCGAATGAACTTTGTCGTCGTCGCCGTCGTGCTCTTCATCATCATCCGTTGTCACAGCATCTTGTTGTTCAATTTCCTAGGAACGAAAAATTTTCAATTTCATTCGTATCGAAATTAGAATGAAAGCCGTGCAAAACATGCGAAAAGAAGAATATAAACGTATGAATTTTTGATGTTTTTTGGTTCATTGACATGCTCTTTTTACTGTCATACCTGAGCAGTAAGTCGACCTGCTAATTCCTCTCTAAATTTTTCCTTTGCCCATTGCATGAAATGAGCTGTATCGTACGGTGTTGGCTGTTAGATAAGATTCAAAATTTAGATATGTTGTTCATCAATGAAAAATATGACCTACTTCATTATTCAATTGGCCTTTATTGATTTTAATTGGCTCGTTGTTTGCCGATGCTAATCGTTCATCGACAGCTTCTTCTAATTTCAATTGCTGTTGAAGTTTATCAAGAGATTCGATGATATTACCTAGAAAAATCTCCTTGACAAAGCGAGATTTCGAACACGGTGTTACATACTGTCAGTAGTTGAGATATCCGATGGTGGATTCATCGGATCGTTTGCCGAAGAATCATCAGATATCGATTCTTTTAAATGCATACTTGTTGATAACGAACTATTTCCACTATCATCAACTGCTGCCGTTATTGTCTGTTTCATATCTGCATTTGTGATTGAGGAATTCGGTGCGAGTAGATCGATATTGTCATCCTCCCACCATTCTTCGATCAGATCGGTGCCATTTGAATTGGACAGATCGTTACTATTAACACGATTATTGTTGATTAGATGTCGTCGATTAGTATGTGTACCAGTATTGGAATTATTTCGTCGTTGATAATTACTATGAAAACCATATTGACGAGGATCGTAAGATGATAATGGAAATTGATGTTTATCTTGATTATGTATTCGTTGCTGCTGCGGTTGTTGTTGTTGTGGTGGTGGTGGTGGTGGCGGCTGCTGTTGTGTCGATCGACGACGTTGATATGATGTTCCCCAATGATTATTATTGTTTATATTTTCATTTTCATCTAATGAGTCATCCGCATTCATGTACGCAGAAAGTGGAAGACTGGTATTATTGTTGTTAAGATTATTATTATTGCTGTTGTTCGTTCGTTGAAAGCGATTCGTATTGGATGAACGGAAGAAGTTGTTTGTACTTGAAGAAAAATCGTAGAATGATTGTGGTCGAGATTGAAAACGATTTTCGTTGTTGAACCGTGAGGACGAATGATGAGCGTTGTGTAGACGTTCGAAATCGCCAGACATCGGTCGTTGATGAGAAAACTTATTCTCGACATGACGAAAACGCGGCGGTAAGTCGATTGGTGAAGTGTCTTGCGATGGTGGTAATGTAGTTAGTGGTGGCTGAAAGAGAGGAGATGATTGAAAGGTAGGCATATGAAATTGATGATGAGTTGTAGTTTCATATGGATGTGTTGAATGATATTGATGGAAATGTGTCTGAGATGTGGCTGGTTGAGAAGTTGAAGGATGGGGTGGAGCTGGCTGAGCAAAATAAACAGTGCCATTTCCATTGAATGACGATGCTTGAGCTGGAGGTGAGTAAACAAAATTATGAATGTAGGCAGATTCTATGATGTAATTAAAAGATAACAAGTTAGTTAATGTTCTTCTTTCGAACGGTTTATTTACGATCTATTTGGTCACCGTGATTGCCATGTGTATTCATCAGATTATCGAGCTCTGTATGATGGTGATGATGATGATGATGATTGGAAAGATTTGCTGGTACAAGTTGGATATGCATTGGACTATTTTGCCATAATGGCATTGGTGGCACGTCAAGATGAAATTCATTAGTAGAGCCTCCTGCATGCCCATTATTTTGTACTGTACATCGACGCATTCGTTCTATAAATAGAGCAATTAGGATTCAAGGTGGTCACAAGACAAAAATTAACCTTCTCGTTTACGTTGTCCGTGTTCTTGAGTACGTTGTTGTTGAGTGAATCGACCACTACCAATTCGATCAGCTTAAACACAGTAGAGGGAAAAAAGTGAGATCATTTTTGCTTCATGAAACTCATACTAATATTCACGCAATCACAATCAAATCTTACATTTACTTACACTTTCAAATCAGTGGTCTATAAAGAAGTGTATATTACTTCGTTTCGTGTAATTCTATATCATCTCTCTCGATCCTTCGCCGTCATGATCCTCTTCTCTTCTATTCTTTTCAGCGATCGATCATCTAGGTATGCTTCACATTCGTTTTTCAAACGTATGTATGTCGAGTGCATATAGAATTATGTACATAAGCAGATTTTACATGACTTTTGTCATATGCGTGTGTATTCGGGGACATTTCATCGGCTGATTTACAAGCATTATCAATGACACCCATGACATGCAAGAAAATAGGTGCATAGAGGCAAGAACTCAGCTACATACCTTTGTTATTCACAATGACAAGTCTTTTTGCATTTGTTGGTTCGTCCACATCTATCCAGAAAAGTGTTTTAGGTTAGGTTCTCTCCTGCTGTGATTTCTCTTTTGTAAATGAAAACCGAAAGATAGCGTAACGTTCATCCTACCATTAGTGTTCTCCGATTGATTTTGGAACGGAAAGGCATATTGGTGTAATTGAGGATTAATCAGATTATTGCTACTATTATTGTTATTGCTATTTCCTTTTGGATTATTGATCTCTTGTGCACGTTCGCGTTTTAAACGATTGTAATCAATACGCTGTGCGCGTTGCGGTTGAGCGTCGTTACGAGCCTTGAATTAGAGAATGATAAACTTTTCAGCTGAACTTGAATACTTACGTTTTCAAATTTGCGCCGTGTCGCTTGCCGTTGACTTCGTTCAAGTTGATTTTCCTCAAAGGAAAATTAAAAGATTATTCGATGAAAAGACAAAGCGTCGCCGTACTTGAAAATGTTGATCATTAACGTTGATACGTACGCGATTTTTGGCAGTCTATTAACAAGAAAATCATTATGCATGCGTATCTTTTGTTTAATATCACATACGCCTCTCATCACTTTGTTATCTGTTTGATTTTCAGTAGTTGTCGTTGTGGCGCCCGTTCGAACAGCAAATTGACGATCTTCTTCGATTTCCTACGAATAGAAAAAAGAAATGCCAAATGCAAATTTCTTCGCCCTCTTTTTTTCTGAAATGAAACAAAGTCGATGATTATAGGACACAAGAGAGATTCAGAAGAAAAAAAATATTATTCCACGCAAATAATCACAATAGTTACTAATGTCTAACGTATTCTTGTAGCAAATGCTGAAACTCTATATCCTTCGATCTATATGTGTATACATAGGAGTGTGTGCGCATGCGTCGTCTATGCATGTTCCTTATTAGAAGCGAGGAAATGCATAGAGAGCGAGAGAGAAAGAAAAGGGAGAAAGACATTGTCAAAAAAATCTCTCTCATTTATTGTAATGACATTCGAGAGAATATAGAACATAGAAGGCAAAGAATAGGCCTTTTACTTGATAAATATCAATCGTCGACTATCTTCTTCTGTCTACGTACGTTGCAAACAAACAATTAGTGTGTATTCAAGTGCAAACCTGATGACGCTTAAGTAGTTCCAAGTTCTTGATACGCATTTCGGCCATTTTCTGGTCAATTGTCGACAGAGATGTTAATTCGTTCATGACAATTCTGTTCTTTGACTTATGATAATCTAAAATCACAACAACAAAACTCACTCGAGATAATAGAGAGATTCGTGTGTATATATATACACACACACACACGCACATATGTAAACTTGAGTATCGAGATAATTGATAGGAATAGATGTAAAATAGCGAGGTCATTAAAAAGAAACTGTCGTCCAATTTACCTTGCAAAGAAGATGTGCACCTGAAATTTGTCTTTTTCTATGCATATTAGCTGTAAATGATTGAAAATGTGTTACATTCATCGACCTCACAAACTTCAAATGCCTGTTATTTGCTTGTGTGGACCGACAGAAGTAAACGATCAGACGATTCTTTACGATGAATCTAGGAACTAATCGTTTCCTGATCGATAATATACAACAATTTAGTTGCCGATAGAAAACAATGGAAAGAAAGAAATAATCCGATAGCCATTGATACCTAAGTGAATCTTACTCTTGCATTCTATGTAAATGATGTGCAACGAATAGCATATGTGAATATCTATGTGGCAAAGATATGTATTCTTAACATAAAGGGAAAGACGAAGAAAAAGAAGAAAGAGAAAAGAAGTGCCATATCAGAAGAAGAAGCTCTTATTAATAGTAACCGAAAAGAAAATGAGAAGAATGTGCTGATGTTTTTCTCTTTTTCTCATCTATAAAAACATCATATCAACAATCAACACTCACAATTCATTACGACGTTTGTCCGATCAAGTCATCGGTATATGTATAACAATGTACAATAGAAATAAAACAAGATCGTTTCTTCTCTCGTTCTTTCTTCACCGTCGTTGTACGTACTTGTATCATTGATTGATGAGAACAGCGAAGTGTTATATTCAATTGTATATAATCAATCTTGACAGGACAAAAAACTCCTCTATCTCTTTCTTCATTGTCTTCTTCTTTTTCTACTACGGTATGAGTAAATATCCATGTAAGCGTGCAACAATCAGCTGTTTACTTGTGCTTTCGAAGATGAGACATCAATCTCTTTCTTTTCTCCTTTATTTTTGTACAAAAGAAAAACAATATACGCACGCACATACAGAAAAAGACACCAAGATTTCGATTTCAACATACAAACGAATAGACAAGAAAAATATATTAAATTCCACTACGAAATGGTGTAAATTTTCGCGCTGTTCCTGGAGTTTGTATACGATTGAATGGTGTTACAATTCGATTTCTGACCGATGGAGTCGAGTCAGCTGCTTCGGCTTCTTCTTTAGCTCGATTCATTTTTTCTTGCGCAAGACGCATTTCTTCTTCCATGGTCAATGCTTCTGACTTTTCTTTTCGCGCACGTTCGCTACGAGTTTTCACGGAATCTTTCAGAGTGAAAAACATCGGACCAAGTTCAGCAAGCCAATGGCCATCCACACAGGTTACACATTGCATATACTCCTAGAAAATACAAACCAAATTCGATCAACTATTTTCGAATGAGTAACATACCTTTGTAGTCATAATAAGTTCATGATAAACAATATAATCAGGAGTAAATCCACAACCAAATAATGCACTAGTCGGATGCAAATGACATGGCATACCTGTACGTAAGTTAACGTATTCTCCAATACCCTAGATAGAGAAGAATATTAAACATCGAAACAATCATACGAACATACCTTCAGTCGAGCAGCTTGATGAAAGTAAGCAGCGCAAATACATTTACGTATAATATCCCAATCTCGAGTAGATTTCACATCTAATTTTTGCGAATCCATGATGTCTTTTAACTGTTGTCGAACTTCGCGAACTTTTCTCATTGCTTTCGCGTGAATGAAATGATCGGAACACCAATTATTCGAATAACCACTTTTCTTCCATTGAATGTAAACATGCAGCAATGTTAAGTGGTCACTTTCGGCCACTTGAAATTTTTCTCGTTTTGCATCCGATTCTTCTTCTTTACCCTTTGGACGAAAAAATATCGAAGGAACAGAAAGCATGGAGACAATTATCTAAAGGCAACAATTTCAAGACAAATTCTTCACAGAACCATGATAGAACTCACCAGAATTTCATTGCTGCAACCCATGTCGACGGATGTAATTAACATTTGTGACAAAGCAGGATCCAGTGGAAATTCCACCATCTGACGACCTGTTTGAGTTAAAGCTCCTGTGTTATCCAGCGCTCCTAAGATCCATAATTGATACATTGAATTCATCAAGTTGTCCTATATAAGAGATATGGAAGTTCTATTTTTCGACAAAAATATGACCTACTTGTGGTGGCGGATCCATGAAATGGAATTGTAAGAGATCTTGGATGCCGAGAGATTTCAGTAGGAGAATAACGTTGGCAAGGTTGGTTCGTTGAATTTCGGGTACGTTACTTTTGAGCATTTCTTCACGAAAGTTACGCTCAGTATAGAGTCGAAAGCATTGTCTATTAAATAAATAAAAAACGAGCTTCAAAATGTGATTCACTACTGGACTTTTGACTCCTCGAGGATATATCATAGAACATGAAAACTGATTATTCCTTCTTCTATTACGCAATGCCTACCAGTAGTCTAAATAGATCGAATGTAATACATTCAGACGGCAATGAAGAATAAGTATACATCAAAATACCAGACTCGCTTAGTCCTATAAATAAATACGCTGCGTAAACGACACTGCTAACCGATTCTTTCACTTTGATCTTGATCATAATAGCACAACACAGACTGTATGATCTTACCCCGGCCCTGTTCGTCCAGCTCGACCCATTCGTTGATTGGCATTGGCCTGACTAACTGGATAGACTTGTAAGGCATCCATACCAATACGTGGATTATATACTTTCAATTTGCAATAACCAGAATCGACGACATACATAATACCATCGACTAGAAAACAAATTGCTTTTAATAAACTCCGAACGAAAATTTCGTTTTGTTTTACCTGTCAGTGATGTTTCGGCAATATTTGTTGCCACGACACATTTACGTATACCATCATCAGCCTTTTGAAAGATCTTTGCTTGTAAATCACTTGGTAACTGGGAATAGATTGGTAAGATACTCAGCGGCTTAGCACCTTCAAGGTCATTTAGACGTTCTAGTAACGAACAAAGAGATCATGAATATTTCATATGACATAACCAAATGAATAATTTCGAACCTTTGATTAATTCACATGTTACTTCAATGTCTTCTTGACCAGGCATAAAAACAAGAATATCACCTATGCAGAACAACAAACGAAGTTTACCACTCAATTCTTTTGCTCGATGATCGACACTCACCATCACCGGCGCCTAAATGGATTTGAATTGATTGTTTCACAGCGGCATCAACATAATCTTCCACACAAGCTTTACTAAAGAACGACTCGACAGGAAATGTTCGACCCGGTATGATAAATATCGGTACATTGCCAAAAAAGTCACTAAACTTTTCCGAATCCATAGTGGCTGATGTGACGATAAGTTTGAGATCTTGCCGACGACCGACAACTTCTCGCAGAAGACTATTCATCAATAGAAATCAGATTTAATTTACATCCATGAGAGGGAATAGGGGCTACTTACCCGAACAAAACATCGGTATTTAAACTACGCTCATGAGCCTCGTCCATGATAACCGCTGAGTAGTGATCAAGATCAGGATCAGTTAAACTCTCACGCAATAGAATACCATCGGTCATATATTTAATCAAAGTTTTCTAAATCAGAAAAAATGATTCCAGTTCATATTTGAAAGACACACTTACATCAGATGTACAATCTTCGAATCGAATAGCGTATCCGACTTCATCACCAAGTTTACACTGCATTTCGTCGGATACACGTTTAGCCACGGACATAGCAGCAACACGACGTGGTTGTGTGCATCCAATCATACCACGTTTTGTATAACCAGCTTCATGAAGATACTGAGAAAAACAATCGTCAAGCATTAATCCAGGGTGTAAACAAACAACTGAGAAACTTACCTGTGTCATCTGTGTTGTTTTTCCTGATCCTGTTTCTCCAACACAAATGATAATGCTGTTCTCGCGTATGATTTTCAGTAGATCTGCTCGAATAGCGTAGATTGGAAGGTATTTTCTTTGTTCATCTATTGTCTTTTTTCGAGCGAAATCCGAAACGGCCTCCATTTGGTCTTGCATATGCTCAGCGAACTTCTGTGACTTCTTATAATCAACATCCTCTGATTGATCATCTTTCACATCACGTCGCTTGATGCCTAAGATATTTCCTAACTTAGTTCCACCCAATTCGAATTTTTCTTGTGCTAAACGTCGTTCTTTCTGTTCACGATATTTCCGTACAGACTGGCAACCTTTTCGACATATGATTGCCATGTCAGATGTCGGATCTTTCACAGGAATAACTGGCTCGACTAAAATCCGAAAATGATAATTATTTTAAACTTCAAGTACAACATATATGTTACGTACATTGTCGAGTAAATCGAATACGACCGTCGAGAAACGGCGGGACAAGATTGGTAACCAATAAATGTACACGACTTTCTCCTTCATCGTCGAAACCTTCGTCAACATTGACTTTTCGTACAACGCCACTACGAACCATTCGATTCTCTTCCCATCGTTCAATATCCTACAATAGGAGAGATTATTTTCTTGAAAACTCTCAGAATGAATCTACCTGATTGATTTGTCGCTGTTGTGCAGACATACGCTTCTTTTTTCGTAATTCTAATGCTTCTTCCTTCTTCTTGGTATATTCATCACTGACACTAGTGAATGCATTCGACTCCTCGTCGACGACATCATCGTCATTGTACCATTCACGTTCGATACGCTAAAGCAAAGAATACTTGTTGATATGAAACAAGTTTGTCAGACACTTACCTTTTGTTCCTCTTCCCAAGTTTGTCGCTCATCTTCATTATCATCCAGATCGTCATGTTTATTCTTACGAAAACTTGGTGTAGGCAGTGGAGTATCATTACGTTTTCTAAAGCAATGGAATACAATCTTAAATATGTGCGTGATTTTTACCTACCGATTATAATAATCAGTATCGCGACGTCTTCGATATTCATACCGACTGTAGTTACTATTTGGTGTCGGATGTTCCCATTGCGATCTTTTTCTGTTAGAGTCTTCCTCATCCCATGATGTTCGCGATGGCGAATCTATATTATAATACATTTGATTGGCTGTGACAAAGGAAAAAGGTGTTTCAATTTACCTCGACTACCACGAATATTCGGTGTGGCATAACGATCCTCGTCATCGTCGTCGTCGTCTCCATTTCGATGACCACCATTTCGATCTATGTAAAAGTCTATAGAAATGCATTATTTGATGGAACATATGGTAGCATACGTTGCTTTTGTGCTTCTTGTCCATATGCTAAGCCACGTTGTTTATGTTTAGGTGCTGGCCGACTTCGATCATAGTAGTCATGATGAGATGAACGTGTTGAAGATGGTGTTTCCTCTCGTTTTTCTCGTAAATGTCGAGATTTGTTACTATGTGATTTATGATCGTCGTCGTTGTCATCGAATGAGGAGGTTTTCGAACGCTTTGGTTCTGTGGTGCTGGCTGATGATTGTACACGACGTTTCTCTGCTGCTAATTTATCCAGACCCAAGACTGACGTTGTCGGCGGAATTTGTGGCATTTTGAAAACATGTTGTTCATCTGACGAATTTGCTTGAGTCTTCTTTTTGATAATCAAACCACCGACTTGTTGATCATCAGTGCCTGGCAGACGGTGAAGAGAGCCTGAATCTTCACTTTGATTTGAAGTCATCTAAGAAATACGAAAAGAATGAATTACTTTGTAAAAACACTCAGTGTTTCTTTGTATAAGTTGAGAAAATTCTATTCCATTGAAATTCTGTCAGTGTAATTGCCGGCAGTTTCCATTGATGAGTGTGTAAACGAATAAATATGCGTCGATAGATGTCGCATTTGCACAATGCACTTACTGATAGTCGATCGAAAAGGAAAATGCGGAATATAATCCCGTGCCGCTTGAAATCTACGAGTTCCAAAATCGGTCAATCGGACAACTTTTCCCTCTTTATCACTTTAATATACGTATATTACAGAGTAAAGCCAGATGTTTGTCATAGTATGTAATATTGCATGAAAATATATCTCTGCTAGCTGTTCCCACTTAAACTCGTTTAATACATCCTTTCGTATTCTTAAGCTGTTTATTCAGTTATTCTCACGATCTACAAGCACAAAGTTCTTGTTTTTTTCCCTCGAATCATCTTGCAAACAATAAAAATGTTCCGAAAATAACTCTTCAGTCCAAATGTTAGTCGTTCTCTCGTGATAAGCCTATATAATGTGTTATCTATCGAACACGCGTTTTCATTTTCAGTAACCTTTCGTAATCATCAGATGTTGAAGATTTTCGCGAGGATGTTTTTCTCATTTAAAATGATTTCTTGTTTACAAACATCAGATTGATGATTGTCTGTTGATAGCTTGTCATCATCTTCTACTGACAAAATCCGACAGCTAAGGACATGTATATAAAACTTTTGGCGGACTTTCGTAATATTTCATCGCTGATAAATCAAACTGAAGATTCTCTCTTTAATCGACTGCTGATCGGATAAGAAATCACATGAATAATTAAGCATGGAAAAATGCAAAACGATTTTTCATATTGTCTCGTACTTGTCCTCATCATAACTGATGACATAGAACTCGTATTATTCTAAGCAAATACGATGTTTATTTAACGACTAACTCATGGTTTGAATAAATAAGATGTGTTTGACGAATGCTGTTCTGTTCATTGTTTTCGAATCGCTTCAACAGAATTCCAAGGCAAAGACACGCATAGTATTTATGAGAATAGTTTTATAAATAAGAAAAAAAAGGAAGAATTTCAACGGAACAAGAGAGAAAAGCTTATAGACATCACCGATTTGTCATATTAGTTGCAATAGGCATATGTTCATTAGCATCAATATTAAGATTATCAAGATTATTTTCGGTACGACGACGGTTATTAGTCCAATTATCAAATAGACGATAGCCTGTGCTTGTTGGTGGTTCCCAATCGTCACTAGTTGATTCGAGTGAATAGGTAAATTGTCTATTTCTTTGATGTTTTCGACGAATGTAAACAAAAACAAGTGCTATGCTAACCGAAGCAATAATAAGTAATAGACCAAATACAATTATTGTCGTAACAATTCCACCCCGAATAGTACGTTCGATCTTCGGAGATGTTGACTTTGATATTGATTCTAATTGAAAGAGAGAAAAAGAAAAAAATGCGTAATTATATGTTGGAATAGCTATTGAAGAATTATACTTGTACATCCATCTTCATCCATTCCTTGTGGACATGAATGATAGCCATCACAATGATGAATTTCATCGATACACCATTGACTGTTATTTGTTGTTAGACAACGATACTGATTCGCTTGACATGGACCTTTCGATATGTTTGTAATGAAAATTTCGAACGATTGCTGATTGAATTGGCATAGACTGAACGTGATGGGTAAATTTAAAATGCCGGACTTGAGATATGCTCCATTGGATGTTGTGTATGTCGAAAACTCGATTAGATCGGACTGTTTATTTGAAGTTTTCAATAAAGAAGGCGTTTTTGTTGACATGTTTAGAATATTAATTGTTATTTGTTCCGAAGCATCTGACGACGATCTTATTAATGTAAGATTACAGCACGATGAACGTGATGTCATTGTGTAAAGAACTGATAAGGACGACGAAGAAAAGTTGAGCGTTTGACCACAAACCGACATGTATTGAACTAGGTTTGGAAAAAGAAAATAGATTCGTTTTTCGTCTTGTGATTGGTCATACCTTGCAGAGGGGTCGAGGAAGTATTTTGAATAAGTGTGAATATCCACCAACAGAGTACCCACAAACTTCTCATGATTTCAATATACATTTCTTTAGCAAACAAAATTTTTCTCTCATT